AAAATATCCCGACTTACCTATACGGGATATTTTGAATATTTCCTCACCTGGACTATTTGTTTGCATCCAACAGATTACATAATTGTGTCTTGTACGATCCTACATGCTTCTGACACAATACTTCAACAGACCTTAGCATTGCTTATTCTATTATAATCAAATTTCATCTCGTCAGATCTTAATAATAAGGAGAACCCATTATTTGTAGCTTCAAAATCTTCAAAGTATTCAATGTACTTTTTCTTAATACTATAATCTGACAGATAACGTGGGAATGATTCAAACGAACGTATAGATTGATCAATAATTGGTCTAGCCAATAATTCTGCCTCCTTCTTCTCATTATAATTTAATTGATCAAACATTTCTTGACCAGAGAGTTTACCAATAGTTTGGGATTGTGGGTCAATCGCCCCTTTGGTATTGCTTTCTGCGAAATCGGTTACACGGTCACCCTTCATAACTTCCTCGACTACTGGAATTGGCGATTTTTCGCTCGTGAACTTGTGCTTTGATCCAGAATCTTGTTTGTTTTCATATTGCAGTTGAAGTTTACTTAACAAAATATCTTGATCAGCAATTTTATTACGCTGTTCTTGCATTGCAATTTGCATCATTTGCATTTGACGTGACAACACAATCATGCTGTTTTCATGTTCGGTTCTAGGAGAATATGCCTTGTGACCATGGGTCATACTTCCTGGAGTACATTCACGTGATACCACCTCTCCAGGCGTGTCTGGCTTGAGAGTTTCAACAGCAATCACGTTAACATCGTGGGGAAATGGTTTTGGTGGGATATCCTTAGGAGGTTTGTCAGGCATTTCAAAAACTAAAAAGATTAACTACTTTGACTCTTAATCTATTGATTAGTGGGTGTACTTAGGTTGTGGAATATTCAATATTTGGGTGGTAGTAATTGAATGGACCTTGAGTATGAATGGCTCGGGTGGTAGTTGTTTTAGTTGGAATGAATTACCTCAGTACTTTTCGAACTGCGACTTGGTTTCTTATACACTTGTATATTCAGATTATGTATTCTTATATACTTAAGATCTCGGTGGATTCTAAGACTATACATCTCTAAATATGGATGAAATATATCTCAATTTATATTCCAATATCTCTCATTCTTCTTCGTCGTTTATCCCCTATGTTTCACTCTCCTTGTTTTCAACCTCCTTAATTATCACCACTTGGTCTTATCTGGTTTAACACATCCCCCTTCTTTTGCCACCAGGTTCCTTAGTCATCATTATCCCATCTTTACTCCTTTTGATGTATCAGAAATTCGCACCCGTTGCAACCACATCTATCAATTTCTGGAGTAACTCTGGGAGTGAATTCTCACGACCTCACCTGTATATGACGTTTAATCAACAGAGCGCAGTTCTGCACTGAAAACCTTATCATGTGTAAAAGTCACAATAAGAAAAAGTATTCAATTGGGTCGTGCGAAAACCGAGTTATATAGAAAATACCATTGACAAAAGAAATTTCATGATCAACTGAGAATGCTGAAAACGACACAAGATTAGTGGTAGCTGCAGGAACATGTCGAACAGCACTAAGAATGAGACGTTCCTGGAATCTGTACTGAGCCAATACCAGCAACAGGAAGATCAGCATCATTAACACCGTGGATAGTTTGATTACTAACCAGAGTATAAGTTTGAAAAGGATCACGACGAGTACAGATATGACATGTCAAGGTAAGAATGACATATATTTCGAGTCAGCTAAATAGGCAGCATCAGAAGAACCCAGAGCAGAAACTGGGTATTCATCATTATGTTTAATATACTTGTTCTTAGGGGCAAATCGAAAAGGTTTTTGAAGTGGCTGTTGACAATCAGAAATACCGTGACCCGGCTTACCACAGTTATAGCAGATAAATTTACGCGACGAAAATCGTCTTTTGTTACCTATGCCGAATGGTCGTCTGTTGTTGAAAGTAGCAAGAGTCATTTCAGTGGTCGATTTCTTTGGTTCTCTCAAAGCTTCAGACGCACATACCGACTGGAATAAATCAAAAGTAAGTGGTGTGCGACGTGGGACACCATCGACGATCGTTGGTGGAAGGGCTTGCACCCGGGAGGCGAAGGCGTGTCGAATAGAAGTAGGTTGGGCCAAGAGTAGAAAAATCACAGCCAATTCCGCAGGGGAGTAACATTCATGAATGCGTTTAACCTCAACGCAAGTAAGTGCATAATTTTCCGTCTTGTGCAAGGAATCATAGAAGTTAATCAAGTGAGAAACAGTTGGAAACCCATATTTCTCAGTAATGAGTTTGTGTTGACAAGGACGTTCTAAGTCTTCAATTCTTGTCATATTGTTGCTAGTATTTAATTGAGATTCGGTTCTTTTCTATCTAGAATTTTGTTCTAAGTGTAAGACTTATAGTGTCATTTATAGTCCGCTGATAATCACATGGGTTAAGAGTATTACTATTGTTTAATACTATCTGGGATATTTTGAGTATTTCTTAAACTAGTTAGTTATATTTAGAATATCCCAACTTACCTATCTTGGGATTTTTTTTAGTATTTCCTCATCTGGACTATTTACCAACAGGTTACATAATTGTTTCATACACGATCCCGCATTCTTCTGACACATTACTTCAACAAATCTTCTTGAAAAGGGACCTGGCAACTTCAGGTATGTCTCCTAATTGATACTCAAACCAAAGCTTCAGTGTGCAAGCATTTGGAATGCAACTAATGTTTTTTTTAGCTGTGTGAAGATCCTGTTTTAATGCTGTGATTAACTTACTTGCTAGCTTATAGTGGGAATAATTTGTAGGCCGTTTGCTTTGACATTGAAGAGATCTCCTTTCTGACTGTGTCAAAGTTAGGATATCATTGAGTTCCTGAAGGACTATCTGTGACAGTTTCAGATATATCAACATCCTTAAAGTCCTTTTCAATTGGGGTCAAAGCTGACTCAATTTTCCGATTAACAGCTGGCAAACCAATATCTACGTCAAGTACCTTTTGCTTAAAGCAAGGGGTCGTTGGAGTTTCAGAAATCAACTGAGGTTTGAGTTTGTTGAAGAATTTTTGAACTATTGTGTTAGAGTGTTGAACGTGTTGAGCTATGTTGAACCATTGTGTTAGAAAAATGAGGAATCGTGTAAGACATTATTATGTAATCTGTTGGTTGCAAACAAATAGTCAAGGTGAGGAAATACCCAAAACATCCCGTGTAGGTAAGTTGGGATATTTTGAATAATATGATACTACAACCACATGGGGTAAGGCTAAACAAACCATGTAATTATGAGTGGGCTACAAATAGGCTACCCTAAGTCTCAAACTTGGAATAAAGTGTTCTATTGAAAAGTATCGAGTCTGAAATATATATTACCGATAATATTACAAGACACACCTCAAAGAAAGATAAGTATTACTTGCAATTAAATTACTAACAGTATGACCCGTATAGAAGATTTAGAACGTCCATTTCAACAGATTTCATCAGACTGAGCTGAAACATCCGAATTAGTTAGTCGTTCAAGTTCTGAACAAACTTCTTTATATTGTCTCCCAACAACTACAGTCGCGCGCAGAACGCAATTTCCAGCAGATGATTCCTTCGACTTATCCAGGAACTCACTCATGGGTTGCTGCCTATGGGAGAGGGCCATCTCGTCATGACGAACTTCCTTGGAGAACTCGATGGAAGAGAAAGAAGAAGAAGAAGACATAATTCCAGGCACTTCAACAGCAGTAATGAATACTATCTCAAAGCTATTAGAAAAATCTTCAACATCATCGGCCCTTTCAGCTCTGTATCTGTCCTCAGAAAAGAACAGAGAAGTTTTCATAACACGGTACATAGGTAAGTGACTGGTCAGTCTTATTAAGGAGACTCCAATGGATTCAGGAGTATCAGGCGCAGTTAAATCTAAAGGATAAGGATATTGGGAGAACTCGGCAAATTCGAAATGGACTGAAGAGTTAGTAGCTAAAGGGTGACAATGTTGAAATGGACGTTCTATATCTTCTATACGACTCATATTGTTAGTAAGTTTAATCACGAGTGATACTTATCTTGAGGTGTGTCTTATAATATTATCTATATTATATAAATCAGAGTTGCCTATCTCTCTATAAAAATTTACTCTAAGTCTAGGACTTATGGTGGCGTATTTATAGCCTACTGCTAATATAGGATTAGCAAGCTTGCCAAGAGCAATTTATCATTGTTCGTTATTCCACGTGACTAGCTATCATTTAAAATATCCTGACTCACCTATACGGGATATTTTAAATACTCAATTCAGGATTTCTAGAATATTCTCTCAGCTATTTGTTTGCAACCAACAGATTACATAATTGTGTCATATACGATCCTGCATGCTTCTGACACAATACTTCAACAGACAATTGGTGGACGTGATACCAATTGGTGGATGTGATACCAATGGGTGAAGAACACTCGTTGGAGTCCAAAGACTCAGGATCATAGAATGAACGATCACATTTTAAGATATCTGCGGCATCGGCGATTTCAAAAAAACCTTCAGACTCTTCAAGACGGGGGATTGCAGAGACAACGGAAGTAGTTGTTCCTTCTTTATAGGAAGTAACTGAGTGTTTGAAAAAGTAGATGGCAGTAGTAGATCCGAATGAAACGCATTTCTTGAGCAGGTAACTGGAATTAGCTGCTCCTTTCAAAACATCAGCACTAACATGAAACGCAGTACAATTAGTGGCTAGAGTCATTTAAGCGTTAGAGGAGCTGTCAATAAGGTGGATGCTTCTGATAAGGGTATGGTGGTAAGCTTGGACATACACGAACGGATGCCAAAGCTGCAGCGATGCTCGGATACACAACTTCGCTTTCAGCAGGAAAGGAAGCTGGAGATTGTACTTAGAAGAAAGTAAGCGGGTAAGAAGGCTTAGAAACTACATTATGGCGCCAAACACGGGAGGTCAATGATTTGAACTTAAGTTTCAACTCTGTTAAACTCAAGATTACAAACTTTGAGCTCCAAAACTTTTATGAAGGAAAAGAAGATAAACGACGTAATTTTATTTGTATAGATTTTTTTGAGAGTTATATGTGAAACCAATTTTTGCACCCAAAATTCCGATTGCGGGTGCAAACTATGGACACAATCAATTTTTATATTGTAGCACTAGACAAAAATGCAGAAATGGCTAGCATTTACCATTAAATAGATTTCAAATTGAGGTATTTGGAATAGCATAGGTTCTACTTGGTGATTTAGGATCATGGGTTTATACACCTTTTGGCTTTTGCAGAAAAATCTACAAGGGTCGCCCTTATTGTGTACAAAGAGTGTACGTAATTTACGGGACGGGCTCAAATACTGATAACATGAAATCGGAAAATAATGTCCGAAATCTGAGATATCTTTGCCGAAACATTTCACACTTGTTTTAGGGCTGGTTTTTAAGAGACATGAGGTCGGCGAATACAATGAGGCTTCAACAAACTTAACATGAACGCAAGTTCCTATTGCAAGGTAGACAAATTATTGTGATATAAAACAAATATGAAGTACGTTGTAAACTTAAAGCTAAGCTGAGATATTTAATAACGGGTTTTTACGGTTATGGCCTTTTATAGATTTTACCTCTTTTGCGAATTCACATTAAAATGATCCATCTTCAAGCCTGGAGCAAGGTAACGTTTGGTATTACTCGAAACATTGTTACTAATACATTGATAGATCTTTATATTCAAGCTACATGAGTGACAAAAAGTGCATTGACATAGTGTACAGTTGCGAGAAATTTCCAGACGAGTTTTTATTCACCACTTGTAATTTGTTTACGTTAAAGAGTCCTACATTGCGCTTCGGATTCACGGGTATGTTTCTTCATGGCATTTTCAATTGCAACAAAAAAGCGTAACTCTTTTAGGGGCCTTTGCTGCTTTTGTTTATTTGGGGTTTTATGAAACATAGTATATTAATGGGTTATTGTGATCTTAGTCTTTAATGGTTTTCTTAGTTTCAAATGTAACACGTGTGTTTTAATAATATTCTGATCAGATGAATAGACAGTTTACTTATTAGTTTATCATTGTATAAGGTTGAAATAGCGGGGGCTTTATGATGTGAAGATTTGCGACTACCCGAAGCAGTTTATATTTTTATAAATTATTGTACTTATTTTGAATTTTTCTGTTTTAATCATTTCTGTAACATGAATAATTAAAGATATACTATGCAGTTTAGGTGTATCAAACTTAATTCTTTACTCCTGTACAATAACATGGATATATATACGCTAAATACTTACACAGGGGAAAATGGTCTTCAGTACACTGTCTTTTGAGGTGACTTTAACATCGATCACGTACTTAATCACGTGATCTAGATTATAGAGGATTATTATGCGAAACATTCTGTAATCATTGAATAATAAATCTGAAAAAGATCATATTACAGACCAAATAATCATAAATACAATAAGATTAGTACAGAATTATAAATAAAATTATACAGCTTCACTATTAACTTATAGAAACCACTAATTGTACAACTGAAGTACAGTCTTTTGTTAGGGTCTCCATGGCTTCAAAATTAAGCTGCAACTTCTATCTTCAGTTTTGATTCTTTGTGGCATTTCCACTGCGCTACATAGAGTTCAAATCAAGCTTGCTTAATATTGCCTTAAAATTCAGATTCCTTTAGTATTTCCACGAGCCCTCTAATTCATCATATCTCCGTCTTGCAGTCGCTCTTCTCTTATTAGAAGCCTCATCGTTTTCTAATCTCATATTCTCACGTTTCAATCTTCTGATATTTCTTTCGCGTTCAATTTCACGCTTTTCAATTTCTTCCGCTGTCAATATCTCAACAATAGGTTGCCAGAGATCATTACCATTATGTATACTGTTTTCAGTTCTAATACGGATGCCACATTCAAAAATTAGGCCTGCTAATTGCTGATACTTTTGTAACTCATGGTTGTAGGATCCTTCACATATCTCTCTCTTCAAACGTAATAACACTTCATGGAGGGAGTGCAGTATAGCTGGCTTAAACTCCAACGACAATCCCAAATCACCCACAACAATATCCGCAAAAGTGTCAGGAGTGATTTCCGTTTGTGCTAAATCCCATTCAAATCTATCTTGATAAAGTTTCTTATTCAAATTAACAGACAAATCAATTATAATGTGATACTCCATCGTTGAAGGTAACTGCAAACTAGATGCGTAATTATATTCTTCAATTTGCTTGCTTATGGTGTCAGTTATTTCCAGATGTAAGTTTGCTGGTAGTTCCAAATCGGTACATAGTATGGAAGCAAACTGTTCGGGGGTAATCAATGTTTCATTTAAGTTCCACATGAAGAAGTCGACTAACTTGGAGTTTCCATTGTTATACTCCAAGTTAAGCCGTATAGGAATCAATATATCTGGAGCATTACCACGATGAGCCAACTCTTGAATTTTCGTCTCCATTTCAAGCTGAGGAATGCGGGGTGTGCCTCGTGCTGGGCGTAATGAGTACTTCTGAGTAGCATTAACTGGCATCCCATTGCCATTGTATCTCGCAGAATTATTCCCAAACATATTCCCAGACAAACCACCAAAGTCAATACTTCCTTCAGGAACAAACTCTTCATCGATATCATCATTGTAATCGAGCTCAGCATAGTTAACTTGAGCATGTCTTCTAGCTGTTCGCACAACCGGTGTAGTGTTAATCAAAAGTCCATTCTCAGATCCCTCCTTCGTAAGTCTGCTATAAAGACCACTTGACAACGCCTGTGGGTTAAAGACTCTCAGCATATTGTGTTTTGTTTTGTTTGATATACTGTTAGTTTGTTTGTTTTGTTAGTTGACTGATGAGTTTCTCAAAAAGCGTATACTTTTTTCAGCATCGAAAGTTTGAAATGTTCGCTCACCAAAAGCTGCACAAAAACACGACCGTTGTGGACTTTCTTTGTTAGTGAGTTGAAGTTCACTACACCACTGTAACTTATGAATGAAGCCAACAATGAGCTCAGCTAGCGTCCTTGAGGACTACCTAGTAGATGGGAATGAAATGGAGTCCGTCATTTCACGTGAGCAGCTTAGGACTTTCTTGCCAGCTGAAGTGGACGACGACATGTTGGATGCCTTGTATCTGGAGTTGGTAGACACCAGACAAGGAGTGTTAAGGCAGATATCTGAGAACATTAGACAAAACTTTGATGCTTCAAAAGCATCCAATTCTCTTAGTACCTCGGCTATTGCTAGAGAAACAGTCGCTACCGTGGTCTCCAATCTAGAGAGAGCAAAGAATGTAGTTGAGGCTCAAGTCTCTTATATCCAAGATGGAATCGATAGTGAATTGTCCATGCTTCGTCAATTGGCAAGCGACATTGGTGATAATTCTGTTGATTTGAGTAAGGATAAAAAGTTCTATCAATCTATAATCGACTTAGAGCATTTTCTTGATGATACTAAAAATAATACATGATTGAGTAATATGATGACGCTAGACATTGACTCCGAGAATAGGATCAATGTGATTGTATTCATCACCGATCCATTTCCAGATCTGAAATTTCCAGTTTAGACCATCCCTATCCCCAAGCTGATAATGGCTTGCGAGACCTCCACACAGAGGTGAATCTTTGATATACACTAGTCTATCTATTCTTGAGTGAACGAGAGCCATACAACACATTACACAAGGTTCATGGGTGGTATATACCACCATATTCAGACATAAATACTGATTTATGGTCTTGCAGGAAGTTTCTGTTTCTCGTCGTTGTATTTCGGCATCAGCAACTGCTTTTATTGCATTCATGACGGAATGGCTTAAAGGATGAGTTTGACGATTGTCCTCTGCAACATGCAACATCTTCATCATTCCATCCTTTGTCTCTCGGGCTATCATTGTGACGCTTCTGACTATGGCGGGACTTTTGTTGTTGATTAAACGGTAGGAATCAAGCAATTGAGTAATCATTTGCCTTTCCATTTGGGGGTCCAAATTTAATGATTTGAGGAATTGATGATTTGGATTGCCCTTCCATGCCATTGGCCAGAACTTATCACTCCATTTGATAGCCATTTCCTTAGATTTTGGCAATGCACAAGGGATATCTAATTCTTCTAGGGTGAATAATGCACTTGATTTAAATAAAGCTGTTAAATCAGCATTGATGTCCTCCTGGGATTTGTAATCTGTAGGACAAATAACTGCTCTAAGTTTAGTATGATCTGAACTGAGTTTCTGGAACCGTTTTATACTGGGGAACTTATCATGGGGGAAGCTCTTTAAATAATTGACCATCATTTTGGTTTGGTTTGCTGGAAAAGTTGTCACATGGCATTTCAAAAGAAGAGGGTTTTCTTCTTCGACGTCTTGTTTGACGTATCTGATTTGTCTAAGAACTCCATGCAAAGTACACGTATCGAAATCTATATGACTGTCATTTCCCATTGCAATGAGTTGCGTGGTGTTCCTCCTTTGGGGCACTTGTGGGGTGTGACTTTTTATTTTTCAAAAGTTCCGCGTTCGCATCGCACCAATACATTGGACCAAAAGGTTGGAACAGAAACTTTAATAGTGGGAACTGGAGAGTTTGCTCCTATCAACGGCGCTTTCAGCATAAATTTAGGTGTAGGTTTTGTGAAATCCCAGCAATGTATTAGCGTATGGATGTCCAATCATCAACGACTATCAAATGTATACCGGACAGGGAAGTCCAAGTTGACATTGAAAACGGAGTATCTTTGAAGCAGTTTCTTAGACAAAAACTCCCACAAGTCTCAAACATAATTGAAGACATTCTGGAGTATCTATCAGTGATTAACCAAGTCCATGTTGTGGGAGAAGTTGACCTCGAAAGAGCAGTACCAGCATCGTTTAGTCCAAGAACCAATTATGGCTGTTTCATCCAAGACTTGATACAATGGTTGTATAGTAATAAGCAACCCAATGTTCTCACCAACGGCTACAAAGATTCCGATAGTGGGTTCAACAATACCTTTGGAAGCTTTCAGGAAAACTATATACAATCCAAGGGTTTCCATCAAGTTTATGAGTTCATAGGACCAAAGCTGTTCTTCAACCTTGTTGTGTATGGTCATGGTTTCGTACTCGCAGACACAGGGTTTACCCAGGTGTTCGGACCTTTTCATGCAACCTGGCTGTTCAGCAATCGAGTCAGGTATGGGAAGCATTTACCTTGTTTACACTATTGGAGTTCTGTCACTGTACGCGACAATCTAGAGTTGTTCAGGGGTATGACTCTGGAGAAACTTACGTGTAGAATATTTGAGTTACGGTCGGCCAAAATTCCCCGATCATTGCGTCCATTCAGAAGAATAGCAGGTAAGATTCTTGTCAATGATAAGAAGCTTGCCTACGGCTCAATAGTGCAGCATTTCAGTGTGGTGGACAGTGCAAAGGAGGGTAACTTCTCATACGCATATTCGCAAGCCAATCTTGTCAAATGTATCATTGTGGTTATCGACAAACTCATTCCAAAAGAGACATGGGGGTGCTGCGAGAATAGAGCGAATGTGTTGACAAAAATAAGAGAGATCATAGAACTGAATCAACCTCATGTTTATGTCAATGGGAACGAATTGAACCTCAAAATAAGTTTCAAATCGTGGTTCGGAAAGTCCCATACCACAACGTCTAAACAAGATTTCCACTCCAGAAATGCCATTCTAACTTCCCTTGTCACCTGGATACTTAACTTTGCACTCCCGCTAATCATCCGTTCGCTCTGGCATGTCACGGAAGTGTCGCACTCCAACGAGCTTTTGTATTTCCCGCAGCACCTTTGGTCAACAATAACGTCTTCTTGGATTCAAAGCTACATCGACACGAATTTAGTGGCTGTGGCCAAGTCGGCTCTACAGGCTCCAACAAGAAAGAAGTTTGTGTACGGATACTTCAGGCTACTCCCAAAGATTAGTGATTTCCGATTGATATGCATACCGGTGAAACTGGCTGATATTCCTGGTAAAAACTGTACGCGGACTACTACTTCCAAGCCCTCTATGGAGTACCAGATGCATTATTCCAACTATGTGAACCCGATATTGAAGGTTTTAGATTTCAAATCCAGTATGCATTTCAACCATCGCCGTTGTCGTTCTCTGACAGATGTCGCGAGACACATACGTAGATATGCTATAACAACAACAGCATCATCTTCTTCATACCATTTTGTTAAGTTTGATATGAAACAATGCTACGACAGACTTGACCAACAAAAAATTCTACAATGTGTGGAGAGGATCTTTGACTGCGATAATACTTGCAAGAACTATTACGTTCGACAGTATACACAGCTCTCAAAGAAATTGAAAGTAAGAAAAGTCTATTTCAATGTCTATGAAGACTTAACGTCAATGGCCTTGGAAAGTTCAAGTACAAATACCAGTTTCCATAAATGCCCTACCATTGACCGGTGCAAGACTTACAAAATATCAAAGGAAGACATAATGGATGTAGTCTCATCCCAGGTTCTCGAATCTATTTGCTATATACCCCATTTGGATTCTTACTATAGAAGGAAACAAGGCATCTTCCAAGGGTTCCCTCTTCTGGCGACACTATGCGACATTGTATATTGTACAATGATGGAAGATAAGTTTGCATTTGCGCTTTCAGATCCTCAAACCACCATGCTACGAATAGCAGACGATTTTCTTCTAATAACTACATGCCCAAACATATACCATACATGTCTTGAAGTCATTAATGGACTGGCATTGACTGAATATGGTGCACTCACAAACCTGGAAAAGACTGTTACAATTAAGCCTAATAGTCACGTGACCGAGTTGCAATTTGTGGGGTTGGCTATCAATACCAAGACGCTCCAGATTAAAGTAGACTGCGGTGCTCCGATCTCCTTAAAGGGATTACATAACTTCACTGTGGCCGCTAAGATACTACGTGCACGGTTTAAATCGGGACTATCTGGCTTCTATTTGGATCAGACGTTAATGTCGTCAGAATCGGTCATACACTACTTGGGTGCATTGTTAGATAGTATTATTCAACCTCTAATCAAGGAATCATCACAGTTTAAAACTTCTTTAACAGCCGACAGGTTACTGGGGTTTATATTCGAACTTCTCCATGAAACATTACAGTCATTAGAAGTTATCAACCAAGGATGTTTCCACATGGTCGAGGAGGTCGTGGACTTATTTATTAAGGCAATCTACCCACTCAAATCTAGTGTGAATATTTCACCATTAGTAACTTTACTTAACAGTCTATAAGCAAACAAGTAAATTGTATTATATCACTCCAAAGGAGCTCTTTAGATTTTCACTGTCTTTCATTTGTCGAACACGTTCAAGTTCGTCTATTCCACCTGATTTCTTCAACCTACTATCGCCAACAAAAGTGCCTAACTCCTCTTGAAACTCACTAAGTGAGCTTAACTCCTTCTGTTTCTCTCTCAACTTCTCGGCCTTCTCAATTGCTTGAACCCGACTCTGGTGATTAGGCCTTAAAGCAGTCACTTCCTCCAATACTGCTTCCTTTATATCCTCAATCACTTCTCCTGGCTCCGGGATATATGTAAGGAATGGTTTCCTTTTTGATGTTCCAACTTTGTTCTGTTCTATAGAACAACGCTGAATCAAATCAAATGTCTCTTCAATCTTCTTGATATCATCGTCCAAATCATTAGTCAAAGCTTCTTGTAAGTTGAAAAATTGTTGCTCTTCACAAACTTTGTCTAATTCACGTTCCCATATTCTCTTCCAATTGTCCTTTTCATCTAAAATATAACTGTTCATCTTGTCCAACATCAATCTGACTTGGTCAATTTCCTTTTCTGTGCTTGTCAATTGGCGTTCACTGACTCTCACACCGCGTTGGGCAACATCCTTCCTCATTGCATCCATTAAATCTTGTAAATCATCAACTCGGGTCAATAGGTTGTCTGACGTATCCGACAATTTGGCATAGCATGTTTCAATGTATGCTCTATTTGATGATTTAGATGCAGCAAGTCCTTGATCCTTTAGCTTCTTCACAGATTCTATAATATCCAAAAGTGAATTCTTCATAGAATCCGAATTTGAGTTTTGAAGTTGTCTTACAACTTTAATATCTTGCTCAATTGATCTGAGCTCCTTGGAATGCTCTGAAAACAGCAGGACTAGTTTTAGATTCTTGTTATTTTCCAGTGTGGTACTTGAGGCGTGGACATCTGAAGAGACAGGTTGTGGTTGTGGTGTAATATTGATTCTGTTAATTGAGTCATTCAACTTAACCACAATATCTTTACCAACAGACTCGAATTTTAAAGCTAAACCTTCAATTTTACCATCAAGACTCTTGATAGCTTCTTGCAGAGGGTCTGGAATATTTAGACTCAACAAACTTCCATCTTTCACATCAACTTCTAATAAATGCTCTTCCAATTCATATGCAATGCCCGTTGATGGGTCCAGGATGTAAATCTCTGGAAAGGTAGACGTACCTGGTGAATATGCAAATCGTTCCACGAACAAAAGACGCAACGCGGCAAAGGAAACTGGTAACCTGATCACCACTTTCTTGACTTTGTTGTGGATCTTAAGGAATATGACACAGGAATCTAGAGAGGTGTTTTCAGGCTGAGCTTGAGGATGTGAAATCTCAAGCTTTGGGCTTTGAAGATAAGTAGATGCGTTCGTATAGTCGTCTTCAAAGGAGGTTTCTGCTATTTCACTGGGAGTGTGGTTAGATAGTTTAGCATATTGATAGGCACTGTATCTCTTTGAAGCTCTCCGTTGTAGGAAGTTACCCTTTTGCAATTGTGATAAAGCTTCTGCTGCGTTAGCATTAACTGCAGTAGGTCCCACGTTAATCTCCGGTACTGGTTTGGAAGCACTAATAGGAGATTTGGCAGGGGAAGAGCGAGTTCCGGTAGGCGCAGCAGATGCAGCACCACCACCAGGTAATCTGTGACTACTTAAAGAGTTCTCGTTACTGCTAGCACTTGCAATGGAAGATGCTGAAGTATGACCACTACCACCAGCATCGTGTGGACGCAAAGATTCCAGTCTTCGCTTTCCAGAACTCAACTTGAAGTCTAGACTGCTCTTTCTTTGATGGGAAGTAGTAGTATTGGTATTGTTGCTGATAGCCATTTCTCGGGCTCGTGATTGTTTCTGTTTCAAATTCTGAAGTAGCGTGACAATTATGTTACGGATGCTGGGCAAGAATCTATCGAGATTCTCTTGACTTGGTGCCTCGCCTAATGCTGCCTCGAGGATCTCCCTTAGTTGTTGGGGAACATTGCCTAAATCAGAAACATCGATTCCAGCACCAGTGAATGCCTTGGAAGCACTACGGAAGTCGTTCCCCAACTTGACATAAGCATCCGATACAAACTTATCGTCGGACTCCTGACGTGCCCACAGTGTTAGACTCTCGAGTAAATGTTTTGTTGATACTAATAATCTAGTCACACTTGATTCAATGGTAGCCAATGAACCTCCTCCACTGCCCCTGTCTCTGTGCACATTTGTGGTGCCCATGCTACTGCTTCTGTTGTGCGCATTAATAGTGCTGCTAGGGTTGCTAGCACTCTCTTCACTGTGACTAGCGGACCGTATAAACTGGCGGGCTTCGTTCGGCAGCAGAGACATACCGTTAAAGACACTCTTAGTGGGACTAAAACAATGTGTACACACTTTATTATTTTGTATTGACGTTTTAGAGTGCTAGGAATCGTTTTAAATGTGTGGTAGCGCGGGACGCCCAAGACACCCTTACACCGGAATGAAAATAGAAAAGTTGTCTTCTTACAGTATTAACTACTATTAAGTTGCATGTGATAGATCTCTATATAGAAGGGTGTGAGTATTGGTTATTTACGAAAACCATGCCCCAACAATCTCTTGTGGGTACTTGTTCAATAATCCTCTGGCAGCATCAACAGGAAGAGTTCCCAAAAGACCACGAGTAGCAGTGGCTACCTTTTTAGCAGTTGCACCACCAATATAACTGTTGGTCAAAGCCTGCATAACCGCATCAACAATCACAGGGACTTGGGAGATGATAGTAGGATGGTTTGATTCGATTAAATGACTCAAGTAAGCGTAAGCAAAGGTGGCAGCTTCCTCATCGATAGTCACTGGAAGTAAAATGATCCATTGTTGAATCAATGTATCCAAGTTGGGAATGGTAGGACCGTATGAATGAAAGATTTTGGCAATGGCTGCTATAGCATTGTCAGTAGCATATTCATTATCATCAGCACGAGCATCGAGAATGGAGGCCATCTTGAACATAGGCTCTAAGCATGCCAAGCAAAAGCTTTGGTATTCTGCAAGCCCTTGTTGAGCAGCAACACCTACAGAATAAGTGGCCGCTTGTCTGATATTAGCATGAGGAGAAAGCAAACTTTCTCCAAGTACATTGACGAAAAGATCTTTGTATTTGTAACTTCCAGGTCCACAATAAGCCAACAAATCAGCAATCACACTCAACCCACACATCTTGATGTTCGTGTTTTCATCGTTTAAGAATGTACCAGTGACGTTTATGAAACTTGGGAATACGTTCAAGAACCTGGCTTTGGAAGACTTGATTAACTCTGTTAGGGTTTTGCTAATCTCATCAAGCAAGTCTTCATATGAACATTCCCCATCATCTTCTTCGACATCTTCTGTATATTCATCATCTTCGTTCTCACGGTCTTTGATGCCCTCAAAGGTCTTTTCCATGTTGGAAGCAATTGCTCCTGCAAAGGTTTGTAATTGTTCGTCATCAAAACAATCCTGGTCCATTTGCACTATGCAATCAGCTAAGGCAGAATAGTGTGCAACCAAAAGTTCGGGAACAGGTTCTTCCTTTAATGCTTCAATCAACTTCTTGGAGATTTGAGACCACAATTCGTACGTTTCGTTAGCCTTGTTACCAACAGCAGAAACTTGACATTTAAGCAAGGAAGCTAACGTTAATGCAGCAGAAGCACGCACACCATCGTGCAAATAGAAATCAAGGGCTGGAATAGCGATTTCTCGGGCAATTTCCTTGACATAAGGGTAGAAATCACCCTTCAACTTTTCAGCATATGTTCTCAATAATTCAATGGCACTCACCTTCAAGTCCAACAAGGCAGTGTTGACAGCAATGATTTTCCCATCAAGATTGATAACTTCCCATTCGTCATCGTTATAAAACTCTTCTGCTTCGTCTTCTTCAAGGAATGAAATGTCCTGGGTGGCTCTAGCTTCAGATATTAAAGGTGGAAGGACTGTTGGTAATAAGGGTAAGAAATCAGATCCAATAATACTACAAATTCTGCTCCAACCTTGTTCCAAATATGATTTAACTGGATCGTCATCTTCAGTAGCAGTAGCTTGTAAATTGATAAACAATTGAATCAAATCCTGGGAGTTGGGAGCAAACTTCTCCTTACCCACAGCACGGGCAATTAAAGTGGCACATTCAATACACTTGGCTTGAAGCATTCTGTTGTCCATTCCAAGATCTCCTCTTAAGCATTCTGTAACCAATGGCATCAAAGTATCGTAGTATTTTATAAACTTTTGATCAGCCGCCCCAGCAGTAAAGGCAATTGTAGTCAACACTTGTTCGTGAACATATCTCTTGGGGGAGTTTTGTAATAAACCTAATAAATTACTCAACAAAGTATCCAAATAAGGATCCAAAGTATCACTTTTAGATGTGTTATAGATGGCAGCAGCTTCAGAAAAGTTAACCAAGGCAGCAGCAGCATGAGACTGGACACGGGGAACAGAAGCTTGAGTCAATTTAGAGATCAAAGCAGGCAATATCTTATCACCCAAATTCTTTTGAATTTCGTAGGCAAAGTCGGTAGACAATTGACCAAGTGCATTACAACAGGCATACTGAACTCTTGGATGAACATCATCAATACTGGGTAACACCAAGTCTATGATTTTAGGAATTTCAGGTGTCAAGACATCAGCACAACCTTCAGCAGCAGACGAAATAGCCATTAAGGCAGCCTGACGTTCTCTCCATTCACTTGATTGCAACATAGTGGGTAAATATTGAAACAAGGGTCCAGCCAAAGTGTTACCGTTCAATTTCAACGAAACACGATCCAAGGCTTGCTTTGCAGCTTGATATTCTTCCTCTTCGTCTTCGTCTTCGACATCATCACTGTTGTTCCATTCTGCGGCATCGTCATCATCAATACAAACTTCAGTCATCAAGGATAATGTCACGAGAACCATGGATTCAGCATAACTTGAAGTTTTCTTACACATTGCAGGTGATACTTCAGAAAAAGTGGTCAACAATTCCAAGGCAGATAAACGTGCTTTGCTATTCAATTCCTTATTCTTAGCAACTGTGGAACAGAATTCAATAACTGTAGGGAAAGCATCCTTGAAAGTTTTGGGAGCCAATTCAACCAATTCAAGCAAATATTCCAAAACAGAAGCCAAGGCTTCATCTTGACCGGTTTCAAGGAATCTTGGTAAAGAGTTTAACAAGTTAGGCAACAAAGGTAACAAATTTTGCCAAGCTGGCTTGTCTGAGTTTTTGAAAAACTCTACAAAGGCAGAAGATGCAGCAATACGAACATCATCATTAGAATCTTCAAACCCTCCTCTAAACAAGTTTAATACTTCTTCAGGGTTAGCACCACTCAAAATTTCAGGCGCAGCAGAGAACACTCTGAAAGCAGAATCACGGAAACTTGAATCTGAATTTCTACTTGCTTCAAAGATGTTAGGAAGTAAATCTGGCCATGTACCTTGAGGAGATGCATCTTCCTTTGCAACTTCGGAAATAGCATCTGCCAACTTGTGTCTAACAAATGGAGATTGAGGAGCAACGAAACCCAGAAGCAAAACTAATCTAATGTTAACTCTAGTTTGTTCGTCGACGGTTCCAATGACTCTATCAGTGATTTTATTGATATCTTTTGGAGATTTGATAGCTATACGTCTGAATAACACAGAGCCAAATGCTTTAACACCATCACTTTCCCCAAAGGCGGCCTTTTGAGCCAAGAATAACAAAAAAGTCCCTACATTTTCATTCAACATCCATTTGGATTCAAGTTCTGCTTCAGCTCTGGCACGTTGCTCGTTCAGATGCAACTGCAAAGCAGCAAACAAGGCAGACAATTCTTCTTCTACTGCCGACATAATAATAATAAAAAGTGTCTATAGTCGTATCACGTCTTCTTTCTCTCCTAGTGGCGTTGGCAGATCAAAAACAGGTTGAGATGAGATGCTGAATAAACGCCGATATTCACCAAACAGCAACGTACTCGAGACCTTTCAAACACAACAAAAGTCACAAACAATTGCCCAGTATTTCACAGATGTCTCCGGCAACGTCTCACGACAGATAATCGTAACAGTACACTTTTGGTTATAGGTTAAAAAACAAAGAGAGTTTGGTGTCTAAACACAGATTTATTTTTCATAGTAATTTTCCCCATTGGCCTTCTGTAATCAAGTGCACTATAGGATTATGTAATCATGTCACGTGATGAAGAAAGTATATATATCGACATTATATCCTATGAAATACAGAAATTTATACTTATTAGACCGTATTTATACCAATTGTAGTACCATCACTTCTTCAAGATGGTAATGACATCTTCGTCATTCAAACGATGGGTTAACCCCACCACTTGCGGCAGATGCTTCACACTGGTACCATATACCAATGCACTCCGGAAATCGTCAACCAAAGACTTGTGAATAGAGTTACAGAAATCTTCTACAGTGCATCTGTCACTTCTCAAAACGACTGGCTCATTAAAGTCAGGCAACTTCCCCTTTGGCTTGGTGTAAACTCTGGCCAAGTTCAACTTCTTCCACATCATTTCTAATAAATCATCTAAATTCCAACCATTACCAGATGAGATAGGCACCGCGTCAGGAATTCTATTCAATAAATCCAACTCCTCAATAGAGAAAGAATCGATCTTGTTCAACACATATACAGCAGGAATGTACTTTCTGTTTTTGGCTTCAATGGCATCAATCAAATCATCAACTGTAGGATCACACCGGATAGAAATGTTAGCAGAATTGATTCTATATTCAGACATCACAGCTCTGATTTCATCATTATCCAAGTGTGTCAAGGGAGCGGTGGTTGTAACGTTGATACCACCTCTTTCCTTCTTTTGAATGATGATATTTGGAGGTACCTTGTTGATACGTATTCCCATACCTTCAAGTTCATGTTCGATGATCTTCTTGTGTTGTAAAGGCTTGTTGACATCAAGAACTAAAAAGAGTAAGTTGACAGAACGGGCAACAGCAATGACTTGTTTACCTCTACCTTTCCCATCTTTGGCACCTTCAATGATACCAGGCAAATCCAACATTTGAATCTTTGCACCTTTATATTTGATCACACCTGGAACAGTAGTTAACGTAGTAAACTCATATGCAGCTGCTTCTGAATGTGTACCTGTCAACTTACTTAAAAGAGTACTCTTCCCTACTGATGGGAATCCAACAAACCCAATGGTGGCTACACCAGTACGGGCTACATCAAATCCTACTCCGCCACCTCCACCACCAGAACCACCATCAGACAATAATTCACGTCTTAACTTGGCTAATTTGGCTTTAAGCTGCCCCAAATGGAACGAGGTAGCCTTGTTCTTTTGCGTCTTGGCCATCTCATCTTCGATGGCCTTGATCTTCTCCACTGTAGTCATCTTGAGACGATTGCAATTATTTCCGCTGTAAAAATGTAAGTAGAGCGCAAAGAAATCGTTACTCTTCCACTATAGCACTATAGGAAAACACTAAAGGGTACTACCTATCTTATAGTAACTGTAATCGTAAGTGTTAACTGTAGCAGTGTGAGACTTCTTCGATGATATAAAGTTTGTAGTCACGTGATTTGGCCCGTGAATTTGGAATGAAAAATTTTCAGTAAGAAACTTGATCTAGGTTTCAACTTTATAGTAGCAAACAAGTCAGTCTCGAAAGTAATATTAGAGACCTGCAATCATGGCGAAGAAAGGAAAGAAGGATGGAAAGTCCGGAGGAGACTTTTGGGACGAAGAAGAGTATGTTACTCCTGAAGCCGAGACTTTAGGAGAACTGCCTGTTGAAGCTTCAACAGGTGATGAACCTTCAGTTGAAGTTGAAGGTGAAACTTCAGAAGAAGGACTGGCATCAGCCTCTGCTGACTTCTTGAGTTCAATTCGTCAATCTAAGAAGAATAAGGAAGCCAAAGAAGAAGCTAAGAAGACAGATGATGGTCCAAAGCTCTTGTCTAAAAAGGAAAAAGAAAAGTTGAAGAAGGAAGCAGAGAAGCAAAAGAAGAAGGAAGCCGCTGCAAAGAAGAAGCAACAGCAAGCCGATAAGAAGGAGCAAATAAAGGAAGCAAATAAAGCAAATGCGGAAGCTGCTAAGTCATCTACTCCTGAACCAGAAGGAGATGAATCCAAACCAAAGCCTGCTGCAAAGAAGGGAGGTAAGAAGGTCCCAGCAGGTCTTGCTGCTTTGAAGCGTCAAATGGAGTTGAAAAAACAATTGGAAGAAGAACAACGTCGTTTGGAAGAAGAAGAGCAAAAACGTATTGAAGAAGAAGAAAAGGCTGCTGCTGAAGAAGAAGCTGAAAAGGAAGCCGCTAGAGCAGCCAAGAAGGAAAAGGACAGGTTAAAGAAAGAGCAATTGAAGGCCGAAGGTAAATATATGACCAAGAAGCAAAAGGACCAAAAGAAATTGCAAGAAGCTCGTCGTCAAGCCTTACTTTCAGCATCTGGAATTACAGTTGCTGCTTTCCAAAAGGATGCTTCTGAAACTGTTGACAAGCCTAAAAGAGTAATTTATGGTAAGAAGAAGTCCTCTAAACCAAAGACCGTTGTTCAAAATTCACAAGTCAAAGAAGAAAAGAAGGTTGAGGAAACTAAAACTGAAGACGATGAAGAAGAAACCTTATTAAACAACTGGGAAACTGCTTTGGATGACGAAGAACCTGTTGTTGAAAGTTGGGAAGCTGCTTTGGACGAAGATGAAGGCGAAGAGGATGCCAAGGCTGAAGACCAAGAAGAAGACTCTAAAGCTGCTGAAGAAGAAGCCCAAAGAAAGGCTGCTGAAGAAGCCCAAAGAAAGGCTGCTGAAGAAGAAGCCCAAAGAAAAGCGGCCGCTGAAGAAGAAGCTAAGAGAAAGGCTGAGGAAGAACGTAAAAAGGACTTGGCTTCTAAGAGTGTTGCCAAATCTGCAACTCCTGCTCCACAAGAAAAGGAAATGCGTTCACCTATCTGTGTTATCTTGGGGCATGTCGATACTGGTAAGACCAAGTTATTGGATAAGATTCGTCAAACAAACGTCCAAGGTGGTGAAGCTGGTGGTATCACTCAACAAATTGGTGCTACTTATTTCCCCATTGATGCTCTTAAGCTGAAGACTGACGTTATGTCTAAGTTTGAAAAGCAAACTTTCGATGTTCCTGGTTTATTAGTCATTGACACTCCAGGTCACGAGTCCTTTACTAACTTGAGATCTCGTGGTTCTTCTTTATGTAATATTGCCATTTTGGTTGTCGATATTATGCATGGTTTAGAACCACAAACCATCGAATCAATCAGATTGTTGAGAGACAGAAAGGCACCATTCATTGTTGCATTGAACAAGATTGATAGATTATATGACTGGCAAACTACCCCCAACAACTCTTTCCGTGATTCTTTTGCTAAGCAATCCAGTTCTGTCCAAGGTGAATTCAAACAAAGATATGAACAAATTAAACTTGCGCTTTCTGAACAAGGTTTGAACTCTGAGTTGTATTTCCAAAACAAGAACATGGCCAAATATGTTTCAATTGTTCCTACTTCAGCAGTTACCGGTGAAGGTGTTCCAGATTTGTTGTGGTTGTTATTGGAGTTGACCCAAAAGAGAATGTCCAAGCAATTGATGTACTTGTCCAAGGTTGAAGCCACTATTTTGGAAGTCAAGGTTGTTGAGGGTTTCGGTTACACTATCGATGTTGTGTTATCTAATGGTGTCTTGAAGGAAGGTGATCGTGTTGTGTTGTGTGGGTTGAATGGTCCTATTGCCACCAATATCAGAGCATTATTGACTCCTCCACCAGCTAAAGAATTGCGTATTAAATCTGAATATGTTCACCATAAGCAAGTTAAGGCTGCTTTGGGTGTTAAGATTGCTGCCAACGATTTGGAGAAGGCAGTTGCTGGTTCTCGTTTGGTTGTTGTTGGTGAAGATGACGACGAAGAAGAAATCATGGACGATATTATGGAAGATTTGACTGGTTTATTGGACTCAGTTGACTCATCCGGTAAGGGTGTCGTTGTTCAAGCATCAACTTTGGGTTCTTTAGAAGCCTTGCTTGATTTCTTGAAGGACATGAAGATTCCTGTTATGTCTATCGGGTTAGGTCCAGTTTACAAGAGAGATATAATGAAGGCTGCTCCTATGTTGGAGAAGGCTCCAGAATTTGCTGTCATGTTATGTTTCGATGTTAAGATCGACAAAGAAGCTGAACAATATGCCGAAGAACAAAAGATCAAGATCTTCAATGCTGATATTATTTATCACTTGTTTGATCAATTTACTGCTTATCAATCTCAATTGATGGAGAAGCGTCGTCAAGACTTTTTGGAATACGCCATTTTCCCAACTGTATTGAAGACCATTCAAATCATTAACAAACGTAACCCTATGATTATTGGTGTTGATGTTATGGAAGGTACAGTCAAGATAGGTACACCTATTTGTGCAGTAAGAAGAGATCCAGCTACAGGTGCAGCCAACATTATTGTTTTGGGTAAAGTTGTCTCTTTGGAAGTTAACCATAAGAGTTCTGAATCTGTCAAGAAGGGTCAAACCAATGCTGGTGTTGCCATGAGATTAGAAAACCCATCATCCGCCCAACCTACTTGGGGTCGTCATGTTGATGAGTCAGATTTGCTCTACTCATTGATTTCCCGTAGGTCGATCGACACCTTGAAGGACCCTGCATTCCGTGATTCTGTTTCCAGAGATGATTGGTTGTTGATCAAGAAGATGAAGCCCATCTTTGACATCAAATAAGCAAACGTGTTCTTAGTTAGTTTAGTTTGATGCGATCATCATTTGCTTGTGATCGGTCCCCAAAGCCATAAGAAATAAAGGTTTTTGTTACAGCGCATATTATATATATATATATACTGTTGGCTCTTGGTAGCCACAACCACCAGCCAGCTCTGGTTGACTCCAGTGTTTTGTTTATATGTTTTTTTTATACTCTTACTCTTAGTGCATCATTTAGTATACATTTGATTTCGGATTGGATTGCAAATAGATAGACTGCCCTTTACGGAAGTCTACATTTTCGTGCTTGTACCGAATAATTTTTTCTGTGGAAATTAACGAACATCTGATTGGATTCATTAAACATACCGTCGTTAACATTAGTAATAATAAACTGCAAAGTAGGAGACTCTAATATAAGCAGTCACAATGCAAGATTTACCACCTATCGGAGGCTATGAGCCTATTCAATGGAAAAGAAACCTTCCATCCAGAGGTTTCAGACCTCTTATCTATTTTTGGGGAATCACTGGTCTCATTGGCTTTGGATACTACAGATACTATCAAGGTGTATCTGAGCAAAGAGAATTGTCTAGAGAGAAGCAATGGGCTCGTATCTATTTGGAGCCATTGTTGACTGCGGAAGAAGACCGTAATATTGCTAGACGGTTCTTCTCAGAAAAGAAGAGACAAGAAATGGTGGCTGAATCAATGTCACCAGAAACCAGAGCCAAGTTCGAGGAGGAAATTTACAACGACAAGTCCAAGTTCCGTTTCGGAAAGTACAGTGCTGGTCTTGCACCATCTGATCGTTAGAAGTAGTTTTTTGTACAATAATTTGACCTAGCGATGGGTTTGCTAGGTCTTTATTACATCGGGATCCCAACTTGCATTACTTTCCTCCTCCTGCTCATTACATATGTATATATATACAGAAGAATATAACGTTAAATGAATTATGGCATTGTAGGCTGAATAATATTATTGTTACTTCATGTTGTTGTTTTGATGTTTGTCAACAGCTGCCTGAAGATGTAAATATTCAACATCAATACGCAACTACCACTAGTAATGAAGCTGAGTACAGTATAACTGATGTTTTTGATGTACACCTTTCAATTGTAGTAAGAACTGAAATTGTCTTTCTCCAGACCCTAACACCAGTAGGTGCTAGATATGCGCATAAGTTTCACCTTTTATTACTAAAACTTGCACCACAGCGAATTGACTGAGAAATCATTATGATAGAAGTCAGCTCGACACTTTCACATCTTTATCATATGAAAGTAAAGAAATGTACGTGTTCGAATATTTTAGACACAGGGAACATTATATACATTTGATAGTGAGAGATTGAATCTGGGAAAATCAATGTGCTTATAGAGAAAAGAAAAACAGAATCAGTTTCGGAAGAAAGGAAGTAACTAAGTACTGTAGATTTGCCCCAAAACACTTTGCGATTTCTTTGGTTGCTCAGCGTATTATTATTCGAAGTAAAAGAACGCCAAATGGTGGCTGAAGTTTACTTTGAGGTGGTTTGGGCAAACCATCAAAAACGGGGTTCACTTGACAGGGACACTTTGGATGACATCTGCATCTCAATGTAATTCTGAGGAAATTGCAATTTCACTCTCCTATCGGTGCTTCAAACAAGCTTGGATACTGATTCAAGTTGGCCTGCGTCGTACAGGATTCCACTTATGCACGGAAAACAGATTGTAAAGCATATTACGGAGATTGGATTAAAGCCATATCGGTATACCGTTCTAAAATAATACAAAAACAATCCACCCACAGTTAAACAATCTTGGAGGGCTTAGAAAAAGATAAACATTTTCTACGCTTTGTTCTAAAAACCGATTCGTACATTCTAAAATCCGGTTCATACATTGCACGTAATTTCATTTGTAACCTGTTTTCTTCAAAACAACTACAGTCATACAGTGCACAACTTCATACGTAAAGCTTATCTCCCGCAACAAGCAATACGCAATCCAGACTAATATGGTAAGGGTCCAGTCTGATACAAATCAATGTCATGCAGTCCACAAGTTAATGAACGCAGTTTGGGGCATATCTGGTACCAGAGTGCCTATACCAATTCTACCAAGTTATAATTTTAATCACGTGCATGACCTCAAAAAATACAACAAGCACGTGACAAATAACATAACTGAATATTCTCCGAAACATGATCAGGCGCTACCATCATACAAACTCATTATTAATTTAGTTAGTCAACCCACATTTATTATACTGTAACCATTTCCTTTCCCAGACCAATAGTACTATACCCAACATGACCATCAACTCTCAAAAGATCTCGAGTAGAGAACAGGCCGAGGCTATTCTTGATAAGTACGACTACTTTTTGTTCGACTGTGACGGTGTGTTATGGCTCGGAGATCACTTGTTGCCTCATGTTATCGAGACCATTGATCTTTTGCAAAGCAAAGGCAAGACAGTCCTTTTCGTTACCAACAACTCTACCAAATGTAGAGAAGAATATACCAAGAAGTTCCATAAACTAGGGTTTGGTTCTGTGACCAAGGAACAAATTGTTGGTAGTTCATATGCCACTGCAGTTTATATCGAAAAGATCATGAAGTTGCCCAAGGATAAGAAGATTTGGGTCTTGGGAGAGCGTGGTATTGAAATAGAGTTACAAGAAGCTGGGTATCAAACTTTGGGTGGAACTGACCCGGAATTAAATGTGGACTCCTTTGATCCGGAACATCCTTATTTCAATCTTGATGACGATGTAGGATGTGTGGTTGCTGGGTTGTTATTTCAAGTAAACTATTTGAAGCTATCGCTTACATTACAATACTTGTTGAAGGACAACAAAAGTATTCCATTCGTAGGTACCAACATTGATAGTACATTCCCTATGAAGGGCAAGTTATTAATGGGAGCTGGTTCTATTATTGAGAGTGTAGTATTTGCCAGTGGCAGACAACCAGACGCTGTTTGTGGTAAGCCTAACTCTGGTATGATGAACACCATTAAGGCTAAGAATGAGGGTTTGAAGGCCAATCCACTGAAAGGGTTAATGATTGGTGATAGATTGAACACGGACATGCTATTTGGACGTAATGGTGGATTGGATACATTATTGGTTTTAACAGGGATTGAACTGGAGCAACTGGTTTCTAAAGTTGAACAACAGCCTACTTATTATGCATCCAAGTTGGGTGTCATTTATGAATTGACACAATAATAGATTTGGTATAGATTAATAATAGATGTGGAGACTATACTACCGAAAGCAAAGCACATCTGTATAGCCTGTTAAAGTGTTTACTCCTTTTTTCCTATACATACAGTTGTTTGATGACGTAGCTCTTGTTCATAACGGTAGCACCACCACACTCTTCATACATGTATGTTTAATCATATAATGATCACCATTAAATAGCGGTAGCGCAGCACCCAACCAGCGGCCACCAACACGAAATTTTTATCTTTGTATCAAACGAAGGAGTAAACTTCTATACTATTAAGGATAAGTACCCATAGCTAATTGTACTGTGCTGTGCTAGTTTGGAACAAATCTAAGTTGCATGAACTGGAACCTTGTGTACAGTGAAAAATAGAGGGAAGCAAAATCAGTAGCTGACACACGTACATTATCAATATTATATCCTATTATTGTTTTCATTATTACTCTTAATTTTTACTATTATTATCAATTATCATTTATTGCAATTATTAATCACTACCACCACCATCATTACTACTAATACTGTTATCTATATATAAATATGCCCGAACAAAAGAAACAGAAATTACAAGACACTGGACTTGTTGAATGGTCGGTGTTCTCTGAGTTGGTTGCTATGGATGAAGACGAAGAAGGATTTTCAAAGAACTTGTTTGTTACCTTTGTTGACCAATTCAAAGAGACATTTGAGGAAATAGAGTACTTGGTACGTCAACGGTCAGATTTGGAAAAGCTATCTTCATTGGGGCACTATTTAAAGGGTTCTGCTGCGGCACTAGGCTTGAACACTATTTCTATTCAATGTGAAAGAATACAGAATTACGGTAAAATGGACAATTTTGACCATTTCGAATTATCCAAGGATCTGCAAGATGATACACCCATAAAAGACAAAGAAAATGAACAGGAAAAGGAGAAGGATGTCAAGTCAACAAATAAACAAGAAGAAACTCCTGACGACAAAGAAAAAGACAATGATGATCAAATTTGGTTCCTTTTAATTAAGGATGCATGCGAAAAGGCAAAAGACGGGTTCGAAAAGCTGAGGGCTGCATTAAACGACTACTTTGATGGAGGGTTGTGATTTAGAGCACAAGGTGAATAATAACTATTTGTGTGACATATGTCATTTTTTTGAAGAGGATATAGTATGGATAAATGTATCCTCCACTTGGTGAATTTATAGTCATCAATGTTATCTTAATTTCTCCATTCGATTATATATTTGCTTGTGTGTTTATTTATTTATCTCATCTCTACACTATTTCTTGTGGTGTGCGTCTCTTCAACACACAGAAGTTGAAATAGTCCACATCACCATCCAATCGCAACGATGGATGGATGTAGATAAACTTGGATAGTGTGAGACGTTCTTGGTCAGGGTTAATCAATTTCTCGCATGCAACTGGCTCCCATTGAGGGTCGTTGAATAAAAAGTAATCATGGGGACTCAGAGGTCCATCGTTGTCAACGAAATAATCGCATTCGCTGATATCAACAACTGTTGAAGAAGAGAATTGGTTTTTGTTGTTCATATCTGATGGCAAATACGAAGTTGCAGCCGAGACGGACCCCAATGTTTCATTGAAGTCCCGAGGTAAGAGTCCATCAAAACCAGACTTTGCGAATCGCAAACGGTAATTATCAGGCAAGAACATCGATGTAGGGAAATGGTACCATTCACGGCCAACACAAACATTAACAATACTAGCATCCTGTTTATCTGTGGATGTTTGTTCAAAGTAGTTGAATACTTTCAATGGTGCCAGGTACTTATCGACCAAATTGAGGGTACGCAACACAGACACCACCATGAAGACTGTAACAAGTGCTGAAGCGACAAAGTTTCGTAATCGAGTAGCTGTAAGATGAGCCAATATTTTATCAACCACAATCAGGGCATTGGCACAGATAAATGGATATATTGGGTACATAAACCTTTCCTCTTTATGGGGCTGCTTGAAGAAGATTGCACTCCATAGCACAAGGGGAAGGTTGAGTGCTGGTGTATCAAAGTTTGCCATTGCACCCAAATACCCCAAGAAGAAGACAACGTTGAAGTTAAGAATTAAATTAAGCGGATAATAAGTCCATGGCTCAGTTCCAAAGATATCGGGACCTTCTCCGGCACTGCCAAAGACATTGTAGGCCACAATGTTCACTGGAACGTAGGCAATGAACTTATAGAAGTAATAGTCAATTGCAATTACTAGAGACAGAAGGCCAATGGTGAAAGCTGCTACTTTGAATGCAATTTGCGTTGATTGGGCAAGACGTGATTTTACAACTATTTGCAACCCATAGGGAACAGCAAGGATAAGGGCAAAGGGCCATCCCAACACACCGCTTGCCACAAACCACAGTAAAGCTGAAACTGCAGACTCATTGGTTATCGCAGCAGAAATAGCCATAGTAACACAGTTCATGGCAAAACTAGAGGGTAAAAGGGCAACACCAGCATGGGACATCCCTGTTGCAAAAGTTGTGAATAGGTAGTAGATGTCAGGGGCTAGCGATGTTCGGGGGTACGACTTTTTCAACGATTTATAAAGTGAGTACTCGCCATAAGCAGTGAACCCACAAAGGGCAATGGTTCGTATAATATAGAACAAATTCACAGACGATACAAACAGTTGGAAAGGTTTTGCAATGAAACAGTAAGGTATAAGGTAACTATAGGACCGGATGGCAAACTCTGGAGAGTATTCCCAAGTCTCTTTGCCGAACCCACGTAGAAGTAAATTCAATGGTTCCCAATAATTGAACGACTCATCACAATCACTGATGATCATATACGCTGCCGAGTAAAGCCTCAGACATACGTTCAATGCCACTAACATTACCAGCGGTGTCATGATGATATACAGACGCCAGTTTGAAAAGAGTTTGGTGATGATAATGATGAATTTACGTACGAAAAACGCGTGGTACAAAAAGATATGTAGTGCCATATAATGACGACTACTTAATTGTTGCTCAAAATATTCAGTATTCATTTAAGGCAGGTAACTATACTTTATATATCGCTTCCCCAATCTAAAACAAGCAACAGCAACACAAGGCCGTTGCTTTCAGTCTACGACGCGCGGAATTTAATCACTCTTCTCCAACATCGAGTCTCTGGCAGGACCAGTACCAACCCATTTAACAGGTACGCCCAAGTATTGTTCAATGAAGGCCAAGTACTTTTTAGCGTTCTCTGGTAATTCTTCGTAGGTCTTGACACCAGTAATATCCTTTTCCCAACCAGGCAAGGTTTCATATACAACTTCAACCTTACCCAACTTGAACAAATCTTCTGGGAATGAATCGAGGATCTTACCATTGTATTTATAAGCAACACCAACTTGGATTTCTGCGAAGGTATCCAAAACATCCAATTTGGTGATATTCAAATGGGTGTATCCATTGATGGCATTGGAGTATTTCAACACCACCAAATCCAACCAACCACATCTTCTCTTTCTACCGGTAGTGACACCATATTCAGCACCAATGGTTTGTAATTTTTCACCATCGGCATTCAATTGTTCAGTAGGGAATGGCCCTTCACCGACTCTGGTGGTATAAGCCTTAACAACACCATAAACGTTTCTGATATTCTTAGGTGGGACTCCCATACCAGTGATAACACCTCCAATACCAGTAGATGATGAAGTAACGTATGGATAAGTACCATAATCAATATCCAACATCAAAGCATTGGCACCTTCAATCAAAATTTTCTTCTCATCAGCAATAGCCTTTTGAATGAAAGCAACAGAATCAACAACAAATGGTCTCAAAGCTTCTCTGTACTTTTCATACTTTTGTAATTCAGCTTCAACATCATAATCAAATTCACCATATCTCTTATATCTAGATTGCACCAAGCGGTGGTATCTAGTCTTGAAATCTTCCCAAGCTTCAGGTTCTTCAGACACCAAATGGTGGACTCTAATACCTGATCTTGAAGCCTTGGTAGAATAAGTTGGACCAATACCCTTACCAGTAGTACCAATAGATTTCTTAGTGGTAGATAATTCAGCTTCCTTTAACTTATCAGTTCTTTGATGAAAATCAAAAACCAAATGAGCTCTGGAAGATACAAATAAACGATCACGACAATCTAAACCCTTCTTTTCCAAATTTTCCAACTCTTCGAAGAAGGAAGGAACGTGAATAACAACACCAGCACCCAACAAGTTAAGACAGTTAGGGTTAACTAAACCAGATGGCAACATGTGGAAATCATACTTGACATCACCAACAACAATGGTATGACCAGCATTATTACCACCAGCACATCTAGTACATACATCAATATCATCACAAAGGATATCCACAAGCTTACCCTTACCTTCATCACCCCATTGTGAACCTAAAACAACGTCACACATTTCTTTTACTAGGTATTCCGTGTACTACAACAATAATAATCCCCAGTTGGATATAGAATAAGTATATAGAGTATTACAGAAAAAGTATACTACTATATGTTGAACGAACAGAGCTCCGTTAAACCCAAAAGAAGTCAGAAAATGAAAAAATGGGGAAAAACTTTCCGTGCATTTATATGCCACAGCGCTACCAATCACATCAATTTTTTCAGAGTCAACGAAGAAAAAAATAGAGTCTTAATTAAGTTGATTGATTGGCACAATGTGGAATACACAATACCAATTAATGGTGGAGTCACTGTACCACCAAAAGAGATTGAACAATATAGAGCAAGCAATTTTGGTACAGAAGTAATTACATATATATATATATATATATGGAGCTATACCTCACCAGAGAAAGATACTTTTAGACTATTATTAAATTAGGAGATGACCTGGACTACTCCTGGTATTTTGCTCCTCTCTAGTATACTAACAAAAGAGTTTAATGGGAAAAAGAACTATGATGAGGTAAAAAAATGCATACAAGAAGAGAATAGATATTTTTTGAACGGTACGCATTTTGTGAACTTGAAATAATATGAAATGGTACAAGTAAGGTTTGGCATATTGCTCTATTAGTTTATTGTACAGTAGATTACTGTCAAAACCAAAAGCATGTGTTCCGCGCACCTTGACTAGGAGATAGCATACCGTAACAGGTGACCCTAAAACCACTGGGGTTAACTGAGTAAAGTATGACAAGTAAAACTCATAATGGTCTCTTTCATTCTGCTTATATTAACGGTTTTAAAACATAATAATAACACATTCGTACTAGAAAATCAAACTGTCCCTTCATTCGTTCATTCATTTATTCAGTGCAGATTTTAATGAACTCTTGTTCACTAACTAAAGGTTTTCATCGTTAGTATACAATTTCTCTTTTGTGCGTGTGTTTGTGTGTTTTTATACATACTTTCTCCATCTTCATCTAGATCAAACTCATCGATCATGGCCCGTAATTCTTCATCTGATAAATTCTCTCCCAATTCCTTTGCTACTCTCCTCAAATTTCGAAGACTAATTTTACCGGTGTTATCATCATCAAATAACCGGAATGCTCTGCGGATTTCTTCTAATGGATCTCTGTTTACCATCATTTCCCCCACTAAGTGCCATACCTTGTTAGTATTATTTCATAATATACTCATTTTTATTAATATTCATCGTTTTGAATTCTTTCATACATACCCACTTGGAAGAAGTTCTCATAAGTTATTAAATTCCGATCATCAGTATCGTATTCATGGATCACACGAAGCACTTCACTCTTGGGTAAATCAAACCCAAGAGCTCGAAAGGCAACCTTTAACTCGTGGTAATCTAAACAACCATCGTTATTCATGTCGAAAAGCGAAAACGCTTCTCGGATCTCTTGTTTTTGCTCATTCAATAATTCGGTTTTAAGAGTCCCTAACCCACGTTTTCCCGCTCCAGCGCTATTGCCAACCACTGAGCTGCCGAAACTTGTATTCGGGCCATACTCGTTTCCCGAGATCTTTCTTCCACTAAAACCAGACATATGACTTGCGGATGTTGGTTCAATTGAGATTAATATGTTTTATTATTGTTGTAAGTAAACATATGACTTTATCCTTTCAAGCGGTTAGCCAGCCAGCCACTCTAAATGTTCTCACCAATATCACGTGAGCTATCGCGTGACCCAAATCACTGTAATCATGAAGCATAGTAGAACAGCAACAGCTATTCAACAAACATTGTTTTACACAATTAATGACCAAATACATGGCAAATGGACTTAAAATTGGGTCAAAAAGTATCTGTGCGTGGAGATGGCGGGACGCTTAAATACATAGGAAGAACTCAATTTGCACCTGGAACGTGGTATGGAGTCGAACTAGACACTAAACAAGGAAAGAACGATGGGTCGGTCAATGGAGTCAAGTATTTTGACTGTGAGAAGAAGAATGGCCTATATGGAGTCTTTGTTCGTATTCTGTTGTTAGACAATGGTAATGGAAAAGCTGATAATTTAATTGGTGCAGACATATCGAACAATGTGAAACAACTACAAAGCAAACTACTTTTAGCTACTCAGGAAGTGGACAAGTATAAGAAACTGATCGAAAACTATGTGAGCCTACACAAACAAGCTGTGGAAAAGAGTACGATTCTCGAATCCAGCTTGGAATCTGCTGTGGTGGATAAGGAGTATCTTGAAGACTCTAATTTGCAAATGACTGCACAACTTAAAGAACTCAGTATGAAATATGACGAATTGGAGACAGATTATCAAATATTGAAAGAAGAATCTGAAATAAATAAGCAGATAGAAACAGAAATAAGACATGAACTCGAGCATAACGACCATTCCGAAGAAGTGAAGTTGCTTATCTCTCGAAATAAACAGTTGGAAGTCGCTTTAATTAACCTTCAAAAGCTTTCAAAGGAATCTCAATCAGCTCTTAGAGACGAGATTCAAAGACTTAATAACCGAATTGCCGATTCGGAAAAGAAATTGGGGTCAACAAAAGACATTGAGTTAAAACTCGTTGAAGCTGAGTCAAATATAGAGTTACTCAGAAAACAATTGGACTCGACCTTGGAACTGGAGAAAATTATAGAACTGCTTAACTCCAAGAATGAAGAACTTCAGAATGAGTTAGAAAGACTCTCGAATGATGTCATAGAGTTGACGGAACTCCATGATCTTGACAGAGCATTGGAAGAGAACCAGAAAGTCGTTGAGCACGAGCTTCGATCCACAATAACAGACTTAAAGGAGCTGATAAGTTTAGATAAACAGAAACTTGCTGCGTTGACCAAACAAAACAAATACTTGGAATCAAAGCTTGCAGAAGCACTGTCAATTTCAAAGTATACTACTCAACCAAATAATGACAATTCCTCTACTGTCCTCGCGGCAGACTTTGAGGAGTTGAAGATTAATTTTAAAACAGAAAAACGCATTTCCTTTAAGAATTTGTTAGAGAAAGACCTTTTATCTGGGGAATTGGATTTTAAATCTTGGAGAGAAGGTCTTGGGTCCACCACAAATAACTCTAAAGTGTATTGTAAGCTCAAGTATCTTGAGTGCATCGTGTCACCTATCATAAATCATGCTTTCAGTGTTCCACAAGGAGAAATATTCTATGAGAAATCAACTCCAATTATCAATCATACTAATCTTGTGTTGATTAATGCTCTACTTTTGTTTGTTGAAAAACTCTGGGACTATAATTATAACTCCTCAAAAGTTGAAGGTCTTTTATTAATACTTGATAAGCTTGAAGTATCGTTAAATGAAGTTAAGCTGAAGTTTTTAGATTCAAATGTGGAAGGTTTGAATTTCATGTTTGTTGATGAGTTCATACGTGGTATAAATGACCTATTTTCCGTGGAAACAGATAACGTCTCATTAGAAGCATTTGGACGGGCACATTACTACTTTACCATTAATGTTATCAAAGGCTTTACATCTGACTTTATTCTCTTGACTGGATATATGAACCAAACATTGCAAACATACTTTGAAGGTGGTCGCAGCAGAGGTGACCTTGATTTGTCTTTAAAGAAAGACATGGACCACATACGCCAAGAAGTTAGCAAGCTAGATTCAATGCTTAAGAAAAGAATTCAACGTCTAGATGAATTAGATGAGGGTTTGGATGTGAGAATTGTACCCAACGCTTATTCATTCGTTGATATTCTTGATTTGGTACGAAACCCAAGCAAAATTCTCCTTCGGATCGTTAAACACATTGAAACAGAAGAGAACTCTTTCAAGAATGCCGCCGACTTAGAATATGAAACTTTGGACCAAATCTTTGAGATAACAGAAGGGCTGATGAAAAAGTTGAGAAAACAAGTGGAAGCCTTACAGAATATGCTTGATTGTGAGCCAACATTTGAGCAATTAAAAGTGCAACCTTGGAGAAGAATTGAACGAAAGGAGGCCCTCGAATCGAATTCACCTGAAACCAGGACAGAGCACTTGGAAACAATAAGAATCTTGAACGAGAAGGCAATTGAGAGAGAGAATAAAATCACTGATTTGCTGGTGAATATAAATTTACTAGAAAGCACGTTGACAATGTCGAATAATAAGAATGCAGAAATAATACAACTGCTCAGGAAGGAGTTGACGTCTTTGAGAATACAACATGAGGAGTTGACTAAAAAGTATACAGAATTGGAAATCGAATCAACTTCTTTACGTGAACAGGTGGAGCAAGTCACTGAACTCAATTCGTTGTTATCTAACGACAATATTATTGTTCCAAACTTTGAAAAGTTAGAGCCAGAGAAACAATATGATAAAGTAATGACACTTGCTCAAGAGAACCAAGTATTGAAGAAACTCCTTGCGCAACATAAGCATAGGGATAAGCCATTTCAAAACGTTCAACTACCGCATTTAAGATCCAAGATACAACCTACAAAGGAGTCCAAGGTGGAGTTAATACGAGCTAATACCTTCTACCAAAATGCAACGAGATTTAGAGATAATATTATTCCAAAGGTTACACCCATTAAAGTCAACTATCTGAGGCGTGTCATTAATTTGCATAAATATTTGGTTTCAACAATGAATGATGATGTTCACCGGTACCAACCGTGTTAATAATATTCATATTGATAACATCGATCCACTATCATCATCATCATTATCATTATCATCAACATGATGTTCACATTCATTCGAGTATTGTGGTCTCTTTTTGCGAGGCCATTTGGTTACCGTATCAATATGCTCTGCTGGATAGAGCCATTCCAAAATCACATAAATAAAGACATCAACTATAACACATAAAACATAAAGTTTTCCTGCTATGACACCGGTATTATAGAACTTTTGAAGTCTATCAACAAAATAAGTATTGGAATGAGTTGTTTCAAGTGAATTATAAACGTTTTCCGTTCTTCGTGCAACGTTCTCCCAGGTATACATCTTTATTACTTCATCATGAAACGTTGAGACATCTATTTGTTCCGTTTCCATTAATGTGATGGCCTTTATGGTGGCTTCCACCAAAGAATCTTCTTCTGGCTTTGCAAATGTGAACATATGATTTGGTAGCACTTCAGGTATGCCGCCTACATTTGTAGTGACCACAAATAATCCACAGGATGCTGCTTCTACCAATACTGTGCCAAAGGCTTCTGTTAATGATGGATGAAGGTAAATTTCGCCTTGTACCATAATGTTTCGTACTTCTTCATGTTTTATGGCACCTACTAACTGTACTCTTTCCTCTAAGAAATACTTTTCTCTCATTTGTTCCAATTCAATAGACTTTGGACCATCGCCAGCAATCAAGAACCTCACTTTGGGCTTCTGAACACATATTCGGGGAATGATAGCTGTAAGTAAATCGATACCTTTGTTAGCAAACAATCGAGATATTACAACGATAGTTATATCTGCTGGATCTGATTTCTTTCGAATACCCTTTCGTATTGGAGTGAAGTCTTTGGCAACAACTGCGTTGGGAATCACCGAAACATTAACTGGGTCGAGAGATGCTCTTAATACTGTGTTTTCTTTACAAGTATTGGATACACAAATGACATGCCCCACATCTGTTAGAGTGAATTTAAGGATCTTATTACCAATAATGGACCAAATATCAGCAAAACCAAATAATGAATGATCTGTGAATACTGTTCGAAGACCCATGGTACCTCCATGTATGATTGCTTCATGACAAAGACTTGAATAAGTCCCGTGGCCATGAACAATCTCTATTTCTTCTCTAATAAAAATATTTCGAAGAATGGGGAAAGCCAGAAACACAGTAGGGAATGTACTGTTACGATAGAGCACAAAAAACGGTACATAATATACCTTTAATCCATTGGTAAGCATCCTTATACCTTTACGTGAACCATATTCATGGGTTATCACCACCACTGAATGGCCTAAATCTATGAGTTCCTGGGCTAAATGATAGACATGAAACTCCACCCCACCAGGTTGGGGGTAGAAGAAGTCAGCAACCATTGCTATATTATAAACCATTGTGTGTGCATTGTGTTTTAGTGGAAAGAAGAGTATTAGTGCCATGTTAGTACAAATTCACTTGTTGATTGCTTTAGGTTGATTTGAGAGGCTGGATCACGTGACATCTCAAACTATATAAGGACGGGGATAGGAAAAGATAAAGATAAAGGTAAAGTCTCTTTTCTTTCTAGTATTATATATAGGTAACTAGATAACGTAGAACAATGGGAATGAAGCACGACGCCTAATAGTGTTGATGATTCAACAGAAATATATTTAGACTAGTACTGAGTGGTTGCAAAAAAGGAACAGCACAATACGACTCGTCATTATATATTTCCATTATAACTGGTTTCTTGCATGTGTAAAAGAAATTACTAAGAGTAGCCTACTCTTAGGTATCAGATTTGTATTGGCCTTTGGGACTAAGAGTTTAGGAGTGGAAACATCAATTTTGTGCAAAACATATACTCTTTTCAAGAGAGTACTTTGTATTGGCTTTCACTGCATATTTCTTTGTTAAGGATTCTGTGTTTTTGGTAATGTGCTTGCTTTCTTTGTAAGTCATCTATTTACTAGTCCAAAAATTAGATAATAGCCGTTTCCTTTTATTAAATGGCAGAATTGGTTTTCCAATAGTCACAATTCAATTTAAAGAAGTGTACCATTCATAGTACATAAAGAGGGAATCAAAAAGCATTCTTAATTAATACAGAGGAAATTTCTAAAAGAAACGTAAGATACATCATTTATTCTAAATACAGAAGCTAACTAACTGATATATGCTTGTGGAGGAAGAGAAGCTACCGAGTTCCTAAAGTTGATAATACATTGATTATAATCCCATTGACTTTGCTCACAAAGCATTACTCCGTACTCGAGGTTGAGTTTAGTTTCAAGTAATATCTTTACAAGCACCTCTTGCTGAATAGGAGTTAGATTATTCTTAATTTCTATGGGAAGATCTGCAGCAGATGGAGTTCCAGAAGGTACCTGCGGCTGTTGTGGTTGAGGAGTCGCAGAATGTGATGGAGGAGTACTCACATTTGGGACAGCAGTACTTGGTACAGATGTCTTATTTGTAGGGTCATTCCAAGCCAGAATTTTTGAGAATGGTCTAACAAGTAACAAATCTGTGGCTACTATCATTGAGCCATTAGGACCTGGAATCACCACTAATGTTCTATCAAAAGATTTTGAGCTTAATGCAACTTTTTTATTTCTGTTATGGTGGGACATCCTTCCCTTTGGTCCACCAATTGACGAATTCAATGCTTCCAAATTGTCTGGAGCTGCAACTTCTTCAAAAGAACCATGTAAAGTTACCATAATGGCATTTAATTGAGGGAGTCTCAGACATTCCATACTGTATAATAACGGTTTATTCACCAACTCATGTCTGGTTTTTGGAAGCTGAGTAAACATTTTATATATTTGTTCAGGTCCTCTTCCAACTCTATTTAGTCTAGACTTGATTGAAGACACCTTGGTTAAATTTCTAGACAATGGCAAATAATAACCAAAATCTGTGCCTGAAGGTCCATTTCTCAGATCATTTATCACTTCTAATGTATGTGGGTGTGCTGAATCTATTTGCATTGAAAATTGGGATTCTGCCTGATAAAGAACCATAAGTCCTTGTCTATTTGAGTCCCACAAATTAATGTAATTGGTGATAAAGTTTGTTGCAACTTGTTGGATATCTTGGTCTTGGAAAAAGATTGGTTGTTGAAGTTCAAATGGGAAAGTCAAATTATTGATTAATGCTTGCTCATATCTTAATGTTTCTCCATTCAATACAATCAAACGGGGGAATGTTTTCATCAATTCAAGTTTAACATTTTCAATATCTTGTGGATTATTGACGTTCACAACTGGATTCCCAACCAAAATTAATTCTCTTAAAAAGTTCAACTTGTGCTTGAAGGTTTCAAAAGACTTGATACGGTTTAAGTTGTTATTTTGTAAGGAAAGATTTTTTAGTTTAGGAAACGTGTGGGCCATAATTGAAAGTGAAGCCAAATCGGAAAGTTCGTTTGCTGACAAATCTATACTTTGTACATCCAAGTTTATATCCCCGGCAACTTTCATTAATGCAGTGAAAAACTTGGAGGTACTGGCCAAAGATGCAAAAAACCCTAACTGAGATAAGGAAGGATCATGTTTCACTGAGCTTAAATTAAGCAACTTCATTTCCGGTTGGTATCTCGACTTCAAAAACTGAGTTAAAGCTTCTATAACATTACCAGTGGAATTACCATTATTATTGCTATTATTGATTGAGTTCCCACATGAGTTGTTGATTTTCATAAACTTCAATGATTTACCAGCAAACTTAACTCCACTCCAACTTAATAAAGTATTGACATCTTGTTGATTCTTTACATAACCACGAATATAATGCGTGCTCATATCCACCAGAGCATTCCTTACCGCTACCTTACACTTTCTTTGAATGAAACCAATACAGTCTTCCATTGAAGCACCATCCCAACCTGAGATGTCAATGGGCACTGAGTTTTCCAAAATGTATTGGTCGGCATTAAAGCCTTGTTGTTGGAAATTGCTATGATTGCTGTTGTTATTGTTTCCATGATAATACAGACCACCGCGGCCACCTCGGCCACCTCTATAACTCATTATGTGGGGAAATTGGTGTTTGCAAGTTGACGTCTGGAATTTGCTGGTATACTACTTTGACATTTCACTCAGAAAGAAAAATTATGCGACATAGAAAGCCCTATGATTACGTAATACAGCGACAGACAATGTCTTTGCTTCTGTTGTTGCTACTTTGATATGAGCTAAATTGTTACAACATGGATTTTATTCAAACTATTCAAAGCTTATAGAACATAGCCATCAAGAGTATGATCATCAAGAATCATGATTTTGTGGGCTTAGGCATCCTTTTTTGATTGGGGTTGTGGTGGTGGTACAACCTCACTACTATCGGCATTATTCTCATGCAAAGTACCAACCACTTTATACTTATTATCGAAATGTTGCTCCCAGCTATCCAAACTTTCAAGTTCCTCTTTAGTCAAGCCTGTCAATGTATCTATGGGTTCATCAATTGAAGTGAGACAGCTCAATTCGAAGGAATTCAAAGCTAAACCTCTTGAGGCGTCTCTTCCAGCAAAGTTTTCATATGGACCACCAGGGCCATAGAAGGTAGCCCCCTGTGTTACATCAAACACTCTCTTTTTGACGGCAATGAAGATTCTGGGATTATCAATACCATTATACCTTGCTAATGTTTTGGGAGTAAACTTACCCTCTATAACCAAGGGATCTGATTCAGCTTGCTCTAGAGGATTTTCCGTAGTGGCAACTCCCACCATGCTCTTGATAAAGAACAAGAATACCAAAATAATCAATGCTGTATTTAAGCTTATCATGGCTGTTACGTTGAACGAATGACATAGTAAACGAATAAAAGACTACCATTGATTCTATCTGGTTTGTAGTCGCATAACCTGTTGTTGTATACAGACCCAAGTCACGTGTGAGGAACGACTTGAATACCCTCAAGAAGACTTTATTAAATGCTATCGCATGCAAACGAAGTTTTATGAACGCTCATAATAAGATAACATCAACTAAAACACTTAACGAACTTAATAATAATAATGATAACAAAAAAACCTTATGATTCTGAAACTTAATGACTATGAACCATTATAGTACCATGTAGTGACTTCCCTTATCAATAGTACATTCTAGCGTACAAGAGAGTTCATAAAACAAATATGATTGACGCATTACACATCAACATAAAGCGTTTGTTCTACACGACCTTAACCTGAAGCATGTGCTTATATTCTTGAATTTTTATTATAAGCTTCCATTGAAGCGCCAGTGGTTCTAACTGGGCCATAACACCTATTAGTGTACCATGAGTTATCTTGCAATCGATAATGAATGGCTAAACATTTAATCGAAACGGCGATTTGGTAGCTCATTGTGTGACATGACATGACATGACATTACATTACATTACATTACATGACATTACGAACATAGCAGGTCCTCACAAATGCAACCTTTCTATCAGTACATTGTTTTAAGATTCAACTGCGATCGACAACTAGTTATTGTTGGATGACTGTTAATGTTTTCCGTAAAGCATTACCTTTTCACATAACCTTCAAACTAGTTGAGTTTACGACTCCTCCGTTGGTCGTGTACTTTCTCTTGTGAAAAATTAAGAAATGTAATCCACAGCCAATGACTACCTATACTATGGCTATTCTGCTACCTCTACTTCTTCATTACTTTAACAATGAGAGACCCCATTTCATTAGACGACTTAACCTCTAATAATTTGGGCACATTTAAGAAAATCAACACTTCATCTCTTCCAGTGAAATACCCTGAATCATGGTATAAGGACTCATTAAATAAAGACCAGATTATATCTTTGGGCTACTACAGGGAGCTCCCAGTAGCAGGGATCAAGTTGAAAACTATTAGTACTCAACATAACATCAATTGCTTTGAGACTGGAATCCAACAGCAATTGAACTCCAAAATTTTACCCAATGCAGTTTATATCGAAAGTTTTGCTGTGTTGAAACCTTATAGACATTTGGGTATCGGATCCAAGTTATTGGACTTTGCAATTGAAAAGACTAAACAGCATTTTGTTCACGAAATAACTGCTCACGTTCATGTTGATAACCACGAGGCTTTAGATTGGTACTTGAAGCATGGGTTCCAAAAGGATGAAAATGTCCTTAAAGATTACTTTAAGCAACAAGGCTTACCTAATCCAGATGCCTATATAATACGGATGAAAGTATAATGCATGCTGACGTGCATATTTCCACACTTACACATATACACACATATACATTTGATACATACATATACGTATACATACATGGTACCTACTAGATACATACTTAATTGTAAATTCATATACATACATACATATATATAGTTCCCTTATAGTAGACCCGATTAATTATTTCTTGGTTTTAGACTCTTCAAAGTCACCTTCATCCTCAGTGTCGGTGTTTATATCTGTGAAAACACTCTCATTGTCACTGAAATCTTCATCTTCTACTTCTTCAACATCGCTAGTAACTTCTTCTACCTTAGAGGACTTCTTGGTACTTTGTCCTCTCATTGCAGCTAAAGCACCTGCTAATGAATCTTCTTCTGGGTCGGAAATGTCACTGTCAGAATCAGAATCTTCGTCCAGTTCTTCCTCATTTTCACCCATAAGTTTACGAAACTTTTCTTTATTAATTCTTGGTGGTGCGTTTTCAACAGTCATGGTGATTGGAATGTCTATGTCACATCCATAGTAAGCATTATTTTTCAAAATCAATCTAAAGTGGTAGTTACCAGGTTCTTGGGGTGTAGGTTGAGTAAATGGGACCTTGAAAGTTCCAAGGACAACGTCACCTTCATTACCTGCTTTCCAGATATCTTGAGACACTTCCAAATTGCTCAAGTCCATGTTGCCTAAAACAAATGTGCTGCCTCCTTCAACTACCTTACCATCTGATTGTTGGAATAACCAACCACTCCAATTGTTTCTTATATATTCAGGAAAGTATGGGGCACATGCATATGGTAACTCGGGTTGCTTCTCATTAGTCTTCAATGGATTGATCAAAAGATCTAAAGATTCTTCCTCTATAAACCTTTCATCATCAATTTCAGGACAAGACTTTAACTTTGCAGACTTAACCAAAAAGTTAACAACGATATGACAAGCAGCACCTGGAGGAACAATAGCTTCACCAGAGACTCTGAACTCAGCTTTTAGGATTCTAAGAACAGGAATATGAGAAGCAATTTTTAGAATGGTATCTAACTTCTTATCATCAGAAACACCCAAAACCTTTTTGATTTCATCTCTTTCTAATGTTAATAACTTACCAAGTCTCTTAACGGGTTGGGCTTCGACTACCTTAGCATCAACATAAGGCAATTGCAATAAGTCTTGGTGCTTACCTGTAGGTTTGACAGCGGCTACAATGGCTCTCTTAGCTTCTAACGCACTCAGTGGAATATCAACACACTTTAAGTGAATGGAAATTTCAATCAAGGCATCAATTAAGCTAGGGAGCTTGGAAACAATAGACAAAGTATCAACAGCCACGTTTTCATCATAAGATCTATTCAAATAACCGGTTATCAAGTCGAAAACAGCATCAGCATCCAAATGAGGAAATCCTGATCTAATTTCTTCACTTTCAATACACCATCTGATAACATCAAGTGGAGCAATAAGTCTACCAGGAACACGAGTAGCAATGTTTCTAACAAACATGGCAGCAGTGTCAACGTGGATACCTCTCTTTGTGTGAGACTTCACATCGTCCCACCATCTTCCAACAATAATAGGCATGAAGATACCCATTGCAATGAAATAGAATCCAACAAAGATCCATGAATATTTGCCCTCCACCCAATGTTGAGGGATTGCAATACCGTGAACAGTCATTTGTTTGCCATCAGGATGACCATACTTTAAAAAGTTTTCCTTTGTTACTTCATCTGTTAAGGCCTTATAAGCATTGGTTATACGGATATACAAGGCTTCCATTTCCTGTTTCCCCTTTTCTGTAAGGTCTCTGGAAACCTTATCTGGATGATATTGCAAGGATAACTTTCTGTATTTGGCTTTGATTTCCTTCTCTGATGCACTGACACCAACACCCAAGATGGTATAGGGATCAAATACTGTGGACAAGTCCATTTCCTTAGTAAAGAACGCAACCAACACAATGATCAGGACAGTACCCACAATGAGGAATACCAATGTCTTATTGAAGATCAAGTTAGACATCTTTCTACCCTTCTGAGCACTAATAGCATCTTTATGAGGCAAGTCTAACGTTTCACTATCTTCACTTATCGACCCTTTGACACTATTGTTGGCTGTGGCCACGTCTTCTTTAGAAGATACAATACGATGAACATACTGAATGAAGACGAGTCCCACAACAAATGTAAGAATGGCAATCACAAAATATGGCCACCATTCGCCCTCATCATCGTACTTATACTCCATTGCTATATATAAGTATAAGTATTAGAACAGTACTATAGTATCAGTAGTAGTGCTTGTCAATACGTGTTTGAAATTTTTTTCTGTTGAAAATGATTTTGGTCACACACGACTTCCTGGGGTAATATTCTCAGTTCCATATTGAAAAAGATAGTATATGGTGTGGTGTAGTTGGAACGCCTTATAGCTGTTCAAGACAGTATGTCTTATGCCTTAAGTACTATAGACAGTATATTTTAAGTTTTAGACAGATATTTTATATTGCAGTTTTTTTTCTTTACTAGCATTTTATTAGAATTGTATATTATATAAAAATATGATTAACATAATACTCATGTACTTTACTTTATAAGAAAAACGTCCAATCAATGGTGGAATAAACGAATAGCATTTTCCACATAGACGAGATCATGAGAGTCAGCAGCAGCGAAAACAGCCTTGTCCATAACAGAACCAGAAGGTGCAGCAACGTATTTAACACCAGATCTGACAGCACGATAAACATTATCAGGGAAGGGGAAGAAGGCATCTGATGACAAAGCAACGTTTTCCAACTTGGCAAGCCAATCAGCCTTTTCCTTTGCAGACAAAGGTTCTGGAAGTTCTTCAAACTTAGATTCGTATTCAGACTTTTCTGGTTCAGAAGTGGGGATTTGGCCGGTGACAAATAAGTCAATGTTGTTGGACTTCTCTGGTCTCTTAACACCCTTGGCCCACTTGAGACCCAAAACTCTTGGATGTTGTCTCAACCACCAGTTGTCAGCCTTGTCACCAGCCAACCTAGTACAATGGATACGAGATTGTTGACCAGCACCCAAACCAATAACCATACCGTTCTTGGCGTAACACACAGAGTTAGATTGAGTGTACTTTAATGCAATTGTGGCAACAGTCAAGTCAATAAGACCTTGCTCAGGCAAGTCCTTGTTCTTGGAAACAATTTCAGTGAAAGATGATGACTTGATGATGGCATCATTACGCTTTTGTTGTAAAGTAATACCGTAAACTTGTCTGGATTCCAACAATTCGGGGTTGTAGTTAGGGTCGATTTGCAAAACACAGTACTTACCACCCTTCTTCTTTTTCAAGATAGCTAAGGCTTCTTCTTCGTAACCTGGTGCAATGACACCATCGGAAACCTCCTTAGAGATAATCTTAGCAGTTGGAACATCAACAATGTTAGAAAGAGCAATCCAATCACCAAATGAAGACATTCTGTCAGCACCTCTAGCTCTAGCGTAGGCATTGGCTAATGGAGACAAGTTTTCAATGTCTTCAACAAAGTAAATCTTCTTTTCAACATCAGATAATGGCAAACCAACAGCGGCACCGGCTGGAGAAACATGCTTGAAAGAAGCTGCAGCAGGCAAGTTTAAGGAAGCGGATAATTCCTTGACTAAAGGCCATGAGTTCAAAGCATCCAACAAGTTAATGTAACCAGGAGAACCACTTAAAACCTTGAATGGCAATTCACCTTGGGAAACAAAAGCTTGAGCAGGCTTTTGGTGAGGGTTGGCACCGTATCTTAAAGGCAATTGTGAAGTGTTTTCGGCGTATTGCTTTCTGAAAAAGTCAGAAATAGCTACATCGTAATCAGCAGTGTGTTCAAAAGCCTTCAATGCATACTTGTTTCTAGATTCAGCAGAGACTTCACCGGACTTCAATTCCTCCAAGAAACCAGCATAATCGTTAGGATCTGATAAAATGGTGACTCTAGCATGGTTCTTAGCGGCAGCTCTCAATAAGGTAACACCACCAATGTCGATTTCTTCAACCGCTTCATCAACAGTGACAGCAACCTTAGAGATGGTTTCCTTGAATGGATATAAGTTACAGACAACAATATCAACCTTTTTGATACCTTGAGCTTCCAAATCTTGTTCATCAGAGTCCATGTTTCTGGCCAAAATCCCCCCATGAACAGCAGGATGCAAGGTCTTCACTCTACCACCCAACATTTCAGGGGCATGGGTGATGGTAGAAACATCTTCAACGGCGAAGCCAGCTTCTCTAATCATCTTAGCAGTTCCACCAGAAGCCAAGATTCTGACTTTTTGAGCCACTAACCCCTTGGCCAAGTCCAATAACCCGGTTTTATCGTAGACAGAGACGATAGCTGTCTTGGTGTAATCGGTTCCAGACATTTCTAGTAGACAGTCGTTTCAATTAACCAGCGATGTGCTACTGCAACAAAGTGTTCCTTTTTTTCCTTTAAGCAGGTGACGGTCTGTGCTTTGAGCCTTTATATATGGTTACTTTTTTCTCTCTCTAATTTCTTTAATAAATTACTCTGACTGAGGAGGAAAAATTTTTATAGGGTTGGTGTAAGGGTGTTGCACATACCGGGTGGAAGGGAGATTCCCTTTGCTACTTACTACATGTAAATCGTTAAGCATGACAATATGTATGAAGCCAGTTGCTATTTGGAAGATAAGTTTTTAAAGTATTCTAGCAAGTAGGCGGAAAGAGTATGTCTTTACTTGTTTACACTCTCAGCGTAATTACGAGGTAAGTGTCAGAGTCAATCTAGTAGCATAAATATATACTACTGGATACAATGCTCCCAATTATCGATTGCACTTATTATAAGAAGCTGCCATACATTTATACTAAAGCATTTCGATATCATCTTATTGCTCTCTTATCTTATCTTATCTTATGTAACTGTACTTACATCAGGAAGTTGATCTCAAGTGTGTACGGCTTGGGGCAACCTAATGCGAGATGGGTATCACCTGCCTCTACAATTTATTGACTCTGTAACTCTAATCGCATCAATTAAAATTCATTGAAGACTTAGTAGTTAGCATAGCACGTTCAGATAAAGTTAATCAATCACATCACTTACAATTACACTATACAATAATATCAACATAACTATAAGGAAACGCCTTCACTTCTTGTATGGGAACATAAACGAATGCAATTAACCACCTATAAGCAATCAATATGGAAGAAAGGAAGAAATCAGCGCAAACACCAAACTTATCCAATAAACCACTAAGCTGCTTAAGATCTGTATCTCCACAAGGACAAAGTGTTGTTCTTCTTCCAAGTGTGACGACGACCAGCCTTGGTGTTGGTGTATCTGTGACCCTTGTTGATACCTCTGGACTTCTTACCAGCAGCAGTAAGACCTCTGGATTCTCTGTGCTTGTGAACAGGGTTAGCAATCCAGTTGTATCTGGCATCTCTTCTGATAGCCTTGTGGGAAGGATCAACCAAGATAACTTCGTAGTACTTGTAGGTAGCGTCTTGGTTAACCCAGTAGGAATTCAAGACTCTCAAGTTAGAGGCTCTTCTACCAACTCTTTCTTCAGCAGTAGATCTCAAAGATCTTTGGTACTTCAATTGAGAAACACCTTGGTTGGTTGGCTTACCGTAAGTAGCACCCTTTGGCACTGGTCTCTTTCTACCACCTCTTCTGACTCTAACTCTGAAGATAACGAAACCTTGCTTGGCCTTGTAACCTAATCTTCTAGCCTTGTCTGGTCTAGATGGTCTAGAAGCTCTGTGGATAACGTTCTTTTGTCTGTATTCCCAACATCTGACTCTGTGTAAGAATCTTAAGACATCAGATTGCTTCTTTCTTTGCAACTCTTCCAAATACTTGTAGGCACCCATTTTGTTCGTGTGTACTTATGTAGCAAAGAAAAAAAACAAAACTATAATGAAAAAAAACTTCAATTAGTTATACTTTCTTCTACTACAACCATCGCATAGTGTGAGTGAAAAATTTTTCATCACAATACTATTGCTTACACAAAAAAGAAATTGTGTCCGGGTAATTTTTACAAAATTTGAGCGTCCGGGTAACTGTTGTGAGATGTGCGGGTAACCTTTTGTTTATGGTATATCCTCAAGCTTTTTTTCTCCCGATTACCGCTTTACATAGATTTGCATCAAGTACCACAATCTTTGCAACCATTCGTATTTTGCGTGTGACATGAATAGATTATCTTTGTACAGCGTGTTCAGAAGACTTGCACGGCCAATAATGTAATGGCAGGATAAAACAGAGTCAACACTTTCATTCTTCTCTCTCAGTCGGAGTCTCTAACATGAATAAGAGATTGTTTCACAAGCACATTAAGTTTTCGTATCCGAGCACTATAGTATTGGCAATCAGAGAAGCAGTAGTATTTTTAGAAAGAGGCTTTGATAGCTCTTTTTCTATTTGTCTAACATTCTTATGTAGTGCCGTACGTTTATGGTTGCCTGGTGAACTTATGCTTTCTTGGTCATACTCATGTAGTACGAAGCATTACTGAAAGGAATAATGTAGCCTAGAAATAATTAAAAAAAGACCAAGCAAAACGACTATTTAAGCTTTGTTTTCAAATTTCCTTTGAAGAGAAGGGGTAATTTTGTTTCAGCGTGGGGGTAACTGACATACTTCGTGTTATGGACTATAACCCTAACAAAAATTTTAAACTGTGGCATTCAAAATTGCAAGAGGCTAGAACCTCAACACCTAACTGAAATCTATCCAGTAATATCGATATCACATTTATTAAGATCAAACTGGAGATACGTTAAAGTTGGTAAGTTTTTTTTACAAATAATGAAAACCTATTTCAGTATAGGCGCAATCACATGGACACTGGACAAGTTTTTGGATGTTACTCTATAAAAGTAAGCGAGTTTGACCAAAATGCGGCATTAGTTGAGCTAGTTTTATTAGTAAATCAAGTTTGACTTTTCGTCTAAACACAACGACAACTGGCGCTTTACGGGGCCTCTTTCTCCAAATGCAAACCCTTATTTTATATGCCGTGTAAATTGAATATAACTCTTTTTGGTCAACTCCGGATCGTTCGTCCTAAGAGCAATTTGCATATCAAACTCCTCCCCTTACGTGCTTACTAAAGTAGAATGCTTCTAAAATTAAATTCTAACTTTAAAACATACTTTAAAGTTGCATGCGTATTAAGAATCTACTTTTGTATCTTTTGCAGCTACTTTAAATGCTATTTACGAAAGACTGTTTGGATGACCAACATTCGCATTACAGAAGCCGTCCTTCGGCGAAACTTTATTTTACACCGAGGTTTGAGGTTATTCGTATGGTAAACATTGTTTTACAGATCAGTCTGGGTTCTTTGCATGGAATCTTATTAGATTCAAGACCACTAAAGGTACACTTTAAGATGATAAATAGTAATCAAGCCGTGAGTAGTGTGAGAATAATAAATTTCTTACTGCTCTCTTTTGCACTCGATTTACTAAGCATTTCATTATGAAAACCTTTGTCGAAGTTTGAATTTGCTTTCACTACTCATGAATAACCTGGTGCTTGTCTCCGATTGTCGAATCTTGAATTGACCGCTGCATTTTTTTTGGTTTTATAACGAAAGGCTATGCAGATATGTATGCCTAGAACTGCTTCTGGGAACCCCTCGTTGGAAATATGCATGAACTTCATCAACTTTGAAGTCGTGCGAGGTATTTTTTTTGTTAGTAATCAAGCCTAAAAGTGATCTACAATTTAAGCTCAGTGAAGCTCGTTTTGTGAACGGAGTTGAGACAAAGATAAGCTTTCAAAGTGGTACCATATTTTCTTTGAAAAACTACGTGTAGTAGATGATCCCCGAGTCAGGGAACAAAGGTTGAAAATATCAAAGCCTGAAGAGGCTCACTCTGTATTATCATAGCCAGTGTTTACCTTTCAGTCGCATGCTTTCTACCGGTAGACACTATTGTCCTAAAGATTCATGTGAAGTAGAATCGGACTTCTTCATGTAAGGTCAACAGTTGTAAACGCAGAAAGTGGTGTACAATGATATTGTGGGGATTCTTGTGAAAGAAGCTCACACAGGTGTAGACTACTATCCCTAAAGGCTTTCGTAGTTATCCCCGAATTGAGTCTTTACCTTCTTGAAGTTAGGCCACTCAATGACCAACACCAAAATATACTTTATAAGGTTAAATGTCTTTCAGAGCCTAATAATCTCTCGTGTAAAGTTTGGGGTTAATGAGATTTTATTTTTCCAATAAAGTTGGCAACGGACTTTGATACTGGATGTGGTGCAAGACTCCATTCCTCACTTGCTAGGTAGAGTGTGAATTCTATGTTAGTCCTTTATACAATACAAGCTGGCTTTCAACCTTGGTAACAAGAAGATTCTTCGAATTATTCTACACACAAAGGGTAGTGTTTCTAAGGTCAATCGAGTTTCATTTATTGTTCTCGGAGAAATATTCAACCGGTACGCACGGCGACTAGTGTTTCAAGGGAGGGGAGTTGGCAATCATTCATAACTAAAAAATACTCTTACAACAACGTCATCACGAGATAGTAATAGCCAAGGTTTGAAATTTGATAAGACTTAAAAAGCATGCATTGTTGTAAATGTAAACCAACGGAATTCATATGTTGACGTCGCTGCACCTAAGATATCACCAAGTGCAAATGTTAACTAGCAGACGCAAGTATCTGATGAAGTACCGATCAAAATACAAGATCTCAGATTAATGTACATGCTATTACATTGCAACTCCTGCTTTAAAATTTCACGTGGGGTAGTAGGTAACGATTGGTGTAAAGATAGATGCGAGAAGTATGGCTGCAGGCGTTTCTCGATTACAAAACAAAGCGAAAACTGATGCCGCACCCTGCGGGTTAATTATTTATCCGGCGTCAGAACAAACTACCCGCCTTTGTGCGATTAAAACTTTATATTTTAAAAGGTTGACTTTACGATGATACATTGACGCCGAAACTTACCTTCGAAAATTAACACACGTGCGCAAAACCATATCCGCTTTTAGGACATGACAGAATTTACAACGACAAGACTGATATCAACGAATATGTTGTACTGACATCTTGGCCCAACACAATGAATTCTTCCATATTAAAGAAACATCACCACATGAACTTAAGGTCGCTAGTGACGGTGACATCAACATTAGCATTGAATTATAGCAGTTTGTCATCATGAAATAGACATTGCTGCACTAGGGGTAATAACAAATTAATGCAAATGCAAGGTCACAAAAAAACTGAAACTAATGGCGAATAATTAAACTGAAATAGAAACCATTGATTCCACATGAAATTAAATAAGTGTGATTAGGAGGATAGAATAGCCGAGACCCCCCATGAAGACCTTCAGAGGCGCTAACTAGTGAATGGTAGGGTCCTTGTTACAAGCCATTTTGCAGTACATGTCAGTACTCAGCGATCTAGATCTAGCATTTAGTTTTTTGATCTCTTAGTTAGTGGCAGCTTGAAGCGCGTAAGGGGTATAACCTGACTTTTATATATGCAAATGTCAATTACAGAGGAAAGACCGTTTGACTTAACCTTTCACAAGGTCTACAATACCAAGGGTAAAAGTAGGTATATGTGTAATTGTCAGTCTAATATGTATTCGTCGCTTAACATGCTTGAAGACGGTTTGAAGGAGCCAAATTGCTTCTAAATGCTTGCTAATTAGTCAATTCTATTGTGTCAACAAAAGTAGCAGAATCGGCAATAGGGATCAAAGTGTTTAATAATCGTCACTTTTCTTGTAACCGATTTTGGGGGACTTTACTCATTTCGGCTATCGGAGTTGGCTTTAAGGATTTCATTATTGTACAAAAACCGATACTTGCAGCAAAGATCGCATTGTAATAAACAAAAATACCTGCATCAAAAATTTCTAGTGCATAATAATATCTGCGGGATGTTATGCACTAGAACATCTGTGCTCCTCTTGAACTGCATCCAACATTGCATATAGAACAAAGATTATAATAGTTTTTTAGAGAAAGGAAAGAACACTAATGTTTGAAACACCAGACAAACAACGGTAGAATCAACATTTGTACTTATATTATAACGGACTTTTCTTTTATGCCGGATATGGATGTTGTGTTTTATGTTGTAAGGAGAAGTAGTAACCAATTTGCTTCCATTTCTAAATCGACAAGAAAAAAGAACCTGCTTTGTGTAATACAAGGATGCCTTTTCAGGTTGCCCTTTTTGAAGTTTTTTAAAGGGTGATTTCATGTATACACTACTGTCGTCAATAAAGGTGGATACAACCGCTTCAACAGGGTTGTACTATTTCATACTCATGTTTTAGCAGCTAACGTCGCTTTAATCCGTAATGCATTTTGTGAAGTGGCTGGGTCAGTTTACTGAAATGGAGAAGTGCAACTATTGCCTAATAATCTGGGGAGCTACTCGCCTGTTTAGCCTTACAGGGCCATGAGATCTGATTTAGTAGATGTCAAATGGTTAATTGATCCATGCTGCCACAGTGAAAGTATTTGGTATAGAGTAGAGATATGAGGGTAATTCTTACGAGAAACTTTGCACCCAGCATTAATTTACGAGTTTTTCGTGTAAGATGAATCGGAGGTAAAAAAATTAACTGCTTCGTCTTTTCAAAGTGTTCAGAAACAGTAGTAAAGCTCTTGAGTTAAAAGACTATCCTGATACATTGCATGAAGACAAAGGAACATAGATGAGTAGATACACTGAACTGCATCACCAGTTACATACAATAGAGTTATAATTTACTAGTTCCTAGATACAAGACAGGACCGAAGGGCTATATTAAGGAACTAGCACTTATCGGCATGACCTCTTATGAGGCGTGCTATACTACTTTGGGAAAGGTTCTGTTAGCAAAGTACTCTATACTGAGCTGTCGGAACTTCTAGACTTCAACATTTCCTAGCTTCTAAATTAACTTATGGCGTACCTCTTGTGACGCCACGATTGCTATCTCATTTTAATAATCTCTATCAAATATATGCATGTGCTAGTTCTCTGCTTGATGAAGTAGAGCGGGCGGATTGTAAAGGTTTGTTCATTTGGGATTACACTATATACTATCTGCGAACTGCATGGCGCAATTAGGTTTTAGTACTTCCTTCTATGCTATCAGGGGTTCTTACTGAGCAACATACAGTAGTTACATCAGTGGTCAAACACTAGATTGAAATTTTGCAGCTCTCGAGTAACTTAAACATTTTCAGTGCCTCTTGAGTTGTGGAACACTACGTCTCTTTAAAACCATTAGAATCCCAATTAAGAAGTACCATTTCCAAGCTAGCGCTCCTGGTTGATGACCTCAGCGTTATCAAAAGCAAGTACTGTAGTTTAAAAGTATTGTACCCAACTTATTTGATTAACTTTTAACAACAGCGAACACTAGCTAATGCCCTGAATGATGGTCATCATGCATAATATCCGATAAACATTGAGATTCAGTATTGAAACCAGTATCGCTACGATTATCGCAAGGAAATCTAAGATTGATCGTCACGTCGTTAAAATCAACCATTTGTAATTAGTCAAATTCATGATGCATGAAGGGAAGGGTTTAGGTGTGTTTAGCCGAGATACGTTGTTTACAATAGATTTGGAGAGAAGTTGCTTTAAATGCAGTCCTTGTGGCTCTTAGTTTATAAATCGTTCAGGCATATAATAAATGTAGTTTTTTTCTGGAACACTTCTTATGTAGTACCACAGTTTCACAGAACCTTCGTTCCTGGTATTGTGCTAACACTACCCGAATTACAAGCAGAGAAGTCCTACTATTTCTCCTTCCTTTGTTTATTTTCCACAGTTTCATCCGGATGTAAGGCCGACGAATATTCCAGCTTTATTCGGTGTTAAGCTCCACACCTCGGCCATCTGCTGTCAAACGTGATAGCAATTTAACCCCATTTCTAATAGCTTAACAGGATTAACTGGGATAGGCAACATACAGTTAAGACCTTTTCTTGCAATAATGGCAATGATAACAAAGCGTGACAAAACCTTCAAAATGATTGAGAAATCTATTGTATGTTAGCCGGTTGCTGCCGGGGAATCATTTACCCATATGAACAAAGCCCTTTGATTATAGTTTGGTTACATGAAATTTGCCACTATCGCCGCATTGCGTTTTTAGTAAAGCATGAAGAATACAAAACGAAGGATCAATGAAGCTTTATTTTAGAGCTGCCTTGAAATAAGATTGTATTATCCAAATGTAGGGCAATTATCACCAGTACAAGTGATTTTCCTGTGATTCACTATTATGTATTTTGTTTAGTATGCCAGGTTCCTTAATTGTTGTCACATATTTGAAATTTATTTTGTACCATTTCCGAACCTGACTGGGCGCAAGGCTCTTAAATTTGCAATTCACACAATTTGAATTATTTTTCAAACGTACGATTGCTTACGTATTGTAGAACAGTCATGGGTAACTGTGGCTGATTTTTTTTTACCAGCTATTATGCTTACAATGTTTTGAAAAGTTTTAGCCCAAGTAGTACGATACTTGACTACGATTAGGCAAGGGTTCCATGGAAGTGCCAACAGTTTGCAAGCCACAAAAGGTCCGGTAATGACACGCAATTGGGGTACAAAATGATTGGATCCACCGATTGACACACTTCCAGTCACAAATTATGAAGTACCTCTCTGGTTACATCTGGCGTGGTTAGTAAAAAAGTAACTTGGCAAACACTCCTCATCAGGCTCTTTCCTCGTTTTGCAAATGTTAAAGTCTTTCACATTATCACAGGCGTTCAGTGTTCAAATGCTGTGAAAGTAAAGAGGAGAACAGATTCATCTGCACAAAAGCACTACTAGGAGTATCCGCTAGCATCGGCTCAACGTGCATATAAGCTTGAGATCGGAGCTATAGCCTAATCTAGAGCTGATAGAAGTATCTTTGTGGATCATCAAACGCAAGATCTGTATTGGGGAATGTCGGTTAGCAGTTCACAAGAGTGGGGGAGGGGGGACTAGACTTATAGTATACGGGTGAGATATCTGGTTTCATTGGGTGGCCACGAATCGAATAATCAGCCCCCATGCAATCTTGTTGGATACATCCCAATTTCTTGGTACCATGTGAATGACTTCTACACAACTTTCAATAAACAGGCCACAACAAGTAGAGTCAGTATCAGTGTCTTGCACCTATAGGACTACGATCTTTCAAGACTAGTAAAGGAAAGAGAAGATGGATTAGAATGCAAAACGTTGAAAGGATACAGTAGACTAACTTTAAGACTTTTTTTCCTGCAGCCTCTACTAACAGAACAGAGATGAACTAAAAGTAAACATAGGAGAGCAGCAGAAGTTAAGAAGGGGTGCTTCATTTTGAGAAAAGAATCGAAGATTAAAAGTGGTCCAATAGAGTCACTCTTGCTTTATCTAAAAGTGGAGACAAAAGGGTAAATCATCTTCTATATATTTTTGCATATACAGTGTAGAACGATTGTCAACTTAATTCGTGTTCCCCATTAATAAAAGTTGTGCTACACCCATGCGATACAAGCAAATCATAAGCAGACTACGCGAAGTCGTCTATCATCGGGTGAAATGAGCAAAGTTGGCATTTGATACACCCAGCTATTTTCATCGACATCTTCCGTAGATAGTTTTAAAGTTTATTCCTTTCAATTGTAGAACATGGTAGTGACCTGTGGAATACTGATCATAAAATAATTCGAAGTGGTTTGTTACTTCCACTCTACCTTTGCCGAAACCATTTTGTGTAATTTTTCGGCACCCTGGATTTTTATTCTTGTTATGGCATTTAACGCTAAGCCAACAAAAATAGCAAAATTCGTGCCCTTACTTAAAAGTGTCCTCGGCTTGTTGAAAGCGCCTACATCTTCCAAACTGGTTGCAACTAGTTTATTTTTGGACATCCTTGCACCTGCCGAACCATAATTTCTCTGTTTCCATTTCCTCTGCATATGCATGTACAACTGCGTACACAAAGTTTTGCAACTTGCATATGATGTTGCATAAAAAATAATTATGACTTTCTCAATCCTTCTTGTGCATATCATGGTTTCTGCATGCGTAATTTATTGTAAGCGTTGGTTGTCCTGATTGTTTTTGATTGTCTTTGTTGTCTTTTGGTTTGTAAACCTGCAGGTCAAGCTGTAGGGATGGGCATTGCATTGATTGATGTGTACCTGCAATGTAAGGATTTTTTTGAGTTGCTTTTTTATTTTTTTACCTGTCGGCTTAATCAATCTTTCTTTCATAGCGATTCACCTTCTACTTTAGATACCTCCGTTATAGATGTACCTCAATTAAAATTCCCGCTGTTAAGTGAAAAGGCGTAAGTTACCAACTCGTCAAGATATATAAATACTTTGCCAGATTTCCTTAGAATGACTCTTTGCTACTTATACTTATTAGTAAAAAAGGCAACCGGATCCAAGTAACTACAAGGTTACCAACTGGACCCTAATATAAAACAATAATCATTACAAGGAAACAATTTTGCTGATTCTTTGCTGCTTTGAATTTCTCGTGTTGCGCTTTCTGCTTGTTCTAGTGTTAGCTCAGACTCATACTTTTTTGTCGCATTTTTAAATAACTGATGGAGTTACTTAACTATCAAGAAAGTTTACCTACTATTACTTCCGAATCTGAAAATAAAATGGAGTTTGCAACCAAGTATCAAAATTCGACTGCTGCCACTTCTGGTACTGCTTTGAATGTCAATGATGTGTTTCAATCATCTCTTTCCTACAATACTGGAAGTACCACTGCGAATTCTTTTGCACCATTCTCGCAAAACTATCTGGATTTATCTGAACTTGAAGGAAACTCATTTGCCAACAATGACTACTACGACTCTTACAACTATATGTTTTCCAACGTTGACAATGACCAGTCGTCTTGTCCTTCTGGCAGCCATTCTCATGAATTGGTTTCAAACTGCACTTCAAACTGCACTTCAAGTGCCAACTCTGAGTTTTCGAACTCTTCTCCATTGAATTCTCCTTTCAATTCCTCGCATCCACAGGCCCTCAAGCATGGCTCTCAAAGTAACTTCTATCAATTTCAAGGATTGCCATCCAACAATCTGCATGAGTTTCAACAAATCATAAATTGTATGCCTGAAGCACAAGAGGTGGAAAGCCAATTCACATACTCTTCTTCTAGTGCTCCATCAACTGCTGATACTGACTCATTCTCAACTAGTAACGAGAGTCCTAGTTATCCTGTTAGCGGCCAAGCCGATTCAACTCAAAACCTGAATGATATGATGAACTACCCAGACATCACTACATTTGTGAACTCAAACATGCATATTGCTTTACCAATTGTTGAGTCTACGTTTGTTGACCACAGAATATGCCGTGTTTGTGGAAAGAGAATCAACAGGGATATGTCTAGACATATGAGAACACACCAAGCCATCTCTAGATTCACTTGCAAGTTTCCAAACCAGTGTCGTCACCGTTCTGGTAAGTTCAACAGACCTTACGATTTCAAGAAGCATTTATTGAACAGGCATTTCAAGTTCGATGATATACAAATCAAGAGAAAGAATAACTTGAACGAAAAACTAGATCACTGGGGTACATGTTTGTGCGGTACGAGGTTTTTAGCGAAGGATTGGTTAGATTATCATATCTTGACAAACGACAAGGAGCAAAGATGCTCTTATGTTGAGTAAGTCACTCTGAAACGCTCCTTCATGTCATACCCGAAAGGATTTATCTGCACAAGTATGCACTATTTTACTTCGAGATGATGATTATCATTGGTTAATTTGGTATTTACTTCTTCACTTCTTGTATGTGTTAATTTCCCATTGTTTCTGCAAACCTTTGAAAAGTTTGTAGGAACACTTTAGAATCATTATATATATCTTCCACTACATAACTACAACATATTTATTGGTGTTTTATTATGACAATGTATTTTGACTTTCCATGCTCTGAGTGTAGATTTGCTATTTGGGTGCACAATTTCTTGAAGATGGCAACCGATGTCAATATAGAAGAAAACGCACTCCAAATGAACTTTTTTAAGCATACAGGAACAAGTTTATGGAAAACCTCTTTAGTCTTTCGCTTATATATTATTGCGTAGGTTTTTCCTAAGGGTCCAGGGACATTATACCCGCACTTTTTTTGTGAATTGCACTTACTTTATGGTTACGCTGGAAGTTAGCTGAATCACCACTTTTCGAGCTATATATTAGCCGACCAACCTTTTTCCAGAACTAGAAGAGTAGATGTGGGTTGACTTTGCTCCTCGCAAAATCGGCTGGTTTCGTGACGTGCATAACTGTGCCAATCCAGAATAGGAATTAATGTCCGGTTACCAGTCACCTCTGCGGTTAAACACTTAGCCTAGAAATATGTTTTGACCTACATGTGTCTTTTTTATTCCTCTAGTCCGAACCTTTTTCATTTCCTGAATTTTACTTGTGATCACAGGCGTTCCTTTCTTCAAGTATGCGTCCCATTCTTTTAGCTGTAGGTGGTATTACTCTATGTAAATGTAGTTAATTCCAAGCTATCAAATGTTACCACGAATTAAATATGTAGCAGGCGAGTATTGGCAGGAAGTTAAATCTCTTATAAGATGTAGCGTTACATTTTGTTAAAACAGATCTAATCTAAGGCATATCCTAAATCTAAAACAACTTTAGATATGCATTTTCAAACAAAATTTTCACAAGATCATGAGAGTTCTTTGTTTTTTTTTTTGGAATAAATGTTTGAAGAGATTCCCCCAACCTTTGTGAGGCTTCAGGAAAGGTTAGCGAAGTACCTTACGGCTTCAAAGAATATAACAGTTCAAGGTGCATTTTTCTTTAAAAATAGTCGTCAAAAGTGCTTTCGGTGAATCTTGAAGTTCCGAACCATTTGCTATTGTAAACCCTGCTTCAGAACACGATTTTGGCGACGAATTGGGTCTTACAAGGTGGTACACATAGAATAGTACTCTATCGGGTAAGAATCTTAACTACAGCATTGCATACGATCCTTGCAAACCAGTCCACGCCCAGATACGGTGCAAGATTTGGAAAGTCGAGCAACGAAAAAAAATTATTAAATGCAATATAGTACTAGACCAGGCTGCAAATAACAACTTTACATCGAGTGCAGTATGGGAGTATGCATACATGGACCGAAGTACAGCAATAAACACGACTTCAGAAGAGAGGTTAGAGATAGAAGCATAAAGTCCCCTTACATAAAAGAAGTCTTCGTCTAGAGAACTCGAAATCAAAGGGAAACTTGATGAATTTCACGTTGTGGGTTGCGTACAACACCAGAAGGCTACAGGAAGAGAAGACCAGATTGGGAAGGTAGTTTGGTATATTACATGCGAAAGTAAAAATAATTGCAAGACATATTGTTTATTGTAGCCGCTGCTGCAGCTAACCCTGAATACACCTATCAATCTGAGCTCTATTATAATGTAGGTTTCCTTCCTTTACAGTAAGAAAAGGGGATTTAGATTTTTGTTCCTGAAGGTCGAAAGTTCGTGTTTTGTGTGAATGTAACACAAGGGGCAGTTTTGCCGAACATGCGTTCTCGTCTAGAAGCAAAACGATACACAATTTTTAAATCAACATAACCATCCGAAACAAGATATGCTAACAATGTATTCTTGCACATCGACGATTCAAGTTCCGGATTGGGATAGAACGTATCTTTTAGTGAATTAAATAGCCTTCTAAAATCAGAAGATATGTGCCTCGAACAAGGTAACAGTTTTTTTTGAACAGAGACACAGAACATTTGTATTGTTTGATGCATGGGACGTATGGTGAACGCACGAATGCACTTGGCTGTAGTAGTCAGGGACGACAAGTAGAAGCAAGCATAGAAGGAAAAACCAATGCACATGAGTCTGGTCGAGCAATAGCTCCCTAGCAACAACTACTCACAGAGGCATAAGTCATTTGCAACACTACATGCATATTCCACGAGCGTGCGTGAAAATACGGGTACTACTTTATTCCTCAATTCAAGCCCTCTGTACCGGAGTTATTTGAACTACGTGATTACATTTATCACAGTAAATAATGATTCAAAATCGACTTGAGTTGGGTGGTATACGGAGAACACAGTATTTTGTTAAACCTAACTGAAAACATACGAGAGAATACCAGAATGTCAATCGATCAGAGTAAAATGGGTAGTTTTTGATGACCTTTGTTCTCATACTAGATGCAAGTATAATTGCGAACTACCCCCTTGAACAGAATATCTTTAGTGCTACCGCATGAAATATTGTCCGGCACAGGTTTTATTGACACTTAAAACACTGTTGGTTAAACATATAGGATTATACAATAAAGTGATTAAGATGTGCAACATCTTGAAAAGTTTGATTGTCCCTTCCTACTTTTGAATTGGTATAGTCCAAAAACTCATTACAAGAGAATGCTAAGAACATTAGCTTTGTAATATCGTGCTTACACCTTGTGATATATGTAAGATGTGGACCCTCTAAATTAACATTAACCATACACACTAAAACAAAAGTATTTATGGCGTACTAAAACGGAGTTTAGGTCACCATGAGATACTAGATGATAGCGGCTAGTAGTCATAGCAATAGTGGTAATAGTAGTAGTAGTACCAAAGTCACATCTAAGGTCAAACCTGAATACCAACTACGAAAGATGTAAATCTAATTCTTTATAGTCCCCAATTTGATTGTGAAATGTCCAAAGGGTATTTTGTTTGGTGAATCATATTAATTTTTTAGGCCTGAGACTTTTTTTTGTATCTGAGATCGACGCTACCATATAGGTTTTGACGTCAAAGGTGGCTGATTTTATCTGTTAGAAACTGTGCGTTCATCAAAAGTGCCAGTCACCCTATTAAAATAAGCAGAAGAGTGAAGGTCGAAATCAACAAAGTAAATAAAGAGGTCTAAAAGTGATGGGTCTGCGATGACAGAAAAGTCCTCACGAGAATACTTTGGAGCACCCACAGGTTCAGCAAATGCCCAGGGTCCTCAACGGACACCTATAATTAGAAGACAATTTGACTCGGGTATAGAATCTTCCAACGATACTCAAGAATACAGCATGTGGCAAAGAGATCCTACCGTCGGTCAAGTCCCGTACTATGATGACATGACAGCGCATCATCAAGGTGCCCACGACGTTGATCATCGTTACAGTGCTGGAACAAATACTGTTGATGGAGAGAACACCAATTATGTGAATCATTTTCAGACCCCGGACCAAAATACCATTACTAATAATAGTCAAATTGGAATCAGAATTCCAGGTGCTGTTCCTGATCAACACCACAATAATCGTGATGCTATCTACGATGTACATTACCAGTTTTCGAATTCCCAGTACGATGAGTACGAAGAACAAGATACAAAGTTACAACAACAACAGAAACACTATCCAACTCCATATCTTGGAATTGATTTCGAGAGAAATCCCCATCAGTTCCCTTTACAATATGATGAAAATTATAAGAGTATCAACGCTAATCGTTTTGCCAAACTGGTTGCTGCGGCCCAGAAACTGCCTGCTGCTGTTCATTCGAATGTTCAACAACGTATGCCGCATCAGGATCTGCAACACCTGCATCAACCACAACCACCACCACTTCCTTCTCAACTGCAAACTATACCAGTATCACTACAGCATTCACAACAACAAGAGCAACAACAACAGATACCTATTGCCGGTCAAAATCGCATTAAACAAGAAGATTCCGGTGACTATAATCAGGTCAAGCAAGGGAACTCCAGCTTCAATGAACTGTATGCTTCTGACCCAGATCACATACAGAGTACTCAAGGTGTCCCAAGATACGATGATCTTTTTGGATTAGGGGTAGGAGAGGTATTTTCCGATCATCCAGAGTCTGAAATGCCACCGCCACCTTCAAAACTTCAGAAGTTGCTTTTTGTTCGTGATTTTTCTGGTCTGACGCTGAATGTACCTCCTCCCAACAAACATAACCGTAGAAGAAAAAAGCCTACTCATATGCATCTTTCCTTTGATGATTTGCTTTCTCAACCAATGATGAACTCTCTATCAATGCCTCAAACTGCAGATGGAATTCCTGGTGGTGTTAATCTGGGTCTTGACTTTGGCAATGACTTTTACGCATTAAACGGAAACGTTACACCATTTATGGTTCCTCCTCTGGTGGAGAACGACAATGGATATTTTCCCAATTTACAGTCTCCGTCATTTTATGGCACACAACAACAACCAGGAGAGATGACGTCGTATTTTAATGTGCCACTTCAAAGCAGTCTGCTAGATCTACAGGAACAAGAAGTAACAGGAGCAGTTCTTCGAGAGAAAAATAGAAAGGTTCTGACCAAACAAACATCATACAATCTGTTAATTCAACAGGCAAACCAAGCACAATATAGATCAGGTCTTAATAATGACCAAGTCCCATTGAAGAGGAAATATACAGATTCCCCTGAAGGTTATAAGGCTGCGATAAGTAGCGAACCCCAGCTTCCAAGAATGAGTACAATAAAACCCGAACTTCCTCAGTCATCTCGACATCGAAGAGTTCAATCTTCTGTCATGTTAGCAGAGAAACATAATGAAAGGATACACCAAGATTCTGATATTAATCTTTCGAAGAAGCCTATAGTAGATGATAGTAGCAGTGGTAAGGTAGGAGACCAGAGAGTTTTCATGTCAAATGAAAATTTAACGGACAGTGATTTACAAAGTGTTCGGAGCACTGATGCAAGTGATTCTGCAGGGCAGAAGATAGAAGCTGGCACGGTAGCAGCAGGAGGTAAGAAAAGATCATCCAAAGGGTCAATGTGTACAGTTTGTAAGAAGTTCATCAAACGTGATTTCACGAGACACATGCGGATTCATGATAGAGTTGGAAGGTTTCAATGTGTTTATCCCAAGTCGATGTGTCTGCACAAGACACAGAATTTCAATCGACCATATGATTATAAGAAACATTTGCTACACATACATTTTGTATTTGAGAACCATTGGGGGAAGATAACCAAGTTATTAACAGATAAACTACCGTTAACAGGGTCATGTCTTGCATGTGGAGAGATGTTTATTGCTAGTGATTGGTTGGAGAACCATGTACTTACAACTGATAGTTCTAGGCGGTGCAAACATGTGATAGCGCCTACTAAGGATAATATGGCCAGTCTTATGGCAGAAAGCGAGGAGCCAGAAGACTTTGAGTACGACGAGGAAGAGAATTTCCCGCACTAGATTAAGCCCATTAGTCTTAATATTGCTCAGTCTAAATGTGCGCGCAGTGAATACACAATGAGCAGATAAGAAAAACAAGACAAGAAAAGATAAGCTTAGCAGGCAAGAAACTCAAGACAAGTCAAGTTGAGTCATCATCTGTCAAGTCACGTCAAAATTAAGGGCTGTATTAATTTAAACGGAGTAGCCTCTGACAATACGCGTCAAGATTTGACGTTTTCAACTTACGTTAAACGGTTTCAGAAACCTGAGACCGTATACGGAATCGATAGAGTAGTTCGCGGTAGTTGGCATGCATGAATGGGGAAGAATCTCACAAAAATACAAAACGAGCAATTAACACGCAGGCTCCATCCAAAAACGAGCAAATAATCCTAAAGCTTGGGTGTAACTGTCAGTTGTATATAAATATCGGGGGGATACCAGTGACATTAAACATTCCGATTTATAGAAACAATTGACACGACTGCCATTATCATTACTTGAGCATAGAGTTTAAGGTACAACAGAGTACAATATAGTGATCAGAGAATCACATTATACCCACCGGAAATATACTACAATAGCCGCACAATGCTGTCGAATGAAGATATTATGAACATGATGACGTCCATCATGGATATGATGGATAATATGAATATGCACATGTTTTTCACCACCAAATGGAAAAACTATCCCGTATTGTTTAAAGACATGAAGGCTAAGAATGGTGCTGGAGCCTTTGGAATATTTGTGTTGCTTTTCGCGGCAGGTTTTCTCACCAGAGGCTTGAACTTTTTAGAGGTTTATTTGGAACAAAAAGTATGGAAGAACCCACTGTACACCGCCTGTATGGTGGAGATGAATTCTGCTTCTTCTCATCTGGAATCCAGTAGTAACGAGAAGGTTCAATCTTCTTGTTGTGGAGGAGGTGATGATGAACCAGTTAAAAATATGGTATTATCTCGTCCTACCCTTGGCGCGGTTCTATTCAGAGATTCGGTGCGATTGGCTCTCTGTATTTTACCAGAAATTTTCAGTTTCGCTTTAATGTTGGCTTCCATGTCTTATACCTTATTATATTTCTTTGGAGTGGTTCTAGGCTTGGGGATTGGTAGATTTACATTCGATAGAATTGGTGAACGTTTGAAAACTCGTCCTACAAATAACTTTCTTCACTGCTAATGAAATGCATCTTTTATATTTATACTATTTAATTCCATGGAAGCGGCGTTCCACATCAACTAACGTTATCATCAATATATTTTAACAAATCATTGTACTTTGTTTTTGTGAAGGCTGGCCCATCTCCATCAGCCAATTTGCTCGAGTAAATCATCCGTGCTAAATTCTTGTACTCTTCCTTGTCGTAGCCGTACTCATTGGTCTTCATTTGTTGCATAAGATCATGCTCATTAATAGGAAACATTTCATAGTATCTGGATGATCGACTGAAATCAACAGCTTCAGGGTTTAAAACACTGTTCCGAAGTAATTGTTGTAACGAAATAATATTCAAAAGCACCCTCTTAATACCAAACAGATTGATTTTTTTAATTAACCGAGACCCTTTAATCATTAAAACGTCCAATATCTCCGATAATCCAAGATAAAGATCAATTTCCTTATTAAGAATCCCCAATTCACTCAATTTGTTATCCAAATGGAAAATCTCTTTGCTCAATTTACTAATAAATTGATCAGCATCACCAGGTTCCGCAGTGGGGAACCAATCCACTGATTTGAATGAACGACAAATATAATAAACACATCTTAATCTAATATCGTATCTCAAGGTCAATAATGCTTCATTTTGAACCTTCTTTAGGGTACCAACATAATCATCAAATCGTTCACCGTGTGCATGATCAAGTGCAAGAAGAATCGACGAAGCAACTTGAGTATTAGTAGTACTGGTTTTCCCGTTCCCATTCGCTATGGATATTTCCTTGTCTGTTCCTGTAAATGCTGAATCATTGATATGATTTCTACCAGAATGCTCAAATCTACCACTTTCTAGGAATGACCATTCATTCTTTAAGTCTTCTATTTCTGATATTGATAATGAATCTTCAGTGGTGTTTGTGGAAGGTTTGAATGCCTCACGCTTAATATTTGGCAACCAACTCAATACCCATGTGGAACTCAAATATAAATAGCACACCTGATGGAAAGTCTCATCATCCAAGAAATCATCACTAGAAATGTCAAACAACCGTAAGTTACGGTCGGTGGTCATGATTTCAATTTCTTTTGTAATCCATTCTTGGTATTGATCAGGAGTAGTATCTTGTTGATGAACAATCTTCAATAATGTGTTGGAAACTTCAACTAAGGCTGGGATATGCAACCATAATTTCAACTCGAATTCAGGAACTCCATTAGAAGCATCATCAAAACTATCAATCAGACAAACAACATTATTCTGACTTATAGGCAGTGACAGGGCACAAATTAAATTCTCAAAATGACGTACATAAGTTTGTGCAAACGATTGAATTGTACCCAATGCTGCCCCATTGTAACTGCTTCTGTAGATGACAGCTGTGTTAAAGATGGCGCATATGTTACTTAAAGTATTTTTGAAGTCCATTGCATTTTTGTAAATGACTCTGATTTCAGGATTTAATGAAGCTTTAGCATTATAATCTGCAACAGTAGCTCTTCCTGAGTCCAACGAAAGCAATTCGTTCTTAAAACTAAACTCTGTAAGTCTTGTATTAGCCACCCGCTCATTAAACTCATTATCAATTTTCTGATTCAAATAAGACATAAATGTAACCTCCATAAAATCCTTAAAGAATTGAATAGGTGAATTTTCAACAACCATCGCTTTGGATGTAGCCACAAATATCAAAAAGAATTCCAATATTATTCTCATATTGAATACACTCAGGGGCGTAAGCATTTCAACATGAGCATTGTATGTCTCTGACATAATGTATGGTGATTTATTATTTGCTGTAAAATCACTTTGAACGTCATCCGACAACGTGTAACCTGAGAACATGTCTTCTAGACTCCGTAACTTGTTTTGGTTCTTGAGATTGTGTGATTCAAATTTGAAAACATCCTTTGTTCGTAATATCTTATAAAGACTTCCCTTTGACTTCAAATTAGGAAGTGCTTCATTCATTCCTGGTTGAACGTAGTTAAGATCATAAATGTAATTGTTGAGGAGTGATTGTATTTCTTTTCGTATGATACTCCATGCAAGGCTAAAAACATATCCAGCGGAGTTTATTGAAGGAATATCGCCTTCACTTGAAGTCATGGGACGGACATTTCTTGCAAATTCAGAATTTATTGGATTAAAATCCAATAATTCAAGAATTTTTGAAAGTATTTTATGCCTTTGTAATACTCTTCCTAATTTAAGAAACAAGGAAGAAAACAAGTCCTCTAAGATAATCACTGCAAAGTCATGAAATGAATTCATTCCAAATGGATCATTTACTTTAGGAGTTCTGTCTAGCAGGTTAAACTTATTCATCTTAGTGATATTAACCAAGTTGTAGCCTTTAACTTCTGCTGTTAAATTTCTTATAACAGAATGCATTTCCAGTTGAATGTTACCCACAAGAATTTCCACAATTTGTGGCAACCGACTTAATTTCGATGCAGTTTGTAAAAGGTGGTACATATAATGATAAGATCTAAAATCATCATTTTTAGTAGCATCAAAAAGTAACGTAAAATCTTCAGCTGTACCTGAGCTCCCGCCAATTTTCTCCAAAACTAAACAACGTTCATGTAACTTGGGTAATTGAGTATTCAAGAAATAATCAAAATCCGAATTGAAAAGATCAGCAATTTCCATATAGTCTATATTGGCTGAGTTATAGATAAAACTTTCCAAGTTTTGAGAATCTGATATCAAAGATTTCAAAGTAGCCATCTTGGGATTCTTTGAGTTAAGTAAGTTTTTGCGTGAGAATTCATCATTGTCATTTTCATTCTTTAAAAACAACTCATTCTGTAATTCATCGATAATCATGTCAAATAAGTTATTACTTTGAGTTTCCAAATAACTCTTTATTGTTCCCAAAACAGGGATTGTCCATAAATTGTATTGTTCAGCAATTTTGTATGAATTTGAAATAACATCATAAACGTTGTTCAATCGACGTTCTTGAATTAGATGTTCTACCTTTTGAGGTACTCCATTTAATTCATCTATAGCGTCCAAAATTTCTAGCATATCAGCATATCTTTTAGATTGTTCGTTTAATTCTGTCAACTTGTCTGATTTATCGTGGATATCTTTGGTGACAGTTTCCAACAACTCTTTGATATCCTCACATTCCTTCAGAGACTCATCCAAGTTTCTAACAAGTAAATGGTATGAGCCAATTGCCTTATTGAACACTTCATTTTGATCATTCACAGCCAAACGCAACACAGTGTCTGTTTCTTGCTTGACCTTATCAAACTCGGGAATCTTATGCGCAAGACCAACAGAACTATCATCTAACAATTGTACGGCCATTTCAATGGGGTTTGAATCTTCCCGTATGGTATTTGGCCATTCATACTTCAATACATTGTGCACATCTTTCATGACATGGATTGATTCAGGGGTTCTTTTGGTACTTTGAAGGCCATATATTCCATTGCTTGCGTTTAGACCCTTGACAGAGCCAGTCCTATTGCTGCCATTATTATTGGTGCTGCTGCTGCTATTGATGTCATTATTGCTATTATTGTTGTGGTGTCGGTAATCCTTAGAGATCACCATGCTCAAGGCACGCGAACGATTACCCATGTTTCAATTCAATTCAACTAAATATGACCTGCTAGGTTCAATGTGTGCCTTCCGGAGGCGTAGATTCCCTTCTTGGTATGGAAGAAAAGAGTACCAAGTTTCTACCAAACACTAGGTGGTGTTTTTTTCCACTACAGCTAAGACCGTGCGCACAAATCAATATCACCAGAAACGTCAAGGTCAAGAGTATGCTAAACTACACTGAATTGCTCTACGGTGGTAAGGGCTAAAATTGTATTGATATGTGCTTATTGGCTTGAAGTGTTGTAGTAGTAACAGATGGGGTGGCATAGACAGCGGGGTAGTATCTCACTATGCAGCATTTCATTATTGAATAGTTCCTTTACAGAAGTGCTTGACAAACCATATTAATCGTGAAGACTGCTTCTACATAAAGGAGACACCTACTTCATCCAATTGGAAGGATGAGTTTCGTTGCATATCGTTGGAGACAGTTCACTACTGGGCAGTTATTGACACTTTATACAAACCGCCTGAACGACGACACAAATTACCTATTTAGGAAATACACAACACAAAAATGTCGACTTCCCAATATAGTAGTAAACAGAAATTTCCCCTTTTCGTGTCCTTTGCTTATACATGTAGATCATTGATCTCATTGCATTCCTCTCTACAAAATACTTTTACATGTATCTAACCAAATCATGATATGACGGATATAGACATAATAGAAATATCAGAAGACGGGTCCGAGACCTTCGACAAGTATGTTAACTTTTTTGTTGTACCCGCGTGAATCAGATCAATCACATTACCATACGCGTTGTTTTGATAGAAGTCCAAGCATACTAACTCATATCAAGGTTTGTAACCACAAGGAAGGAGGAGAAGTTTGACCAGAATCAAACATTTCTTAAATCTTCCCCTCTTTTAACCGTGTCTGCAAATGCAAATGCAAATGAAGGTGACGATAACATTGAAGTAGTAGTTCTCAGTGATGATATCTCCAAAAGCAATACCTCAATTCAAGGTCTTTCAAATGCCAATGCTGATGATAGCTTACAGATAATGGATATTATCATGAAAGAGACCCCACAATTGGACAAACCAGAGTTACCACCTATTTTAGATCAGTCTACAAGCCCGATAAGACAACAAATTGATGCATCTAGTCCAATTGCGGCAGTTAACGGAGTTCAATGTTCAAGACTATTTGTTGGTAGCAGTTCACAGAACTCTCAAGAAGAGTCCTATAAACGGAAATTCACTGCCTCTGACATTCTCCAAATGACAGAATCAGAAGGTGAAGAGTCCATATTGAAAGAGCAGCCCACTAGAAAGAAATTACACATGGAAGTACCTCGATCACAGAGCGCTGTGTTAACTCCCATAAAGCCACAGTCTCCAATACAAATGGCTGGCCTGACTTCTCTCGCAATCACACCAGCCCGTTCTCGAGAGTCAAATCGAGGTCCAACAAAATCCACAATGGCCAACTTCTTCTCATCGTCCCCTGTACCAGTTCATGCAGCAGCTCAGCATAGAAGTTATGCAAGTCCGACTACAAAAAAGCCTTCTAATACTTTCTATTTAATCAATACATTGTCTTCACCAGCGAGGGTCCTTTCAAGCTCACCGGTTTCAACAAGGGTTCACGATTCACCAAGTAAAAAGATCACAGTTGACGTACCTCGACCTAAGAATAACAACATACCCATTGTGATTGAGAACCTTTCAAGCGATCCCATTGAAGACACAATCGAGCCTGTTGCTCCTTTAACAAAAAGTAAACCTTCTAAGAAGAGTTTAAATAAGTCAAAAAATGATTACACCTTAAAAGAACTAAATGCTGTCAATAAGATAGTTCGAAGAAAGGAAGATCTAATGGCAGAGATGGTAATTCACATTTCAGAACATCTTTACCTTAACAAGTTTAAACAGGATTATATGATGGCCAAATTTATCAATACTGAGATTAAACAAGAGTCCATAAACGAGCCAATAATATATTGGACAAGAAATGTGAAAGCAACATATGATACAGAGAAGGCGCTATTTTTACCTTGTGAACCCAAAACCATCATGGAAACCAATTTAATGGTGTATTTAAACGCAGAAGAATTCTTCGATGGTATTGTTGATGAGGAATTCATTAACCAATTTGAATCTAATACGAAAGCCTATGAATTAAGAAACTTATACCGCAGAATCAATTCAATAATAGAAAATTTTAGAATGAAGCTATCCTTTAACAAATCCCCACATGTTGTGTTTATAATTGAAGGGTTTGAGAAATTAATGACAAAGTTAAGATCAAGAGAGAACAAAAAGTTTAGAGATCTTGTAACCGGAGTTTCAGACCTTCCAAGTTCACAAGAGGCAAGCCAAAAACGATCCAAAAAGGCTCAAGAGAAATTATTATATTCTCTCCCATCAAAAGAAGTGGAAAAGTTACTTAAATATATTCAATTTGAAACTGGGATACCAGTTTTTCTTGTTAGAGGAAACCAAGAAGCCATTGAATGGTTGTATCTGTTTACTTATACCATATCCAAATCACTTTATGATCGTTTAAGCCGTAACAAAGACTTTGCTCACTTGAACACAGTTGGATCTGGGGTTGATGCCAAACTGACATTTATTCGTTCTCTTGCATTATTTAAGAGAATGACACAGGAAAAGGCAACATCACTTTATCCCAAAGCTGGCTCTATGAAGCAGTTGTATAAAATTTATGAAAGTGGGAAATTGGTGGGCTCACCTTTACCCACTACAGTTGATGCCTCCATGAGACGATTCTTTACCAGTGATGATCCAGATGAGAACATAAGTATTGATTAAACCGTTAACAAAGATATACTATACAGACCTGCTTACTATTTCACCTGTTCAACAGAATTAAAGTCATCATTGTTCAATCTTTCTTTGATGGGTTCGATGCTTTTTAAACCATTGGAGATACTAGACAACTCTTCCTTTGAAAAGGAGAAATCCTTAATTGCAGCCAATTGAGCAATTATGTTTAATGCCATATCAACTGTATTGACATTCCCATTAGGTGTGAGTAAAGCTATCATTTCATTCACCAAGTGGTGTTCCTTGATGTGATCAATTATTTTCAAATCCTTCCCGCTAGCATCTCTATCTATGGAAAGAATAGCAGAAATGGTGGCAAGAACTCTAAGGTTTGCTTTATCTTGGCCTTGACATAATTTCAAAGCAGACCATCCGTTCAATTTGTCGAATTCCTCATATCCAGGCTTGAAGTTACGGATATAATTGGAGATAGCAAATAGCGATTTCACTACAAGTGTTTTATTTTCTGAAGTTTGGGCAATTGAGATCAACTCCGCTATTCCTTCTGGATGGAGATGAAAGTCTTGCTGAGTCTTGGGGTTATTCTGAACTGCGATACCAATTATTCCACAAACAAGTAGTCTCAACAGATCATCAACTCCTGACTTTAATAAAGTAAGTAAAGGAGTCCACAACTTCAAGTTTTCAATATTGTTGGCATTATCCAAGTTCTCAATCATCATTTCAAAATTATCTAAAGCAATTTCTTTGGCTTCAACAGTGGACTCTTTCAGTACTGCCACAGTCACAGCTTCCTTCATAAGAGCAGCTTCATCAGGAGCACCAAACAATTGACCAAGGGTTTGTTCATCTGGTTTCCCGATTTTCTTAATAGCTTCTGCGTCCCCAGATTGTTGGGCAATTGACCATTGTAAGAGCTTCTCCATATTAAATCGAGTGCGATGAGATGAGATGAGATGAATTGACTTAAAAAGATGCTTAAGCACAACAAAAGTCAAAGGACTGTTCTGATTATTATAGCTATCTGTTGATGTAATTAAGCTATCGGATTAAGGAAATCCAATACAAGCAATCGCTATAAATAAGTCTAATAATCAGTAGTATAGTTCAAGACAGAAAACATAGAATAGCAAAAGATGACACAAAATAGAAGGAACTGGAAGTCACAAGAAGCTTCTACGACATCGAGTCATACCTGACAAGCACGACATTTTGTTTGCGACATTTTAATTTTTGTGTCTTGTAATTCAAACAACATTGGGGGAACTTTATAAATGCATTGACCCGGGAAGCGCATATTTCGTGTGAGATATTGATCACGGGTCCCCTTGGTCCATTTTGGCTTTGTAAACGCATATGAAGGATTTATGCGGACAAACGAGTCCCGGCCAATAAAGAGAGATCCATAAACGTATAGTAATAGGAGGAACAAGCTTTATGATTACTATCGACAGTTGATCTATATTTTTAATCACAAACGACCACGTAGCATGAGGAAGCGTAATAGTAGTGGTGATACAGTTGGGGTAGAGACCCATTTAAGAGCATATTTAAACGGTAGCGCGCAGTTTACATACTAGTGGTTATTCAAAGGAAGTGAATTAGAATGAAGTAACCGTCTCAAGTAAATTGATTGTAATGTAGTCCCCAGCAATAGACATGAAGTGATATGTTGCTGATTTACTCTGAAAGATCAGAGGTTGCAACTTACATTCAAAAGCATGGTACACTATGGAGTGAAAAATTCGACATCTGCCCATGCATAGAACGGTGAAATCAGGCATTACATTTAATCCCCCAAAAGATCTTATCCTCCACCACTGAGCTAATCGTATGCCGTATATCCACTACGGTCAACATCTGGTGGTTACTCTCGTTAACCACACACTGTATTCGGTTGTTCCCTCTTGCTGCTCTCCTGATCCAAATCACCCGTGGGGTGAGTTTCCTGCACAATGGATGAAGGTACCAGTACCGCACCTTACGCTGTGTGTGGACGGACTATAAATACGGTGGAATCCCCCCGGGGTTGAAAGAGTGAGAAATCTGGAAACTGTTATTAGTTATTTTCAAGTTCCGAAGATCTCTATTTCGTTTCATAATGTCATTGTCTAATAAGTTGTCCGTTAAGGATTTGGATGTCGCTGGCAAGCGTGTCTTCATCAGAGTTGATTTTAATGTCCCATTGGATGGTACCACCATCACCAACAACCAACGTATTGTGGCTGCTTTACCAACCATTGAATATGTTTTATCCAAGAGTCCAAAGGCCGTGATTTTGGCCTCTCATTTGGGTAGACCAAACGGTGAGGCTGTTTCCAAATACTCTTTGGCTCCAGTTGCTACTGAATTGGAAAAGTTGTTGAAACAAAAGGTTACTTTCCTTAAGGATTGTGTTGGTCCTGAAGTTGAAGAAGCCGTTAACTCTGCTGCTCCAGGCTCTGTTATTCTTTTAGAAAACTTGAGATTCCACATTGAAGAAGAGGGTTCTCAAAAGAAGGATGGTGAAAAGATTAAGGCTTCAAAGGAAGATGTTGCTAAATTCAGAAAGCAATTGACTTCTCTTGCTGATGTTTACGTTAACGATGCCTTTGGTACTGCCCACAGAGCTCATTCCTCAATGGTTGGTTTCGAACTTCCACAAAAAGCAGCTGGTTTCCTTATGGCTAAGGAATTGGAATACTTTGCTAAGGCTTTGGAAAACCCCGTTAGACCATTCTTGGCTATTCTTGGTGGTGCTAAGGTTTCTGACAAGATTCAATTGATTGACAACCTTTTGGATAAGGTTGATATCTTGATTGTTGGTGGTGGTATGGCCTTTACCTTCAAGAAGGTTCTTGACAATGTTCCAATTGGTGACTCTCTTTTCGATGAAGCTGGTGCTAAAAATGTTCATAACTTGGTTGAAAAGGCCAAGAAGAACGGTGTTAAGTTGGTTCTCCCAGTTGATTTCGTCACTGCTGATAAGTTTGACAAGGATGCTCAAACTGGCGTTGCTACTGATAAGGAAGGTATTCCAGACCACTGGATGGGTTTGGATGCTGGTCCAGAATCCAGAAAGTTGTTCTCTGAAGCTGTTGCAGAAGCCAAGACCATTGTCTGGAACGGTCCACCAGGTGTTTTCGAATTTGATAAGTTTGCTGCTGGTACCAAGTCATTGTTGGACGATGTTGTCAAGTCTGCTGAAGCTGGTAACACTGTTATCATTGGTGGTGGTGACACTGCTACTGTTGCTAAGAAGTTTGGTGCAGTTGAAAAGTTGTCTCATGTTTCTACTGGTGGTGGTGCTTCTTTAGAATTGTTGGAAGGTAAAGAATTGCCAGGTGTAGTTGCCATCTCCGACAAGAAATAATCAAGTATAATCTTATAGTAATAATAAAGGTACGGTTTTAATGTATTGATATCTTTTATTTATAACGTAAGAATTTATGTAAAGTGTTGATCAACAACTCTATTATAATTTATAAGTTCCACTATTAATTTGAGCCCATGATTCATCTGTCAACTTTTCATAACGATTACCATTCAACCAATATATGACATCAGTACCATCTTCTCCCAGAGGTAAGATTTGATTTTTAAATTGATTCTTTGGAACCTTATGGTTATGTTGGGCTTCAATTGAATCACTAAACTTAATAAATTGAGGAACAGCATATTTGGGTAACGATTTGATGGTATGATCATAAATCATTGATAATGCTTCCTCTGGTTTGGATTTATATTCATCAGTTAAATCAATAACTGCGAAGCCTGCTCTACCTTCATACTTGGGCACCCGGACACCAACAACCACCGTTTGATTCATAGTTTTTGAACCCATTAATTCATTTTCAACTTCAGTGGCTGATACATTTTCAGATTTCCATCTAAAAGTATCACCTAAACGGTCAACGAAATAATACAACCCATCCTGATCCATTTTTAACAAGTCTCCAGATCGGAACCACGCATCACCTTTACGGAACACATCTTGAATAATTTTGGAAGATGTAGCCTTCTTATTACCGTAATAACCTTGGAATGTTTTTTCAATATTTGCAGGGTTTAAAATCTTCATTAACAACTCTCCTGGTTCATTCTCCCCAGCAAGTGTAGCCAATCCAGTTTTAGGATCTCTCCAAATCTCTTCAGAGTCTTCAGGGTCCATCTTGACCAAAACTTGAGAGAAGGAGAGGATAAAATTAATGATAGAACCATATTTCCGACAAGCACCAACTCCAAATTCACCATATTGTAAATTGGTAGTTGCAATTGGAGATTCTGTTGAAGCATAGAATTCTCCAATCCCTTCGATATGGAATCTTTGTTTGAAATCTTGCCAGATATCCTTTCTAAGACCGTTCCCGTAGGCGATACGAACGCCATGGTTTAATTGATCAGGATGAGGCGAAGTGTTCAACAAATAACGGCACACCTCTCCAACATATTGCATGTGAGTTGCACCAGCAAGTCTTGCCTGAGTCCAAAAGGATTTGGCAGAAAACTTTTGAGATACAGAGACACAACCACCAGCAAACAATGTAGGACAGACTCCCAACATAGCAGCTGTGGAATGGTATAAGGGCATTGCTGTGAATACGTTGGACTCTTTATCAACCTTCATAATGTAACCAAATAATTTGGAAGCCATGATAGCTTTCCTCCAAGACATGATAGCAGATTTTGGTAACCCTGTAGTACCAGAAGTATAAATCAACAAGCAACAAGAATGATCTGAATCCTCTGGTCTTCTAGTTTTATCTTCAGCTCTATGTTTTGGAGTGGCCTTATCTTGAATAACTCTAAAGAGTTCTTCTTCATTTAAGTAATGAAGCTGAACTCCTGGAAGCTCCTTATTGATTTGCTCCTCAGTCTCCTTAATTGGTCCACTACAATCAGGATCAATAAATACTTGAGAGATACTGGCAATCTTGATACAATGAACCAATGGAGTACCTTGAGAATTGAAATTCAAAAATGCTGGTGTTGCACCAATATTCCATAATGCCATCCATAATATAATAAATAATGGTTTATTCATGCAATCAACCCCAATAGTATGAGCAGCTGTTACTCCATACTGATATTTTAAAAGATACGACAATTTTAAAACCATCAGATACAATTGTTTATAAGTATAAGTTTCTAAATCAAATTGATTATCATAAAGTTTATTCCCCTCCATATCTGTTCTAATTGGTGGAGGATTCTTTTTAGGTCTGGGGAATGCAATGGCTGTTCTGTCTGGATACTTGAGACATGCTGCTTCAAAGTAATACCAATAACTAGCACGACTCCGGGCAACATTGTAGAAGTATCCAATAGCATCTCTAAGAACCTTTTGCATTAGCAAGAAATCTTCCTTGACATGATACTTTGCATCAAGAAGTTGAGAACCGGCCAATCCTGCCACAGCTAATTCTAATCCACTCATATTAGCTGGGTAATAATATAGTGAGAAAGTATGATAATAACAATAGTAACACTATAGGGTATGGTTTATTATATATATATATGAATTCTTTTCTGTTGTTAAGACTCTCCCAATCGATCTTATATAATACCTTTTACAATAACCAACAAATCAGGTAAAAACTGAGCCTAAAACTATTATAATCCGCGGTCATAACAAGTGGGGATCACGTACCACGGTCTTCCTTGAATCACGTTCATAGTAAGGGGATATTTGTTGATGCGTTTGTAGGGAGAATCGTCATTTTTCACGTGTGAGACTCAATCGCATTATTACTTTTATAGGAAACAACCCTGCAACCGAGCTACGTTGCCGTCACGTGAAAGGGACGTCTTAAACGGGAATGAGTATATGGGAAGAGGGGTGGTAACTATATGGAATAATCTTGAAACTATATTATACCTTCCTCTTATCCAATCTGACAAAGAGTGTGTAATTCCAGGCTTGGGCTCTTCAGTTTTTAAAACGAAGATAACTTCAGGATGCGATTGTATACACTCCCGGATATATAATTTAAAGTACTTGGGCCGTTGTATTCCTTTATTGGTGTAGAAAACCGTCCTATGTTCACCCAAAATTTGTCGTTGCAATGGTTGACCAGTGTTGGGGTTTTAGTTTCCAACTGATTACAATAAATATCATTATTTGAGACAAGACAATTACACTTGAATGATCCGCCTACTGTAACCAAAAACGATTCAGGATATGAAAATGTACTGCAATTGACAATATTCATTTAAAACATTGATCTCAGAGTATGGCATTAATAAATAGCTCTTTCGCTGGAAATAAAATAAGCCTTTTTTTCTAGCCACGTCCCAACGATGGTTGCTTTTGCTTGTACGAGATCATCTAGCACCTTGACTTAAGCTTTCAAAGTGTCAGTAAGAATCAAACTCGCAGTATTCCCTGATAAGGTAGTTATATTTTTATTCAGTAGTTCCAAGCTTTTATTATGTGCTATGTTGAAATCATTTCCTAGAGAAGTAAGTAAATACAACTTCATTATATGAACGCACCTTTATTAATACGTATTCTTAACTAGGAAATGATATACTTTATAGTATGCTAATCTCCTGCATACCGCCCACCATTTCCCTGCAAGTTTCGGGGTTCGGGGTTCAAGTTCAGTTTACCGATTATACTGTTGAATTTATATACCAATATCCCAAGAGCCTGGAGTTCTCCCACGGAATCGTGATCCAGAGCTTGTACTGTGTTCAAGATCATTTAAAGTCAAAGTGTCACCTGAAGTTTCTCCAGTACGATTAATTCGAGTAGGTGATCTATGTGATTCAACTATTACAGCTGAAGATGGATCCACAAGTCCTTTAAGAAGTTCTCTTTGCCACATTATAACTCCGGGTCGGATAAGACAAAGAATTTCAAAAGTATCTTTAGCAATCGATCTAATCAAATGATTTTGTAGTTTCCACATACCGTGCTGAATTATAGCCTTTATATCTAGACTATCATCATCTAGTGATTCTCCAATACAACAGTCATTGTGCAAGACAATTATCTTATGGGTTATTTGGTAGAAAAAGTATTTGATCTGAGTATCCACAGATAAATCAATGGCTTGAGCTAACATTGGAATCAAAGAGATATGTTCATTGCATCTGATTTTTTTTACTAATTCACTGGAAAAGATTATTAATTGAGTTTCAAATCTCTTTAGGATATTTCCAGGGGCTTTGATAAGATGAATACCCAAACGAAGATTGCAAAATAATCTGAAAATAGTTTTCCTAGGCTTGAGGTATGGTTCTGTTTTAAATTGTGAGAATGCCATTTCTATCATCAGTGTATCACTTTCTCTATAAGTTAAATGACTCCATAAATGCTTGATAGTAGAATCAATGAATAGTACCTTAGCAGTGTCTGTTACCTTGTCAACAACATCGAACACCGCTCCTGTATCTATCAATACCTCAATCAAGTCATTATACTGAGGAAGAAAGAAATTCGGATTAAGATTACCCATTCGGTCAAACGTAGTACTAGCAATTGAAATCATCTTCAATACTTCAATACCTTTAGCCACAGTGGCTTCATTGCTGCTATTCCCTGGATCCAACACCACTCTTCTAATACCGGAAATCATCTTGTCAGCTTGCCATAGAGTTTCAAAAGCAGTTGCTGGTATCCTGGTTTGATTGAAGAATTGAAAGATCTGCTTGTGTTCAGTGAAAATGGCTTTGTTGACTTTTTCACGAATTTTATTGCACTTCTTCAAAGAGTACACTAATTTAGTGCTCTTCTTCGACTCCATTTCCTGTACTGGTAACGGGAGATCCCTTTGATCGCTACATATAGTAGATGATGATTGTTCATACATGAACTTAGCAATTGATTTATCACAGAATCCACTGTTTATCAAATCTTCAGTGGATAATTGTAGTTTAGCATCATAGTTTGGGGTCACCAACGAATTATCTACCAAGGAACACTTAGATTTGTTCAAATGCTTATATCTTTTAACATTGATACTACCTTTATCGTGGCCCCCATAATCGTTGGAGACAACATACAAATCATCTTGGTTACCTTTAGGCTCTTGTACTAAACCAGGAGCTGTTGGTTGTTGGCTATCGCCAGAAAGGAAAAGTTTGCATTCATTTCCATTCTCTTTGGGAGTGGAACTATCACCACTCCAATTGGAATCTCGGATTATCAAGCTAGTTGGTGATGTTTTCAACGCCACAGAAACAGTATACTCTCTAATGCAGAAGCCAATTCCACCCAAGGCAATTACCGCTAATAAAAATGTAAGATAAAAATACATCATATTGGCAAGTACATCACTTTGAGAAAGAGTGGCAACATTAGAGCGAACACCGTCATCATTATCACCATCACCAACACGGGATGGAACACTCTTCCCACCAAAGCTGAGACTATTCTCAAGATACATCCATTCGGGTAATATTTCCTGTGGCGAGATCAGGCTTATGCCTGTTGTAGTGGTAGTTGTCGTCATTATATGGATACCTTTAACCGCTGGTATATATATATATACTTTCGCAGCCAGTAGCTACACCCGAGATAATAAGTCAACTTGTGTTCAGTCGAAGTCGGTAGAATAAAGATACTTATACAAGAGCAGTAGTAGCACTAAGGTCACTTTGCACCTAGAGACTTTATAATCAAACACTGATATCTATGAAATGAAGTGGTAAGAAGGATGCTTGTGCTTAACTATAGGTTGCAATTTTCCTGTATGTATAAGTTAAGTTGATTTGGGATATACACGACTTTGAATCGAACCATTGGTGAAAAACTACAAATGATTACATACACACATGCTAACTATTATTACCATAATATACTTTAACAACATAAACATTATTATGTTAGGAAGGACGTGGCAGTTGTTTGCTAAGAACAACAGTTGCACACGTGCGGCTACCAACTTCCGGGGAGTTTCCAAGTCATTCACCACTTTGAAGTCAACAGTTCAATTCCAACCATTAAGGAAGCTACAATTACCAACCACCATAAGAAATTATGCTACTGTTCCATTGGCTGAACTCAGCAGTAAGAACTTGCCTCCATTAGTGGCTCCAAATAGAATTGCTTATTGGCTTATGGGAACCTCCACACTTGTTTTTGGAATTGTTGTGTTGGGAGGGTTAACTAGATTAACTGAATCGGGATTATCCATTACTGAATGGAAACCAATCACCGGAGCCATACCCCCATTGAATGAAGAGGAATGGGAATTGGAGTTTTCCAAGTATCGTGAATCACCTGAGTTCAAACAATTGAATTCAAATATCACATTAGAAGAATTCAAATTCATTTTCAGTATGGAATGGGGTCATCGGTTGGTTGGTAGAACCATTGGTATGGTTTTCATACTTCCAGCGTTATATTTTTGGAAGAAGGGTTATTTCAGCCCTCATATCACTCGTAGTGTTATTGGTTTAACTGCATTGTTGGGGTTGCAAGGCGCTATTGGATGGTGGATGGTATATTCTGGCTTGGATGAAGACCAATTAAAGGAAAGAAAGTCGAAACCAACTGTTTCTCAATATAGATTAACAACACATTTGGGGGCTGCTTTCTTGATGTATTTGGGAGTCTTATGGACAGCCTTTGAAATTAAGAATGAAAATGCATTACTTTCAAAGCTCAAATCGACACCTGAAAAGGCTCAAACACTTGTTAACCAATTAATGTCTCCTGCTTTAAAGAAATTCAGATTAATGGGTGCTGGTTTATTGTTATTATCTTTTATCACTGCAATGTCTGGTGGTATGGTTGCTGGTTTAGATGCTGGTTTGATCTATAACACCTTCCCTCATATGGGTGATGATTATATTCCTTCAACAAACGAGTTAATGTCACCTGTGTTCGCTAGAAAGGATGATTTATCTGACTTGTGGTGGAGAAACCTCTTTGAGAACCCAACCACCGTGCAATTAGTCCATCGTGTATTTGCAACAACCACATTCTTTGCTATTCTTTGGGCTCATATTGTTGTCAATAAAAACAAGGCAATTATCCCTCCTCCTGCTAAAAAGGCAATCCATGGCTTAATGGGGTTGGTTTCATTACAAGTTGCTTTGGGGATTTCCACTCTAATTTATTTGGTTCCAATTCCTTTGGCTGCTGCTCATCAAGCGGGTGCTTTAGCTTTATTGACTGGTGCTTTAGCATTCTGTGCTAGATTGAAAAAACCAAGACCTGAAGTCGTTGCTTACATCAACAAATCGATGAAGAATATGCTACTCAAAAACAAGTCTGTTTAAGAATATTAAGAAATCCCTTGTAAATATAATTCCTTTTCGATGATTTCCTCTGTATATATGAAAATTGAACATTCACATTACCATATTCTTTTGCTCTTCATTTCATATCTTGTAACATTCCCTAAACCTTCAGTTTCATCATTACTAACAGTTATTAAAGACTTGTTCCTCTTCTCTTCCATTGTAGGCGGTACAATCTCTCCAGGATCATATAGAAACGTTCTGGTCTGGGGATTGATGGAAGATAACTCTGTATTCGGCACACCAGGTATAAATGATAGTTCCGCCGGAGACATTGGAGGACTCAAAATAGTTGGAGGTGTGATAGAAGATGGCAGTTGTTGAACTCCTTCATGAGGCGGAGGAGTTGAAGCTTGATGCTGTGGTGTAGGTGCAACCACTTTAGACTGAGGTGTTGGCGAACTGTTGGGTTGTCGAGGTGTAGGAACTGATTCTTTCAAGTGTTCTGCAGTTGTATATGGCTGTTGAATAAAAATATCTTGTTGATGCTTATTGATATTAGCTGATTTCAAGATAATCAAAGCAAGAATCAAACGAATTAACATCAATACTGCAAAGATTGCAATCAAGAATAAATTAAATACAACTATGTTACTAAAAGATGACCCTTTAGCATCACTACCAAAATCAGTATTAACAATTTCAGGTAAGATCATCTTAAGAAAACTAACAACAGTTGCAATCAAAGGTAATCCAATCCGTTTAGTTAACACTATGTAATCAATTGAATCATGGTTTGCTTCAGGGTTTGGTTTGAAAACTTGTAGATAATCAAGAGATAGCACTTTAAGGAAATTAGTATAAATTCTCGGTTTGAACTTATTGAATTTGGTGATATAACAATGTTTCAACCAATCCACAATGATTTCACTTCCTATAACCACTATTGCTGGTCCAAACACTGCACCCAACCAATCATTCAAAGCATTCCAACTATTAGGGAGTGAACCACTTTGAGTATCAATTAACTGAAGAAAATTCCTTAATGTAATGACTGAAAGCATTAATGTGAATTGAAATCTTTCTGAAAGATCAGCCAATGTTAGTTGAAACAAGCCCTCTCGATCAAACCTTTTAAACACTGAAGATTTCAATTCTGCAAACTGATTGGACATAAGTAATGATAATAATGCATTGGAATAAGAATTGGCAGCAACATGTAATGCAATTGTTTGATAAATTATGATATAAGCATGAAGCAGGAAATACACAATACCCAAAATGAAAAAGAAGGTGAATCTCCCCAATGATTTCAGAATAGATAAAGAGTAAATCACATTTTGAATATCTTGACCAATGGCTGAAAAGAGCTTTTCTGCAACATCTAACATACCAAATGTCACATATAACTTGATATGGGCCTGACCTCTAATATCATGGTACATTTTGGAAATATCTAACGTACGACCAGATATTATAAATAATGATAACCCAATCAGTGTTACTGTAATCAAATCCTTTTTAATCCATTTCAAATGGTATCTAACAACTGATACTTTTGGATCATTAACAAAGGCGATTAATGCCTTCGTAGATAAGACAGTAATTTTCAACGGTACTAAAGTGAATAAGGTTAGAAAGGAATTAAAACATACCATTAATCCAAATGCCATAAACCTTTCCAAGAGAAAAGGTACTTTAATCATATTTTGTATGTGAGCATATGAAGACTTTGCACTTTCTATAGAAGCTCCCGGAGCCTCCTTCGGTGAAGACTGCTCAATGGAATCGGGAAGATTGAGCTCTGCCTTTAGTAGTCGGAATATGGAGTATATACCCCGTTTTTTCCTTGGAGAGGAGGAAGAGGGCGTAGGACGGATAGTGGAGGGCATTGGAGTGCCATTGGTAATGAAATTAACAAATGCTGTGGTGTTAGTCACCAGCCGAGGACGACCAGATTTGGAATGGGATCGTGTTATTTTACCATTATGATTATGATAATTATTATTATGATTATTGTGACTGGTATTATTATTGTTATGATGTCTATTTCGGAGCGATGATCCTTCACTATCAATTGATGTATCTTTCGGAGTTCGTATGTCCGTCATCTGATGCAAGCAAACCAATGAAGAAGATAACGGGGATAATGAACCCTATTTATACCACTGTGATTACTATTTTACCACTCAACTAGTAAAGTAGCTGTCTCTTTGCTTGATCCATTCCTGGTAAGACTATCAAGTGACACAAAATGCAAACTACAGGTATGCTATTATTACTATGGACGATAAGCAGATCGTATAGTGATAAATACAGCAATAGACTACAATAAGATCAGGCATGGTTTCAGATGACATAATTGTTTTATAAGCATGAATTGCGACTTGGATAGGTATAAGGTATACGCCATACGGTGTATGGGGTATTCTGGTGGTTATCTTCTAAGAAGCTATGTGTATTTATTACGTAATAATATCTCATCAAGCTACAAACAAGCTACAACTCGGTTACATTGCATAGCAATGATATGAATGGATTAAAGAAGTAAATAATTGTCAGAGTCAAGCTGAATGGCTTAATTGATCAATAAGGTGTTTAATTTTTTGATTTGCACCAATAGCCTGGAACAGTGTTTAGTACCTGGATTAAAAATTTTACAATCAAAGTAGTTATACAACAATATTAATTGATTAACCTCTTTTCGAAGGATCTATTCTTCAGGATAGACTTCTACTGCTGTAATACAAGTAGTAAGGTTTGAAATGACATCATAACATTAGGCAAGTGAACAACCCTCATATCAGTAGTCACTTTTGTAGTCACGTGACCTCTTTACCCCCACTAAAGCTGGTCCCCCATCAAGTAGTATATACCTTCTTCATCGACCATTGCCAATTGCCCATTTCCCCTATACCTTAAACTTACTTATGAATATAGTTACGCTTGAACAGTTCGTACCACAATTGGATAGTTTTACGATCCGTGATGTGCTTACTCCGGCAGATGCATCACGGCTTCAGCTACTAATTACAGAATTGTTAGTGGACAGATGCGTTGACCAACCATTACTCAAGTATTTAAGTCGGTTCTTTACCCAAACTCTGTATGATGATCTTGTTGAAGAAAGAAACATAGAACATATTTGTGGTTATATACGATGCGATTACACTCCCAAAGTACTTGGAAGATCAAGAAGACTACTGGGAGCTTTGGAATCTGGTGATAAATACCAGATATATCGACGGAGACCTTCTATGATTTTACCCACCACGTATTTATCACAATATTGCTGCAAGGAACATTATCAGGCTCTGGTCTTCTATAGAAGCCAGCTTTCCGGAGAAGCCTTGTTTGCTCGGAAAGACATTACCATAGCACCACCTTTCCCCCAATATTATCCTCTGACATGGTATGAGAATGGCATCACCAGTTTGGAAGATGTAATAGCCAAACACAAGGAACTCAAACAACAGGGTGTACTGTTATCGGAGGTTGTTGCCATGATGAGCGGATTGAGTGTGCTGGATGGTTTGGAGATGCCGAAGGAAACTTCGGAGTTAGTGCAAATGTTAGAAGAGTTCCAAATTGTTGAGAAGGAAGGTGGTTTGGTGGATGAACAAGATGAAGATGATGATGATAATCATCAAGAACAAGTTCAGCCAAACGGTGGTGGTGGTGGTGGTGCTTATATAACTGATAATCGCAGTTTTGGTGGTCATATAGTTTGATAGGACACTGTACTATAGTAATAATGACTGATGATGATTCTATAATTATATATAAACAAGGTAAGATCTTTTCTATATCCGAATGAACTTATCCATTTCCTTAAAGTTAAGTTCTCGTTTGAACTTCTGTCCCATCTTAAAGGAATGGTATTCGTTATCTGCTAGTATATCAGCCAATGTCTTTCCTAATTGTATTCTACCATTTTCAGGTAACCCTTGACGTTTTGAAGGTGGAACATTATCATCTCGTTCAAGATAAGATAATAAGGAACGTTGAACCCGGTTCTTTCGGTTAACCAACTCAGAATGTTTCCATATTTGTTGACGGTGAATCTGGTCCACTATAGAGTTATATTTCTCCACCATATCATCATAATGGTACATCATTTGTTGCTGATAAGCCGCTTGTTCTTGTTTCAATTGATCAGGATTCACGTGAGTCATTCTTAACTGTTGCCACTCGCTTTCCAACTCATTGGTTGCAATATTTATAAACTCCAGCCATTCTTTAACACGGGACTCGGAGTTAGACTTGGTCGCAGTCGGCTCGGCCGTAGTCTTGGAGTTAGCTTCATACTCTTCAATCATAGATTCCCATTCACCTTCCCATTTAGCCCATTTCTTGTAATAACTATAGGGAAACATTCTTTCTGTCAGATAGAACCCCTTAGAACCCTTAACTCCATAACTACCGTCAGGGTATTTGTTCTCGGGAACCTTCTCATCACCTACAGCTGATTTCCATACCTTTAGAATCCTCAGATGTTTAATTAGACGGGCCACATCCATTGAAATCTGTCTAGATTTAGTCGAATCCGGGAATGGAAGCTTTAAATACGGGAACGGGATAGGAGCTGAAGAAACCTCCTTTATTTTAACCTCATAGGGTCCCTTCTCGTTGACTATAAGACGTAGATGTTTGAGATAGAAGTGATAATTGATATCATATTCTAACCCAGGTTTGATGACCCCATCAATATAGTCTAGATCATATGCTTCTTTAATGGTCTTATATGTAATTGATTTGGGCGTGGAATCAGTTCGGGATTCAAACGGTAATAAGCTTCCCAAATATGCTTCCTTGGTATAGTCCAACTTAGAAGGGATGGGGATCAATCCTTGTTGCTGTAGTTGTCTTAAATACTTACCTGTCAACCAGCTGGCCTCTACGATGCTCCTTTTGGTTTGCTTCTTGATTAGCTTGTGTTGTTGGTTGGGCGTATAATGGCTCATTTTGACTCTTTCCTCACCATTGGTTTGCTTCTTTTGACTCAGTCTCTTGATAGGGTTTCTTATAGCTTCTATTTCTTTCTTATTGCTCAAGTATTCGTCTCGCCACCGTTGTCCTTGTAGTCGTTCGTTCCTCATGTCCAATACCACTTGTAGAAAGTTATTCCATGTATTTGTTTGCAAAGGTGACTGTAACTTTGTCATGGCATCAAGTAACTCAACACCTTGAAGCATACGTTCTCTTAGCTTGACCAGTGACTTGACAGGTCGACGGAACGTGTCTTTGATGTTATGCTGGACTTCATACTGAAGATATTGCAAGTACTTTGCGGGGTCTAGAACGGCCCTTTCGTGTTCCCGTTTGAGATGGCCTGATGCATTAGATGATGCATTATGGAGATGGGATAGCTCAAAGTTACTTAGTGTTCGTGTTCTTCGTAGTAGATGTCGGTACAACGTCACCACCGACTGTTTGTGTTCCGCCAAAGATATTGGAAGGGCCATCCGGTTGGGTTTATAAAAGAGGTGAAAGCAGAATTCAAGTTCAAATTTTCATATACAAAAGATTAACTAACGTTAACAGATTATATACAACTTTATCAACAGTATCGCCAGTATTACCAATTACAATGGACTCATCAACCATCATCAAATATAAGCGGTCAAAGGCCACTTACGTTGCATATGTTGATCTTCATTTGAAATCTCAACAAACAGTGCAAAACTTGGTGTCTCATTTGGTCGATGTCCTTAATGGTAGTGGTGGCTTACTCTTGAAGGAAGTGGACGAAGATGCAGATGGCATAGCTGTACCCAAGTCAGAGCATCTTGATGATGATGATGATGATATTGTTGTTCCCAAATCAGAGTATCTCGACGAGGATGACGTTGTGGTTAATGATGCTAGTGCTGGTGCGGACAGTGTCAAGGTTGAAAGTGTATCAAGTGATGATATCAGGATCGCAGTTGCAAAGGATAAGACCACTCCATACGCTAACGAATGGTTAGAGTTAAGTGACGATTCAATGGTTACCAGTTTAGAGTTTAAGGACTACATGGTCCTTGCCTTTGCTTATGGAGATGAAGAATTTTACATTACTGAAGGTGTTTACGATGAATGATGACACTGACCTGAATGGGGACTAAGTAAAACGAACTGAATGGAACTAAATAAAACGAACTGAATGGGGACTAAGTAAAACATCAAAATATAATCATACAATATAACTCCAGTGAAACAATCTAAGCATTATAAGGCTTTCGTATGGAACCACCACTACCACTTGATTTTCTAACTCCACCGGAAAGAACTCTATGGACACCATTCTTTTGGATGTTCCCCTTAGAAGACACTCTGGTCTTTTGCATCTTCATGGTATGTGTTGGAGAAGATTGAGGAGATGATGATAACGTAGTACTAATGGTTCTAGTGGTTGTGGTGGTTGTAGTTTTGGTTAAATGAATAGGTTGGGTTTGGTTTGCAGAAGCCGATTTCAATACTTGCCAATCATTCTCAGAGGTTCTTCTTCTTGGAGAACTATCCAAGTTATTTTCAATTACTCCATCAACCAGTGGCTCTTTACTATCTAATTCAACATCAGAATTGTTAATATGGATCTCGGAATTCTCATTACTGTCAAGATACTTTCTTGGTTGTCCAGGTGATTCTGTTGGAACAGCTGTATGGATTTTGGATGCAAGAACTCCACTAATCTTCCGTCTTCTAATTGGTGTATAGAAAGAAGAATCTATATTGGTTGCTGAAGAATTGATTTGTTGTAATTTCCTGTTTCTAGATTCTTGTTTCATTCTGGCTTTAAATTCATCATAGGGACATAAGGAGAATAATCCTCCAATGAAATCATCTGGTCGGTTATCTAAAACCATGGTATGTCTCCAATCTCTAAAGTCATTTTGATGCAAATATAACCAATGCTGTTGAGGTCCCACAACCATTCCTGGTCTTATCATTCTCATATATGCAATGCATTCATTAGCTGTAAATCCATGTGTATAGATTAAATGAGCACCTATCAAACAACCAGTTCTTCCTAACCCAGCCTTACAATGAACAGCGATTTTGCCACCATTATTGATTGTAGTTTCAGCTGCACCAATGAATTTTTGTACATAATCCATGGTTGGACAAGTACCATCATCAAAAATCATATCAATATGTTTCATACCTCTTTTGGTGAATTCATCAGCATCATATAATCTTGAATTCAACCGAACAACCAATTGAACATCATTATTTTGAAAGAAACTTAGAACTTTTTTGAATGGTTCATTAAGGTACTGTGGTCTTTTTTGAATAGGTGATGCAAATGCTATGAAGTCTTTGGAAATGACATTAAAATCCCCTTGATCAACGCGTTCGTATAATTCATATTCTTCCAAATTGAAATTGGTGATATCAATCATACCTCTTTCCTTTGCTCTCCACATTGCATATACAATGTCTTGGATGGTGATTTCAAAGTCTGCTGTGGAATAACCAGCATCTCTGAATCCAATAAATGGAGGAGAAATCTGAGCTATTGGTTGTAATACTTGATGAGGTGACCATGATTGGATTAATACCATGTAACAACAAAGTAAACAAGCCGTATTGGAACGCATTTTAGGGTCGGTAGAACTGTAGATGCAAACAGCCTTACCTGAGTTAGCATCATCATTCAACACGGTATGTAATAGCACAGCAAACCGGTACAAGGCGCCAATATGTAAAGGACCAAAGTCCAAGTTAAAGTTGTTATACAAAAGCATATCTTCTATTGTGAAGAATACGGTTGAATCTGTATCAACAGGTACATTATCGTATGCTGCCAAATAGATACGGTCTAGAAAAGTGTTAGTGATCTCTTGTGACGCTACGCAGGTCAATGATGGTACATACTCTTGAGGAACTCGATCCTAGGGATCTTTATGGATTCTCTAGCAAAGGACATTAAAGACGGCGTTTAGAAGGAATCGGTTCGTGGGTGCAATCAATGATGGAAGTATATGACCGAAATAGCGAGGATCAATATTAATAGTATTTGTTCATAAATACCAAAAGTGAGTGAGCGTTGAAATTAAATGCTAATTACACTTTATAGATAGACAACCGCATCGTTGCACATTTTAGTTAGGACCATTTCATGTTGTTTGTTTTGGATTTGGCTGGTTTGAGAAACCATACTTAAAACAGACTTCTAATTAGGTATCGGTGTACACGACTCTCGCACAAACTTCATTATCGCCTGTACAAGAACTACTTTTATGAATGTCGCAATGATTCGTACAAGGGTAAGGTAGATTGAAGATCAACCACTATGGTATGTGATGATGAATGATATGGGGACTTATTGAGTTGATGTACAATGGCACCGTTACTTTGGTTACTATTGTACGAATATCCATTGGTCAATATCATTTGCTCTATACTAACGTTTAGGCCACTCCCTTATACACCTTCTCACCAGAGACATTGAGCGATCTCCGCAAGTTCCGTTTTGCAAGTGCTAGAGCAAACACCCCTCAGGCTCTCATATGTATGTACTGCTAATCCTGCTATAACCTGGACTGGACTGAATTGAACTGAGTTGACTTGAACTGAACTAACAAGAACACCAGATATCATTGATAAGACTTCTTATGAAGTCAAGAGAGAAGACGACGATAATATAATTGACTCCATTGAAGAACTTGTGGATGGGTTACCTGATAATTCGCCTCGATTTGTGGTCCTCTCATATCCAATAACTGAGGCCGATGGACGTATGAAATCACCTTTGGTCATGATTTATTGGATTCCTCCAACCTGTAATAACGAGGGAAGAATGTTATATGCCGGGGCCGTAGAATTGGTCAGAGACAAGGCAGGTGTCTCCAAGTATGTATAATCATAATAATAGTCATTAGAGGAATCTACACTAACATTAGATTTAGATTAATTAAGATAGAGGAAGAAGATGAGTTCGAGGATATCGAATCTCTTTTACAATAATATAGATTACAATTCATTGTGTGTCATCTAGTGGTGTGTAGTTGTAGTTAATTTTTTGTTATAGTTTCAATACAACTTTTCGCAACCAAAGTGCTTAACCGTAGGAAAAGCTACCAGCTATTTGTTTGTTACATTGAGGCAATAATGTTAGTGTTAAGATAACAAAGAGACGAATGATTACTAGTGTGAATACTTCAACATAACTCCTCTGGATTTTATGCTTCATATTGGAAGTAGCAAACATTGAGTGAGCAATTGGGTACTGAGACAAAACGACATATTAGAACATTCTTATTATACGGTCGTAAATGGACTTTTCGTGCTTACAGAGTCAAGCCATTTAAATAAATAGTAGCATAATAAGAGGAACCCGTATCACTGCTTTCAATAGTTTGTTGTAAATGTCGTCGACGTAGTCATCAGTAACTAAAATGGCAAACGTGTCACGTGCCATTCTACAAAGTATTACGATTACATTTGCTCATTCAATCATATCATGAGTGAACTAACGCTATCATTGAAGTCAACTTTGAAGTTAAAATTGAATAATATTGCGCATGTTGTTCAAATATATTCGACAAAGAACCTTAAGTTCATGTCTTTATTAACCAAGTCCATGCCCAAATATACGCATGTAAAGTCGAATATTTGAGAATATCTCTAAGTAGTGCGCTAACCTAAGTGAAAAATTTTCAGTCTTTCCCTCGCACCCTATAAATAAAGTCCACTCCCTCATTATTGTAAATCTGTTATCCTTAGTTTCTTCACATCAACCAATAATAAAAAACAGTCAAAATGGGTCGTATGCATTCATCTGTATGTGAAAACCAAACATGTTGAAGCAGCTTGATCTCATCGTGGAAAGACTATAGTATTTAGTGATGATAACCATGTGCTACTTTGCACTAAGATTTCAGGGTCTTTCTGGTAACGTGGGGGTTTAACGTATTTAAGGTCTGGTTCAAGAGTTGAACAGCTTTTAAGCTTGTTTCAGTAGTGCTTTTGGCCGTGATGCTTATTGCATACTCACGATTCAGCTGGCTTGACACCACTATCTATTGTAGTGCAAAGTTTTTTTTTCTAATCCACTGCACTACACAACATTACATTACTGCGAAAAAGCAATACAGTATACTAGATGTATGTTATCGATTTGGAGTGATATCCTACTATTACAATTTAGTATATGCTATTTTCGCCAGTATTGTTGTACAGCATATGCTTTGTACTGGTTGTGTATGTTTTGACTGATTTAGGATGAAAGAACTTTGTCACGTTGAAATTAGATTTGCGTATATATCATCTAAAAATGATAGCATTATACTAACTCCGTTTTAGGGTAAGGGTATCTCCGGTTCTGCCGTTCCATACTCAAGAAACGCTCCTTCTTGGTTCAAGTTGTCTTCTGACGATGTTGTTGAACAAATCACCAAGTACGCCAGAAAGGGTATGACTCCTTCTCAAATTGGTGTTATGTTGAGAGACGCTCACGGTGTTTCCCAAACCAAGGTTGTCACTGGTAACAAGATCTTGAGAATCTTAAAGTCCAACGGTTTGGCTCCAGAAATCCCAGAAGACTTGTACCACTTGATCAAGAAGGCTGTCTCTGTCAGAAAGCACTTGGAAAGAAACAGAAAGGACAAGGACTCTAAGTTCAGATTGATTTTGATCGAATCTAGAATCCACAGATTGGCCAGATACTACAGAACCGTCTCTGTCTTGCCTCCTAACTGGAAGTACGAATCTGCCACTGCTTCTGCTTTGGTTAACTAAGGTGTTTATCATGTCATTGTCATTTGTATTATATAATTGAAAAATCCGTGTTAATATTAAAACCTTTGTTAAGAACAATCATTGTAGACAATCTGTTACCTACATATAAGTTTCGCGAATTTGTGAGAGAGAAAACCACGCGCTACCATATATAAACAGGAAAGCCTGATAACTAACTAACAAAGGGGCAGTCATAGTAACCACTAATAATAAACTCTAAACTACTATACAACCTTTTAAACGTTGTAAAATCTATTGGAAGCCATGGGGAATCGCCTATCGTTGATGGCGCCCTCTGCGCCAACGGTTGCAATATCGTCATATGTGGACTTTCTCGAGAACATAGAGTATATTGAGCTTGTTAACAATCAACAGTTGTTTAAGACCATTAAGGCAATTGACCATGCCAGTGGATCTCTTGTACTCATAAAAGTGTTAATCAAACCACCCAGTGATGGCAACAACTTGAATTTAAAGGATATAACCGAGTTGACGGTTAAAGATTGTTCTCGGTTGTCATACAGTAATATAGTTTTACCCTGGTTCAGAATCATTGAAACTGATAGAGCTGCTTATATGATACGACAGTGGATTAAGACCAATCTTTATGATCGTATCAGTTTGAAGCCGTTTTTAGAACCAACAGAGAAGTTGTTTTTAACGTTTCAAATGCTTAAGATCATAGACACTATTCATAATGAAATGCATATACGTCATGGAGATTTAAAGTTGGAGAACTTTATGGTAACGTCGTCCAATTGGCTATTATTAAGTGATTTTGCAAACTATATGAAGCCAACGTTTATTCCTAAAGATAACCCTAATCAATTTCTGTTTTACTTTGATAGCTCAGATAGAAGAGTATGTTATGTGGCACCAGAGAGGTTTTACACATCAAAGGGATCAAATATACCAATACAAAATATTGATGATGATGGGATCTTCTCAGGTAAAGATAGATTAACCGATCAAATGGATTTGTTTAGTCTTGGTTGTGTTATTGCTGAGCTTTATTTGGATGGAGAACCTTTATTCACATTATCACAGCTTTTAAAGTACATGAGAAATGAATATAAACCTGATTTAAGTACTATTGACAACCAGTTAATAAGAGAAATCATCCAACTGTTGATAAACATTGATCCCAATGAAAGACCTTCAGTTTCCAAGATTTTAAATGATTATAGGGGCATTCTTTTCCCAGATTTATTCTATGATTTCTTGTATGACTTCATGTCTGATCTTAACAATACAAAGCTTTATTATTCAATAGCACACGATAAGAATGTTTCACCTAGTGATTTACGGCTACAGAGAGTATATGATAATTTTGAAGCAATTAAATATCATCTCCAATTTGCATATGATCCCATTACAACTAGCACTAGCGGTATCACTAGCGGTAGTTCCAGAGTCCCAGTTCAGTTGTCTCTACCGGGAATGGCTACTAACTATGTTATCAAGAAATGGGATGAAATAGAATTGAACGATCGTCTGGACCAAACAGCCTTGATATTACTTCAATACATTTTCTCATTAATGAATTCGTTAAAACAACCACAATCAAAAATAAACGCATGTGAATTGATAGTGGCCTTATCAGAGAGGGTTTCGGATGAAGCAAAATTGGATAGATGCATACCCAATTTGTTTATGATTGTGGACGAGTGTTTGATTTCCTATTCAAAATATGTTAAGCAAACTTCCAATCAAAATGATCCAACGTCAACTATGGGGCCAACTTCAGAGCATTGGAAACTGTCAGCCCGAGCAGCTAGTTTTGCGCTTGAAGCAGCTACCACGATCCTATTAACTTGTTCATCAGTTTCACCTTTGAATACTTTAATATTCCCGGAATACTTGATACCAAAACTTATGGCATTAGCTAATGCAGATTCCAAAAATGTGGATATTACATATCTTAAGTCGACCCTTGCATGTTGCATTCCAACCCTTGCTTTAATATCAAGAAAGTTTTGGATGTTAAGTCGAAGTTATAATCGTGAGGGGGCTCATGATGCTGCCACTAATACACCATCTACTACTACACCTAAGCGATCAACCACTGGAAGGAAGGCGTCATTATTCCTTTCCATGGCTAATGATGAACTAAGTGCAGTTAGCTATTTCCATTTGCCTAAGGAGCAATTGGATTCTGATTTCGAAAGATTAGCTGTTACATTATTAACTGATTCAAGTACCCTGGTCAAGATTGCGTTGGTCAATAACATTCTCCCTTTATGCATTTTCTTTGGAGTGGATAAAACAAATGATGTTATACTACCTCATCTTATATCATATCTTAATGACGTTGATTTTGAATTAAGAATAGCATTTTTGAAGTCAATATTAAAGATTGGTCCTTATATTGGGCTGATACTGTTTGAACAATATTTACTCCCACTATTAGTGCAAACTTTGAGCGATATTGAACAATTTGTTACTATTCAAGTGTTGGAAATATTTTACACTTTTATCAGTGAAAAATTAATTAACCCCGTGACTGATTTCAATGCAATTTCCATTTATCAGGAAATACTTTCCCATACGTTATGCTATGTTTTGCATCCTAACAAATGGATAAGACAATCGGTTATTGCTATTATTGTTGCAATTAATGAAAACCTAACCAATGCTGATAGATATTGTTTCTTATACCCCATGATTAAGGGGTACTTGAACTACGATATCCCTTTTATTAGTTGGAAGACCTTATATCCAAGTTTAACCAAACCTCTAACGCATCAGAGCTATCAGCTGGCTATGGGTTGGAACAACCTGGCCTCTTCAAAATCTTTATTTTGGCAACAAAATAACCCACATAGTGAAACCAGTTCCACCAGATCGAACGGTATCAAAGTACCAAAGGACTTATCGAAGTCTTTATATTTCCCTAGTAAAGATTGCAAGCTGCAGACGACATCTTCATCATCTGTGGTTTCTAATGGGTCCTCTATACCGTTATCACCAGAGGACAAGAAGTGGTTCTCTAAATTGAAATCTGTGGGGTTAGATGAGAAAGAATCATGGAAATTATTAGCCTTAAAGAGCTATATTTCTCATGTAGGTTTAGCTCTTTCACATCAAAAGAACCATAAGCTCCAAGACGTGGAGAAGGAGAAAGAGGAAGTTTTCAATTTAAGTAAGGACATTAGTCCTAGAAATATATTTTATGATGTTTTCTTTAAATCAGACCCTGTTCCTCAAGCATTAAGAATGATAGAAACAAATATAGAGGCTTCAATTCCTAGTGATTCTGAATCTTTGCATAATTTAGAGTCTCGAAACTCACTTATGCTCCCCACAATACCAAAGATTAAAGCATCTTTACAAACAGTCGAAGCAAATGTGTTTGGAGAAATGGAGTTAAGTCATAACACTGCATTACACTCACTGCATCCTCATACTAGAGTGTCAGGTCCAAGGAAGCACAGACTGTCTTTAGCTTCGAACTCTTCGGCGTTCTCTTTGGGGAATAGTGACATGATGATGGACAAATCCGAACTAGTAGTCATTGGTGGTCTACTGGCTAATGATATAACCAGAGCAAACGATGGAAACATTCGAAAACTTCTCAAAATTAACGATAAAGCTGCAACTGCCGTAATGAAACATAGTTATGGTGGCCATAATCCAAATATTCTCAATTATTTAGCATCGATTGATGTTGAACCGTTAATTGATGACTTTGCTGAGTTTGGACCAGCTTGGAAGAATCTACAAGAAAATAACACCGATAAGTCTACCTTTAGAGGCGTGCGGGTTGCCTCTATTAATACCAACCAAAACTCTCTGGATCTTGATGCAATTACCAATGTTGCTGTATGCTCATCCAATGAGTTTGTGGTTACCAGCTCAGAAAATGGTTATCTTAAGGTATGGGATACCTTAAAGTTGGAGAAGAATATAACTGTCAAGGCTCCGCAATTACTGCATAAATTGGACTCTTCAATTACTGCTATGGAATTCTTACCTAATAGACCGATCTTAGCAGTTGCCACCAGTGACGGGATGTTAAGAATATTGAAAGTTCTATTCACAAGAGGGAAGACTAATAAAATTGTCAAGTATTCTCAATTCCAAACTATTAGAAGCTTGCAATTGAACGACAACGACTTTATTATTGATTTGAAGTACTTTTCACTAACCACCACTAATCAGATCATTGGAATCACTTCAAAGAGTTATATTTTAGGAATTGACATTGTTAGAATGGTTCAAGTCTACAAATTAGAGAATCCAGTGATCTTTGGAGTTACCAGATCGTTTGTAGTTGATAACAAACATACTTGGTTACTAGTTGGAACAGACAATGGATATTTGTGTCTCTGGGATTTGAGATTCAAACAATTGTTAAAGTCATGGCGACTTGATTATAGAATAGATGACTTTGAAGGTGGTGATGGTGAATCTAATGGAGTTACCAATAATGGAGCACGAAACCCCGGAATATCTAACATTTCGTTACTATCGACCAATGGTCAGGATGTTAGTCAAGTTTCCATTACCACTACTTCAGAAGTTCCAGACGTCACTGTTTGGCAAATACCTTCATTTGAATGTACCAAAGTGTTTCGCAGTTATGTTAATGGTAAGTTTGGGTATGACTTGATGTCTGTTGAATATGGACAGAAAGTGTATACTTTAGAGGAAGTAAGTCCTGACCTTATCAACCTCAACATTGAAGATATCATTGCCAATCTTGAAGTCAGTGATAATAGCATTCCGGAGGTAGGTGAAAAGTCCGAATCCTCCAGAGGCATTACTTGTACTCAACAGCATAAGAACAGTCTTACTACGGCTACAAGTGGGAGGAGCATTGTTATTTGGAACTTGAACGATTTAAAACTGTCCGTTTCTATTCCGTCAACAGCAACGGAATCTCCCTTCACTGTTCACACTGTATACCCTGCGCTAATATTCGCACAGCAAGTGCAAGATCCAATGGGAAGAGCAGGAGGAGACGGCGGTAGTCCACTATTCAACGATATCATTACGGGGATCTCTGTTGTTGAAAGATCGTCAGGGATCAGTCTTATTGTTGGTGATCGTAGTGGGTACTTGAACGTCTTCAAATGAAGTGTGGAGAAGTAGTAATAGTAGTCACACTACCTACCAATTGTCGTGTACCACGAACCAAAAAACCGTTGGGCGGGCTGAAAAGTAGTGATGCTAAAAGGTGATGATACTTTACATCGTAGTTGAACTTGTACATGCTAACCGTTACAGCTGGAGTTGCGGTATTAGGTATTGTCTATTTTACTTATCAAGTTTGGAAGTCTATTATGGGGTTCAGCGATATAAAAGGATTGGAAATTGCTCTTGAAGAAGCAAGAAAGGGTATGTGTACCAACAACCTTCAAAGGATTAAATAGACTATTAATCTGTTACTAACATTCATTTCAGGTTATGAAGAAGGTGGAGTCCCTATCGGAGGTGCCTTGATTGCGGAAGATGGTACTGTCTTAGGTCGTGGCCATAATATGAGATTTCAAAAGGGTTCAGCTATTTTACATGGTGAAATGTCTGCATTAGAAGATGCCGGTAGATTAAAGGGTAGCGTTTACAAGAACTGTACCATGTATACTACCTTATCACCCTGTGATATGTGTTCTGGTGCATGTATTTTATATGGCGTTAAGAGAGTCGTGTTGGGAGAGAACGAGACTTTCAAAGGTGCAGAAGAACTCTTGCGGTCAAAGGGAATCGAGGTTATTAATTTGGACAATGAGGAATGTAAGAAATTGATGAAACAGTTTATTAAGGAAAGACCTGAAGATTGGTATGAAGATATTGGTGAATAGGTGTTACTATATAACAAAAGTAGTGTACATACCAAAAGGGCATATATATAGCTTCAAATACTACAAGCTATTAAGAAAATAATGTAATTGTAATACTTAAACAGTTAACTTTACTAATAACTACTACTGCACTAACCACTATGCCAGTACTGTTGCTGTGGAAACTCTATGCCTATGTATAATAATACTATGGTCATTTTCATGAGCCTATGAATAGAGTCGCACACGACTTCAGCTCAATAATAATGAAAGATGGAACCTCATGGTACTTAAATGGTTCATCATTAACTTTATACAGTTATGGATGCTATTTCAGATAATGTATTCAATGATCTTGACACCGTGGAGACTGTGTCTGATGACCCATCGCTTCTTACGGTAATTTTAGACATTTCTCCGGGATCCTGGTTCCAACTCCGAGATCAGATATCAATAGTTGAAGTGACTAAATCATTACTAGTATTTCTTAATGCCCATTTATCGTTAAACAATTCCAACCAAGTGGCATTCATTGTTAGTTCACCCGTCGGATCCAAGTTTCTTTATCCAAGTCCAGTTCACGGAACCGAGGAACAAAGGAATAAACCTACGTTGATTACCATGAACATGTATAGACAATTTCGAGTGGTTGATGAAGCCGTATTACAAGATTTAAATACTGAATTGGAACAGATAAGGAATAATAAGAAAAGTTATTCTGCCGTATCAACATTGGCAGGAGCTTTAAGTATGGCTTTAACTTATACTCATCGTATGCTTACTTTGGACCAATCGATTCGAACCACAACCCAATCAGCAATAAATAATACCACTAATAGTCAGCATCATCATAATAGTGGAGGCACAGGAAATTCGAATGGGTCCGGTCATTCGAGTCAATTATCATCTACCAACGTTAAATCTAGAATTCTTGTGGTATCTGCTGATGATACTGATGATCTTAAATATATACCAATAATGAATTCCATCTTTGCTGCTCAAAAGATTAAAACTAGCATAGATGTGGCTAAATTAGGAGCAAAGAATTCTTCTTATTTACAACAAGCATCAGATGCCACCAATGGAGTTTATCTAAAGATAGAAGACCCAAAGGGGTTAATACAAGTGTTAAGTAGTGCATTTTTCATTGAACCTTCAGTGAGACCATTATTCATTCTTCCAACCAACTCAAACGTTAATTATAGAGCTTCTTGTTTTGTTACGGGAAAATCTGTTGATTTAGGTTATGTTTGTTCGATATGTCTATGTATTATGAGTTTAATACCAACCGATGGGAAATGTCCTACGTGCGACTCGAACTTCGATGCTAGAATCATTGCCCAACTAAAACGTGCTCCTGCCGTTGTACCAAAGAAGAGACGTAAAGTTGTTAGTACGGCGCCTCCAATCACGTGACTTCCAAAAAGAAGCAGAGAGTATGGTTCTCTATAACCCCGTGTTTATAATATTATAATGGAATTGCTTAGGATAGTTATGTTTATCTATCAAATGTAACCTTCGTTTCTGAGCACTCAGACATAATTTCGTGCATTCAAAACACTTGAAAACTTTATCACCTCTTTCTACTCGAATAGTCCATAACATACTATGATTCTCTTCAATATGAATATCTAAAATGGCCGTGGACGGGAATCGTTTTTGGCACTGCAGACATTTATGATTATGATGTTGTATTATATGTGATTCGTAGTCGTAGTAATTGTTAAAGGTTACGGCAACACATGGAGGCATATTGCAAGTTATCGAGGAGGTAGTGCTAGTATTTTCATTGTAAGAAGGATCTACGTTATCTTCACGAGGTCTCTTGGACATTTATTATCAAGTAATATTAAAGTTCCTGCTGATATTGTATACTGTTGTGGAAGTAAATTGGCCATTCCCTCGATTCGAATTGGGGTCGACTTAATTTTGATCGTGGAAAAAAATCCAATCCCATCTTCAATGCCTCTCCATCTTCATAATGTCATTGCCAACACTGGAGGGACCGATTGATGAACAGTTCGGCCAACTGAGCGCATTCCCCTTACCCGAAGGTGACACAGTGGACCAGGATACTCAGGATGCATACACATACTTGGCATCAGTGAGGAAACAAGCTGAATCCGAAACTTCGGTGTTCTACTCCGTTCGAAGAGATCTACTTGCTTTGGAAGACGGTGAACAAATAGGGAATGACACTAAAGAGTTATACAGCGATCAACATAACAGTAAGAACAATGAAAAAGAGATCGAACCTTTAGTTCAATGGCAGTTCAATTTCCAAACGGAATTTAAGTCGATTAAAGCAGAATTAACTCAACTTCAAAGATTAGGTCGACTAACTCCTCGGTCGTGGCCAGAACCTATTCCTTCGACAGGAAAACAATGGCGCACAGCGATGCTCGACCAAAGTCCACCACCAATTGCACATTTTTTCTCGTTAGATCATTCTACAACCTTGCGACTAGTGGTGTATGCCACCAAATGGTTGAGTACTGGAACCCGAATATCGTTGTCGAAATGGATCTGGTGCCTACTAATTCGTCTAGATACTCCTCTCGACGCAAGTGATACTTCAATTATAAGAGAATTAGGTGTCAAAGCTCTAAAGCTATGGGAGAAAACTAATGGTGGTGTAGGGGTGTCCCCTACGGCCAAACACTGTTGGGCGATGATCGTTACAATTGTGGGGTCGTACTATCGCCAGAGCGACTTGGCTCTCGCACGAACAAAATAATTCATTATCAAACGAAAATTAATTTTCATCGTTCAGTCAACGTACAACCAACCTTGAATCATCATACACAATCAATATGTCTTCGAAGAAGAGAGAAGATTTGGTTATTCCGTATGTGCTATGAAAATGATATCACCATTTCCATCATCTACTAACAATGTGTTCCAGTTACCATCATGTTCCCATTAAAACAAAGCCTGAAGCCAGTGCCATGATCGCCCAAACGTTACCAATGGCAGCTATGTTCATGAGAAACAAGTTATTATCTTGGTCGTCGCTATTCCTTGCCGTTCAAGCATATTTGAACGAACCTGTTTACAAGGTGAAATCCGAAAGTTCTGCTGACCAACCACCTTTACTAAGAATCGTGTTTGCTTTGGTTTCATTGGCTACATGCTATATAGATTTGATTATCCCATCTACTAGTGCTACTGCTAAGAAGGCCTCAAATCTTGCGTCCATGGTATCTGAAACTGTAAGCACCATTGCCAGTTCTGCTACTGAATAGTTTACACAATATTAAGAGTTTAAATAATAATAGTTTACATAATAATAATAATAATAATAATAATACAACGAACGATCATGGGTTGAACTCAAATATCAAACTAGTAGTGCCCATATACGAAACAGATAACTTGGTGCTAGTGAAATCCCATTTTAAATCACATATTCCTATGGCACTGGCAGTATCTGCCATTTCAGGTAACTGCAATTCATATATCCCAACACAATGAATGGTATTTCGAGTGGTTTTGGTATCAGCTGTGGTCGAAGTAAAGTAATGGTCGAATGAAATGTCCCATATGGTTACCCTTCCTAAACTATCACCAATTGCAAGCCATTTCCCATCTTTAGTGACAGCACAATTGAAAACAAGTATTTCTTTGGGAATATCACCATCTTCATGATCTTCTTCATCATAATGAAAGTTTTCATTAGTGGTAAACAATTTACTACTGATCAATGAGGAAGCGGTGTTAACATCCCATACATTAAGGATTCCGTCCATGGATACACTCAAAAGATGACGAGAGCTTAGCCATTTCAATTCCACCACGGGTGAACTATGAAGTATTAAGTCCGCGTCTTGTGAATGCGCTCCCCCACGTTGATTAAGAACTGTAGGGTCTGTAGAAGAATTGCTGGACCACACCTTAATGATATAATCATAATCAGAACATGAAGCCAATAGTTTTGAAATAGGGTTGAACTTGATCAAAGTGATGCTATTTTCATGTCCACTTAAGAGACCAATAGGTGATACCTCTATTTGTGGGAGTCCAAATATTGACAATTGAGTATTGGTGATACTAAAGATTCGTATGGTATTCTTTGAGGTTGATACGGAGAATTTGAAATCATCTAACCAACAAGCATCAATGCTGACTCCATTGGAAACGGCGCATGTTAGATGATGAATGACATTCAAATTGGTACCATCTCTGAGACAAACTTCTCCGTTCACGTCAATGGTCAAAAGATATTGACCATTATCATTCCAAATAAGTGAAGATATTAGTTTCAGAGCCTTATTATTAACGCTGCCATTATTAGCATTGGTATTAATATTATTATTAGTACCAGTATCTCCATTCTTAGGACCATCAGCTGGAGAAGTACTTGCGGTAGCACCACCACCAGTAGCAGCAGCAGTAGCAGCAGCATTACTAGTCGTAGTCGTTGTAGGCTCATCAATGGTATTAATAGCCAAGTTACGAAGCTTTCCGTCAGGCGACCATGCACGTAAATCACCAAAACCTCCACAAGTAACTAGAACGTTCCCATTAGGTGACCATGATACAATGTTGATCTCATTATTTCCACTTAATGCGCTTGAATGATTGAGTTTGACTGTTTCAGCAATCTCACCATCTTTAAAGGCACTAATGACTGCCAGAGAACTTTCTTGTCCATAAGCAAAAGCTTCAGATCCAGGATGCCAATCAGAACAAATACTCGAAGAAAATGATACTAATGGTTTTATATGTTTTGTTGTAAACGGAGTCTCAATTGTTGTAGGTACTGGGGGCTCCTCTGGTGGTGATGGTAATTCTTGCTTATTATTATTATTATTATCATTATTTATCGATGGTTCCTCATTCATCTCAACATCAACATCTTCTTCTGCATTACGGGAACCATTTTTCGCCTCTATAACCAGAAGAAACCTTTCATTTTCAGATTGTTCATTCTCTATATCATCTTGATATTGTTGATGCTGATGTTGTTCTAGTGCTCCTAATAAGGATAACATTTCCAGAGTAACCTCGTTCCCCGGTATTTTGGACTCTGTCATAGTATAAAGTATACCCCGTTGCACCAAATCAACCAAACATCCTGGCTTCACTTTGGTTACGGCTAAAGTTTGTTCGTAATTCAGACACTTCGACGCTTTATCCAAGGCAAAAGCTGCCAATTCATGGCCAGACTCTTGTAGATATCGCCAAATAAGGTAATTCAATTCAGTGCTTGTTAGTGACATAACGGAAGCACCACCACTGTCTGTCGTAATATGAACTATATTATTTACACCTCCACTTAACACAAGTTCTGATGGAACAAACGTACTTGTTTTCAGTAACAGTACTAAGATGGAATGAACCAACTTTTTCTACAGTTGTTTTGTGCAACATCTCAAAGGTCGTGGGATTATCATAAAATTAAAAGCATAATCGAACAAAACACTTGGTGACACCGGAAGCATACTAGGTGTATATTACACTAATACAGTCAATATACGAGATTGATCGAGACAATTACGAGAACCATATAGGGCAATTGAGACGGAGATTCAATAACACAACACTCGTAAACTTTGCGGCACCAAAATATGTTGGCAGTACCTTCCTCTACAGCACAACGACGGAAATCAAAGGCCGCATGGCAAGTATCCCAGTCAAACAACAACAACAACAACAAGAGCAACCCGTACGCGGACAACAAGTCAGTAGTTTCCTTTGGAGACGATGACGACGAGCCGGACTATCTTAGTGTCATGGGAGGTGGTCAAAGTCAGTACGGACAAAAGGCTGGTGGTGGGTATGCACCCAGTATTGTCTCCAAGAAGACCAATAGGAGAATGAGTATCCATATGTCTGCTATGTCACAAGCCAGAGGCAAAGGAGTCTTTGATGGATCTAATTTACCTCCTGTGCCCAATATTGCTATTGATGGGGCACTGATTGTATCAAACAATGATGTTGAACATCGGATTACTAGAGATTTGGCCAATGCCACAGCCACAGAGATAGATGATTATTATAGATCTTTGATTCAGCAAAGGAACTTGGTTGATCGTCAAATCAAGCTGAATATCAACCAGAATCAAAAAAATATATTGGAACTAATGAATGACTTGAAGGTAACTCAAGAGGAATTGATGCATGTGAGAGAAATCAAGGAAGAATTATACATTGTTCTTGATGAGTTTAAACAAGCAGCTGAAAGAAGAATCGAGTTAGAAAGTGAAGATAAAAACCTGACCCCACCACTTAGACATCTGGGTCTGGGTCTGGGTCTGGGTCAATTTCAAAGTCTTAAATTAATGACCAACAATAATAGCACTTCGTCCACAAGGAAAGATAGATCGTCAATCGTGGTACTTAAGAAAATTTGGGCCAACGAATTGAATTCGTTATTTAAACATGTTGAAGGAGCCTCTAAATTTGTTCAACCAATTCCTGGAAGACATGTGTTGGCTGAAAGTGGAAGATGGTTTGAAGTTAATATGGGTACTTGGAAACTGACAAAACCAACTCATATATTTGTGTTAAATGATTTACTTTTAATTGCAATTAAAAGGAATAATAAAGATGGGAAATCAAGATTGACGGCTGCACAATGCTGGCCATTACAAGATGTTAAGCTTATTGAGGTCCAATCTGACAAGGTTAGTAATAATAGTTCGCAAGCAAATGGTAAAGTATATTTGATTCAAATTAAATCAAATCAATCAAGTTATATTTACCAAACAGATAGAATTGACCATTATAGTAAAATAATGGAAGCATATCAAAAGGGTAAGGATGAATTAATTCAACAAGAACGAATTAATGAAACATCTCAAGCCGATGAAAATGAAGGTGCTAGACTGTTGCGTAAATCTTTAAGAAACTCTGGTGTTCTAGAAAGTCCTTCAAGAGAAGATATGGCTGGATCTCCTCGTTCAGGGTCTCCATCAACTCATGTCTTACAAGATATTTCAGCACGGGTTCATTCCCGTAATAGATCTTTAGAGTTGAACAATAGCTCTCCTTATGCTGACAATGATAAGAAATCAATAATTTTATTTGAATTGAAAAGAATTGATGAAAAGTTTGATGAAATTGATGTTGAATTGGCCCACAATAGATATAATGAATCAGTTGGGTTAATCAAATATATTGAGAATAAACTTAAATCGTTAGAAAAGGATATCAATATGTTACCTAAAGATTCACAAATTGTGGAAGAAATCAAATTATTGGTTGATGTGATTAATTTGAAACTTACTAGTCGTCATTTTCAAGTTCAACAATCTCTTGAATTTGATTTGGAACAACGTGTTGGAGTATTGAGTCCCCAAGAAGTGTATCAAATTATCGATTATTTCTTTGCCTTTGGAGAGTTACAAAAGGGGATTGAAACATATTTGGATTCAATGTCTACATATTTAGCTCAAACGATTTCTCGACTTGTTATAAGTGTTCAAGGATCCACAAAGGTTGATGTTGTTAACTATCTATCCAATTTGGTAATCATTAACGTTTGCATCATTAAAAGAACCATTGGAGTATATCGAGAATATTTTATTCCATTACTTAAAAGAGATAATGATCACCACCGCAATGACTCTAGTGGATTAATCAACTGGTGCGTCAATGAAGTCGGTAAACTTGTTGTTGCCATTAAGAGACATTTATATGGTACGTTATTAGTGGCAGGACCCATTGATCCCGATACAGGTGTTCAAAACTATGAAGTTAAAGAAAAGGATTTGTTTAATGAATTCTTAGAAATTGTTGTACAACAATTAAATGATTTGAAATATGAAGGTGTTAGTGTTGATTATAAATTTGATGATTTATTCAACATACAGGAGAAAGCCAATAATAGAAAGTATTAATTTATTAAGAACATTCTGTTACAACTTCTCGTATAACAGAGCCAATTTGGAATGATCTCTAAAGTACTGACCCTTCCATTTAACGATTAAAAGAAGTACGGATGAAACAAGCAAAATACCACTGAGAATACTAAATAGAACTCCCTGGCCAATTTTACTCAATATGGGCTCAACAACAAACGTTGCAACAGCAGCAAAGATTTGACGGATTAAATTGTTTAATGCAACACCAGTTGCACCTCTTCCTGGTAAGGTATCGACTAGATAAGTTACCATGGCACCAATTAGTAACATTGTTGCTGCACCGAAAAGAGCTGTGCCTATCAAAGGAATTGCCCAATGACAGCCATATTTAATAGTCCAACCAAAAATTAAACAAGCTGGCATGAACATAAAGATTGCTAATACCACATTCCAACTTAATCTTGATTCCGGATCTAATCTTCCATTATGAGTCTTAGCATAGTCTCTTAACAATCTATCGATCCATCTTCCTCCTAGAACTGAAGCAATAATATAAGTGATTGAATTGGGGATATACATTAGCCCAATTATAATGACCTTAAAATTATACGGTTCTCTAGCGTACGACCATGAAATGGCCATGTTCAAGAAATAAAGTGTCATGAATGAAATAGCTGAGTATGTAATAACCAATGCAACTGGAGGATGAGATAATAGAATAAGACTATGAGTTGGACGCACAAACAAATCATACAAGGTATGTTTGGTATTTTCCCATTTAGATGTATTTTGTCGTCCTTGTCGTTCCTCTAATCTCAGTTTTGTTCTTTGAAGGTCCTCTTGAAGAGCTTCAGCTGCCAATCTTCGAGAATATTGAGACATATTGGTTGATAATCTGGACAAAGAGGGCATTACTGGATCAATGATTGCCGATTCGTCAATATTAATCTGTTGTTGTAGTTGTTGCAGTGACTGCGTGTGAATATCTTGATCCTTTTCAAGAGCATCCTGTTGATTCCTTAATATTGAGACGTCTGGTTTCCTCAACGTTTCTGGTAATAAGAACAAGATACTAATGACATTAACACCGGAAACAATAGCCAACGACCATTGAGTAGCTCTCCAACCCCAGACTTGGCCAACAACCCCACCAATGATTGGAGCGCAAAATGGACCAAGGAGCGGTCCTAAATAGTAGAGACCCATGGCCCTACCCATTTCTTGTTGTATGAACAAATCACCAATGGTTCCAGCACCTACCGCTTGGACAGAAGCCGAACATCCACCTTGGAGAACTCTAAGACCTATTAATGCAGATATGGTTGGAGCAAAGGCTGCACCAACAGAGAATGCAAAGAATAATGTAAAGCTGACCAAATAAACCGTACGACGACCATAACGTTCCAGGAAACTGCTCCACCAAATAGGAAAGATCCCCAAAGATAATAAGTATATACCCACTGAAATATTGACCATGGTTTCATCGGTATGAAGATCCTTGACGATGTCATCGATTGCTGGTAACATGATTGAAGTCCCAAAGGGACCAGCAAGTGATGCAAAGGCTATAACCACTACAATGGTATATTTGACACTATTGGGGTATTCTCTAGCATCATCGTATTCTGGTAATAGAGTGATTTTTCCCAATAACCCTCTTCTATCTTTAATGGGTATTCTATGAGATTTAGTAGACTTTAAAGATCTTGAAGACGATGATGTGGTTCTACCAACTTGGTTATTGTTGAGTTGCAGCAGTGATTGGGTGTTATTGTCTTCTTGGTGTAAAGGTATGACGTTTTCTATCGGATAGTTAGACTCAATAGATTCGAGGGAAATGGAACCGTCGTCATTTTCATTGTGCTTATTGTGTTCAGACATGGTTCAACTGTAAACATAAGGAATTGTATATTGGTAGTTGGGATGGGTTAAGCTTTGGCTAGTTGACTTTCTTCTCCATATATAACGGAGCCGTTCCCGGGGTACAGGACACGACCTGTAGAGTCATAAGTCTTGTACCTGATGATCAGCGCGGTGCTATCAGTAAATACAAACGAGAGTGTAATGTAATTATTACGTAATGCTCGGAGTACGTGCACGCTACATTAAACGTTATGTTGTACACATAACCCCAATGGCTTATCCCCACACTCACGTGACAACGGGTTTAACGGTTTGATCTGAGATGAACTTCTCCCGTTCTACACACTAAAAAGTGATGTTGCCAACATCATCACACAACGTACCGGAAAGGATGTCAACTACGTAATAGCCAGTTTGTGAACACAAGTATGTATGTATACCTAGTATCTCCGTGAGCCGTTATTGTTGAGTCCCCAATTGGGAAGTCACATCTTAAACCAGGATCTATATACTGCATACAGCATGTGCATCGTATTCCTCATGCTCGGATATAAACTGGCGACAACCGGATGTAATTTCAACACTTGCCACCTCTATTTAGGGCACCCTTAGACACAACTACATAACAACCATTAACGTCTAGTGATTGTTAGTAATTGGGTGCTACACATGATAATGACCATCAAACACTCTATCCCCGTAGTGGTGATTCGGACAATTGTAATTGGAGTATACTTTGTATTGGGGGTTATCTGCTGCCGGTATACATTATGGATTAGTACAGCGCTCTTGAAGAACTATCCTGAATTGGCATATGTTCTAATGGGGAATTCCAAAACCAACTTTTTCCAATTGATAGCGTTTGTATCGAGTATCATCAATCCCTGTAAGATCTACATAACATGGGATGCTGAAACTATGCCATCATTGAATAGTTTTAAGATTGTGGATGGTCAACTACATCTGATTCTTAATCCCAATTCGGTATTTATATCCAATCATCAAATCTACACTGATTGGGTGTTCCTTTGGTTCATAAACTATTCCGCTGATATGAGTGATAAGGTGTTTATATTTTTGAAGGATTTATCCAAGATTCCTATTTTGGGTAGTGGGATGAAGGTGTTTAATTTCATATATTTATCACGGAAATGGGAAAAGGATAAGATTGTCATGACCAATAAATTATTGCATATTGATGCCAATGCTAGAGGATTAGGTCCAGATACGGGAGTAAAGAAATTACATTCGTTTACGTCGTCATCATCGTCGTCGTCATCATCGTCGTCGTCATCATCGTCGTTGTCGTCGTCGTCATCGTCTACACGTATAGTTAGTTGGCCTAAAGGGTTGAGACCTGAGAAACTGCTTCCTTACTCGTTCATCCTTTTCCCTGAGGGGACGGTGGTTTCCGAAAACACTAGAAATAGATCAGATACCTTTTGTAAGGGTAAGGGACTTGCACCCTTGAAACACGTATTGTTACCCCGTGCTCGGGGGTTAATGCATCTGCTTAGAATGTTAGATCAATCGATCCTGGTAGTATACGATGTTACTACTGGATACAGTGACTTGAAAGCAACTGAATGTGGTGAAGAAAAATATAGTTTAAAACGGTACTTTTTATTGGGCTACAGCCCTGCTTCGGTGCATTTTTATTTCCAACTGATAAACATTAAGGATATACCATTGGGAGACCTCAGTGTTGATATTGATGATCTACCATCTGAGGTGACTCAAGAATTTGAAAATTGGCTTTTTAAATTGTGGTACGAGAAAGATACCAGAATGGAACATTTCTTTAAGTATGGCACGTTTGAAGACAACAATACAAAAACGGTGGTAGCAGATTTCAAACTAAGAAAGTTTGTTGAAGGCTTTTATCCGTTCACAGCAGCTGCATTGACGTTGTTGCTTCTTCGTTTGGTGTTTGTATTTGTGGGTGGGTTTGTTTCAAACAAGCGATAGAATGAATTAATACTGTGACTAATGTGAAACATTGATGTAGTAGAAAATGTAGTATAAGAGGTGGATTATCTGCACACGATACTGTTATTACCTCTATTATCCAGTTTCTACTGCCACCCACCCATTTCCATTATGTTACTAGGTGCCCTTCTTAACATTCCTAGGTACTTCATTTGCGTGTTGCTCTTTATCACCGTATTCCTACAGGGGTTCCTCCTTATGGGATGCTCTAATACTGCAGGCACATATTCAAATGTATACCTTGCCCAATTCTCCTACAACCAAACATCTACATTATACCCTAATATCCAAGCTGCATATCGTCTGGCCAACTCATCAGCTCAGTTGGCCAACATGACGATTCGCGTAGGTTATCTTAGTGCGTGTGCGGGTTACGCAGATAACGATCACTACGTCTGTGCACCATATAATGACTTCAGCAGTTTATCTATGTTTGCCGGAGTCAAGTTTATACCCTCTAGTTCTTCACAGGATCAATTAGATTTGGTTAAGTTGGCTCAAAAGTATCACACGGCTACCCATCAAAATTTGCTTATATCTACATTGATATTGACCTTGATAGGGTTCTTCAATAATGTTTGGTGTGCAACAACAATTCTTCCTGGTCAGTTGGTAATGCGTAAACTTAACTGCGTGCTATTGTTTGGGAACGTCTTGGTTAGTGGACTTGGGTCGATGCTTCAGTCTCAAAGTTTGACTAGTGCTTCAAATCTTGTGGGACCAAGTTCACTTACTGTTGTTGACGTAAGCAGAGGTGGTAGGGCTCAGGCTATGACTTGGATAGGGTTTAGTTTCTTGAGTGTTTGTTTGGTTGGGAACGTGATTCTTCTTTATGTGTCGTTAAGGAAAAACAATAAGCCACCAGTTGTTTCAAAATAAAGGAATTAACATCTGTTATACGTTACATACATCATACATGCTCTTCACAGATTAAATACATACACAACAGGCAGCGAGCCTGCATGAACACGGTTACTTAATGTCTTACTTAATCTAGCTCTACCTTACTAGTTTCCCATTCCCACCAAAATTTTCAACCATTATATTTTTCAGAGTCGCGGTTTACTTCAACCATTTACGACACTAATATAATATATAAACACCAACACCTTCTTTCCTTACGCTACGACATTTGCAGTCATAGCCCGGGTCAGAGCCACAGTCAGCCAGACTGCCTAAGAACGATGTCGTACACGATACAACTAGATGCGTTTGTCAGTCGACTCAATGAATCGCCAGACGACTATAAACTGGCACATTCTGTGCTCTCTGAACTATTGGATATGATAGAGACATTCAATGGGGCAGCTGAATACAAGTATTTCCTTAAGAACTTGATCCCCTTATTCTTGGACCGATTACAGACAGTGCCAGTGAGTTTAGTCAACCAATCACCAGAACATAAGCTCCGGAACTCGATATTGGAGATCATCCATCGGTCGATCATGAATGAGATTTTACAACCGTATGCTGCAGACATTCTTGATTCGTTGATTAAAGTTTTGGTGGAAGAGAATGAAGAGAATGGGGTCCTTTGTATGAAGATCATCACAAGTTTACATAAAGCTTATAAACCTAACTTGGTTGATAAAGTTGGTCCATTTGTTGAGATCATCAATACTATTTATAAGAACATGCCTCAAGCCATAGAAGAGGTGTTTAGTGAAGATAATATGACAGGTACATCTGCTTCTGGTACTGCTCCAGCTGCCACCACTAATGAACGAGAATTATCTCCTCCTTCATTTAACGATGAAAACCCTTCGAAAACTTTGAATAAGGCCATGTTCTCCTTTAAGACGTTGGCAGAGTGTCCAATCACAATGGTTTCCTTATATTCTTCCTACAAAGTCTTGGTGTCGACTTCGTTACCAGAATTTCTTCCTAGAATCATTGATTTGCTTCAATTACAAGTTGAAGCCCAAAAATCATTTAGACAAGAACAGAAACAATTATCATCTCGGGTTTATTCCATTTCTCCTAAAATAAAAAATAGACAAGCCTATAGCGATTTCATTCTTGGTCAAGTGAAAGCAGCTTCGTTCTTAGCTTATGTGTTCATTAGAAACTTGGCTAACCAACATCTATCTCCCACACAAGCTCAAGATATCCCCGATGTGATTTTAAGATTACTTCAAGATTGTCCAGCAGAACTATCCGTTGCCAGAAAGGAACTTTTACATGCCACCAGACACATTTTGTCCACGTCCTTTAGAAGTCACTTCATTCCTAAAATTGATCTTTTATTTGATGAAAAGGTTCTTATTGGCGAAGGCCTAACTTCATACGAAACATTGAGACCTTTGGCTTATTCAACGGTTGCTGATTTCATACATAATGTTAGAAATGAACTTAGCCCAGAACAAATTTGGTCCACGGTAACAATATATTGCAGTCTACTTAAAGATGATTCGCTAGCTTTAACCGTGCAAATTATGAGTGCAAAATTACTTTTGAATTTGGTTGACAGAATCATGAAACTTCCAAATAAATTAGAAGGACGACAATTGTTTATGTTCATTATCGATGCTTATGCCATGAGATTCCAAAGTCTAAACAAGAAATACGACTACATTGTTGCTAAACATAAACAATTTGAAAAGAAGAAACAAGCTCGTGATATCGAAGGTCAAAAGGCTGTGCATAGATTCTCGTCAAGGAAGCTCATTCAAGATAAGGACAAATCTGCTGATGTTGAAATGAAGGAACGTACAGAAGACAAGAATGAAGATTCAGAAGTCAAGAATGAAGAAGACGAAAATAATGATGAAATTTACGTTAGCATGTTTAACTTGGATGAATATAGTCCTATCACCACGTTCCCTCAAAATTCGGATACTGATTTGTTAAAAGATGCCAGATATTTATTCAGAACTTTAATGACCTTTTTAAAATCTGTGATATTTGGTTTGAAGAATTGTAACCCTCCAGTTCCTCCTCAACTTACAGATAATCCCTTGACCGAAAAATGGAACGATACAGCCAGAATTACTTCATACGAAGAAGTCAACATCTTAAGATCTTTATTTAGAGGTGGTGTTAGTTGTCTCCGATTCTTTCTGGTTCGTCCAAAACCTGCTCCACCACTGGGTAAGGCAATTGACTTTTCAACTGGTGGACCAAGCTTATTAATAACTTCATCTAAAGAAGAGAAAGACTTAATGGAAATCTTTGCGACCGTTTTCATGAACATTGAACCTGCTGCTTTTAACGAAATTGTTCATGCTGAATTACCATTTTTATTCGAATCAATGTTGGATAATACTGCTTTGCTTCATTTACCTCAATTTTTTCTTGCCAGTGAAGTGACATCAGCTAATTTCTCCGGAATATTAATTAGTTTTTTACGGGCTCATTTAGAAGATTTGGGGAAACTGGACATTATCAAATCCAACATTTTAATTCGTTTATTCAAATTATGTTTAATGTCCGTTACCTTATTCCCCGCTCAAAATGAAGCGGTGATTCTTCCTCATTTGAATTATTTGGTATTGGAATCGTTAAAGCTTTCGACTAAATCAGAAGAACCCATTGTCTATTCTTATTTAGTACGAATCCTTTTCCGTTCCATTAGTAGTGGAAGATTTGAAAACTTATACAAGGAAATTATGCCTATCTTGCCGGTTTTGTTGGATACTTTGAACAAAATGATTGTTAATGCCAGAAGGTCCTATGAGAGAGATATTTATGTGGAATTATGCCTTACAATCCCAGTTAGACTCTCTGTTCTTGTTCCTCATTTGAATTACTTAACTCGTCCACTTGTTTATGCATTGAACGGTTCACAAGACTTGGTGAGTCAAGGTTTAAGAACTTTTGAATTATGTGTGGACAACTTGACTGCTGAATATTTTGATCCAATGATTGAACCGGTTCTTGACGAATTCATGGCAGCTCTTTGGAAGCACTTACAACCAATTCCTTATCATCATCAACATTCACATACAGCCATTCGGATTTTAGGGAAACTTGGTGGTAGAAACCATAAACATTTCAAACATATTGCCAACCTTAAAGCCGAAACCGAATTAAACCAAGAAGTTAAGGCCTTGTTTCTGATCTATGGACTAGATGGGAAGATTCCTGTTTCCATTACTCCAGGAGTCGAATCGGCCATTAAATTATTGGAAGACCCCAAGATTAAATTGCACTACCGGATTAGTGCATTTAAATATTTATCCAATATCATGAAGTTATTCATTGATACTACGGCCATTCCTCATGATTATTCCAACTACGTCACTCAATGTGTGGAGTATTTGAAAGTGGAAGGTGGTGGAGACGATGACGATTTTACACTGGAACTTGAACCTTCAGGAATTAAAGATATGGATAAATTAGATTTGCAACAGAAATTGTTTCAAAAACTTATGGAAATGTTATTTTTTTCTGTTTCCATTCCAGAACTTCAAAAGGAATCTTCGGAGCTAATCGACGGTGTTGCAAACCACTTTGTTATATCTCATGTTTCCAGCTCAGTTATTGATAAGATAAAGAAAGAGAGACCATTTTCAGTTAATGATAATGAAGGCAAAGCATATATCAATGATACGGCATTTTTCAATGCGTTGATCTTTGGCCTAAGTTCTTGGAACCCTGAAGTCCGAAGAAAAGGTTGTGACATTATAAAGTTGATTTTTAAAACTGCCAATACTTTATTTGGATCAGAAGAGAATGCCTTATATTCCCCATTTTTCAGAACATTGTTCTATAAGTTGACCCACTCATGTTATAATGAATTCTTTGGTGCCAAACTTGGGGGTATTTTGGGGTTGAAATGTATGTTTGAAGACATGAACATTCCATCTTCGTGGTTCTTTAAACGACAATTTGAATTGGTAAGGGCCATTGTGTTTACCATAAGAGATACTCCTAGTAATGCTGCATTTGAAGTGTGTGATATGGCAAAGGAATTGGTGTTGAAGGTATTGGGTGAATGTAACAAGGGTGTGACACAGGAAACCATTTTGGAAAAGCCTTTCCAAACTATCATTGGTGCCATTGTGTATGATTTAGCCAGTGCAAATCCATTGGTTAGAGAAGTTTCAAAGGAAGCGTTGACCACTTTAAGTGAAACAACTGGTGTTCCAATAGTTACCATGATGAGTCCTTGCAAACATTTACTTCTAACTCCTATATTTGTTAAGCCCTTGAGAGCTTTACCATTTCCCATGCAAATTGGTAATTTGGATGCTATAACGTTTTGTTTGAATCTTGAAAATACCTTTTTGACGTTTAATGAAGAACTTAATCGATTGTTATTGGAAGCTTTGGCATTGGTTGATGCGGATGATGAATCTTTAGCCAATGTTCATCGACTTTACGAATACAGAACCGCTCAACAGTTGATCCAGTTGAGAGTTGCATGTATCAAACTACTTGCATTGGCATTAACCCGACCAGACTTCTCCTTGGGATCATTAGCAGAGGCCAGAATTAGAATCTTGGGTGTATTCTTTAAGGCACTTTGTAATAAATCCACTGAGATTATCAATGCTGCTCATCAAGGTTTAAAAGCAAGCTTAAAAGAAAATGCAAAATTACCCAAAGAATTACTTCAAAATGGTCTTCGTCCAATGCTTATGAATTTATCTGATCATAAGAAATTGACCTTATCTGGTTTGGAAGCTTTAGCCAAACTTTTGGAATTATTAATTTCATATTTCAGAGTGGAAATTGGTAAGAAATTATTAGACCACTTAATGGCATGGGCTCAGGTGAATACCTTGAGTCAAATTTCAACCCAAGACTTGGAAAATAACCATACGGTTCAAATTGTGCTGTCCATTCTTAATATTTTCCATTTATTACCTCCCAAAGCCGATAGTTTTATGGAGAAAATCATCAATACTCTTCAATATTTGGAAGGAAATTTATATCGTCATCAAAGTTCACCATTTAGAGAACCAGTTTCGAAATATTTGAACCGTTTTGCTGATAACTGCTTGAGTTATTTCATGGACAACTACAATAATCGGAAATTGGGTAATATGTTGGCTTATATGTCTGGACTTGAGAATTGTCTTAACTTACGAACAGCAGCCAAATTAAAATTGGATACGATCTTTGATAAAGTGATCAATGAAACCGTGGATGAAGTCAAAGTCATTGAATTTGCTAATACGGTGGATTTATTTGAATCTTTAATTAAATATGATGATGAATGGTTTGATACACAAATTGATAAGTTGGAGAAATTGGAATCATTAATTCCAACAATTGAAACCATAAAGGAAAACGCTCCTTTGGTTACAGGGATCCATTTCCAAGCAGATCAATCGATTAACAAATTACAATCAATCATGATAAAATACTTGGAAAGAAACCCCAATGAAAAGGATTTATTATTCACCATAGTTGGGAGACTCTCCAAATCAAATATTGGAGTCCCCAGTAAGCTTGATGACTATATTTATAACTCCATTGTGACTTCAGATGATGTTCCACTAAGAGAAGCATATTTGGTCAAAAGTATCAGGGCCATCACCAATTCAGAAAACAGTTTGGCAACTAAGAACTATATAAGCAAGAAGGTGTGTCTTCCTATATTGCTATATGAGATTGTTAGGCATAAGAGTTTGGAAAGGTTTCTTAGGCATGATGATGACAATTCTACTCCAGAATGGCTCCAGTTATTCTATGAGAACGTATGGAAATCTACCAATGATATCATCACTGACCATTCGTCTGGGAAGTTGGATAGTTTAAGGTTTGAATTGTTGCAAATGACTGCGGTTCTTTTAAAATGGGTTCCGGAGTATCTTAGTGACTACCGGAAGGATATTATAAAGTTCAGTTGGAACTATATCAAGTTGGAAGATAGCATTTCTAAGCAAGTTGCTTATGTTACCACTGCTTATTTCATAGCAGCTTATGAGACTCCTTCCAAACTTGCTACTCAAGTGTTTGTGGCATTATTGCGGACCCACCAGTCGGATTCAAGGCATTTGGTTGAACAAGCATTGAACATTTTGGCTCCAGTAATGCCCAAAAGAATGGCTGAATCTGGATCTAACTCTATCAGTTGGTTGAAATGGCCTCGAAGAGTCATTTCAGAAGATGGGTTCAATGTAACTCAAGTCTTGAATGTCTATCATTTCATTGTCCAACATTCAGATATATTCTTTATTGCCAGAGAGCATTTTATTCCCAATATTATCACTGCTATGGGTAAATTGACTATTCTTGCCAATCCTGCTGTGGAAAACCAAGTCTTAGCCATTGAATTGGCAGAGTTAATCTTGAAATGGGCAAAGAGAGCCAAGCAAGAGCCAAATAGTAAAGGTGACGAAGAGATTCTTTTGCAAGCTGCCGAAGCAGAAAGCGACTTTACCACGTCTCCAGATTATAGTATTCCCTTTGGCCAAAGAGAAGCATGTGTTACCTTCTTAATAAGATATGTTTGTATCAGTCCTCAAAGAGCCTCTGAAAGTGAATTGGGACAGAAGGCGTTGGGAATCTTGAACGATCTATTGAGTGCTGATTTCTGGCCTGAAATCAACGTTAAGCTTTCATTCTTTGAAAAGTTTTTATTGCCTAATGACTTGAATAATAGCAATGGATTGGGGTATTGCCTAAATGCTTTGGAAGTGTTGGGAGTTGTTTTGGAATGGAAGAGTTATGATTGGATCTACTCCAATATTGGCTATTTGCAGAAGCTTTTAACGAAGTGTATTAAATCCGATAATCATGATATTCAGGAAGTGTTACAGCGAGTGTTGATGATTATTTTAAATGCCATAAGTTCCAAGAATCTTTCTGAGGAAGAAGAGGATGATGACACTCAAGCATTCATTCAATTGTTGGTGACTACTGTTTCTGAAGATTTACCTGAAACACCTTCAGTGGCCGCAGGGGTTGCCTTATCATGGACATTGGCCAATTCCAGACCTTCTACATTGAACTCTTTGCTTCCACTTCTTATGAAAACTTTCAGCAAGCTTTGTAAGGATCATATTGCAATTACTCATAATGGCATGCAATCCCTGACCCTGCTGGACAGTTCCTACAATTCTGAATTTGAAGCGAAGATGACCACCAAGTTATTGGAGAAGATCCTCAACTTGTGCTCCATGAGAATTAGTAGTCTTGGAGATCAAAGACGATACTTTTTGTCATTGCTTGCACAATTGATTGAACGGTCATTGGATAAAGATACCTTGGATAAAATCATCAAGATCGTTAAAGAATGGGTGTTTTCCAGAACCGACTTATTCCCTACCACAAAGGAGAAGGCTAGTATATTGGCCAAGATGATGGTATTTGAAATAAGAGGTGAACCAACGTTATCCAAAGAATTTTATCAGATCATTATTGATATCTTTGAAGATGACACTTTTAGTTGTACTGAACTTACTGTTCGTATGGAGCAACCATTCCTTGTGGGGACCAGATCTGCTTATGTTGATATTCGTCGTAAGCTCATGTCAATTTTGAATAACAGTTTGGAAAGAGATATTAGAAAGAGACTCTATTATGTTATCCGAGAACAGAATTGGGAATATTTGGCTGATTATCCATGGTTGAATCAAGCTATTCAATTACTTTTCGGTTCGTTTGAACAGAATTTTAAGCTTGAACTTGTGGATAGCGAGTTCAAATTAGCACCATTAACTGGGTATCCCTACGGTATTAAGCCAAAGAATAATAAGGATGAAGATAAAATGGAAATTGATAACGATAGTGATAACGATTTGATTAAATTGCTTGAAAAGCATAATGATTTTTTGACTTCGTTAGCTGTGAGTTCCAATGATTTGATTGAACCTTTGGTCGATATGTTTTATCAAAGCAGCAATGCCATTGACCGTACTTGGTCAGTTCTTTTACCTATTGCATTCAAGTCACTTTCCAGATCAGAGCATTTGGATTTCACTCGGTTCTTGGTGATCTTACTTTCCAAGGATTACCACATAAAACAAATCAACAGCAGACCCAATGTGATTCAATCATTGCTTGAAGGAATATCCAAATGTGATGAGCTTCAATTACCTCCATTTGCAGTTGAATGTCTAGCCTCCAATTTTGATGCCTGGTCTCAAGGTATTAATCTTTTAGAACACATTAGTGACCAATCTGTGAACGGGAATGCTGATATGCGTGCTGTGACTCAAGATGCCTTGGCCAAGTTGTATGCTCAATTGAAGGAAGACGATATGTTTTATGGATTATGGAGAAGAAGAGCTAAGTACCTGGAAACCATTGCTGCCTTATCATTTGAACAAATTGGTCTTTGGGATAGAGCTCAACAACTCTATGAAACTGCACAAATTAAAGCTCGTAGTGGGGCACTTCCCTATGGGGAATCTGAATACGCTTTATGGGAAGATAATTGGATTTTATGCGCTGAAAAGCTTCAACATTGGGACGTTTTAACTGAGCTTGCCAAACATGAAGGATTTTCTGATCTTTTACTTGAATGTGGTTGGAGAGTGGCAGATTGGAACACTGATAGAGAGACACTTGATCAAACAGTTAAGAACGTTATGGATGTTCCAACTCCTAGACGTCAAGTTTTTGAAACATTCCTCTGCTTACAAGGCTTTGGACAAGAGAAGGAAACTTTGCAAGATCTTTCTAAACTTTGTGACGATGGAATTCAACTTGCCTTACGTAAATGGCATGCTTTACCAAGCAGATTCACCGATGCTCATATCCCATTGTTGCACACCTTCCAACAATATGTTGAGTTTATGGAAGCAAGTCAAGTGTACTCCAGTTTGGCTGGCACTACAGTTAATAATTTGGATATGAAGTCTCAGGAGTTGAAGAGAGTATTACAAGTTTGGAGAGAACGGTTACCCAATATCTGGGACGATATCAATATTTGGAATGATTTGGTGACTTGGAGACAACATGCCTTCCAGGTGATTAATAAGGTCTATATGCCTTTCATTCCTATGCTTCAACAATCCAATGGAGGTAACGTTAACTCCTATGCTTATAGAGGATTCCATGAAATTGCCTGGGTCATCAACAGGTTTGCACATGTTGCTAGAAAGCATAACATGCCCGATGTATGTGTGAACCAACTATCAAGAATCTACCAATTGCCTAACATTGAGATCCAGGAAGCCTTTTTGAAGTTGAAGGAACAAGTGAAATGCCATTACCAAAATGCCAGTGAATTAAGTACTGGTTTAGATGTTATCAGCAGTACCAATATGGTCTTCTTTGCTACTCAACAGAAGGCTGAATTCTTTACGTTGAAGGGGATGTTTTTGAACAAGTTGAATCAAAAGGATGAAGCCAATAAGATGTTTGCAACTTCCGTTCAAATTGATCTTAATTTCCCTAAAGCTTGGGCTGAATGGGGTGTGTTTAATGATCGTAGATTTAAAGAAAATCCAAACGATATGGTTTATGCTAACAATGCCATTAGTTGTTACTTACAAGCTGCTGGGTTGTATAAAAATGGTAAAACTCGCAAACTTTTGGCTCGGATCTTATGGCTTATTAGTTTGGATGATGCTTCCGGACGTCTAGCACAAGCTTTTGATGATTTCAGAGGTGAAGTGTCTGTTTGGTATTGGATTACTTTTATCCCACAACTTTTGAATTCATTATCTCATAAGGAAGCCAGGTTAGCAAGGCAAGTGCTTATTAGAATTGCAAAGAGTTATCCTCAAGCATTACACTTTCAACTTCGTACTACTAAGGAAGAGTTTGCTGCTAAGCAGAGACAACTTGTGGAGTTATCTCACCAACAACAAAGAAATGCTACTGGAAAGGCTGATTCAAAGACAGCAACAACAACGACTTCTTCTTCTAATTCAACCGATACGAAATCCAATGGTGCACAAGCATCACCACAGTCCACAGAAACTAAAGACTCACCGCAACAAGGAACTACAAAAGATTCCACCACAAATGGTACCACTACTGAGAGTCCAAAGACTACGCCCAAACCTTCTGGAGTCGAGTCCAATCAAGAGGTTATCAAACAAGCATGGAAACACGTGGAAGAGATTATGGGTATTCTTAAGACAGCCTATCCATTGTTGGCCCTTTCATTGGAGTCTTTAGTGGATCAAATCAACCAAAGATTCAAGTGTACTGCTGATGAGGACGCATACAGACTTTGTATTGCGCTTTTGAATGATGGAGTTCAATATCTCAATCGTCTTGGGAACCCCAAGGACGATGCCAAGTTACCACCAATGACAGAAGCCAACATCACCAGATTTGCAGAGACTGTTTTACCCAAGCAAATTAGGGCTGAATTCGAACGAGATCTTGTAGTTGGCAAACCAAACTTGAAGACGTATATCACCAAGCTTCGGAAATGGAGAGATAGATTGGAAGATAAATTAGATAGACGGTTTTCAGAAGTGAACTTGGAGAACTTGTGTCCACATTTGAGTGAATTCCATCATCAAAAGTTTGAAGAGATTGAAGTTCCTGGACAGTATCTTTTGAATAAGGATAACAATTCTCATTTCATCAAGATTGAACGGTTCTTACCCACCATACAACTTGCCCGAGGATCCAGTGCTTGCTTTAAACGATTAAGAATTAGGGGTAACGATGGGTCTACTCATGTATTTGCCGTTCAATTCCCTGCTGCTAGACATTGTCGACGTGAAGAGAACTTATTTCAACTTTATCGTATTTTTAGTGATACGCTTAAGCGTAAGGTTGAAACCCGTCGTCGTCATATTCAATTTTCACTCCCCATAGCTGTTCCCCTTTCACCACACATTCGGATCATCAATGATGATGTCAAGAACATATCAATGCAAAAAATATATGAAGATTACTGTCGAAAGAATGGTAAGAGTCGTGATGAACCGTTCATATATACTGTTGATAAGCTTAGAGCAGCGTTTGACCCCAGATTACCCAAACCAGATATCATGAGTATTAGAGTGGAGATCTTGAGTGCTGTTCAATCGCTACTTGTACCCTCTACGGTGATGAAGAACTATTTCATGTCGTTGTACCCTAATTTTGAAGACTTTTGGTTATTCAGAAAGCAATTCACTTCTCAATATGCTTCCTTTATCTTCACTACTTATATGATGTGCGTTAACGGGAGACAACCCGCTAAGATCCACATTAATAGGGGTTCCGGTTCAGTGTTCACCTCGGAAATGTTACCCAGTAAAGTGGGTACCAAGAATATCTCATTAGACGGTTCGGGTGGTGCTAGACCAGCACCTTTATTCCATAACCCAGAACTTGTACCTTTCAGATTGACCCCCAACATTCAAAAGTTAATTGGAGAAGTGGGCATGGAGGGAGTCCTTTCTGTGCACTTGTTGTGTATTGGCCGGGCATTGACGGAACCTGAATCGGAATTGGAACAGTACTTGACGTTATTTGTTCGTGATGAAGCTTATTCATGGTGCACCCAACAAGACCCACCACGACCCATTCCTCAACCACAAGCACTAAAGGAGATTGTGCGGATGAATGTTGATCTTATTATCAAGAGAGTGTTACAAATGGGTCATGTATCTTCTGGTCCTTCTATTAGCACTCAGAATGTCTTGGAGTTGATCTCCCAAGCTGTAAGCCCAAGAAACTTGGCCTCTGCCGACACCTTATGGATGGCATATTTTTAGTACAAACGTACTCATATATATAGCTATATATATATTAAATACGCATTATACGCTTATAAATGTCTTATGTATACACTGTATGTCTATGTTTTCGGAGTTGGTGCAACGAATGGATTGCTCTTCCCAGCCACCAAACGTTCATACAAATCTCTTTCAAAACGAGGGAACATCTTATTACTAACCTCAACACCTTCACGTATCCATACTCCCCAAGACCCCATCATGTTGGCCATAAGCATATCTGTAAAGAGTCTATCGCCTACGATGGCTATTTCGTTGGCCAGGATGGATCTTCGGGCAAAATGGTCCAAGATCTCAGGATAACAGCCTGGTTTCTTAGTGGAATGACGAAGTACTGCGACTCCCGTGTCTTGTTCTACTGCTACGGCTTGACTATGGTCCAAGTCATCGTTGGTTCCAGCAGAATTACTGACTATCAAGAGGTTCTCAAGGGGGTACTCTTGCTTGACCTTGTCCCAGACTGTACTGTACTGTGGCCAGAGCTTATCGTCGTGGTCTTTGGCTATACAATTGTCTTTGTCAAACACTATGGCTTTTATATGGTGGTTGCGGATGATGAGCGGCACAGGGAACTCTTCGAACGTCGGGATCACTAAATGCGGTAAGCATAACGACGGGTTGTATGCCAACCGACCAACATTGAGTGTAGCACTAAGATTGAACATAGTAGTAGTGATAGGGAAAGTCAGTAATAATATAGTTAGTTAGCCTACTGTGATTGTTCTACGATTCGATTTTCTGCGGATAAACGTTTAGCCGTAGAAGGTATATAACGGAAATAATGTGCTTCATTTTTTGCAATCATAAACATACACCTTTGTTTGTTTCTATAGTGAACAATATTGGCTCTATCGTAATATAACCGTAGGATAATTATAACATATATATTTATATACGTACATATATTTATATACGTACATATATTTATATACGTACATATATTTATATACGTACATATATTTATATACGTACATATATATATATATGTATATATGCGCCTATTTTTATGGTACACGGATCTCATCGTTTAGTTGCAAATATTACCAGTCACATGTCAAACTTCAAAAACGGCGTATATGGTTGATACTTGGTTTGAAATCGTACAGAAGTAGAGATAATTGGTTATATTTGAGTTAGTCATAATTGAACTGTAATGGTGTTAACTTAGAGTTGAGCTTGAAAACGTTAAAGGTGTCCAATCAATTCATTAGTGTTGAGTTCAGTCCAATATTATCCCCCAATTCAGTCGAACTGAGTTTAGTTGAGTTAAGTTGAGTCGAGTTGAGTTGAGTTGAGTTGAGTTGAGTTAGGATTAGTCAAAGTTCATTTATTTCATTTGTTATCTCCAATTACCCATCTGCATTGGTGATACAAAACCATTAGAACACAAACCCATTGGTGATTATATTGAAAAATTTACTACATCTTTGATAGTTGTTTGACATTCATTATCGTCATAATGACAGATTTGGGACCAAATAGAAGAACCAGAGTTGGTAGAGAATCTTCTGCTAATAGGAAGAATCGGGTAACCAATGGTTATAGAAGAAATGGTTCTAATTCTAAAGCAGAATCTTCGTTATTGGATGAAGAAACTTGTTTGATTTGTGCTGATAGAATCATTTATAGTGCATTATCACCATGTAATCATATTACATGTCATAAATGTACATTTAGACAAAGAGCAAAGTACCAAAAGAAACAATGCCTTATTTGCAGAAGTGAAAATGATAAAGTTATCTTCACTGATTATATCAATAACATCAATAATGATGTGGAATTTGATGGTTTTACTGCCAAAGATTTCAAGAAATTTGATGCAAAACATGGAATAGAATTCACTTCCATCCAATGTTATGAAGATACAATGAACTTGTTGAAGTTTATTTGTCGTTCATGTGATGAAGAGTTTGAATCTTTTAAAGATTTATCAGAACATGAAAAATCACAGCATAATCAATATTTTTGTTTGATTTGTGCCAAAAGCAAAATGGTATTTGTTTCTGAATTGGATCGTTATAACTTTAGACAACTTCAGCGACACCAATCAGAGGGTGATAAATTGGGGTTTTCTGGACATCCAGAGTGCAAATATTGTCGAGGTAAACGGTTCTATTCTGATGATGAGTTAGTTATTCATGTTAGAGAAAGACATGAAAGATGTTTTATTTGTGATCAAGATAATCCTAAAACTGCTGATTATTATCGAAATTATGATTCCTTATATGAACATTTTCGATTAGATCATTATGTTTGTTCAGTACCTATTTGTATTGAAAAGAAATTTGTTGTATTCAGAGATGACATTGATTTAACTGCCCATATGTTGAAGGAGCATGGCGGTCTTAAACCGGGAGCTAAAGTGGTGGTCGGATCAAATAGACAATTTCATTCTCAACTTTCGACTTTTGTTGAAAAGAAGAAGGCAAAACCTGAAGACCCACAAGATTCTCCGGAGATTAAGAAACTTAGATTAGATGAAAGAGCTCGTCATTATCTCAACTATAATACTGATAGCTTCAATGAGTTTCAAAGTGCAAATTCCAAATTCAAAAATAAATCATTGAGTGCAAATGATTTGGTTTTGGAATACGAAAGAATTTTTAAACAACAATCGAAAAATGAAATCCATTTATTGGTTTATGACTTTTCGGAATTGTTTCCTAAATCAACGGAATTATTCAAGTCATTGGTTCCTCTTGTTGAAGACTTAGCAGCATCTCTGACAAAGAAGTTCCCGGTTTTAGGTGGTCAAACTCCTACAAATAGCCAAACAGTGTCAGTTCATTCATGGGGGAACGGAGGAAGATCTTCTACACCACTGGCAAACATGGAGAATAATTTTCCAGCATTAACCAAACCTAAACGTCCAACTCACGCTATTCAATCAGTTCAACCTATTAGATACACTACAGTGGTGAGTAAGGCAAATGGCAAGTTGACCAAGCCAAAAGTTAATTCGGGGTTAGCATCTCCAGATTATAAACCTAATTACCTTAACTCCTCAAACAATAGCAGTTCAGCTACTTCATTAGCATTAAAAACAAGGAACAGTCCAAGCAGTTCTGTCAAAGCAAATTTAGATACAAACAAGTTCCCTGTATTAGAACAAAGGAAGCCCAAGAAGTTTGTGGCACCTCCAATTAAACCAGTTGTTATTGCTGATCCCAACCAATGGGGGTCGTCACCAGCAACTCCTATTGAACCTGAACTTGAAGGTTACGGAATCCCAATTGTTGATAAGAGGAAACTTAAGGCGAAAAAGAAGCAAGACAAACAGATCTTTAGACTTTAGAATACTTTTTTTTTCTATTTGATCCTATATACTTGCTTGGTGGTTATTGAAGAATATAAACTTTATCTTCTTCATCTTCATCATCGTCATCATTGTCACCGTCATTCTCAACTTCTTCTTCTTCTTCTTCTTCATCATCATCACTGTACCATTCCCGTGGTTCTTGTCTTAAATCATTTTGAAGTCTTATGAGTTCAATTTCGTCTACCTCGACAATATCGATTTCATCGATTTCATCACCAGATTCTTGATCTTGGTCTGAATTGATAAGGAAAGTATCATCATCATCGTCATCATCAATAAGTTCTTCCAATAAGTTGTGAAGATCCTCTGTACCCAGTCTTTTAAGTTCAACTTTGGCTTCCCATTCATCATAAGAATCGTTTGGATCTTCATAAAGATAATCATCATCTTCATTTGTATCTTCATCAGTTGTGATCAAAACCATTGATTTATCATCATTTTCTTCATTCTTGTTCAGATCAAATTCTTCTATATGCTCACTATATTGGAATAAGGCCCTTGATTCTCCACGAATATATGCCATTAAGGTAATACCCAACAACATACTTGGAACAATATATAAAAGAGCTGGTTGACCTGATTTGAAATAATTCAAGGCACAGTAAGAGCCAATTAATCCTGCGGTATAAGTTACCAACGAAGTCTTGAAATAAGGAGTTGGGAATGAATTCAAATGATGAAATGGTAAAGGCTCAATCTTGTAGAAGTTGGATAAATCAAATCTGAGACATAAAGAAATTAATGCACCTGGAAGTGCAACATCCCCAAGTCCCAAAAGACTTAATCTAAAGCTATGATATAAATCACCAGAAGGTTTCAAAGGGATACACAATTTGATTGGGATATCAATTCCAGTTGCAACTTTGATCATGATCTTATTCCCGAAAACAAAATAGATATCGTAGAAAAACAAGGCAACAAGCAAGCAATAAGCAATGGTGAAGTTAGATATTTTAAGATGTTTGATACCGAATATGGCAAAGTTAATACCCATTAAATTGGTAACCAACCAATTATTTGATGGTAATAAATAAGAAGAGTTTAACACTGGATTGTACTGGTAAAATAAATATCCGCACGCTAATGCTAATGGACCACTGAAAAGATATTTACTATCGAAAACCAAACTAAATGGTTGGTTGGCCCTTTTAAGAGTTTTGGGATGAATTATTTGAACGCCTTGTTCCTTCAAATGGATTTTAAACTTTTGAAACCATGAATCATCTTTCTTGAAAGTAGAAGCTTCAAGATATTCAACCACACCTAAGGGAAACGTTTCAGCATCTGAAGACATTACTAATCTATATCTTTTAAAGATCCAAGAAGAATTCTTCCCCAATAATTTGTGGGTTAATGTTCTTGTAGTAGCAGTTATCATATAGTCCAACACACTAATATGAGAGAAGGGACAAGTGATAAGCATATACCAATTAAGATATCTCATTAGTTTATCTTTAGAAATATTCTTAAGACAATAATCCAAAGTGTATAGGGTTACTCCTGCCATTATAGGTAAAAGGAAGGCATGTAAAAGACTTAAAGATTCATGGTTTAACAATTCCAATTCTAATTTAGATGACTTAATAAATGTAGATCCATCATTATCTGTGGGGTCCCAATTGGGATTTTCATCTTTATCTAAGTTACTATCTAGTGCATCTCTTGGTTTAGCTAACGTGGAATACGCTCCTATAGTAACAATCAGTAAGGCAAGTGCAACCGTGAGTAATGGAGCTACTAGTTGTGGAGACACATACTTAATAGAATATAACCATCGAACTGATTGGAAGGAAAGTTGATCTAAATAATCAAGTGTTTCAAATTCCGGGAATTGAATTTCCGTTACGTTTGACATACTTCAATATAAAGAAGAAAGAAAGACGAGGATGAAAGTGTTTACTTTATTGTTTTTTCATTTACGTATCTTTACTTCGAATAAACAAACCTGCGTATAATGTAAGTGTTTGACAAGACATACATGACGTCTTTTCCATTTCAGAAATGGTTTCGTGGTCTAGTTGGTCATGGCATCTGCTTAACACGCAGAACGTCCCCAGTTCGATCCTGGGCGAAATCACTTCTTTTTTAACTATTGTGGGAACGAATATAAAATATTTCACCTAAATTTGGTTCACCTACTAAGCTCTTTATTTTTTATACATTGACCCTATTTATCATGTTGTACTCGCCATACATAACCAAATCCATTCGATTGTTCTCCCAATCAGCACAATTGAGAACAGCTCAATTGACCCTCTTCACAAAAGATACTTGCCAATTGTGCACCAATGCCAGGACTATACTTGAAGAAACCCTTGCCTCTGAGGAATTAAAGGGGAAGGAGATTGATTTGAAAGTGATTGATATCATGGATCCAGCCAATGAGAAGTGGTTTGATGTTTATTGTTACGATGTTCCAGTGTTACATGTTGATAGAAGTAATCAACCAAAGCCTGTGAAGTTTATGCATTACTTTCATCATGATAAACTTTTACAAGAGTTCTTGAAAGAAGAAATAAATTAATCGATATTAAATACTTAGCCACGAATTTGATTCAGAATCGCTGTCTTCATACTCAGCATCACCGCATTCACAATCAGAGTCATCAAGGAGCTTCATGATGTTTTCCATAGTAAAGTCTGGTAGGATTGGCTGGGTATCATCACCCATCCACTCCAAGCCATGAATAGTTTGTTCAAGATTGCTCAAGGATGCAAGCTCAAGACATATACGCAAGGAGCGTCTTGCAGCGAGGACATCAATTGGTGTCATTTGAAATTCTTCATCGAGTTCACATACATGAATAGCAGAATCATAAATACTTAGTGTATAAGTGGTAGAGGGTGATGGAGGATATTCTATGGTATCGTCAGAAATATCCATTGACCCGTAAAGAGTCGCACTCAAACTATCGTCAAAGTCGTTGTTCAAGTCTTTCTCAGTGATTATTGGTTCAATTTCGAGCGGTGCTGAATGCTTATTGTTGAAATACTCCAATGTATTTCGAATATCGTTAGTTTGTATTGGGACTGTTTTAGTAGTTCTCTGAGATCTTCTCTTCATTCTAGCAGCTGATTTCATCTTTTTTGAATCTTGGGTCACTCTATACATTTTAGCCAACCGCTTATTGACCTTGGAACGACGTTGATAGTTGGCCATCAATAGTATACTTTTGTCTTCATCGTCAGCTTCATCTTCTGAATCAGAGTCCATTGGAAGGAGGAAGTCCAAATTAGGATGCAATGCGAAATACTTGTCAATGTTTCCATTACAACCCTCGAGTTCATCGATCGCCAGTGCAACTAATTTAAAAGTACGTCTTAATGATGGATGATGGACTGAGTCCCAGTCAACGTATAAGTTTAGCATGTCGAAACAATGAAAGTGCACCATTGATATCAACTACTGACTCGTTAAGTCACTTTGAGCGGTTTTATACTGTGGATTCTGATATGCCGAGAAAGATATTGGTATGCGATTGCACCTTTTTTTCGCAGCCAAAGTTAGATCGACTAAGGGGGACTGGTAAGAATTGATCATGGTGGTTGTATCAAGCTTGAAGATATTGTGTGATCTAACTAAGGTAGATGGTGGCCAGTATACATTATGTACATACGTATTAAATTGAAGATCTGCAAGTCATTCATATACTATTGGAGTAAGTTACAAATTGCTTACAATTGACATGCTACATCGGTGTAAATCTGAGACTGACACAGTTCTTATAGTTGCTGTACCCTATTCCAAACCGCGGCACGAATAATTCGATGCGGAGATAAACCACAAATATATATCCTTACATACATATCCTTAAATCTGTTCTCAGTTCATTTCTTCTCATTAATCATGTCTGATAGAAAGAAAATAGTTCTTGTCACTGGAGCCAGTAGTGGTATTGGTCATGCCACAGCCATTGAGTTTGCCCAAAAGGGGTTCAAGGTTTATGCTGGTGCGCGTAGATTAGAACCTATGGAAGACTTGAAACAATATGGAGTAATCCCAATTCAATTGGATGTTACTTCGAACGAATCTGTTCTCAAGCTCAAAGAAATCATTAAACACGACAATGGAGGATATTTGGATGTTCTTTATAATAATGCGGGTCAAAGTTGTACTGTTCCAGCCTTAGATATTCCAGATGATTGGGCTCAAAGATGTTACGAAGTTAATGTGTTTGCTCCAATGAGACTTGTGAGAGAATTGGGTCCTTATGTTATTAATGCTCAAGGTTGTATTGGATTCACTGGTAGTGTTAGTGGAGTTGTCCCCTTCCCGCTAAGTTCTGTTTATTCAAGTTCCAAAGCGGCAATCCATGCTTATGCTGCTGGACTTCGTATTGAAATGAAACCATTCAATGTGAAGATTCTCAATTTCGTTACCGGCGGAGTTAAAACCCATATTGCGGATACGCGTTCGATCCCGAAGGGGTCCATCTATGATATACCCGAAATGGAATTGCCCTTAAAGAACCGTCAAGAAATGGCAAAGAAGAATAATCCTATTAGTGCTGAAGCGTACGCTAAACAAGTAGTCAATGACTTTATTAATGCTAAAAGTGTTGACGGTTCATTGAACTATTATAGAGGTGCTAAGAGTTACCTTTTAGGATGGTTGTTATTCTGGTGTCCTAGGTTTATAGTGGAGAAGATCTTAATCTCTAAGTTCAAGTTGGTACCTGTTTATGATTTTTTCCAGCACAAGTATTCAAAAGAAAAGATGGAATAAAAAGAAATAGCTTTTATATATAAAAAGAGGTATACGCCATTATATATAAAGGCGTATATATAGTATAATACATTTATGATTGAACCAGTAACTTTTTTTTTATATAGCAAACCCAATGAAGCCAGGATTGATATCAATCATGTCACTATCTTCAACAAACTGGGGCATTCCTGTTTCTGCTGATTTCATAACGGCATCAATACAAAGGAGAGCTTGAAGGGCATCTTCACCTGAGCATTTGACTATTGTTTCAGTGCCATTGATAAGGTTGATAAAATGATCAATTTGTAAGTCAAATGGCATTAGCAAATCTTTGGGATCATTATTATCATTGTTGTTGTCATAGCTGTTATTAACAGTTTTATGGTGATGAATTGGAGCATCGGATTTGCCATCAAGGGAATTCAATGGGGTGGGTAATCCAAATTCCATCTCAGCTAATGATAACGAAGATTCCTCCTTCTTTCCAGGTAATTTCATTGTATCAGCTTCTATCAACACTTGCTCACATTGTACTGGGCTTAACCAGTTCCGACAACTGGCTGGTAAGTTATATTGATGATACAACTTCAAATCAGGTACAGAGAGGGTACCTTCACTACCAAAGATGCGATAAAATCCAGCTATGGAATCATTAAAGGGGATCGTAGGGTTTTCACCGGTTCCAGCTTCAAAGGAAAAGGGTGAAGTAACATTATCTGAGCAAATAAACGTACCACAACATCCATTCTTAAATCGAAGGGTCAAGGCAGCACCTTCATCCACCAATTGGGAATATTCTTTACCTAAATTGTTAGGATGATTAGTTCTTTGTTTCATCAATAACTCAGCATAAACCTTATCAATTGGGCCCATCATATACTGTAAAAGATCCAAATCATGAATAAGATTAATCAACATAGTACCACCCCCCAACTCCTTAGAACTACGCCAGGGTTTCTCAGAATAATACGTATCGGGTTTTTTTAAGGACCACGTACCTTGAATGGCCACCAAGTCTCCCAATCGATGCAAATTCTCCTTGGTGGTAACAATATAAGGATTAAATCGTCTATGATGTCCAACAAGTAATTTGACGTTATAATGTTGACAACATTTGATCAATGTCATACAATCTTGTGGTGTTGGAGCTAAAGGTTTTTCGACCAAGAGATGAATCCCCTTTGCAGCCAATTTCAAACCTAGTGGGACATGAGTATGGTTGGGAGTAGCAATGATGGCAGCATCTGGTAATGGTTCATTTTGGAAACAACAATAATCAAACATTTCATCTAAATTCTTAAATAAATGACAATTGAATTGAGCGGCAACTTGAGGTCCTTTGGCAGAATGATCAATTATGGCAAACAACCGAACATCAGGACGAGTGACCAAATGTGAGGCATGCCGAGGTCCAATTAAGCCTGCTCCAATGACAATAAAGGAAAGAAGTCTGTTCAGTGATGAAGATGTTGTTGGGGTACATGCTGAAGATGAACTAATACTTGTATTGTCTTCCTGTTCACTCAGGGTATTATAGAAGGCACAGTGATGATCGATGGTGCCCATAGGAATCAGACAAACAGACAGACAAATGTGTATACGATTTATAAATTAATATCTATATATTTGTTTACTTTACTACAGGTCATATTTTAACCTATGAAGAAATGGGTATCTATTTAAACAAACAAGTCAGGGGTTGGCGTATTCTAGATAAGGAGTTGCGGTTGATCAATAAGAATGCGACATAACCCTTTTGGGATCTATGACCGTTTCGTTCAAAAGTCTCGGAATATGCGCAGATATATATAATAAAGCTTACTTTTCCACATAACTAAATCGTCTATGTGTACTACTACTGTCCAGATATATGAATAGATATACTCTCGGTAGCTAATGTCCTTCTATTACATCATCGGGTCATTCAGTCAGTCTTAACACCGCGTCCATCTATGGCCCACGTTTATTCTCTTTTTTTTGTACCATTCCCTTATCTTTACGATGCGACATGAACTCGACTATCTGCCGTATACTTATCCGTATTCTGGATGGAACAACTTGTAGTCGTGCTCTAACCGAATTTATTGGTCGATACTGGCAAGTGTGACCTTGATCTGATCTGATTTGATTTGCAGCACACATGCCGGAGTTAATAGGGCCACCCTACCACTTACAACGTCCCCAATACACCATACACCATGCCACTGTGCCACTATTCTATTGTCCCACAGTTATCTCACTATTCCACGGTCTAGTCCTACATCTTGCATTGACGAAGCTTTTCGTTCATGACTTCTTGACACAAATGGTCAATGACTCCCCAGCCATACCCATTAGGAAACCGTCTTCGCACAACGATATTATTATGGGCATCTGGAGGAAGACTAACCAATACTTTCCTCCACACTAACCCATCAGTATGGTACTTCCTGGCAATCTTTATCTGCTCTACTAACCGCTTCCGTGAGGTGTTAAGTATCCGAGAAACTACCAGTACATGGGGATCATTTTCCTCGGAGGGGATGTTACGTGAAGAATAGATTTTATCATGAAAAACAACCGGTGGTCGAGATGAAGGATCAACCAAATAATTGTAGGATGGTACAGGACAAATCAAACTATTGATTGCCGATTCAATGGTATTGGCTTTAGGAGGTATGTTGATTGTATCAGGGTCATTAATGTAATCATCAGTCGTGTCACTTGCGCCGCTTCCACTACCACCAATCTCATCATCATGAACTGTTTCTTCATCATCATTCTCATCGTTCACACCTATTGATTCCACATTTATACCTTTGGCAGAAAAGTTAAGAAACTTCCGTTGTCTCTTGGTAAGTTTCTTTTTAGTTTTATTGACCGATTTATCAAACTTTAGATCTCTTCCCTTGCCAAACCCATTAGTCAAATTCAACCCCATCAAGAACTGAAACTTTTCAGTATTGCTAGAACTACTAACTTCACTTGTAGTGTCATTTTCTTTATCAGCATCACCACTACCTTCGATTGGGATCTCTGTGGCTTCTCCAATGTCTTGTTTACCATCAATACTTGACCTGGGTATTTCCTGTTGGGTCACCTTTTGATGTCGTAACTTTGTAACATCTCCAAGTGCTCTATAATCCAAGTACAAAATGGCCCCTGTTCTTAAGGGAACTATGCCATCATTAATTGCATTGGCATAAACTGTTAAGGTCTTGAATGAGCCTAGCAATGTCTTGACTGGCTCTTCGGGTAGCTCTTCTAAAATTGGACGTAGGGAATGGGTTACATTACTTGTAGAACTTCCAGGCTTATGTTTGGCTTTTAAGCTGGGCATTTGCTTCAGAAGAGTCAAATCTTTGCCTGTTCTCCCCAAAGTGCCCACATCTAATAACAAATTGAACACAAGACTAAGATCTGTGACTACTCCTAAGAGTGGACTTGCCAATGTAACAAAATGAGTGGGTTGGATATTCTGTCGTTGAAAGTAATTTGTACCTTGAGTTTCCAAAATATGTTTCATACAGTATAATTGTACTGGACCACCAAATGAATGACCTACAAATGAGATCTTATTAATGGTGTATCCCTTATCCTTTTGCAATTGCAGTATTACTTCAATGACATGTTCAGCTGAGTTTATTCCAAGCTTCTTGATTCCTCTTTCGGTACGTCCAGCATTAGATCTACATCCTGTGACCACCAAATTATCGTCAACTTTGCTTATCAAGGAATCACGAAGATATAGCATATCTGCTGTAAGATTCGAGAGGATTCCATGGTTCACAATCACCAAATGAATGGGTTTGGATGGGTCGTTGGGATCCAAGGACCAAAGATCATCTGCATCTTTCATTGAAACTTTCAATTTAGGATTGGACAGTTGTGCTAATAACGCATCCTCAATTTTAGTACTCACATTTGTCCAAGCTGAATCTTGTTTGGAAAGGATAGAGAAAGTCGTAGAAGCAGTTTTAGAATGCATTCTCTTCATATATTTAAGATCACTTCCAAGCATCAAATCATAACTAACAACAGCACGACGACTTTGAATGATCTGGCTAACAACTTCAATTTCCCATTGGTACACTTTAGATCCATCATTTTTTGTTTTCAATAGGGAATTCACATTCAAATGAAGCTTCACATTGAATGTTTGACCTGGTTGGATTTGATTAGCAAATTCAATCTCATGTACTTTAGGGTCATGGGCCAGAAACAAATTCTCTTGATGGTATTGACACGGTATAACATGACAATAGAGTGTGAACGGACCACTAAGTAAGTGTAAGGCTCTTATAGGTAACTTTTCAATGTTCTTCAATCTAAAATAAAAGTACTCCTTTGGCTTGTCTGTCCAGTATAGTTCAGGATCATCGGATGGTCCGTCGGAACACTCACTATCTGTCGGTACTTGGGTATATTGGATGGAGTATCTGTCCACATCACCGATATTTAGATGACGAACGTTCCGATACCAAATGAATGGAGGGTTAGATTTCTTAAGTTTTGGGTTTGGTTCACCAAATCCCATGATAGATTAGAAGAAAAGTATTCGGGTGTTCGGGTGTTGGGATAAGGTAATTGATGAGGATAAATAGCACGTAGCAATTGACCGAAATGAATGTGAGTTAGCGTTTCCTTAATAATAGATTAGCATTGTGTACGGAGTTTAACTTGAGATCGCTGTAGTATTGCTATTTATGGGGTAGACGTAAATGTCACAAAGATCGGAGGGAAGAGGCAAGGCAACGGTATACCGAGGCATGTAGAAGAAGTGATGAATACTGAATCAAGTCATTGAATGTTACAAGTCATTGGTGGATCGATATAAAATTGTCATGCTTATTATTACCTGGTCTAGGAGTAAAATACAGAACGGAGATAGTGGTAACCTGAAATCTGGGGTACAGTTAAACAGTGTGAGATAACATACACTACAACAAGCTATAGCTTCTGAGAATACATTCTACTAACGATTTTCCTTGCCATAATAGAACTATACACCAATATATATATATGCCATTATATATATATATATATTAAGCCTTTGCCAACTTGATCAAATCAGCAGGCTCAACAATAGTGACCACTGGTTTAGACAGGCCATCAGTCACGTGATCTTTATTCAAAAGAATGCCAATGGCTTTGGCTACATCAGAGCCTTCGATTGGATGGAGAAATCGACTCAATGGAGTCTTACAAAGGAATAAACCAATATCATTCATAAAAGGTTTCTTCTTATCTCTTGCTCCTAAAAGCATACCTGGTCTAACAATGATGGTTTCTTCAAATCCTAAATCTAGGATATCTTTCTCCAACTGGCCTTTAGTCTTAGGATAAAGAAACCAAGAGTTGGCGTTGGCACCCATACTACTAACAAGAACAACTCTTTTGATACCTGCTTCCTTTGCCAGTTTGGCTAAAGCATAATTGATACCATGGTCAATCTCAATAAATTGTGTGGCTCCTCCAGCATCAGCACGTGTAGTACCAAAAGCTGAAATATAAGTATCGATTCCCTTATCAGTAGGAACCAACCATTTCTTGGAGTCAGGTTCAATTGTAGCTACTAATTTGGGAGATTCAAGTTTAGGTGCTCTTCTTGATACGGTGAACAATTGAGCCACGTTACTGGCTTCACTTAATTGTGTAAGAAGATGGGAACCAACTAGTCCCGTTGATCCGAGTATAAATACTTTACTCATGGCTGATGAGAGAAAGGAAAGAAGAGAAAAGAAAAGAAAAGATCCAAAAGAATAGATAAATCACGGGGGTGGCAATTATATTTATCTATCAATGGTAACACTTTACGGTTACAAGTAGGATTTTCCTAACCTGGTATTATGATGTCCGGGTAACCCGCGACAAACTGCACCAAGAGGCAATGTACTTTTAAATATTTCCTACACCCTAACACCAAGTGTATAACAAGTACGATAAATATGTATGTATATCTAGAAACAAAAAGTAGGCGTATAAAAGAGCCACTAAACATCATTATATGGTGGTTGTGCGGCAGTTTAGGTCATGATACGTAACATCACTATGCTTGGAAAGCTTCAGCTAAGAAAGCTTCTTCTTCAGCAACGTGTCTGGCCTTACTACCAGCAGCAACAGAAGCAGATGGATCTCTACCAGCATATCTGAACAGAATGTCCATGTCAGCTTCCTTCAAGACAGACTTAAGTCTTGGAGAAACATAAGCAAACCCACCCATGTTCAAAGGTTCTTCTTGACACCAAACCAAATCTTCCAATGAAGTGTATTGAGGCAAGGCTTCCTTCAATTGGGCATATGGGAATGGATGCAATTGTTCAACTCTAATGATAGCAGTATGTTTGTCACCAAGAGATTCTCTCTTCTTGTACAATGAAGTGTAAACTTGACCACTACATAAGATAACTCTCTTGATATCTTCCTTAGCAACTAAGGATTCACCAAATGCAGCTTTATCTTCAATAATCCATTCAAAGTGTGATTCACCTGTGAATTCAGATAATGAAGATCTGGCCAATGGATGTCTCAATAAAGACTTGGAAAAGAACAAGATCAATGGTTTACGGAATTGTCTGTGCATTTGTCTTCTCATCAAGTGGAATAAATTAGATGGGGTGGTTGGGTAAACAATTTGCATGTTACAATCTTGATGTTGTCTTTGTAACTTTTCTTCAGATGGGAAATAACGGAAGTCTTCATTAGCCAATTGTAAATATCTTTCCAATCTACCAGAAGAATGTTCAGGACCTTGACCATCATAACCGTGAGGCAATGAAACAACAAGACCAGATCTTTGCTTCCATTTGTATTCAGCAGCAGCAAGGAATTGATCAATGACAACTTGAGCTGTGTTGGCAAAATCACCAAATTGAGCTTCCCATTGCACAAAGGCATCAGGAGAAGTTAAAGAGTAACCATATTCAAAAGACATAACACCATATTCGGATAATGATGAGTTGGAAATGGCAAATTTTCCTTGATCTTCCGATAAGTTGTTCAATGGAACGTAAACTCCTTCAGACTTTTGGTCATGCAACACTGCGTGTCTTTGAGAGAAAGTACCTCTTTCAACATCTTGACCAGAGACACGGACATGGTAACCTTCCAAACATAAGGAACCATAAGCTAAGGCTTCAGCTGTGGACCAATCGATACCTTCACCAGAATCGACAGTCTTCTTTCTGTTGTTTAAAATTCTCTTTAAATTTCTGTGGATATCAAAACCTTCTGGAGCATCAGAGATTATATCACCAATCTTCTTCAAAGTAGCCTCATCAACAGCAGTTGGCAAGTGAGGCAATACTTCAGTAGCCAATTCACGGGGTGACTTGAAGTCTTCCCAAGCAGTAGTCAACCATTCTCTGGAAGTTGGTTTGTATTCCTTTGATTTGGAGAAGGAATCTTCCAACATGTTCCAAACCCATTTCTTATGTTCCTCAACATCTTCTTGAGTAAAGGTACCTTCTTCGATCAATTGCTTGGAGTAGATATCCAAAACAGACTTCTTTTCAGCAATACGTTGGTACATTAAAGGTTGAGTGAAGGAAGGTTGATCAGTTTCATTATGACCATGCTTTCTGTAACCAACAATGTCAATGATAACATCAGTCTTCCATTTAGCTCTCCAGTCAGCAGCCAAGTTGAAAACAAAAATACAGGCTTCAACATCATCAGCATTAACGTGGAAAATAGGGGCATTATAACCCTTAGCAATATCAGATGGATACAATGTAGATCTAGAGAATCTAGGATCTGTGGTGAAACCAATTTGGTTGTTAACAATAACGTGAATGGTACCACCAGTAGAATAAGCTGGCAATTGGGCCAAACCCATTGTTTCATAAACCACACCTTGACCGGCGAAAGCAGCATCACCATGCATCAAAATAGACATGGCCTTGTCGTAGCTACCTTCATCATTCTTGTAGTGTTGAACGGCTCTAGTCTTACCCAAAACAACACCGTCTTCAGCTTCTAAATGGGATGGGTTAGCCACAAGGGACAAGTTAACATGCTTACCACTAGTGGTTGGTCTAGCATAGTTCATACCCAAATGGTACTTAACATCACCGGAGCCTTCATCAACAGCAAGAGAACCAGCGAATTCAGAGAAAATGGATTCATTTGGCTTACGAACAACGTTGGACAACATGTTCAATCTACCTCTATGAGGCATACCAATAACAACATCTTCAACACCGTGTTCAACGGAAGTATCAATCAAGAATTTGATACCGGCAACAGTTGATTCAGCACCTTCCAAACCAAATCTTTTATCATTAGGGAACTTGGTAGAAAGGAAAGATTCAAACAGACAAGCCCAGATCATTCTATCCAAGATTTGTCTCTTTTCATCGGCACTGTACTTGTAAGGTTCTGGGATTTCGATACGTTCTCTTAGCCAATCACATTGTTCCTTTGAAGGAATGTGAATATATTCAACACCATAAGATTGACAGTATAATCTCTCACAGTTATCTATCACTTCTTTCAAGGTCATTTCCTTGATTCCGGCTTCGGCAAAACGAGGTAAAATACCGGGACCTAAAGTGATTTTTTTGTTCATGTCAGCTTCAGTGAACCCATAGAAGTCCAAGGTCAATTCCTTAGGAACATTGGCATTGTCACCCCAAGAAATGTTCAACGGATCGATATGAGCCTTTTGGTGACCTCTCACTTGGTAAGCCCTAACCAACAATTGAACCTTCAAATGGGTCACCACATCTTCACCCATTGGAGCTGAAGTATTAGGAACATAAGCCAAATGTCCACCAGTAGCAGTTGGAACAAGGGTAGGAGGGGCAACGAAGGCTTGAGAAGCAGGTACAGATCCACTTTCCATATTCTTGAAGTAGGCATTCCAAGAAACATGTACGGAGGATGGATCTTTACGCCAAGCTTCATACATTTCATCGATATAATTAGCATTATTTGTTTGCATGAATGCATCCGCAGTAGAAGTAGCAAGCAGTCTTGAACTTAAAGCAAGATACTTTGGAACATTGGAGGTATAAATGCGAGATGAACTCTGACGCAACAGCTGCGCACGAGGCACAGCACTTCTGATAGCTCTAAGCATCTTTGAATCTATGGACAGATCAAATCAATGCTTATGAATTTAAGAGAGTAGAAGAAAAGGTGTATATAAATTTTCGGTTCACCATCAAGTCGATCGCTTCAATTTTGCTCCATACAATTGGCGACTCTCCCGCAGTTGGCTTTGTGTGCGTGAGCACAGTTCCGGTTCCTACTTCGGAGTCGAGAAGGGAAGAAAGGACCAGGTTATTTTATGAGTGATTGGTTTTAGTTTCGGGTTCAATTTAGATATATGCTCATGCTTTGCCGGGGTTTATTATGAGTACAATTTGTTCGTTATGAATTTATTCGTTGTAGACGTTCATTCAATGCTTTCTTTTCTGCTCATCTTCTCTGAATGTGATTGGCTTTAAGAGGCTTTATTGTGTATGTAGCTGAGATGACTCGCCAAAATATATCCGAGGAATCAGCCGGGGGCACTATCGGTCGTCATAGTATAACGACTCGATGTTTCAATTGTCCCCTACTAATAAAACTTTGGTCACGTGATTTATTCCGAAAAACACCGGGATGTTAATGGCGGTGCTACCACTTTTTCTCGGACCTTTCTCGGTGTACCCGGGATCTGTCAATTGTTCCGTGCGTCACGGCAATAAAAAAATCGCTCGGAGTAGCTCACCGACAATGCCGCAAGTATTGCCCGCACCATCCCTACATACATAAGCTAGTCACATGACCTACGTGTTCATGTACTTACGGCACCGGACTTCAAGTAGGGCCGAAGTCCTTCCAGAGACCCGGAGTTTTCAAAATGCTGGGGACCCTCGTATTTGGTGTCGGAAATACCTCGTAATTGGTGTATTCTATGAAGATGTATTGTGGGGTGCAAGAAGCTACATATAGTTAGAATTATGCAATTTAAATAAGTAGTGTCAAGTCCCTCAGGGCTAAAAGAAGACTATCAATTGTTTAATAAGGTGAATGTTCAGCTACTGGATTATTGTTGGACCTAAAGCCCACTGAATTGGTTGACATTGGGATTCATGTGGATGTTCTGATATTTAGTTTATTGTTGTTGTTCCACTACTACATAACGTACAAAGTGTTCAAGGGTAGAAGTTGTACTTTGATCTTAATCTTGATTACGGCTATTGAAATTATAACTATGTACATTTGTCATGAAATAAGGCTAACCATTCAAAGGAACTCCTTTGCCTTTCTTCTGAAAGCATGGCAATCTCTTAGCCATTGTTTGTAGTCCTTAACGGAATAGATACGTTCACCGTAGAAATCAGGAACTGGGTTTGAGAAACTTTGACGTGAAGGATCCACACGATTATGTTTAATTCTTTCCAAGAAGGCTTGATCACGGATCTTAAAGTCGTTTAAAACACGACGGTTAACCATTTTGAAAACCCCATTACCAAGTGTAGGACCTGCCAAAAACCCAAGGAAACCTGCACCAATGATACCCAATGAATATACCGTCATGGCATCATAGCCAAATACGTGTTTTTCAGGATCGAAACCTGTGGTACCAATGTACAAAAAGGCAACACCAGCACTTAAGGTGGCAGTGACAATGGATGTCGCAGTATTAATACGGCCCTGTTGCTTTCTCAATTGAAGAAAGTCGGTCCATGTGAGTTGAGGAGCAGAGGCTTTGGCGGTGGTGGTGGTAGTAGTAACGGATCTGATACTCATCAATCCTCTACTGAGCATATTGGCCCTTGAGGGCACCAAGAATCTTGACATCATTATGGAATACTTTGTCGCGGGGGGAAATAACAAAAAGATATGGGAACTACGGGTCCGGAATAATTTGCTAATGAATTTCTCAGTTATAATTAGTGGAAAAGTCCCGATGTATTAACTTAATTTATCCGTAATAAGATATCAAGAATATTCCAGTCAATGGTTCGTAAGGTGATTGATGGCTTGATCTTTAGATTTTTCTTTCATTTTTTTCGAAAAAACCCTTTGTGTTACAAACTACCACAATGTCGCAACCCAAGCTAATACGAAGTTAAAGCTGCAAAAGGTATACTTGTTATTGAAAAAGGTACAGACATTACAGACAAGCTATAGTCCTTGAGTTGCAATAAGGACATAAATAGCCGCTGTTAATAAGGAGATTTATTAAAGGGAAGGAACTGAGAGACAAAAGAGTATATCAACGTATTTTGTGTGGAAACGTTAGAATCTTCCCGAGAACACGATCAAATTGATTTAAATAGAGGTACACTATTATTCTAAAAATGTGAAAATATACAAACATATATAAACACACACATACATATAACACTCAAACAGCAATACCAGTAAGTTAGTGATATATTTGTTAGAACCATTCAATTGCACACTTGTCTAATTAAATCATGGTATATACCTCATTGAATCCTACATATAACACGCTATTATCTTTTCTAGCCAACTATATTCATTAGGTGCACATAGTTAGTAAAACTGTCATAATATAAACAGCCCTAAAGCCCTACAGCCCCACAGCCCCACATACATATTCCAATCATTGCCCATTAATTCTGATACATAAACCACTACTGATCTTGCTTCCTATTAATTATACCACCATCGATCATATCGTGTTCATTGTGCAATACACGACCTTATGCGATTTTTTTCGAACAGTTTGGTGGTCAACGGGGAAAATTTCCCTTCAAGCAAAAAGTTCATTCTATTGCATGGTAGGTACCATTCACTACAGGTATTAACAGTTGGGAATCAACGACGCAGAAAAGAAAGGAAGAGACGTTGCGGCTCACCTTGATACACTGAGAGACGCGTATCGGATTGATCAGACGCGTATCGAGACCAAACTGAAAATTTGTACCCCTTTCATACTAGTCATACTGTCTGTGATATAATTGTTTGTTTATCATTTGGTTTAGTACTAGATTGGTCATATTAAGTGAAAAATTTATCATCACCTGTTGAAACACTGAAAATTGATCTGTTTATACTTGATTCACAAAGTATTGTTATTTTATAGTATTGTTTATTTTGTTGTTGTTGTATTATGAATGGTAATAGTTCCATAGTGGTGCCTAAGTCCAGTAATTCTGGCACAAATGCGATCCCAAATGGATCTCTGGGATCTGCATCTCCAGATGCACCTGTGCCTTATTATCCTGTTCCTCGAACCAAAGAACAATTATTTGGGTTGTTGAGTCAATATCAGCAATTATCTAAATCATATAATCAAGCCAAGGCAAGACACGAGCAGTATGTGGCCTTCACCGAAAGTAAAATCAGTGGTATAATGAGTGATGATGGAGGGATGAAGCCTCATGTACCTCTAGAAAAGTCTATATTTGTTGACCCAACAAGAGCAAATCGTTCTGCTATAGAAGACATCCTTAGACAAGTTAGTCATAAATATGAGACTTTTACCAAGAAAGAAGCAGACTTATATCTCCAGATTAAGCAGGCGATCAATTCCCTGAGTAATGAAGTGGATTCTGACTTATTAAAAGATCAAATTATAGGTTTACAATTATTATCCAAAGATATCGATCTACCTGAAACTTTACAAACAAAATTGTCTAGTCATAGTGAGGAAGGAGAAGCAGCAAAGGAGGGGAAGCTGGTTATTCAACCAACGGAGACTACTGAAGATGAAAAATTGGCTGCTTCTCTTGATAATGCTATTGAACAATTGACAAAAATGTCACCTATGGATAGCTTTGTTGATAGAATCGCTCTGTTGGGAATTAACTTAACTCATGATCTGGTATCTACACCTGAATCAATTACTGCTAACTTATCAGAACCAACTCTGAGTAATCTGATGTCATTACCATTAGGCAATTATAAGCGTGAGACTTGTGTATCAGCCAAATTGACTAACATTATAAAGGAATTGGAAAGCATTCCTGCAAACATTGGAAGTTTTGATTTTGAAAACTTGGAGAATCCAAGTGATGATATTGATAGTCTTAAGCTTGATGCATTAATTGAATTGAAATCACTTCGAGTTTTAGCAAAGCAAAAAAGTTTACGGAAAGCTGTTGTGGTCCATGAATCTAGTAATGCTCATAATACAAATGATTTGGCCAAGATGCCCTTAATCTCTCAATCAAAACGTGCCATCTATGTACGTCCAAAATACCAACAACCTAATCCACATTTATTAGCTGTGCAATTAGAAGAGAAACAAAAATTAGAAGCCAAAAGGAAGAAGCATTTGGAACATGTTGAAAAGGTAAGACAGATTTTGGAAAGTTCCATTAACTTTATTAATGGGATCTTAAACCAACGTAACAAAAGAATTAGCATTGGTAAATTCGTTACTAATTTCCATGCTCAAACAGAGAAGGACGAGCTGAGGAAATTAGAGAAAACCGCAAAGCAACGTTTGCAAGCATTAAAGGCAAACGATGAAGAAGCCTATATTAAATTGTTAGATCAAACTAAAGATCACAGAATTACTCACTTGTTAAAACAAACTAATCAGTTCTTGGACACTTTGGCTCAACAAGTTAGAGACCAACAAGCTGAACTGGGAGCAGACATTCCCTTATTGGAGAATGATAAAGGCGCTAAACCAGAAGAAATCAAAGAGGATAGCGTAGAGGAATTAAGAGAGAAGATTGACTATTATCAAGTAGCCCACAGAATAAAGGAAGAAGTCAAGGTACAACCATCTATTTTAGTTGGAGGGAAGTTGAAAGATTACCAACTCAAAGGTTTACAATGGATGGTTTCCTTATATAATAATAAGTTGAATGGTATTTTGGCAGATGAAATGGGGTTGGGTAAGACCATCCAATCCATTTCATTAATTTCTTATTTGATTGAAATCAAACACGAAGAGAAATTCCTAGTGATTGTTCCGTTATCTACAATTACAAATTGGACTTTAGAATTTGAAAAATGGGCCCCAAGCATCAACGTTATCGTTTACAAAGGTTCACAGGAACAACGGAAAGAATTACAAATGGATGTACGTATAGGGAACTTCCAAGTGATGTTGACAACATACGAATATATTATTAGAGAACGGCCCTTATTGGCTAAATTCAATTACTCCCACATGATCATCGACGAAGGTCACAGAATGAAGAATGCCAACTCCAAATTGTCGATTACGTTAAGAAATTACTACAAGACCAAGAACAGATTAATTTTGACGGGTACACCTTTACAGAACAATTTACCTGAACTATGGGCATTGTTGAATTTTGTTTTACCTCGTATCTTTAACTCTGTCAAGAGTTTTGACGAATGGTTTAACACTCCTTTCGCTAACACAGGATCTCAAGAGAAAATCGAATTAACAGAAGAAGAATCTCTTTTGGTCATTAGAAGATTGCATAAAGTTTTAAGACCTTTCCTTTTGAGAAGATTGAAGAAGGATGTGGAGAAGGATTTACCTGATAAGGTTGAAAAGGTGATTAAATGTAAATTATCAGGATTACAATACGTGTTGTATCAACAGATGCTAAAGCATAATGCATTCTTTGTTGGCAATGAAGGCGGTGGTGCTGCCAAAACTGGTATAAAAGGCTTGAACAACAAGATTATGCAATTACGAAAAATCTGTAACCATCCATTTGTGTTCCCTGAAGTTGAAACTATTCTCAGCAGTCTGGGAATGACTAATGATTTGATTTGGAGAACTAGTGGTAAGTTTGAGTTATTGGATCGTATTTTACCCAAGTTCAAAGCTCTGAATCACAGAGTATTGATGTTTTTCCAAATGACTCAAGTCATGACTATTATGGAGGACTTTTTGATTTGGAGAGGTATGAAGTATCTTAGATTGGACGGTAGTACCAAGGCAGAAGACAGACAAGACATGTTAAAGGAGTTCAATGCACCCAATTCCGAATACTTCTGCTTCCTTTTATCCACTAGAGCTGGTGGTTTAGGTTTAAATTTACAAACGGCAGATACAGTTATTATCTTCGATACTGATTGGAATCCTCATCAAGATTTACAAGCACAAGATAGAGCCCATCGTATTGGACAAAAAAATGAGGTCCGTATTTTAAGATTAATTACTAATGATTCAGTGGAAGAAGTTATTTTGGAAAGAGCACATCAGAAATTGGATATTGATGGGAAAGTTATTCAAGCAGGTAAGTTTGATAACAAATCTACATCTGAAGAACAAGAAGCATTTTTGAAGAGATTGTTAGAAGCAGAGGCAACTCGTGACTCAGATGAAGAAAAGTCTGAATTAGATGATGATGAATTGAATGATATATTAGCAAGAAATGATGATGAAAGAGAATTATTTGCTAATTTAGATGTTGATCGAATGGCTGGAGATAAGCAACAGATGCGTAATGGAATCTACAGCACCCGTTTAATAGAAATTGAGGAATTACCATCAGTTTTCACCGAGGACATTACCAAGCACATGGAACGGGAAACTAAGGATTTGAGTCGGATGAGAGAAAAGAAGAGAATTCGTTATGATGATGGGTTGACAGAAGAGCAGTGGTTAAATGCAATGGATGATGATAATGATACAGTTGAAGATGCCATTAGAAGGAAAGAATTACGTAAAGCTCGCCGAATTAGGAATGGCAGTATGAGAGGATCAGCTAATGATTCAATGGTAGAAAGTGGAGATGTTAGTGAAGTTGATGAACAACCTCGGAAGAGAAGTAGAAGATCAAGATCAGCCTCTGCAACACCTGGAGGGGTTGGAGGAGCCAATGGATTTGTGGAAAACGAAGATGACGTAATGGCCGATGTTACTGCTGACTCCGAAGATGGCTCTGATGTTGAAGTTGGTGGCTCTTCTTCTCATGAATACATCGTTAAATGCAACAAGATCATTGAAGAGATATCCAACTTGAAGGCACCAACAGACGGTCATGGTGTCATTGATGTTTTTATGTCACTCCCACTGCGTAAGGTGTATCCTGATTATTATCAGATCATCAAACGTCCTGTTTCCATCAACCAAGTCAAGAAACTGTTGAAGCAAGAAAAGTTTGAACTGTTTGAAGAATTCATTGCAGAGTTACAAACTATGGTTGATAATGCAAAGACTTACAATGAAAGTGGGTCATGGGTTTATGATGATGCTTTAGCTGTGGAAAATGTTCTTCAAGGTTACAGAAATTGATTTCATGCTATTATTATTATTATTATTATTATTATTATTATTAATTAATTAAATGTATTACTACAAGTTATTGGTGTATGGAAGTTAACGCCGAGTAGATATCTCTATTACGGTTCACTCGCGCTACCAGTTCATAAGAAGTTGTTGTGTTAAGCGTCAGACATTAAAGGTAAGCCACTACTATCTACATTTATCTACAAGCCGTATGCAAACATTAGTAATATATTCAGTTTCCCTTTTGATTGGTATTGAATTGAGTCTACAGGGGCTGTAATTATGTCCACCTTAACAAATGCTCCTGGCCAATCAGAATACGCCAAGGTGTCAGCTTTCAAATGTTTCCTCGTATTTGTGTTGCAATTTACACTCGTAGATCCTCAACTAAAATTTTGTGTCTGATAAATCAACATCCTTTTCCCCCAAATTTTGTGTCCTTCTTGCTTAGTCAAGAACCCCAAGGGCTAGACCGAAAAGAGTAACTTCAAATTCCGGTTCCCCTCAATCTAGGTGAGGATAGACGGAACTGTTCATCATATAAGGGATCGTTGTATCCAAATTCAGACACTGCAAATTACAAAAGATTGTCAGAATGTTAACAATATAGTCAGTAGGTAGTCAATTCGACCGAAGGATTGGCTATATAAGCGACCGTCAGCTGTCGTTGACTTTCTGATATCATTGAGTGTCTGATTACACCACCTGGGTTTCCAGATAATTCTAGAGCTAACGTGTCTGACATATCAACCTGGGGACAGATGACATACATACTCGGTATCGCAGACAGATACAAGGTTTTGTGTAAGTATTTGACCGATATAACCGAAAAATACTATGTGAAATTTAATAAGGTAATAATCGTGTAGTGTCTGTCCCCACAACCCATTATTGTCTGATATTTAACACTTGTCAGTAAGGAGGGGACTATAGAAACTTTAGTACAAATACCACTGTAATCGCTGCTCCTGTCATTTTTCGATAATTGGTAATCCCTTTCTTCTTCTACAGTTACAGTCAATTAACTTTACTACATAAAATGTCTGCTGCTACATTAAGACAGAACACTTTCTCCGTGGCCAAGATGGCCTCCAAGACATCTGGTAACAGTGCCAGATGGGCTTTGGGTGGTGCCTCTGTTGCTGCCATTGGTGCTTATCTTTACTACAACAACAATAACAATAATAAGAATAACAATTCTAAGAACATTATGAAGGCTGGTTTGTTTGGCGGTGCCACTTTGAACGCAGCTGCTGCCAGCTCTAAGACTTTTAACGATTACCAAGCAATCTATAACGACATTGCTGAAAAAGTTAGAGAAAATGACGAGTATGATGGTGGAGCTGGTTACTTTGGAATCTTGACTCGTTTGGCATGGCACTCTTCTGGTACTTATGATGCTTCCAAAGGTTCTGGTGGTTCCTTTGGAGGTAACATGGTTTTTGCACCTGAACAATATGATGGTGCCAATGCTGGTTTGGCTCCCGCACGTGACTTCCTTTCTGAATTCCAATACAAGTATCCATGGATCTCCAGAGGTGATTTGTGGACCTTGGGAGGTGTGGTTGCCGTCCAAGAAGCTGGTGGTCCAAAGATCCCATGGAGACCAGGTAGAGTCAATGCTACTGATGGTAAGAAGGGTGCTCCAAACACATTACCTGATGCTTCAAGAGATGGTAAGTATGTCAAGGGATTGTTTGGTAGAATGGGCTTCAATGAGCAAGAAACTGTTGCTTTAATTGGTGCTCACTGTTTGGGTAAGTGCCACAAGAATGCTTCTGGTTACGAAGGTCCATGGGGTCCTTCTTTCAACATGTTCACCAATGATTTCTTTAATTATTTGTTGAAGGATTGGCAAGTGAAGCAATGGGATGGTCCAAAGCAATATGAAGATGTTGAAACCAAGCTGTTTATGATGTTGCCAACTGATATCGCCTTGAAGGAAGAAAACTATTTCCTTAAATGGGTAAAGATTTATGCTGATGATGAAAAGAAGTTCTTTAGTGATTTCTCCAAGGCTTTTGCCAAATTGTTAGAATTGGGTATCCAATTCCCTTCTTCAGTTAAGCCATTTGAATTCAAGACTTTGGATGAACAAGAATAGTTATGATTACATAATCGCATTTTATTATTATGTCTCGCTCTATCAATTAGCATTTGCTTGAGCTTGATTGGATATTTGAAAAGAACACTAATTTATTGTTTGTATGAACTATTGTGCTTTCCCCTGTATAAATTGAACGTTATTCGATACTTACATAAGCAAATGCCAAAGTCATGGATCACGTGAGAGTATCCGGGTAACTGTGTAAATTTGAGAACAGTAGGAAATTTTGAGCTTCACATTCTATTTTTTCCTTAAAAAACCTGCACACAGATTTTCATCTGAAAAATTTTTCACTCACAAGATTTTCAAAGTTTCCTAATATAAAATAAATACCAAGTCTTCCATAATATTTCCTTCCACTTTTGGTTTTTCTTCTTTACACATCAAGACTCGAAATGAAGTACATCCAAACTGAACAAATCTTGGAAATCCCAGAAGGTGTTACCGTCCAAATCAAGGCTAGAAAAGTCAAGGTCACTGGTCCAAGAGGTACTTTGTCCAAGGACTTGACCCACATCGATGTTTCCTTTGCTAAGATTAGCAACAAGGCCATCAAGGTTATTGTCCACAACGGTGACAGAAAGCACGTTGCTGTTTTGAGAACCGTCAAGTCTTTGATTTCTAACTTGATCATTGGTGTTACCAAGGGTTTCAAGTACAAGATGAGATGTGTCTCTGCGCATTTCCCTATCACTGTCAATGTTACTGAAAACGACGGTAAGAAGGTTGTTGAAATCAGAAACTTCTTGGGTGAAAGAAGAGTCAGAATTGTCAAGGTTTTCGAAGGTGTTACCATTTCTGAAAACCCAGCTTTGAAGGGTGAATTGATTTTGGAAGGTAACTCTTTGGAAGCTGTTTCCCAAAACGCTGCTGACATCCAACAAATCTGTAACGTTAGAAACAAGGATATCAGAAAGTTCTTGGATGGTATCTATGTCTCTGAAAAGGGTAACATTGTTGAAGACATCTAAATGGTTTTGGCATGAGAAAAAGATGATGATGGTTATCATTATCAACTAATTAGGTTTTTGTATTAATACATTCCCCGTTTTAAAAGAGAGATGTTTCAGAGGGTTTTATAGTTCTAGTTTATGACTTTGTTGTGTTTGGTTGCATATTAATGTTTTTGCTTGCTTGCCCCTGTCTCATTGAAGTTTGTGGAATCGTTACAGAGCTCCCTATAATAAAGAGCCATTTACGATTACCACCTGTAGATTTTTCATGAGAAGGATTTATTTAATGTTTTCTGGTGATAATTTTCATTGATTGTCATTGTTAAATTTTGAATGAATTCTTTCTCTTTGACCCCATGCATTCATGTATTCGAAGTTTGATAACGAATGTTGTTGTTGAAAGAGTTTAACACCAATGTTCGATGTTAACTTGGATCCATGGAGGGGAGTAGTGTCGCACCCAAGTGTTATTTGATTGAACATTATATCAGTCACGTGCACAACAGATCATTTACTTCACAACTTTGAAAACTAAATACTAAGATGCTTACTTCACTAATGTCATACGTAAATGACCACTAAAGTCGCTTTCTTGGGCCCCAAGGGCACATATACACATCAAGTACGTTAAAAACTAGTTAAGAAGCGTAGACCACCACGTTGGTTCAGCATTTCAAACAGGCCCACTCGAAAACTAACAGTCACTCTGAAGGCAGCACTCCAACAATTTGGTGAAGATGATACAAAGGTTGAGCTTTGCCCGCAATCGTCCATTGGTGAATGCTTCCAAGCGATAGAAGACGGAAAAGTGGACTTTTCCGTGGTCCCTTTCGAAAATTCAACGAATGGTCAAGTTGTATTCACTTACGACTTGATTCGTGATTGGTATTTAAACAAAGACTCGGGCAAACGTGGACCAGGCTGTCAGTTAACATCTTCTCTTACACCTCCAACATCATCAGATCCGGCATTTACAAAAGGTAACCCTAGTTTCCGTGTGGTAGGAGAACAGTATGTACATATTCATCACAATCTCATCACTCGAGCCACCTCGCTTCAAGATATTAAAGTGATTTATTCGCACCCCCAAGTTTGGACCCAAGTTACTCGATTCCTCAAGAAAATACCGCCACAAGTTGTTCGCGAAGACAAATCGTCGACTTCCGAAGCGGCAGCATGGGTCGAAAAGGATTTATCGCACACCAGTGCTTGCATTTCGTCTACTATGAGTGCACGGTTGTACAACCTTCCCATAATGGAAGAGGGTGTTGAAGACAATCAAAATAATACTACGAGATTCCTAGTTCTTGGTTATCATGCACCTCCCATTCTTTGGTCACCACCAGAATATAAACCACTGTATTTAACGTCCCTATTATTTACGTTGAACAGTAACGATCCAGGAGCGTTATGTCAGGCTCTCACGACATTCATGAATCGCGGAGTCGACTTAATTTCCATTAACTCCAGACCCTCGCATTTGGCTCAATGGCAGTATGTTTTTTTCGTCGAAACACTTAGTACGAAACCAAACGACCAAGAGGTACTTGAGTGTGCGGTCGACCTAGAAAAGATGTGCTCTTCGGTCGTTGTACTCGGTCAATTTGTACGTTGTTGGAGGTATAATAGTACATAATTATTAAAGGTTACAAATAATATTCTGTATTCGTGGACGTACATGTATTAATTATAATATACATACTGCAATTATTAACCATATGTGTACCCAGCACATATTCTGGCATCACCTCTAATTTCCATATTTCTGGAAAACCCATTCGCTGTTGTCCAACGGACAAGTTTGTTTCGTTTTCAACCATCTCCGAATACAATGGTTATGATAAGCATGATTGCATACCCCCCAAGCAGCCACACATTCATCTTGTTGATTATTCATACTATTGGGTTGACATTCAATACACGGTTCCATTAAATGATTCCTACAAATAGCACAATTCTCCACATGTATATCCCATGACCAAAATGCCACGGCAGTCCATTTTTTTACTTCAAACCGTACCTTATTCTTTTCCGATTTGGATTTGGTTGGTTCTGGGGTTTCCCCTGAAGCTATAAAGTTAGTATAAATCAGTGCTCTGTATATATGAGTTCATCATATAGTTGTAATACGCGTCAGAAGGCTTATGACCAGTCATAATACGACAGTAGAGCAACAGACAATGTATTCTTATATCCACAGAACAGATCATAACATAGAATACATCCTCATCAAATGTAACAATAGTACCAATCACTGTCCATCCACTGTCCACTATTTCTCTCACTGCATAAAACACATCCCACCTCGTATCTTAAATATACATACTATCATCGATTTCCATCTGATCTGCAACATCCATTTTATCTTGGTCCATTGTGGCAATGGATCTGACCTGATGAACTTGGTACTATTAGTTTTTGTTTGGGATTCAAATTAACATATAATTTATTACTGCATCACGTGCTATACAAATACAATATGGTCGGAACAAGACATATAATTACTAATGCACCCTCGAATCAAAGTAGTCGTGCGTTTACCGTATATAGACTTTGATTTGTTTGCGATTCAACTAGTAAATACCACGCTAACACTGTTTTTCACCAAAGACTGCACGTTCACTAACACAGAGTATGAATGATAATGATATCAGTTCGTTATATCCACCTCCGCCTCCATACTACAAATACTTTACCAAAGAAAACATAGCTCGGTTCAACGAGTGGAAGAAACAGGAAGCACAAGCACAAGACGAACCTTTGGCCCCACCAGGTGAACTCAAACTTCTAGTACCGCCTCAAGTACCGTCTGGAACGCACTACCGAGGGTATGGTAACTTGTGGCTGTTTGAAGAGAAGCTCCCGTCGTTGAAAGACTCTGGCTGGAAACAATTATATACTGATGATGATGATACCATTAGTTCCAAGCAGAAGATCGAAGAACTCCACAAATTAATGGACTCATTATTGGTCAACTTTCTAGAACTCATAGGAGTGATGTCTGTCAACCCGAGTGAGTTCCATTTGAAAATTGAAGACTTGAAACTCATCCTAATCAACATCAACCATCTTTTAAACTCCTACAGACCTCATCAAACAAGGGAGACACTTATCATGCTTTTGCGTAAGCAAATAGAGTCCAAAAAGAAAGATATCACGGAAATAGAAGATACAAGCAACAAGATAAAACAAAAAATAGCTTCTTTGGTAGACTCAATCAAGGTATCGGAGCCAGGTGATCAACATCTTACAGAATCTACTCAGCCTAAAGAGTCATTGCAAGTACAACTCATAGAAGATAACTTATTAGCGGGTCTATAGACATTACTACAATATATACACATTTTGTATGAATGTATGTATGTATGATAATCACGTGATCTTTAGAAAATATCCAACAAGTCGTTGTTTAAGTTGCTTTTACTAGTGGTCGTAGTGGTAGTAGTAGAGGTTGTAGCAGCACCTGAAGGTGCCCCGAATAAGCTCAAAATATCATTATTGTTGGTGGTGTTGGGAGGTACAGTGCCAGCTTGTGGAGCATTTGGTGTGATGAATAAATCATTTAGTTCATCCAATAATCCACCAGAATCTCCTCGAGTACTTTCTTGATCTTCATCGTCATCAAAATCTAACAAGTTTTCATTCTTAGCATTGTTGATGATCTCTTGCTTGGCCAAGTTAGCCAAGTCTTCAATATTCTTATCGTTGGAGTTGTTCTGGTTGCGTTCAGTTGACAATGGAGCGTATGTCGAGGGATCTATAAATGTGTATGCTGGTTTGTGGTATACTGAAGATAATGTAGCCAACTCCTTCAATAAAATCTCCAATATGGCAGGAGAAAATGATGGAACTGCTGAAGACATTGGAGGTAATTTAGTCAATAATATTTTCTTTTTGGATTCTTCAGATGATGATGATGATAATAATCTCCAATAAATAAAAGCCTTATCTCTAACATCTGCATTTTCACATTCTTTAGTAGCCTTTTCCAAAACTTGTTGAAGTAATCCTTGATAAAGATTCTTATCAGAAATCACCAAATTAATTTTAACTGTTGAATTCAAAATGTTTAATTGAATTGTTGGATCATAATCCAAAAATGATTCCACTAATAATGACAATTTGTCATGTAATTGGGAAAAATATTTAGGATACTCTCCTAATAACCATACATACCCACTAATTGATTCATTAGTAGATAAATCTTCCATCTGATTAGAAATAACAGGTATAATGACAGTAATCAAATCATTCTTACCAGGATAACGTCTTAAAATTTTGGTCAATGCAGCAACAGATTCATTAATAATTAAATCACCGCCTCTTTGTTCAATTAATTCAGTTAATAAATTAATGGCTTTAATTGTGGTAACAGGCAATTTAACAGCCACAGATCCAATACATTTGATAGCCCTAACAATAAGTGAAGGTTCAAATTCCATGGCGTATTCTTTTAATTCACCTAATAATAAAGCACAATTGGCTTCATTTGCTAAACGAACCATGATATCCAATTTTTCCAATTTTAAATATAAAGGATCCGAATATTTAATGAAAAATACTCTCAATTCTTTGGATAATATTTGTGGATATTTTTCCAAAATGATTCTAATGTTTTTTAAACCAACATATTGAGCTTCGGGAATAGAAGCACTAACTAAAGAAACTAGAGGAGCAGCCAATTTCTTTAATATTAAATTCTTGGAATTGGTAGAACGAATAGAATCCAAATGATGGATAATGGCTTTAATAGAACTCAATACGATTGAAGGATTAACATGTTGTAATTGAGGAATAACTCTTTCAATAATATGATTTGCTTCTTCTGGACCCTTTGCCTTATAATCGGTTAATGCTGTTAAAATGGTGATTCTCCCCCATTCAGTGCATTCATTTAGGCAAAAAAGAAGAATCTTTGCCACTTCTGTGGTAACCACAAACACTTCCAAATTTGGATCTCTATTCATATCTCTAATTTCAAACAAAGCCGTAACAGCATTAGCAGCAACCATTGGATTTGAATCTTTAACTAAAGCCTTTAAATCATCAAGGAATCCCAATTCAACACACATAACAGGATTCAAATCAAATAATTTGGCTACACAAATGGCTGCAGTTTTCCGGACATAAGGATTATCATCCTTCAATGTTCTTCTTAAGGGGATTTCCATATAATCCACCATTTTCTCCACTCGAATGCATCCCATAGTCCTAATAGCCAAAGCCCTAATCAAAGGGTTAGGATCAGTAGCATCTTGAACAAAAGTGTTAACCGCAAGTATACACAACTCAGGGTTGGTTTTAGCATAATTCATCAAATATAAATACACCAACTTCTTCTGTTCAATGTCGTAGGTAGCAATGTTCTTCAAGACGTCTGGAAACAATGATGAGACGTCTTTCCCAACTGTCATGGCTTGAATGACTCTTTGAATGGAGTCCTTCCGTTCCCATTCATATTGTGACACCAAACCGGCTTTCAACTCATACGTTTCGCCCTTAAGGGGACCACGTATAAAGTCCTTGATCTTCTGTTCCAACTTTCTCTTAGACATCATGATGACCGATTCTTATTGGTGTGGGGAAGCAGAGAGAAGTTGTATGGCGTTGATGTTTGTTAATTGTTTGAGACAGCACGCTTCATATAACCACAAAGTTGATCTGTGCACGACTTTCGTGATACGATAGTGGAACCTTAATGATTCCTAAGCATGCATTAAATTGTGTTGTGAAAACAATTATAGAGCTTCTAGACATACCAACTATGATTCTAAAGTTAGTTACCCTAATTTATATACGTTATATACACTAGTGTATGTTTGATGTGCACGTTCAAGTCCTCTACATAATACGAGATTCAAGAAAGACTACTAGGGCCATAAAATACATAAACATAGCACTTCGAATAGTGTAATGGAGTGTGTTAATGTTAAAAATAATATTATTACGTCTATGGATGCTTACTACAGTGCTGTAATAGCGTTCTTCAATCCACATATATATATGTATACATTTATATGTTATGTGCAGTGGCATTATTTTGAATGATCTTGTATATAATCACTGATCTACGCGTAAAGTACAGCATCTTGGTAAGGTAATGTTATGCCCTAATTACAATAACAAGAAGTAGGCATTGATGCGTTTATATGGACGAAGATCGGCTCAAAGGAGAAAGGAAAATGGCCCATCGTTTTCAGAAGATAGCGAAAGTGAAAGTGATCATAAAAGTATTCTCCACAAGGTGACCACTTCTATATCTACAAGTGAAACATCATTGGAGTCATCTCCATTGAAAGCACGTCAAAAGACGCTGGTCGTGGTAGCTCAAGACGTGCCTGGTGAGCTAGAAGCATGGGATGAGCTTTTTGATGATATAGATGGTTCCATTGTGCCAGATATACCCAAAGTAGAAGGTAGAGACAGAGAGACTGAGACTGATGATGATGATGATGATGATGATGATGATGATGATGATGGCGAACTGCATACTGATGGTAGTGATGGTATCGTATCCAGAGTTAATATTTCATCTATTCTTCTGTCATTTGCTTCATCTGAAGTTGTTCCTGTTGATAATGAAAGTCGTGGTTCGATACTACCAGACTTAACTCCGGCCGTTGCTCCGACCCCAGTAGAAACATGTTTCCAGGCAGGAATAGTCAAATATGGAGAGACTCGAACTCACAAGTTGCAATCACTTAATGAAGATGATGACCGTGACAGCATGAACCCAGCCCAATTGTTTATGTTTGAGTCTCTTTCACCTGTTAGAAAGAAGAGGAAAATTCGTCATGTTAAGAACACAGCAATCCACTGGAACGACTACAAAGTTAATGGTCATGACAAGAATAACAAGAGCGAAGCTACCGAGTTTCTAATAGAGGGACTCAAGTTTTATGAAGAAGATGAAAAGAATATTATAAGTGGAAACTCAATTCTTATACTGACATTGATTGACATTGCTAATGAATTCCAAGCTGACCATACTTATCCTTATGATATTCCACTTGTGCTCGAAAGTCTAGACCAGTTATTAGAGGTTTTAGCAAAAATTAGCAACCCGACAGACGAGAGGAACATAGGTTTTATTTGCTGGCTTGTTTCAAGCGTCACGTACATTTTCATAACTTCTGCAGTAGAGATAAATCACGCAGTGTTGAATTATCAGTTGAAAACCATTGAGTTCTTGTTCGAATGCTTGAACATTGGCTATGATGATGTATCACCGCCTGGAATTCTGAAGATTACAAAGAATTATTTAAATGAGATCCATAGAATACGGAGTACCAGCTCAGAAGATGAAATACAGATCAAGCTTGTCTATCTTCTTTTCAAACATCAAAACTTCCTAGCCACTACACAAGGCTTTGATCTTCTAGTGTCCTTATACTGGAAAGCTAAAACATCTTCAGGCAAGATTAAAGTACTAAATTGCATTGAAGAGTACATTGAATACGATTATGAGATGACTTCTAGAGATTGGATAGAGTCAATGTTCATAACCATGGTACAAAGCTTCGTAACAAGGACAGAAGAAAGGTTTAACTATCATAGTTCAATGGTTTTCAAGCTTGCAGTGCTTATCTCCACTCGATATGAACCAAATCTTGACTTTTTCAATTCAGATCTTATTTCAACTGTATTGCGGATAATCACCAAGCACTTGAAGAAATCAAACCTTTCAGATCCACACACAGCCAATTGCATTTTGTTTCTTCTTGGACTTCTTTTGAACGTCGTTTCCAACCGCAAGCTCTCTCTTAGAAGTGGAGATATCAATGCCAACGTTGAAGCCATTATGCTTTTCGCAGCCAATGGGATGGAATCAGATGTTCAACGTCATGTCTTCGGATATAACATTATGTTGCTTGGATATTTACGACTCGCAATTAACTACACTGTTGATATCCAATTTTTAACCTTATCCTTGATATCTTTTAAGTCCGAAATCACCAGTGTTTCAAGTACAACTCATGGACTAATACAAAAGATAGATAAAGTACTATATGGTTTACAGCTTCTAGTCACGTGATGTGTATCACGTGATATGCGAAGTAGTACCACCAATATTCAACTGAAAAACTCTCACATTACTAACAACAACCAGCACAAGTGTAACCAAAAGGCATATAAACAAGATGAATGCTCCAGATAGATTTGAACTCTTTATATTACCGGAAGGAGTTGAAAAGTAAGTGTGGTGTCCTAAAAAGCCCAGTTGTCAGAAAATACTAACCTGCTTAGAATAAAGATAACCCCAGACACAAAGGTGCCCAATGCTGCCATTATAAAGATAGAGAGAGAGGATCATACGTTAGGGAACTTATTGAGAGCACAGTTATTGAAGGACGACAGAGTGCTCTTTGCTGCTTATAAGATTGAGCATCCATTATTTGCTAACTTTCTCTTGAGAATACAAACCGTTGATGGTTACAGTCCTAGAGATGCCTTGAGAAATGCGTGTTCCTCTTTAATCAGTGAGTTGGACGTGATAAAGACCAGATTCAAGGACGAATGGGCGCTTAAGTCGTTGTTGAACAGCAACAATGATGACTTTTAATGAGAACAACTATACTACTTCTATATATGTTCTATTGTGTACTATATTATTATAATGCTAATATTAATAAAGAATTATATGCATAGGGGTTATTAGCTAATGTCTATGATTCCCTAAATGCCTTTCTCTTGATAGCTTCTTTGATGACTGCAATCTTCTCCATGCATTCCGGAATGTCAGTGTCCGGGAACCCACCTTCTCGTAACACTAGGATAAGGGGACGAGTTTGAGTTATTCTATTGGGGGAAACATGGGTTATGGCATGGCCGGATTTGGAAATGCAAACTTTATGATGATCTTTGAAGTTGAATTGAAACGTACCATTGGTCATTTCAAACATAATGTAATCTGAATTACGAGTGTATCTTCTCAAGAATAATGTTTCCTTTCTGTTTTCATCATCACTGACTTTAGATAAATTGGCATTCATATATCTTGCAAAAAACTCCACCACTTCCAATTGACGTTTGGTTTGTGCTGGTGGATGATTCACAGAATTATCAATGCATGTCCAACCTTCATTCTCGTGGTATATTAATTCCAAAAATCTCTCAGAGTTATTCAACTTCAATACGGTGTTGTCATCATTGAACAAAACCCCAATATCGTTGTTATTTAATTCGTAAGCAAACCCATATTTGTTGGTATAATCAACCCATTTGGAGATTAATGTAGGATTTTCACATCCAGGTAACTCAAAGGTATCAATATCTTCATTCTTTGCATACTCTAATCTTCTCATATTTTGATGGGTTTCAAAACAAACTTGATTAAGTTTTTTGATAGCTGTTGAGAAACTGCTATTGAAATTAGGTCTTTTCGTCGGTCTAGGGAAATGGTCAGGATCAACTTCTTGATATTTGTTGCGGGTATCATTAGGTGAAAGTGATACGGGCAACATTGATCTTGGCTGTTCAGAATACAAATCTGATCTTAAAATTTCGACTGGATCTTTGGATCTAGGAGTATAAATTCCAGCACTGACTTTTGTATGGTTGAAATTAAGAGCTGATTGAGCTCTGGAAATCTCTCCTAACCCATCTGGAGTTTGAGTGAGACTTAATGAATGAGTTTTATCCGGGAATGGGCCTTTAAACCATTCATAACTTAAGATCTCATGAACATTTGGTCTATCCAAAGGGTTCAAACTTAATAAATCTCTTATTAATACCTTGGCTTCATCTGAAATAGGCTTTTCAGCAGGGAATGAGTATTCATTCTTCTTAATTCTTTCATAAATAACTTGAACATCTTTAGCTTGAAATGGTGGCTTACCTACCAATAAAGCATACATCATAATTCCAATAGCCCAAGTATCAACTTCAAAGGAATGACCAGTTTCTTTACCTCCAAGAACTTCAGGTGCAATATAATTTGGAGTACCACAAATGGTATACTTTTTGTTTTCACCTTCAGGTAAGACACTTGCCAAACCAAAATCACCAATCTTCAAGTTCATTTCAGGATCAAAAAAAATGTTACCTAATTTTAAATCTCTATGAATAACTCGTCTTGAATGCAAGTATTTGACGGCTCCTATAATTTGAACCATAAAATACCTAACTTCAGGTTCACTCACTCTCTTTCTTGTCTTCAATAATTCCATCAAGGATTGGTTAGGACATATTTCCAAAAGAATATAGACATTTATATCATCTTCAAAACAATCTATAAAGTTGACGATATTAGGATGTTTCAATGATTTGTGGATCTTGATTTCAGATAAGAGTTTAGTCTTTGTCTTTTCATTTTTGATTGATGCCTTAGCAACTGTCTTAGCTGCAAATATTTTCCCTGAAGAATCTTTCATTTGGAAACATCTAGCAAAACCTCCTTCACCGAGAAAGTTACCTCTACGATAATCTCTACCGTTTCTAGTACGTACAATTGATGGGGGGGTCTTACATAAGGCCGATAACTTTTCCTTCTTTTTCTTTTGAGGTTTGGATGCAGCTGTTGGTGGAGGAGGCTGGTGGATTTGATGATGATGTTGTTGTTGCTGTTGTTGTTGTTGCTGTTGTTGTTGTTGTTGGTTATTGGCGTTGTAAACTTGGTTATGGTAGTTTGATCTCCCGCCATTAAGTGCGGCAGCTGATAAAGACCCTATGGCGGTGTTAGCCGAGGTGGCAGTAGATAACCCTGTAGTAGCAGCATCATCTCTCCATTTGTTTTGCTGTTTTACTGGAGTCAAGTTGCTGTTAGATAAAGCATTCAACTGACCATGGTTCAATGGTTGTAAGGGTTGAGTCACACGATAAGGGTTTGTAGACATGACGGAAGAAATAATAAGAGGTGTAAAAGGGATTGATTAAGATCAAAACCAGACAAGCAGCAGAAACACAGACAGAAACACAGACAGACAGATAATATAGCTTCTGTGTTGAACACCAGTGTTTAACCCCAAATGCAATTAAGTAGTAGTAGTATTAAAAGTAGTAGAAGATGATGATGAACGATCGAACAAATATTCTTGAGAGGACAAGAGATGGTATAAAAACGACGCACAAGCCATCCACCTGTATATGTCGTTTATTGATGTGTTCCCTTATTTGATCGTTGTGACTTTGAAAAGTATAGACAGTTTTTGTTTATGTTCTTTCTAGTAAGAGAGTGTTTTGACATTGCCTATTTTGGACGTGTCACGTGACCAAATAGTAGTGATTACATAAAGGAGTATCTTGATCTCGATACAGATGTATAGAGGGGCTCCATTATGATGTACTTGTGAGTAAGAAGGTAAGTATGTATGTATGTATGTGTGAATGTGTGCATGTGTGTATGTATGTATGTACGTTTGTATGTTTGTATGTTTGTATGTTTGTAGCGAGAAGTTTAATGAGGTTAATAATAGTTGATACAATTGTAATTGACCAGTAAAGTTTGGTCTACATTGGACTAACTTGCTTGGAGCATTACTTTACATGGCTATAGTAGTTCTATTACCACCAATTGAAGACGCTGACAGTTACCTTTCAATACTGCCAATTCAATTCCATCTGTTTCTGGTGTGTTTATTATTCCCAGATTGTACAAGGCCCAAATTTAGTGATTTCATTTGCGGAGGTTATTGTTTGCATCTAACACCCTCAATCGGGCACAACAGCACGAATCGAGCATTATGAGATGATAAAACTGTTCCACAGCATCAAAGGTTCACTCGGTTTCCGGTGTACTAAAATTAACTATAATCCACCCAGCAAGCTAGCCTTTGATTCGGTTAAATAGATGGACAAAGGTCCGGAATGATGGTGTTCCACATTCCTCATATCGTATCGATTAACTCACATTACAGGGTTAGCTATGTAAGGGTGTGTGGTTTGAAACGAAAACAGCGTTGAGTTTGCCGTTATCACTTATCATTCCTAATTGGGGTTGAGTGCAAATAAACAAAAGTCATAAATAACGTTCCACAAAGAATCAGTTTTGGCTAACGAAAACAGTTACTAAATGACGTTTTCCCCATGGCTGTGTTTGTCAAAATTGGTCCGGGTTTGGGTAATCTATGGATATTGATCCGTCACAATACTAAAGAGGAGGAAGGTTACATATTGGCATTGGTTACGTACATACATGGTTACATAATTCATAATTACATAACTACTTACTTACTTACTCACTGGCATACATACATACATTCTGTAATCCTTTGTGCTATAGTCTAATAACTTGTATGATTTGTGTTTAATAGGGTAATCTAGTTACTAGTAGGAGCAACTCATAGTGTATGCAATAGAACAGTGGGTACAATTAAGATGGTACCTTATTCCTGCGATTAGGTAGTGTAGCTTAATGCAGTAAATCAAGCTCAAGTAGGTTGTTACTGCTTACAGTTCATCTTCCTGTCAAGACTGTTCTATGGCAGAAATAGATGAGAACAGCAAGTATACCGTTCATGGTACTACTAAAACTAGCTTACAAAAGGAACCATCATAGAATAATGATAAGGTAGATAATTACAGTAACGGTATCTTTGTACGTTATGCTGAATATGTTAATATGGTAGCGCTAATGAATATTGCGTGCACAACCCAATATTTGGGACTTGTGAAAAAAATTCAAATGGCTCTCCAGATATTTAAAGGTGTTCCTTTACTTGCTTAATATCAGTCACTACTACTAAATACAGTTCTGTGTATATATAGCCGTTGCCAGTATACAGAGTACATTGTATTGAGCATCAGTATTATTTGATTTTTTCTGGCCACCATTTTCATTCCTTCGTTAACTGATTGTTGCAACTGCTACGATGAGCAGCTCCGATGAAGAAGACGTTGCCTTGTCGCAAATAACCAAAAATAACGGCAATGGTAAAACCAGAAAGAGACGGATGGTTCCGGATTCTGATCCTGATTCGGACTCGGATTACAACGAAGATACTCCGATTGCACAATTGAATGGTAAATCTAAAGTCAAACCAGCACCAAAGAAACAAAAGACAACTGAGAAGAAGACCGCAGAAAAGAAGATGTCAGCAAAAAAGGCATCAACTCCAAGGAAAGCAAAGAAGGCGACTGTTAAAAAGGAGGCTGTTAAAAAGGAGACCACTGCTAAAACTACTGTTAAGAAAGAACCTAAAAAGAAGTCCATAGAAATTCCTATAACTCCTCCAACTTCTAACGGATCCAGAGCTAAATCTGAGGAATCCGTAAAGAACGAAGACGAGGAAGAAGAGGAGGAAGATGAAAGTTACAAATGGTGGGAACGAGAAGAAGATTTGGATGGAGAAGTTAAATGGGAAACCTTAGAACATAAAGGAGTGTTATTCCCTCCACCATATGAACCATTACCTTCCCATGTCAAGCTATATTATGATGGGAAACCTGTTGAGATGCCCTTGGAGGCAGAAGAAGTTGCAGGTTTCTATGGAGCCATGTTAGAAACTGACCACGCAAAGAACCCAGTGTTCCAGAAGAATTTCTTTAACGACTTCTTGGACGTTCTTAAGGAATCTGGTGGATGTACCAATGGAGTAGTTATTAAGGAATTTGATAAGTTGGATTTCTCTAAAATGTTTCACTATTACGAACAACAAAGAGAAGCAAAGAAACTAATGACTCGTGATGAAAAGAAACAAATTAAATTGGAAAAGGAGAAATTGGAAGAACCCTACAAATTTTGTTATTTGAATGGGAGAAAGGAGCAAGTAGGAAATTTCCGTATTGAACCTCCAGGATTATTCAGAGGAAGAGGTGCCCATCCGAAAACAGGGAAATTAAAGAGAAGAGTTTATCCTGAAAGTGTTACATTGAATTTGAGTGAAAATGCTCCAGTTCCTGAGCCTCCAATGGGTCATCAATGGGGTGGAATTCAACATTTAAATACCGTTACTTGGTTGGCCATGTGGAAAGAAAATATTGCTGATCTGATCAAGTATGTTAGACTAGCACAAAATTCTTCACTTAAAGGACTTTCCGATTTCAAGAAGTTTGAAACTGCCAGAAAGTTGAAAGACCATATTGAGCCAATCAGAAAGGATTATCGAAAGATGTTAAAAGATGAGTTAATGTTAAACAGGCAAATGGCCACAGCAACTTATCTTATAGATGTCTTCGCCTTAAGAGCAGGTGGTGAAAAGGGTGACGATGAAGCAGATACTGTTGGATGTTGCTCATTAAGATTTGAGCATGTTACTTTGAAACCTCCAAACATTGTTATATTTGATTTCCTCGGTAAGGATTCTATTCGGTTTTATCAAGAAGTTGAAGTTGATAAGCAAGTGTTTAAGAACTTGAGAATCTTTAAGAAAGCTCCGAAAAGACCAGGTGATGATCTTTTTGATCGTATAACTCCAACATTGTTGAATAAGCATTTACAAAACTATATGACTGGATTAACAGCCAAAGTGTTCCGTACTTATAATGCATCCAAAACTATGCAAGATCAACTAGACCTAATTGCTAATGAAGGAACAGTGGCAGAAAAGGTGATGAAGTTTAATGCTGCCAACAGAACTGTTGCTATCTTATGTAATCATCAGCGTACGGTCAGTAAGAATCATAGTACTAGTGTGGAAAAGATCACTTTCAAATTAAAGGAAATGATGTGGCAGAAGATAAGATTGAAGCGGATTTTATTAGAATTAGAACCAGAGTTGAAGAAGAAAGACAAGCATTATTTTTCTGAAATCGATGATTTGGCAAAGGAAGATATCATGCAAATCCATGAGGTTATTATAGAAAGACAACGAGAACAAGTGTTTAAGAAATTGGCAAGAGATAATGAGAAATTAAAGGCCGAGGGCCAACCATTGCTAACAGAAGATTCAGTGAAGGAAAAACTTGAAAAAATTGAGGAATTAAAGCAGGAATATGCAGAAGAACTCAAAACAGGTAAACCGGAGGTCAAATCCAATATGACTGTTGAAAAGTTAAAGAAACAAATTGAAGTGATTGAAACTCGGGTTTTAAATACCGAGGTTCAATTAAAGGATAAGGAAGATAATTCAGAGGTGTCTTTAGGAACTTCCAAAATGAATTATATTGATCCTCGATTAACAGTTATGTTTGCAAAGAAGTTTGAGGTTCCCATCGAGAAGCTCTTCACCAAAACTTTACGAGATAAATTCAAATGGGCCATCGAATCTGCGGATGAGAATTGGCGGTTCTAGCACGCATAGATTACATTATAAGTATTATTATTATTATTATTATTATTATTATTATTATTAAGCTTTACACAGTTAGGCATAATATGTATAGCATTATTAGAGCATATTGAGATCATGTTATGTGTAAAAAGTGACAGCCGTAGTATACGTACTTGAAATCAAGGTCCACGTTATGGGCAGCCGCACGGAACGCGACAATTCAGGTTCACAGTCTTACGAATATGCATGTTAATTGGGTTATAATTAGGACCATTTCGTCATTAGTTGAAGAAACAATAGCCAAGTACTATCGGTGAATGCATGCACACAGCACATAATTTGTATTATTATCACATTTATTGACACATTTAACGTACCCATATACATGGGCCCATACTCAAACATGTACCAGTCATATATGTTGACTATACTGTCACCGCATCGTTTTGGATAAGACAGTCCGGTCGAAAGTATCTTTGCAACAGACCACGTATGTGTCAGATGAGATCAATGCATCGAATCATGCATGTTTTACCGCGTCGTGCAGCGCGTCCACAGAAGAAGTAGGATGGAATTGCAAGACGCGAAACTAGCATACGCGTTTTCAGGAGTCAATATCTTAAACCCGAACGAATATTCTAAAGAACGTCGCTAACAATAAAAGTTCCTGTCTATGAATTCAACGTGGGTTCAAATATGTCGGATCCTTGTTAGCGGATGTTCTCAGCTAGTGAACAAAGAATCTTTTCAAGAGTTAGTTAAATGTTGATGTATCTGCCGTTCTTGACTGTTTTTGCATGGATGGACGCTAATGAGATTGCTTTCATTATTTGGGATTATGACGGTGGTTTATGGACACCCTCATCATCGTCACAGACGAGCCTTGACTTGGGAAATAGAGTCTCTAGGAAAGAGAGCTGATTCAAAGGCTACGTCTGCATCTTCATCATCATCATCAACTTCCAAGTCAACTTCTTCTTCTACTACTACTTCTTCATCATCATCAGCTTCGAAAACTAGTCCGTCCACCAATTTATCCTCGACTTCCAAGAGAACTTCTTCCACCAGCACAGCATCTACGTCGACCTCCAGTTCATCTAATCCGTCTACTTCCTCAATTACATCCATGCCCTCGAGCTCTATTCTGGACATGCCTACTATGCCTTCCTTAACTGGAAGCTCACTGGCTACAAGTTCCGTATCCATATACATTCCAATTGGAGTTGCTACTGGCTCTTCAAACTATCCTTCAAACCCCTATATCTCTGAATCCTCCTTACCAAATGGTTTAGTATTCATTGTGGTGGGCTCTATAGTCGGTGCTATGCTTGTTGCCTTATTGACCTACAGATTAGTCTCATGGTTCTTTGCTCGGAGATTGGCTAAAATAGGTAAGGAAAACGAATACCATAACTTTGATTTTAAAGGTTTCAGTGATATAGGATCCAACCTGTCATTTTTTGATGCTTCCAGTTCCATGATAGCGAAGCCAATAAGCAGAAGAGGTTCAATAATGATGTTACAACCTCCTCAGCTTTCATCTGTTTCATTACCTGATATCCTGACTTCTAGTGGTGGCAGTAGTGATAACTCATTCTCTGGAAACGAAAAGAACAACAATTTGACAGGAATGGTCACCTCACAAGGACATACTTATCGAGATACTATTGTTGGAGGTAACACTAGACGAGGTTCTATGTTCATTTCGCCTGTTATGGCTATGATGAATAAAAACAGTGGAGGGGAAATGACTTCATATTATGATTACAATGCCAATAGCTCTGTTGGTGAACCTGAATCGCCAATGCTTAACTTCGAAGTACCTTCTGTTACTAATTCCAGTACTCACTGGTTATTAGACGATTCTAATAATTCTGACTCGGTAGTGTCTGCCACCAAGAAATCAGATAATCGACCTCCAAGTCAATATCTTGAGGATCTTCTTGACAACTTTTAGTACCACCACCTTCTGCATGTACATTTAGCATTTTATAGAATTTAATCATACACTTTTTTGTTAATTGTATACTGATAAAACTCTAGCCAAGTTGCATAACAAGCAAAAAAATAGGGTTCTCTTATTATTGTATTACTGTGACATAAGTTCACTGTCAGTTTATTACTTCTGATTCCAAGCGACCAAACCTACATTTCTACAGAAAATCAATAATTTTTGACAAGAAAAACATTTCATTGTCTCCTCACACAAGACATCTACTAAATAAACCTATATTTCTTCATCTTGTAATAAGACTTTTAAAATTCAAATGTTCTCGTAAAGATCACGGATGCATAACCTTGTATTGGTGAACTTTCAACACATTGGTACTTGGTTTCAAAGGTATAAGCTGAAATTGCCAACATCAATGCATCAATACCCTTACATATATATGTGGCTCTGGTAACTTGAGACACCGGCAAAAGTTCCTCCACAGGCGGCGTCTAAAGGTATAATACTGAATCACATTATTAAATCCTTCTATACTGTACTAATGAAACTTCCATGGAAGTATTGTATACAGTACATACATACTTCAGTTCACATTAGGCATCATGACAATACGCACGGGAGTTTCACTAATACAAGATCTTACACTATAAAGCAACGACCTAATCTCTGTGCTACGTATCATATTTCATTACCATCTTATCATTAACTAAGGTGTCCCTTATCTCTTTCCGGACCCCGCGAATTACCCCACCTCCCGAGGATCCTATGTCGCGGATGGAAAACTCCCCATTGGGAACAGATAGCACAAAACAACTGAATAGTACTGGTATCACAGTCTCCATCGTCCACCCCCTCAGTGCACACCCCTGGGATTATATAAATAGGCGGGGATGTTCAGAGAAAAGACAAATTCGGTGGAACTAAATGTTCAATTTCAACCAATTAATTTAGGTCACTGATTCAACGAAGACCCATTAGACCGGATATTTCAATCAAATATATCCATTGACCCGAGTGCAATATAAGGAGTAGTTCCAACCATGAGCTTAAAATGCGCTTTCATGTACACCAGCAAGGTGTTGAGGCCCTTGAGTAGTCGTCGAATGATCCACGTGACCCGGATTGTGATGGCCAAGAACGATGCTTCCACCATAGACTCATATAAATTACCTTCCCAAACATCTATTAACGAATGGGAGTTCCGATACGACTTTGTACCCAAAGTGTCTGAGCCCAAGGTCCCCCCTGTGACTCCTGAAGCGGTCGCCAAAGATATGATTGCGGAAATGCAGGCAAGGAATGCACGTGAAGATCAATTGACCAAGTCTCAATCTGTTAAGGTTGAAGCCAATCTGGCTGATGTATTCCATCAAGGTCAATCTGTAATGGAAGATCCTGTCGTTGTTGGAGACCATGCACATGCACAAGAAGGACTTGCGGTTGACGAAAATAGTGGTCGGGGATCGCTGGAGGTTGCACCTTCAATTGCACCCAAACCAGCAAACAGAGACAAATATGTCCAAAGTTCCATTAACCCGCTGATTAACGATTCACAAGTTGCCAACTACGGTGAAAGCGAAGTAGACCACAAGATCTCCGAAGTCCCGGAACAAACACCAGTGTGGGAAGATGTAGAACATTCCAACGAGTTACAGAGACAGGATTTGAGTGATCCAGCTAACAGACCAGCTCCAGATGTCACTCCCAAAAGGGAGGAAGTATACGAGGACATTTCCGGGTTCTTTATACCTTTAGTATTGATAGCATTTGGTGGAGTAGGATATTATTACTATTACTATCTGATCCAAAAAAAGCAAAAAGGAAAGACACAGATTAAGTGAGTATACTACAGCATGATATATATACATAATAAAAAGACATTGTTCCATTTCTATCAGACATTTTGTTTTATATATTATTTATTTACAGATAATAATGACAGTTTAGTGTTACTGTCTGCTTAATATTGTCTAGAAGCTTCTTGACATGCCTTCAATTGTTGTAAGTAGTAGTCGCAGATTTGCATGTTACCACCGTTGTCTTCCAAACATCTGGTGAAGTTTCTGGCATCCGCATCACATTGCTTAGCCTGTTCAAACTGTTGCAGAGCAGGTGCAGCAGCAGAAACAACTTGTTGATCAGCAGGTGCAGCAGGTGCAGAGGAGCCTCCAAACATTGAAGTGATCCCAGCACCAATGGTGTGACCCACAGCAGAACCAACAGCAACACCAGCGGCAGTAGAGGCCATTTGAGCAAACATACCAGGTTGCTTTTGTTGGACTTGGGGATGAGCTGCTGGTGCTGGAGGATGTTGAGCAGCATTAGAATAAGATGCTGGAGCAGCAGCAGTGTGTGCAGATCTAGTTTGGGTTCTAACAGGAGCGGATCTTCTTTGTCTAGCCATTGTGTATGATAATAAGTGTGGTTATAATAAGTGTGGCTATAATAGTGAACACTGCAGAATCTATGGAACGTGCGGTGCTTATATACTTGATGCAGTTTATTGGTGGCGATTTTGAAGTGTCAAATTAGAAGTGCAGAGAAAAAAAATTCTGATCGGACACAGATTGCCTAATATAGCGATTAAGGCCAACTTCCTGTACCGGGACCGGGACCGGCATCGCAAAAGTCAAGGTTGTAATGTCGTGAGTACGACATTTTGGTGGTGGGTGCACGATACTAGCATTTAAAGCAATGCGTTCCGATTTCGGCATAATTGAGTAGTGGATGATCTGGGGTATAGATAAGTGAGGGATACGTGAACGTCAACAATAACCAAAGGTTGTTATCATCTTATATATTTAAGGAAGCGAAAACCCCATATTCTTAATTGACAGATATTATAACAGACGCAGACAATTTACCCATTCAAAGACTGAATTCTGACGCATCTTCAAGAATTTATTTTCAAACGGTACATATGCAAAGTTGAAGGTACACATAATAACACATATCCACAATGAAATGTGTACGAATACGAATGAAAAGATCGTTCCATTGCAGCCTGCAAAGTTTCTCACGCTGCAGTACAACTTCCACATATTATCAGATCCTAGAATTACCTGTTAATGCAACAGTGAAAGATATAAAACTTCAGTTTAAAAAGTTACTGAAGAAGTATCATCCTGATATGAACCCTAATTTGGAGGAAGATGCCAAACAAAAGAATCAAGAAAAGTTTATGGAAATAGTAGAAGCATATGATACATTAAAAGACATCAAGAAAAAGAAGGCTTATGATCGTACCTTACGAGGTGGTGCAAATAGTAGGTCACCAATGTCAGATTGGGATAAGAAATATTATGGTGAAGCCAAATACTATTCTAAATCTCTGGGGTATCTGCTGCCATCAGGAATGAATAGCCGAAGACACAGGGTGCATAATTTCAATGACAAATACAGTCAAAATAAACTGCATTTCAGTGGAGAGTATGTCAATCATGGTGACAGATTTGGGGTACCTCATTTCGACTATAACGAACATTTGTTGAAGCATTTGAAAAATGAACAACGTCAGCTATTCAAATACTTACTGGAGGAAGATAGAAATTATTTATTGGGTCAATTAAAATCCCAAGTAGGTAATGGTGCAAGTCGGGAATCAACCATTGCATTTGAAGAATTATTGACTAAACATCTTCAAAGAAATATTCACCACTATAAACAAAAGAAACAACTAGGTGCGAGTGCGAGTCACGTAGGTCATAGTTCTGACTCGTCCTATGTATATCGAAGACCCAGTTATTCTTCCGAGGGGAATGATACTACATCAGCCAGACCTTTGTTATATTTTGGAACTGGTTTGGCTGCTGCGTATATGATTTATTCGACCCTACTAAGCCATTAATTTTTCCGACACTACAGGCTTCCATGGATAATACATACGAGCATGCATGTATATATAATCTGTTTTTTTATGTATATATAGGAATCGTACATATAAGATAGACTGTGGAACTTAATGCAAAAGAACAAAAAGGGAACTTAATCCAAAAACCAGATAAGGAACACTAATATTAGGGCTCATGAATAAATAGTAATGGTGAAGGAAGAAGAAGAATATTCTAAAGAATGTTTATTGGTGTTATTGATATTGATATTAACGATCAACTTCACCAAACACAATATCCATGGTACCAATTATAGCAACTGCATCTGCCAACAAATTACCTCTGGAAATATGATCAAATGCACCCAAGTTAGCGAAACCTGGTGCTCTAATTCTGCATCTATAAGGTCTTTCACTACCATCACTAACAACAAATACAGCCATTTCACCCTTTGGAGCTTCAATGGCCGTATAAGTTTCACCAGCAGGGACACTGAACCCCTTGGTGAATAAAAGGAAATGGTGGATCAAAGCTTCCATATCTTCCTTCATTAAGGCACGAGGTGGAGGTGAAATCTTATAATCTTCAACCTTAACAGGACCTTGAGGCATATCATTAATACATTGTTCAATGATTCTAAGAGATTGTCTGAATTCAGCCATTCTGATCAAATAACGATCGTAACAATCACCATTCAAACCAACAGGGACATCAAAATCAACTTTATCATAAGCATCATAAGGTTGGGCTTTTCTAAGATCAAATGGGATACCTGAACCTCTAACCATAACACCAGATAATGAATAGTTCAATGCATCTTCAGCAGTTAAAATACCCACATCTTTTGTTCTTGCTTGCCAGATTCTGTTATCTGTACATAATTCTTCAATTTCATCAACTCTATCTGCGAATTGTGTGGCCCACATGTAAATGTCATCCAATAAACCAACAGGTAAATCTTGTGCTACCCCACCTGGTCTGACGTAAGCAGCATGTAATCTTGCACCACTAACACGTTCATAGAATTCCATCAACTTTTCACGTTCTTCGAAACCCCAAAGTAAAGGTGACAACCCACCGACATCCATAATATGCGAACAAACGGACATTAAATGGTTTAAACATCTGGTAAGTTCACCAAACAATGTACGGACATATTTCCCTCTAATAGGAACTTCGACATTCAATAATTTCTCCACAGCTAATGCAAACACCAATTCATTGGTCATGATAGAAACATAATCTAAACGATCAAAATATGGCAAGGCTTGCATGTATGTCTTAGATTCAATCAACTTCTCGGTACCTCTATGTAATAAACCAACATGAGGATCGGCTCTGACAATCTCTTCACCGTGTAATTCCAAAATCAATCTTAACACCCCGTGAGCAGCTGGATGCTGAGGTCCAAAGTTAATGGTGAAATGTCTGATCTTGGTGTTTTGCTTGGCTACTCTCGAAGGATCATCATCCTTTCCAAATGTCATGTCTACTTCATCCATGACTTCAGTAAAGGTAGTTTTACCTAAAGTCCCTGGCTCAGCGGAGTACCTTTGGGCTGGAACCCCAAGGGCTGTGGTGAAGGGCTTAGGACCAGATTCAGGAGCTGCAGCATATCTTATGATGTTGTTTGATGAGAAACTTCTGACATATTGTTGTTGTTGGAACAACCTGGTTGATCTTAAGAGGGTATTCTTAGCTCTCAACATGGTTATTATTAGTTGTGATATGGATATTAATTGTCTGTGTGTCGGGACTGGTTAATGTCCGATATCGAATGTCGATGTCGATGTCGATGTCTTCCTCTTGACCTTTGTCTGTTTCAATTGACAAATCCGACACTTGAACTAACGGTAGAGGTCAAATCTGTTTACTGTATTAAAAATTTTCGATTGGTTTAAATTTGAATATTGACAACTTTCATTGGATAGTCGCGCTTACTTAATAATACAGTTATAATTACGTAATATCATTTGCTGACGTAAGTATGCGACATAACAGAACTATTTTGGCGTTGTTATTGGCTCAAGTAAGTATCTGATACAACAAGCTATACCATACAATTTGGTATTAGCAGTTTTCTATTCTATAAATATGTCTATATAGATTCATAGTTTAACCATTGGTCAAACCATTGCAAGTTGCTAAATAGCATGTCGTTTTCATAAACTGATTTTGGTGATCCTAGAACTGCCGAACTACCACTTTCAACACTCATGGTTTCCAGATTAGTTAGACCTTCCGATTTCACCTTAGCCTTTTTTATCAATCTCTTATTCAACAACTCTCCTTCATTCTCGTCATCTTGTTCGTCTTTATCTTTTACTCCTAAAGTCGTAAATTGTTCATCGTTGACTACATTTGAACCATGGTCGATTCCAATCAGTTTCAACATATTCAATTGTTCACTTAACTGTAAGGAGACCATATGGTTAGTCATTTTAACACACCAAAGACATTCTTTGGCCATTTTGAACCGAGGTTCTCCGTTAGGGTATTTAGCATCTTTTATAATTGTTAACAATTTAATTGTGTCCTCTAACAAGTCTCTGCTTGAGTTAATGTATTTATTTCCACCAGAGAATACCATAGTTAGGGAATTAACTCCGATATTGAAAAGTAATAAAAGATTATAGTACCAAGGAATGTAAAGCATTTTCCGCTTATTGGTAGCAAATAAAAGCTTAGTAGCTGCTGCTGAAGTCTCCAATAATTTCGGAATCAGTAAACCTTGATGATCCTGGATTCCTTCAGTTTGATTATCTCTTAAAATATCAAACATGGCTTTCCCATGTAAACTCAAGATTAAATCATAAAAATGTAATTTCACTTGGACTTTAAGTAACTTGTATAGATCCTGTTCATTTTCATCATCATAGATTGTATCATCGTTAAAACCATTTTGGTCTAGCCAATCAGATAGTAACGTCAACTCATTATTCATTGCACTCACCAAATTAGAGTCAAAAACATCATTAGTACTGGAATAAATGAAATTAATAATTCTGGCAATGTGTAATAAGGCAAAGGCTGGTTTAGTTAACCAAGTATCACCAACTTCTTCAAAGTTATAACTGGTCAATGGCTCAGCAAAAATATCAATTTCGTTTAGTGCACCATATCTACCAGTTTGTAGAGCAAATACTCTTTCCATTGTGTAGCAACTCCAGAAGATTCTTTTGGCTTTCAAACGTTCATATTCAGTAGCTGTTTGTAGCTTCGGGACTTTACTTCCAATACCCATTAATCTTGTCATGGAGACGGCTTCATTTATAGCACTACTAACTGTAGTTTGTCTGTGACTGACTCTTAAATATAGAGCAATAAGTAACCAGCCTTGGATCAACTCAAACGATTCCCACTGGAAGGAAAGTATACGAATAACCGCATAAGAGTACTTGAAACATTCTTCTTCAAGTTTGAACAATTCCACATTGGGATAAGGATCTGCAGCTACCATGAACCGTATGGATAATGCATAAGTCATGAATAATAAAGCAGAGAATAAACTAGTTTTATTCTTAACATTAGCACCAGACATTGAAGAGGTCGAGTTCCCAGTGGGGGGCCCATTGGCTGATGAAGATGATTCAACCAACTCATGATAGACATTGATTTGCTGACGGAACACTTCTTCATGCAAAATGGCAAATAACGGATTGATATTCCTGAAGAAGTAGTCCACAAGGCTCATCCTACTATCCAACTCACCATAATGCGGATAATTATGGAAAGCAGGATATTCCGAAGGCAATTCTTCCGAAGGAATATAGTGACCACCACTCATATTCCAACCAAAGTATTGGAACCTGGGAACCTTGACCTTTCGACGGTTCTCATATTTGGATATACTCTTGTACAATGTCTGAGACAACTCAAACACTAAGAGGTTCTGATGACGACGGGAATATCTCCATTTAGACAGAGGGAAGATCAAATCAGGCAATAGCAATTGAGAACTACCAGCCATCATTTCATTGGCTGGTCCAATCATACTTTGAAGAGGCTCACGACGATAATACGTTTGGTTATTCTCCAATATAATGTTCTCCAAATATTTAACTCTCTTCTCCAAGTACTTTTTGGTCTCATCATCATCACCGTTATGACTTCTCTTCAATGTCTCATTGTGTTGCAGTGAAATGCTTGTTTCGCTGCCATTGATGTGGTTGATGTTCGCCATTGCACTAACAGGACGTACAATGTCGCCTCCAGTTGGAAGGAGCTCATCGTCAGTAGAACCTGATCTCTTATGGGGGTAGTGGCTCTTCTCATATGTACAGTCTTTCTTATACTTGAGACAAGTATTACAGGGGAAGGTACCAGAACACTTGATCTTCTGAGTCCGACACCGGTCACAGGCTCTATGGACTCGGATACGATACTTTTCCTTTGATGCAGAAGAAGCAGTATTATTGTTCTTGGTGTTCATGTTGATAGAAGGTTGTACTTGCATGGACAGCAATTGTGGCTGTTGCAGTTGTAGCAACAGTTGTAATGGTTGTTGATGTTGGTGCTGCAGCTGTTGTTGTTGTTGGAGTGGGTGGTATTGGAGGTGCATAGGTACATTAAACATTGGAAGCCCACTTGCTGCACTGGAAGTTGGGAGACCACTATTGGTAAGTGATTCCATAGATGGAGGCGTCCTTGCAGGAAGTGGAGGATAAACTGTCAGGTTCGTATTCTCTTGCTGTCCTTGGTTCAAATAGTTCGCCATCTTGCAGTTTGCCTGTTTGTCTTTCTTTCTGTGTTCGGCTGTATCTGGGGCCCTTAAACAGATCTATTCCCTATAAGCAAGAAAAACTAATTCGTGATTGTCTTTAGCAACTCCCTTTTTGTCTGATATTTTCAACACAGATTTGTATATGTATATGTGTGTACGTTGCCTGCGTTAAACACTCTATTCAGACTTTAAACGTACTACGCGTACATTAATAATACGTAGTGACGTAATACGAAACTCTTATGGAAACTAAATTTGAAGACTACAGCATTTATATACTTTTAAAATTTAAGTTCAAATACTTTTTCCCTTGTACTACTACATTGGTTGTTGCTCCAGAGTTTCAATTGTTCTACTCCACGTTGGATGAGTCAAAATGTTACTTAGCTTAGCCTGCATGCCCTTATTGTACTTACGCACGAATGTACGAAATGTATGTATGAAGCGTACGGATGATGAAAACGTCTACTTTTGCGAGGCATGAACAAATTCTCCGTATATGCATGTCTCTCTATATGGTAATTCATTTCATTAAAGTGTGAATTCAAGGTTCCTTTTGATCGGCTCGGTCACTTTCCGGTCATCGGCCCGCGATCCGATACATCTAAATCCTGTATCCTAAAGCGACAGAAGATTGATAAAGAAAATCGCCAGGGACGGTGAAATAAGCCCATTCTACTGAATAATACTTTTTCCGTTAATCCAAAACCCATAAACCGTGGGGTTTTAAGTTAATTCTATTTAACCAATTCTATGTACAAGATGTAAGAAGAAAAAGGAGCTGGTTAGAGTTTAATGAAAGTTGTGTGAAAAAGCATCATAGAATACGAGAACTGCCTCTACCAAGTTGATGATATCATACCACAGACATACTATAATTAGCGATCTTGTGTATTGTATTTTAAAGCATCTAAACGGCTTCAACGGCTCTCTTTTTGTTCCCCGAAACCACATAAGGCTTTCACCACCAAAGTTCATTCTATTTATCGTTAAAGAAGTTATTCTCGCTGAGCAACAATGCAATGTGTGATTTGATGCAGCCGTGACAACGATGAAGCAATGAGACTCGAGAATGTCACGCATCTTAATCTCTGGACCAATAGAAACGTATCTAATGTAAGCACGAGGTTATATCAATTAGTGATTGGCTCATTCAACCAATTTGCTATTTTCCAATACAGATTTCGCTTGATTAATCTTTTGAGCCAAGTATTTCGATCCATGTTTATCCGGATGATTAGCTAACATCAATTGTCTGTATCTACTTTTCACAGTTTGTTTGTTTAAAGTTAAGATTTCATCCGGGGTTATACCTAAAACCATTAAGGCCTCATTCTCCGTCATTGGATCACCGAAAGGAGTATTAGCATAATTCCGAAGAATATGATCGATGTCATGTTTCATTTTGGGATCAGATGCCCAAGATCCGTTCTGACTATTAAATGGATTTGACAGTCGTAAATCAATGTTGTTCATTGTGGCTATTGTTGATACGGGAAGTCTGGAGAATTTCGTACAGGCAGAAAATGTCGCCTTAGCAGTTAGTGCTACTACTGTTGCTGCCACTCCAACTATTATAGGTATCATGCTTTGACTGATGATTACTCGTTACCCCAGATAGTAGTTTTGTAAAGTTTTGCTAGTATTGCGGAATTGATGGGGCAAATGGGTATCACGCGACTTTCACGTGATACACATAGTAAGATTGTAAATTGAAGATATAGAATCAAACAAGCGTGCTAATAACGCTTAACGTGACTTTAACCACGTGACTACGCTGGTAGAACCGCAAAGAAGACTTAACCTTTTATTTCATAGTTGAATGACCTGATAGTGTTGAAATATTTCAGACATAACTCCACAAATTATTATTTAAGTCAATCATGCGCTTAGAAAGATGGTAAACTACTCCGTAAGACCCGTCTTATTTCAATCCCTGCAGACACATGTCTGTATCCACGCATGGCAGTGGTGCGTAACAGATGCGTTAAAGTGGTGCAACCATTAAACGACAAATAATGCGATTAAAAAGTCGATGCGGTTGCGGATCACTTCTGACCGGAGTCATGTGTCACAAAACCCCCTAAAGGGCTATTCGGTTACGGGCCTACGCAACTTTGTAGGCATTGGAAAGCTTTGGTCAGACCAACCAACAGGCAAGTTTGAAGGAGATGGTACGTGTAAGGTAAATATCATCTAGTAACAGTAACGAGTATGCAATTAAAAACCTGCAATTGGGATGCGGACGAATATAGACTGTTAGGCACAACGTGGTTCAATGTGATGCAGTCACTAGATTGCATGAGTTTACGAAGAGAAAAACCAGACAAATACACTGTTTGAAAAATTGATTGATGGTGAAACAAACGTTGCACTACAATCCTTTAGCAATAGGTGAAATGCAATAGAGATGATTGTGGACTTAGAACACTGAAATTTCTACCAATTTTGTCTCTCTAATAGTTTAATTGTGTGTCTGAACTTATCGTACCAATTGTCTGTGTGCGTTATATGCATACATCAAAAAGTAGTAGTAATCTGCATCCTTCTTTCGGACTTCTGCGTGCGGTACACCTATTTTTGCATAATAATAAAAAATAACCGGCGCCCCTCTTTGGCCATTGGTATATAAATACCGATGCCTCCCCCCGTGTATTGAAAAGTTGGATCGAATAGATTGATCTTTTCAAGTTTTATATTATCCAAAACTTACATTCAATAAAATCACATATCACAATGGCTAGTAACTTATCTTGGTTGGTCAACTTAGACACCACCTCCGTCCCTGGTCACTACTTGCGTAGATCTTCCATTATCGGTACCATTGGTCCAAAGACCAACAACCCTGAAGTATTAGTCAAGTTGAGAAAGGCCGGGTTGAACATTGTTAGAATGAACTTCTCTCATGGTTCATATGAATACCATCAATCCGTCATTGACAATGCTAGAGAATCCACCAGATTATACAAGGGTAGACCCTTGGCCATTGCATTGGATACTAAGGGTCCTGAAATCAGAACCGGTACCACTGTTGGTGAAAAGGACTACCCTATCCCCGCTGGTCACGAAATGGTTTTCACCACTGATGAAGAGTTCAAGACCAAGTGTGATGACAAGGTTATGTATCTTGACTACGAAAACATCACCAAGGTGATTGAAAAGGGTAAGATCATCTATGTTGACGATGGTGTTCTTTCCTTTGAAGTTCTTGAAGTTGCTGACTCCAAGACTCTTAAGGTCAGATCTGTTAACGCCGGTAAGGTGTGTTCTCACAAGGGTGTTAACTTGCCCGGTACTGATGTTGATTTGCCTGCCTTAAGTGAAAAGGATAAGGCCGATATTCGTTTCGGTGTTAAGAATGATGTTGACATGATTTTTGCCTCATTCATCAGAACCGGTAACGATATCAAGGAAATCAGAAAGGTTTTGGGTGAAGATGGTAAGGCCATCAAGATCATTGCTAAGATTGAAAACCAACAAGGTGTTAACAACTTTGATGACATTTTGAAGGAAACTGATGGTGTCATGGTTGCCAGAGGTGATTTGGGTATTGAAATCCCAGCTTCCCAAGTGTTTGTCGTCCAAAAGCAATTGATTGCTAAATGTAACTTGGCCGGTAAGCCAGTCATTTGTGCTACTCAAATGTTGGAATCAATGACTTACAACCCAAGACCAACCAGAGCTGAAATCTCCGATGTTGGTAACGCTATTTTGGATGGTTCTGACTGTGTCATGTTGTCTGGTGAAACTGCCAAGGGATTGTATCCTGCTGAAGCTGTTGCCATTATGCACAACACTGTGATTACTGCTGAAAAGGCTATTCCTTACTCTGCTTTGTTTAATCAAATCAGAGCCTTGATTCCTCGTCCAACCCCAACAAGTGAAACATGTGCCATGGCTGCTGTTTCTGCCTCTTATGAACAAGGTGCTGGTGCCATTGTTGTCTTGTCTACTTCTGGTGACACCGCAAGATTGGTTTCTAAATACAAGCCCCAAGTTCCAGTTTTGATGGTTACCCGTAACCAAAAGTCTGCTAGAGCTTCCCATTTGTCACGTGGTGTCTATCCATTCATCTACGAAAAGCCTGCTGTTGAAAACTGGCAAGAAGATGTTGAAAACAGATTGAGATGGGCTGTTGCTGAAGCTTTGGAATTGGGAATCATCAAGAAGGGTGATGCCATTATTTCCATCCAAGGTTGGACCAGAGGTTCTGGTCACTCTAACACTGTTAGAGTCTTGCAAGCTTAAGAGTATAGAAAGAGTGTATACATAAACATATAATCAGACATTAATTAAAAGGAATATTTAACATGAGTATTAAATGTAATGTAATGCAATGCAATGTACTTTCTTGCAGTAGTATAGATGTATTATACGACTTGTAACATTATGGTAAACACACTACTTTAGAATTTATTTTCCAGTAACGAAGCATAAATTTACCTTACGATTTGGTTGCTATTACTACTTCTTCTTCTTTAGGCCGACACCAATGAACGTCAGAAGCATATCATTGGCCTCCAGAAATGTCTGGAAGGCGAGAAACATCAGATTTTATTCCCAGTCCAACAATAAGGAGACTACCCATTTTGGATTCAAGACAGTTGATAAGGAACAAAAGGAAGACTTAGTTAAAGGAGTCTTTTCCTCCGTGGCACTGTCCTATGATGTCATGAACGATGCTATGTCAATGGGAGTCCACAGATTATGGAAGTCACATTTCATCAATCGGTTGGACGCGGGAATGCGCCCTGGTTCCGATAGACCATTGGACTTTTTGGATGTAGCTGGAGGAACAGGTGATATTGCCTTTGGGTTATTGGATCATGCTGAAGCCAAGTTTGGAGACATCCGGTCTACCATGACTGTTGCTGATATCAACGCTGACATGCTTCGAGAAGGAGAGGTTAGATATGGTAAGACCAAATATGCCAAAGAACCCAAACAAAGAGTTGAGTTTATGGTTCAAAACGGTGAAATTATGGATAAGATTCCCGATAACTCAAAAGACGTTTATACCATTGCATTTGGTATAAGAAACTTCACCAATATTCAAGCTGGTTTGAACACTGCTTATAGAGTCTTACGTCCTGGAGGAATCTTTGCTTGTTTGGAATTCTCTCAAGTGGAAAACCCACTAGTTGATTATATTTATCAAGCTTATCTGTTTCTGATGTTACCCATGATGGGTCAATTGATTGCCAATGATAGAGATTCATATCAATACTTGGTTGAATCGATTCGGAAGTTCCCCAAGCAAGAAGAATTCAAAGGTATGATTGAAAAGGCTGGGTTCTATGTTCCTGATCAAGGTTATGAAAACTTGACTTTTGGTGTAGCTGCCATTCATATTGGTGTTAAGTTATAACTTGACTGACTTGTACATATTTAATGCTTTTAGTGCATAATCTCGTAAATCTGCAACTCGTAGAATCGATCTTTTAATGCATAACCTCACATAATCAAAGCTAATGCCTTGTGTAAGTTCTCTGTGAGATTTAGTGTAGCAACAAACTTGTTCAACTTATCATCATCAGTTTTGAATTCACCATTAGAAATTCGGAAGTTGACCTCTTGGCTGATATCCCCATAGATTTGTAATGAAATGTCATTAGAGCCCATCAAATCAATATTATCAATGAGGAAATAGATTGTATTGGACAATGGAACTTTATTCAGTAACGAATCAGACTCATCTTCAACATCTATAGTCAAAGGATCGTTAGTGGAAGCAGACCCATTATCATTTTCATAATCTCTCATAAACGCATCCAAGGCCAACGGTTCTTGTTTCTTACTAGTGAGAGCATTCAATGCCATTAATTCTTCGTCTGTAACATGAGATGACAATTTCAATGATTGCTTCAACTTAGCTTTGTATTCCGGAGAGAATTCGATTGAATTGGAATCAACAGTATCTTTATCCATGTGGATATCTTCAGTTATGCATTGCTGTTGCTTAAAGGTATCAAGAACATTTCTTAGAACAAGAGTGTTTCTAAGAATTGGTACCAAGGTGTTAAGGTCTCGAAGAGCATTCAAACGAATGGCTTTAACGAAGGGAACGTTGAGTTCAGGTAAATTAGAAATGAATTCAAATTTGTAGCCATCTACATAATTGAACTTGCCATTCAATCTAATCTCGTTTTCATCATTTGACGATTCAAGTTGGTAATCTTCGAACGCCAAATATTCGAGCAAATAAGCTGGAATTGGCACAGGATAATTGAAAACAACCCAAAGACACCAATTCTCGTTTCTTCCATTACTAGGAATGGAAACTGTTGCATTCCCGTTGTTAGCATTCGTTAAATAAGAGTCACCATCAAAGGAAAACTGGAACGTTTGATTGGAGAATTTCCATATTTCGTCCTTAAGATTAGATAAATAATTGATGTTGGTAGTATTAGAGTCTCTAACTTCAAGACAATAATTATAGCATTGACCTCTTGGAGCCAATGACTGTGGTTGTAGTTCAGTTTGACGATTGATAAACCTAAAATCTCTCCAATAATCAACAAAGATGCCCAATTCGTTTGCTGAGTTCAAAGTTGCCCTTCCAATAGAATTGATATAGCCTTTGGTGAAGAAATACACTCCAGAGTTCTCCTTTTTCTGATATTGTTGCAACTCAATGGCATAAATCAAGTAAAAAATCAACAAAATGTTATCAAAATATAAAAAAAGATCAACGTTTTCATGTGATAGAGTATCCATTAAACTCAAATGCTTTAAATTCCGGGGGAAATAACCCAATTTCTTCTCCACGAGATTATTATAAAGAATTGTTTCCAGACTACTATTCAAAAACGAAGCATCATTCTTCGCAAAATTAACATTGACAATATTGATCATCTCTTGTTCATTACCCACCAGAACGCTTTCTACTGTGCAAGTCTTATTAAAGAACTGGACCTCAATGTTCTCTCCACCAACGGAAGACTTGAATGAAGCTTCCATGCCCCCATTGCCAAACTCTGATTCTCCTTCGTTCTCTTCACTGGTGTGGTTGGCCAGGGATAGCGAGACGCTGAGGATCTTGGAGTCCTCTATGAAGTCGATGTCCAATAAGATGAGCGAACCAGCAATGGTCAATCGTTGGTAGGGGAGCTTATGGATACTGGAGTTGACAGAATGTGCATGTTTATCAATAAAGGTTTCAAGTCGAAGCAGCTGTGTGAGCTTTTGGATCATTTGGACCGAGGTGTTGTATTTGTCAGCATAGTCATAGAGCAAGGCGATACTTTGATCGATTTGATCTTTGATTTGAGTCATAGTGGGAACCAGACTATGTATAGTAGACTGGGAGTATTGAGTGCAATTGACTATGTTCTGAGTAAATCTGATCACAGGTGAAGGACAGACAGTGTTGCAGACAGTGTATATCAGACAGTGTATATCAGACAGTGTATATGAGACAGTGTATATGAGACAGTGTATATCAGACAGTGTACACTTAATTATAATTCTATTGTTCGTACTGATATTTACGCTATACATCAGTATATGTCATACCTTGTTAAATTACACAAAAAGAATTTATATATTCTAAAATTTCACCATACAAAATAGACATACCGTTATCATTATTATCACCTTACAGTATACGAACAACACCGGACATGACCGGAGTGATATCCCCAGAAGTACATGTATTACTTGGACCCGAGGTTGACCGACTCAAACGAGGTCAGCTAACCGACCCCAAGGAAATGGCATTGGCTATTGCTCATCTTCTTATGAGAGTCATCCTGACCCGATGGATTAATCCTAAGGATTTAATCGCCGTGATACGTGCCGTTGGAGTCGAGCTTGAAAAGGCACAGCCCAAGAATGTTATACCCGGAAATATTGTTCGTCGAGTTTTAGCATTAATCCGAGATGAGATTGAACCAGATACGGCTGATACGATGATGAGTCTGATGTTTAACTTATTGAGTACTGAATCCATCAAACAAGAAACCAATGAAAAGGTTATTGGGCTGAAAAGGTTAGCCAGTGATTTAAGACTGATAATCATCCAAGGTATAAGGGATTTAGTGGATGAAATCACCAATGTTCATGAAGGTATGGAGATTATGGCTGCTGATTTAATTCATGATAATGAAGTCTTATTAACTCCCACAGCTACTGATACAGTGCTTCAATTTTTAATCAAAGCAAGAACTAAAAGAAAGTTTTCAGTCTTGGTAACTGAGAATTATCCTAATAATATTCATAATGTTCATAAGTTTGTTAAAGAATTAGCTGGTAATAACATAGAAACTACATTGATACCCGACCATTCGGTTTATGCGGTCATGTCCAGAGTTGGGAAAGTAATTATGAATGCTAATGCTGTCTTTGCTAATGGTGGATGCATATCTGATTCTGGAGTTGCCAATGTTGCTGAATGTGCCAAAGAGTTTAGAACCCCAGTGTTGGCAATCTCCGGGTTATACAAATTATCTCCAAGATATCCATTCAATAGTAACAGCATGATCCAAGTAGGGAACTCAGGGAAAGTCTTGGATTATTCCAATTCAAAATTATTGGATAATGTTCAAGTTGTGACAAACCCATTGACCGACTACATCCCTCCAGAGAACATTGACATTTTAATGACAAACATTGGTGGATTTGCACCATCATTTATCTACAGAATTGTGTTGGATAACTATAAGACCGAGGATAACCATTTGGAATAGAATAGACAAACAGAACAGAATCATATTCACTATACAATTAGTAGAATCTGCTATAAAATTAGAAGTAGTTACTTAGACTAGTTAATTAGAGTAGCTACTTAGAGTGGTTACTCAGAGCACCTAGCAGAGTTACTTAGCCTCAGCTTTTCCCTTTTCCTCCTTACCCTTTCCTCCTTCTTCTTCGCCTTTGTCAGGGACAGCATCCAATAAATGGGTCACCCCATTTCCCTTGATAGAAATGTTTACGACATCGCTTTCCGCTTTGGGAATGTCGATGACTACACCATCACCATTCAAGTCTGCCTTAATATCATTGGCATTAACCCGCTTATCAAGAACCATAGACCGGCTATAGCTTGATGAATAGTATTGGTTCTTATCCTCTTTCTTTTCAGAAACCAGAATCAACAACTTGTTCTCGCTCTTAACAAAGTCCACCTTGACTTCCTTGTGCTTGATATCTGGGATAGCCAAACTGATCTTATAGTTATCAGCATCTTCCTTCATTTCAAAGTTGCTAACAGTGAACCCCTCGTCAAGAGAGGATCTCTCTTGGAAGGGAATTAACGACAGGAAACCCTCATTTCCGCTTCCAATCATTTTTCTAGGGTTACCCCGTCTGCGGCCATAGAAAGGCACAAAGAAGTCGTCATCAAAGTTATCAAAGTTATCAAAGTTATCAAAGTATCTTCTGAACATATTTGTAGTTGTAAAGCTTATTGATAGTGAACAAGATAAACTTGAATGCCCATTTCAGGGAGTCACAGTGCCTTTATATATTTTGAGTCAAGGCAAGAGTCCATAACTACGAATGGCTGCGAAATCTCTAGAACTTTCTTGTAGGGGTTGCAACATCACGAGACTCGCGACAGATATTGCCTAATTAGGCAAGAGCAACTATATGGGAAAGGTAAAAGAAGTCAATCGAATTACCGGTGCTTATTAATAGCTACTGTGTGTGAAGACTGTGTGTGAGTGTTGGATATGAGTGTTGGATATGAGTATTGTGTGTGAGTACTGTGTGTGAGTACTGTGTGTATATACTGTGTGTATGTATTGTGTGTATGTACTGAGTATATGTAGCGTGATCATGAGTGGATATATGTGGCATCTATTTTGTGAAGACTAGGACCCAAATTCAATCTTAATTTACGTCGATAGGCAGTTGGATTCTGGGTTTGAATGGGATTGTGTTCAAAATAAACCGTATCTAATTCAGGTAGTTTACCCAACTCCCTATTGATCTCGTCAAAAGACAGGATACTGTTGTAGGAGCACCAGAAATCAGTTAACTGAGTCAAATGTGAAAGATTCTCCAATTTGGAGATCTTATTGGCCGTAACATCAATAACTGTAAGTTTAGTGTTATTCTCTAACCCTTCTAGTTTAGATATTCCGTTGTGAGAAAGGTAAAGTTCTTCCAAATTGACCAATTTCTCTAATCCTTCAATCTTTGTAAGTCTGTTGGATTGAATAGAAAGCACCCTCAAGTTAACAAGGTTATCAAGATTCTGTAACTTGGAAATTCTATTCTTTCCAAGCCATAGTTGAGTTAAACTTGATAAAGAAAGCATAGTTTCACTAATAGTCTCGATTTTGTTACCACCCAATTCCAAATTCTTTAGCTTAACCAACAGCTCCAAGTTTCGAATATGCTTTATCTTATTCTGAACAAAATAGAGATTCTCTAATTTGGTAAGATTGGAAATGTTCTTGATATTCTTAATCTTATTGAAGGAAAGATCTAAATTCGACAAGTTGACAAACTCGTTAAGTGCACTAGAAATATGATTGATCCGATTATCATAAAGATCCAATTCTTCGAGTTTCCCGGGTTCAAGAGCTCGAATCCCCAGCATCAGAGTTAAAAGATTCTGTCTTAAGCAAAGACTTTCCAATTGCTTAAATCTCCCCAAATCTAAGTCCTCCATCAGATGGATCTTCAAGTGGATCAAGTCAATGTAGTCGGTATCAGTTTTTATATCCTTTGTAAGATCAACATCGGCATCAATTGTTTCAGGATGATCATCGGGAATAATTGTTCCGGGATATTCCACTGGTAAAGGTTGATTTGCCTCGTCTTCCTCGTCCTCTTCTTCTTCATCATCTTCTTCATCTTCAGTGTGAGAGAGAGCCTCCTCATGAGCATCATGAGCATCACCCGACTTTATTACAGGTGGGTCTTCGGAGTTAACAGCAGTTGTCGCTTCAATAGGTTTGGGCATGTCGTCTTTACAATGACGAACCTAAGTATACACTTTATACTATTTGTCACCCCAGAATTATAATATTGGGAAACCAAGTTAACGTTACGTAAGCAATTACATAACATCAACCAGACAAACTATTGCGTTAACATATGCTGTCATATTATTACGTAAGAAACAACATATGATGTCACAGGTCGCGATTCTTGTCCCTGCCTGTGTTTCAGGTCATTCAATGAAGAACTATTGTACGGTATTTGTTCCCATTTAGATAGCACCTCCTCGTCTATACGACCACTGTCATACTAACAGTTATTCTGACTAGCGACTACACTTGGCCAGGGCGGTATATGAAGACCACACGGCTTGCCTCACAGATCAAGTAAATCTTGTTACACAAAAAGACGTCTTGTTTTCTTTCACCATTCCGTCACTCAGTCTCATCGTCCTAGTAATAAAATATATACTTGAAACACGCTGCTTTTATTTGCCGTTCTATTGGTAAAGTAGACCTGTCATATATTTGGGAACTTAAGGTGGTCCCGAATAAACGCTAGCAATTCAACCCGGGGACTGCTTATTAGAGTTTATACTAAGGATACACTTTTAAATACTAAGCAGTACAGTTAGGACCGGATCATCTTTTTCTTTTCTGGATTAAAAAAAGTACGACAGCAGAACATGTCAACTACTACTGCAAACACATCCACTGAAAAGGTGTTATCCTCTCTCGTGGTTAACGTTGTCATCTTTGGTATATTTGTGGGGGCATTTCTTTTGTTAAGAATCAAGTTCAAGAGAATCTACTCTCCAAAATCTTCTTATGATTTGGTACCAGAAGATAAGAAGCCTGAAGCATTGCCATCGGATCCCTTCCGGTGGATATTTATTCTTCTACGTAAGCCTTCGTCCTTCATTATCCAACAGGCCGGTCTAGATGGGTACTTTTTCCTTCGATACTTATTTGTGTTTGGATTGGTGTTCCTCTTTGGGATCTTGATGTTCACAGTGCTCTTACCTATTAATGCAGTTGGAGGAGCAGGAGGTGAAGGCTTTGACCAATTTTCCATCTCCAATGTGACCAATAGGAAAAGATACTATGCACATGCTGTAATGTCTTGGTTATTCTACGGCATTGTTGTGTTTGTGATCTTTAGAGAGTTATACTTTTACAATTCCTTAAGAGCTGCCACTATTGCTTCCCCTAAATATGCTAGAAAGCTTTCATCTCGGACTTTGCTTTTCCAGTGTGTTCCAGACTCATTGCTTGATAACAAACAAGCATTCAAGTTGTTCTATGGGGTGAAAAGAGTGTACGTGCCTCGTATGGATAGGAAGTTGAGTTCCAAGGTCAATGAACGAAAGAATATGTTCAACATGCTTGAAGGTGCAGAAAACAAGTTAATTACCATGGCCGTCAAAAAACATGCCAAGTTGGCGAAGAAAAATAAGTTGGATACAATCACCGATCAGGCTAATATCAACTCTTATGTTCCAGAGAAGAAGAGACCTCATTTCAAACCAGAAGGTTTCTTCTCCCGGCGGAAAGTCGATACCATTGATTATTGTAAGAAGGAATTGCAAATCTTGGATGCCGAGGTAAAGAAACTTCAAAAGACTTTCAGAAAGAATCCACCCAGAAACTCCATGTTTGTTGAATTTGAAAACCAATACTATTGTCAACTTGCTTATCAAACCACCAGTTACCATTCACCAATGAAAATGTCTAGCAAGTTCACAGGCATGGAACCTGGCGATATCAAATGGACAAATACTCGTTTGTTCTGGTGGGAATGGATTGTAAGACGGTTTATAGCCATTGCTGCAGCTACAGTTCTTATTTTACTTTGGGCTGTTCCAGTGGCCTTTGTGGGTACCATCTCTAACTTAACTTATTTAACTAATAAGATTCATTGGTTAAGATGGCTATTAAAGCTTCCTAAGCCCATATTGGGTGCTATCACTGGTTATTTACCAACCATCATGTTGGCTATTTTAATGGCATTGTTACCTTTGTTTATTCGTGCAATGGCTGTGGTTGCGGGTTGTCCCACCAACCAATCAGTTGAAAAATGGACTCAATCTGTTTACTTTGCATTCTTGATCATTAATGGGTTCCTTATTACTACCATCTCATCTTCAGCTACTTCTACAATCACTCAAATTGCTTCTAAGCCTGAAGATGCTTTAAGTATTCTTGCAAATGGGTTACCCAAGTCATCTAACTTCTATGTGGCCTATTTAATGCTTCAAGGGTTGTCAATTGCTGGTGCAGCTCTCTTTCAAATTGTCGGTTTTTTCCTTTACTATATTTTTGGCTTCTTCTTTGATTCAACCGTAAGAAAGAAGTGGGAAAGATTCTCCGGATTAAGTGCCATGGCTTGGGGAACAACCTTCCCGCTTTATACCACATTAGTGTGTATTACCTTGGCTTATTCCATCATATCACCATTGATTCTTTTATTTGCAACAGCGTCTTTCTTCTTGCTTTACATTGCTTATGCTTATAACTTGACTTATGTTTTCACAGAGGTTACAGACAGCAGAGGGGCTCATTATCCAACAGCACTCTTCCAAACGTTTACTGGTTTGTATTTGGGCCAAATTTGCCTTTTGGGTTTATTTGCTGTAGGGAAAGGTTGGGGTCCTATTGCAATGCAACTTATAGGCATTGGTTTTACAGTTTTTGCTCACGTTCATTTGCAAGAAGCATTTTCTCATTTACTTAAGGTTGTTCCTATTGATTGTATGATGCCATTGGACGGTGTCAGTGAAACACCCTCTTATAAGGGAACTTTGGAATATGAAGGAAAGGTTTTACGTAAACGTCATAATCATAAGTATCATAAGGAAAACTCTGAAAGTGAACATGAACAGAAACATAAAAATGAAAATGAACATGAACATGAAAATGAAAACGACAATGAAACTAACTCTGACGGTGATTTAGAGAAGGCTACAAATACAGTTATTACATGTGTACCTCTTTTGGCAGAAAAGGACTTCAAGGAGTCATCTTCCAGAAACTATTTGATTAGATTTCTTCGTCCTGATGTTTATTTGAACTTCAAAGAATCAAGGAAGATCCTTCCTGCTTCTTACTTTATTGATGATGGTGGTGAGGATGCAGCGGATGATGTTCATGCCTATGATTTACCACATGTGGGGGATGATATGGATATAATGTGGCTTCCTAAGGATCCTTATGGATTTTCAGACATGGAAATTGAGAATATGCCTTCTGTTATTCGTGCTAGTAATGAGAATGCTGGGTTTGCATCGAGTAATTCACCCATTTATTTTGGTGAACCACCAACAGAGCCCTTGAATGTGAAGTGAGTGGGTTTAGTATATAGATTCTATGATTTCTGAGGGGATCATAATGTTAATTAATAATAAAAGTGTGATATAAAGAGTATAACTAATAGCGAGTACTATTACCCGAAATGTCTACCCTCGGATTAGGTTATATTTCCGACAAATTACCGGAAAGTTTCGACTACCCTCGGAACAAGCTAAAGGTGGGGACAAAGTTTTTGCCGAGGTAATGATGCTTGAATAGCCGTTGGTATTTGCTACACCGTATCAACTCATAAATATCCACCAGTATTCCTTTGAAATGTTCCGTGCAAAGTTTCCTTTGGTCAGAGCTTATCGAATCATGAAGTCCGAAAACTACCACGGTTTTTCTAGAACCTTCCAAGCACGTCTTCAACTTACTCAAAGACATCTACTGGCATCACCACTGCCAAAACCAAAGTCCTATAGCACCGTGAAACAAGGTACGAAGTTCACACAAGACTTTAAAACGTACGCTATAGAGAATGATTCGGGTAAAGTAGTCTCCTTCTTCCACGACATCCCCTTACAGTTTGACCCTGCTACCCGGACAGCCAACATGGTGGTGGAAGTACCTCGATGGTCCAACGCTAAGTTTGAAATATCAACGTCTCAACCAGGCAACCCTATAGTCCAGGACGTGAAGAAGGGATCAGTCAGGTTTGTAAAGAACCTTTTCCCTTTTAAAGGGTACATTCATAACTACGGGGCATTCCCCCAAACGTGGGAAGACCCCACGACGACCCATGGAGATCTTTCGGTCGTGGGGGATAATGATCCTTTAGATGTATGCGAGATCGGTCTGCGAGTGTTACAAACCGGTGACGTCAAAAGAGTCAAGGTGTTAGGGTCTCTAGCCATGATAGACGATGGAGAATTGGATTGGAAGATAATAGCTATAGACATTGAAGATGAATTGGCGGGTCAATTGAAGGATATTCCTGATGTGGAGAAACATTGTCCTGGGCTCTTGAGCTCCACTAGAAGATGGTTCAGGGACTATAAGCTTCCAGATGGCAAACCTCCCAATGTATTTGCTCACGATGGGATCTTTCTTTCACTGGAAAAGACAGTACAAATCATACAACAATGTAGCAATAGCTGGAAACGGTTAATTGCGGGTGAGGTAACCTCTGCAAAGAGCTTACCTGCTACTGAAAATGTTTCTAACAGTGGTTCACCCAAGTTGATACAATCTTTTGATTTAGTAGCCAATGACTATAAGGGTGAAGGCCCCATTCCGCCGGAGATAGATAAGAGTTATTATTATTTATAGAGATACGAAGGCTACATTGATACTAATACAGTTTTGTAGCCATGAACAGGAATGAACTGTTGTAGTACTGAACGGCTGTAGAACATATTTTTCTGACATCTCTTTTTTTCTCACATACTTCCTGTTTAGGAAGTCTACATTCATCTCAGTGAAAAAACTGTAAACAACATCAACACTGCAACTACCTATTACCCACAACTCATTCTTTACTCCATCTAATGCCGTCTGCAGTAGCCAAATACAGTGACAAGACATTGGACTTGCGTCAATTGCAGCCCACGCATTTGGTGACATTTGATGTCGTTTTAAGAGCGGTGACTTTTGAGTCGCCAGAGTCGGTGATACTCAACTCATTAGACCCATTCCTCTTACAATGTCGGGACTTGTTGGTTAACCCTGATCCCTTTTCAGCAGCATCAGACAAGTCTGAACCAACAAGCAAGGGAACCAAAGATATTGTGATACGTAACATTTTGTACAGTGGAATCACCGATACCCAAATTGAAGATGCCAATAAGCTAGCCACAATGTTTAGTCTTGATCCCATGGAGACATTGAGAATAGTTGTTCAAACATGTGAACGGATCCCCAGCAAACACGATCCTCAAGTTAAGAAGTTGAAGTCCAAACTTCCTGATGACCGACAAAGATGTCTACGGGAAGAGAGACTCTATATATATGCCAAGATGATCTTTCAAGAGAGACGAACAGTGATTCAGTTGGTCATGGAAATGTTGAACAACAAGAATAACCTGGACACCACGTCCACCGTCCGAAACTTGGGAAGAGTATTATATTCATCAGTAGATTACATGACCAAGATCATGGACAAATTGAATGACACTTTCCAACTGTTGATGGTGGGTGATTTCGAACCCATGGATACCCTTCAAGAGTTTGCCACTTCAGAATATGATTTTGAAGGTCTTTACTACAAGGAGAAGCTACTTTATACTGTTGACTTGCTTCGGACACTAGTTGAACTTTTGTTCAGAAACCCAGAGCTTAATAATGAAGTTGTCGTGAAATGGCTCAACTTGATGGCATTGACTTCGTTTATGTCTGAGGTCAATTCTCATTTGGATCTCCATGAAACGTTCACAATAATGCGTTCCTTATCAACATTAATAACTATCCTTGTTCTTGATGTTGAAAATGATGATCCTTGCTATGGTAGTGATTCGACAACTTTTTCACAAATCAATAAAATTATTATTGATACTTCAAACACCAATGCTATTTCATTATATTGTTGGTCTTTGATCTTATTGCGGAAATATTATAATGTGAAGGTCCCCAACGAGTCGTCATTCATATTAACTGAAACAGAGCTTGCAATGCATATCAACGACTTGAACGCAAGATGCATCTCCTTGAACATATTCAAGAGTTTCAACGACTTGGTGGGAATACTAAAAAATGAGTTCATCTACACAGCTATCATATCAAGTGTATTGTATGCTGCTTTACCCGTGATCCCAATATCAAATGAAACGGTTTCCTTGATTGTTCATGTATTAAAATATTGTCATAATGTTGTTGTCGAGAGATTCTTCAATAATCCTGATTTTGAGAAGTTTTTAGTGGTTGCAAGAACCAAATTCCCCATGGCATTATCTCCTTGGCTTAAACTTGCAAGTATTAATGGACAATTTGCATTACATGAATTCGATGAATTGAAATCACTCATGACAAATATGAAACTGTCGGATATAAGTGCTATTTATAATATTGACAATGAAAACAGTGAATTGGTGACTGTTAATAAAGTTGTGGATATTTATCCGCCCTTTGAAACCAATAAAAAGCTTTCATTGATGATAAATGCCAATACAAAGGCTAAACTTTTACCCTCATCTACAGATGAAGATGAAGAGTTGGTGACTTTCTTACATAAATATGATGGTTGGACATTTGTGGGTAGAATATTAGAAAACTTAAGCAAATGCTTTGATGCTACAGACTTGGAAAAGTCAGAGGCCACACGTGATATTATCAATTTGTTCCAAAGTGTTTTGGTTAATAGCACTATTTCCGAGGGACGTTCAGTAATAGAAAGAGCTTCAGCATATACAGATAATTCTGATATCATTGATATTATCTTTAGAATATTTGAACAAAGTTTGCATGCTCGATCAATTCAAATATTGGTAGGAATATTCTCCTTGTTGTCAGCATTATTGCCTATAATGTCAGACAGAGTGTTCCCATATTTATACAAATCGTCATTGTTTTCCCATAATGATAAGGAAGGAATGGCCTCCAACATATTTGCAGCAATTGAATTAGTCAATGGAGACTATCCTTTCTCCGAAGAGTTGATTTCATTCACAAAGAATTTGATTATCCATACATTTAAAATCGGAGATTCCTTGTCGAAAATGAAAAGTACTGTTATAAAAGTTTTTATTGAGCATCTCCTTGCCTTATTTGAAGGGTTTGTTCATTGCCGATTCTTGTATGTAAATCAAATGATGCGTATGGGTTCCAAAATATTGGATATTTTTGCTATCTTGGTAACTTCAGTCCACGGAATTGATAAGAGAGTTAACTCCTACGTGAGCGATATCTTTAGTGATTCCGTTCAAAGAATAGTGGAATCATTTTTAGTATTCTCTAATGATTATTCAAGAACTGCAGTACCTTTATTAAAGGTAATTGAATCATTACCTACAGAATACATTGAATATAAATTGAATGATATTTCTGATCTTCATGATGAATGGATAGCAATTTCCTTGAGGTTTTCATCATTGATTATTGACATCAGAAGTTTGAATGATTTACCACCTTCAGTATTTGAGAAACAATTGTTCACCAAGTCATCATTGCTAGTGAGTGCATACGCTCAATACGAAAACATAAGATACCCTATACTTCAACTTATTTCATCAATGGTTTCTTCCAAATGGCCAGAGGAAAATACTCCATCATTACTTTCGTATTTGGGAGCAGATCATGCTCGAATCTTGCATTATTCCATTGCAGCAGATTTAATGGATTCATTTGTTGGTTCTCAGTTAAAATTAGGGATTTTTGACTTCATTTGTGCTGTGTTAAAGGGGAAGCAGGAAGGATTAACGGTATTATTTATGAGCAACAAGGATATTTTTGAAAGCTTAGAGTCGTCAAAGAATGATGCATCAACTTCCACTTCTGCTTGTGCTTCACATTCTTTACTTGAGTTGATGAAGAAAAATATAACGGAAATGGAATTCAACTCCAATGTGGTAAACTTTCATTTTGCTGATGCTTTATCTCTTGCATTGAATACCTGGACATCAATTTCGGAAATTGATAACGATACCAACACGGTGGAGGCATTGATTAACAGACTCCAATTGGTTTCCAATATTGATCTTCATAGTTCTAAAGATTATGTTGAAAATTGTTACCGGTTGAAATTAGGTTCTAAATTGGCCAATATCCTAGCGCTTGTGTTATTTTCAACCCAAAACGAAGCTTGTAGGAGTTTATTGTCAAAAGTTCTTACGTCTCCCGAGTTTATCAAGCTTTTGCATACCCGTTTTGAGATTGTTGACATTGGCTCAAGAGTCCAACCTGAAGTTGAAGCTGAATTTCAAACTGCATTCCCTGGGTTCAGCTTGGATCAATTTGTTAATGTGTTTCAATTGCGAAATAGGTTCTCAATGGATTCTGTTTATGATTTGCGTCTCATGGACAGAATGTTCGAAGATAAAGAAGGCTGGAAACATATCAGAGAGAAGGTAGTCGCAGCCAGTGTTGATTGGCAATTGATAGATGCTCAAGTAGCATCTACAAAATCGTTTGGTGCACTTTTAACAGCATTCTGCAGAGTCAAGACTGATAATCTTGATACTCAGTTTTTGAATACTGCAACATACTTGTTGAAATTGAATGTCATTGAAGAATCTCTTTCAGCTCCAGTGTATGAAGAACGGAATGAATTAGCATTTTTCATATGTTACTCAATTTTCAATGGGAAAACTGGTGATAATTGTGTCAATGAAGCCTTTAAGATCCTTGAAGTATGTTCAGACCTTTTGTCATCCACCAATATGAACTTCCTTGATGGAATTACTTCCAGCAATGGAACATATAGACCCATATTAAGAATCCTTTACTTCTCATTGAATGTGATCAAGAACCATCCCTCTGCATTAGTGGAGAAGTTTAGTGTGTTGAAGAATGTTTTTGAACTCGCTATAACCAAGGCTGCGCGAGCTATATTGGTGGAATTACAGAATGAAGCTTATCTTTTCAAGTCTAAGAAAGATCATAAGTTCAAAAATATGGATAAGAAGCTTGATGATTTGCAATTGATATTGAGTATTTTAAAGATCTTCATGGGCATTAATTTACCTGAAAGCTCTCATATGGATATTGCCAATGCCATAGAGTCAAACGATACTGTTGCGTCATTACTATCACTTTATTCATTTTCAAATCTAATTGAGGTCAATGAAGAACACATTTTTGCTCAAGTATCTTTAATGTTCATCCAAGAGTTTATGACCATTGATATCATAGCACGTAAGTTTGTTGCTAGTGGATTATACTATGTTTTAGCCGAAAGTCCCATATCTTCCTTCATTAAAGAAGGTGGGTTGAGTGTTTCACATTTACCGGAATATCATAAGCTTTGGTTGAATGGACTATTACCTATTTTCTTGACTACTCTCAATCAACTTGGACCAGAAAGTATACCTGAAGTATGTTTGGGTATCCGCATATTCTATAAGCAGGTGGTGACATGCATTGAGGCCTGGTTCCGAGATTCTTCTTCATTCACTTTGAGTACGGCTTTTGTGGCTGAAACTACGTTGATCTTACTCCTCAACAAAACACTACTGACATTTACTACCACTGAGGGGCTCATCTTGCCATCTACGGTGGTTGAACTTGGAGATGTGATTCCAGTATTGAATACTTATGAAAAACAGAATGACTTTGCAGATGCCATCAATAACCTTTTGAAACATCCCAAGTTCTTGAGACTGAGAGTTGTTCCTAGTACCATCGAAGAGAAGAAGTTGATAGCCAATAAGGATGGAGCATTTGCTGCTTTTGCTGAACGGTTATTAGCAGATGTCCGTGAACTTAAAGACTATTTGGGATGAGATGAGATGACATGAGATGACATGAGCAGTACTGAATGGTAGATACTGCGATGTACTGTAACGTACTGATATATACTGTATCATACTATGATATACACAGATGTACGCCATAATAATCATACTAACGATTCTATAATTCGTAATATCGTATGTAATAACGTCTACAACTTATGTATTGGTTAATACACGACCAATATTTTGCAACTTATACCCCAGATCAGATCTACATACATAAATACTTAGACACTCTTCTCCTTTAAGGATGGCGTTTAATACGTTCTCTGGTGCACTACGAGAGTTCCCCGCTGTTGGTATTGACAGGTTCAATATTGGATGTGAAGTGTACGTTCTCACACACGCCCACAGTGACCATTTGGTGGGTTTAGACCGCGTCTCATTCAACTCCATAGTCTACTGTACGGAGATCACCAAGAGACTTGTCAGTTGTGATGTTCGGTATCGACAGAAGGCGCATTTGCTTCGTCCCTTGACGTGTAATGTGACACATCACATTCAACTAGAAGATGGTACAGTTGACATGGTATTGGTTCCCTCGTATCATTGTCCTGGGTCGGCCATGGTGTTGGTGTATGATGATAGACAAGCGATCTTGTTTACTGGCGATATTAAATGTGAGTCGTGGTGGATCGAGCTGAGTATCCGGAACAACTCGGAACTCTACGGGTTCTTAGCTGGTAACAGAAGGACTCTAGATTGTATATATATAGACTCTACATTTGGCTATAGAGGCGAGCCATACATTGAGATGCCCTATAACGATGTGGGGATCCGTGGAGCTATACTGTTGCTTCAGATGTACCCCAAAGACGATGCGGAGATAAGTTTCTGTCTCCGAGACACCATCTTGGGGTTCGAGGAGTGTTGGGCCAAGATACAGCAAGGGTTGGACGGAGTTAAGCTAGATATTCCACTGATACTTCTCAGTCGTTTGAAACGGTCAGATTCGTTAGCTGATCCCATTTATGGTGGTTGGATCCGGTCAACATTGAATGGGGACTATGGGGGTTCCTGGAGCCTTAAAGTGGGGTATAATAATGACAGACAATCTGTGTCCAAGTTTAATGTTATGCTACAACAGTGCATTGACTTCAACCTTCCAGATCTAGTAGCTAACTTTTGGCCTATTGACTACAACACATTGGTGGAAGATCCAGATCTCAAATTGAACGACACAACTTCGAAGGGTAATCAGATATTCGAATACAGAGGTCGAAGTTTTTTAAAGCCTAAGGGTCGTTCTGTCTTACTTCCGTCTAGCATCAAGATTGTCTTTTCAAGACATTCTTCTTACTCGGAGATTAAAGACCTTATTGATTGTTTCAACCCTAAACAAGTGTACCCGTGTCTGTATCTGAAGCAGACATGGAAGAATGGGTTTTCTATGAAGAGATTGTTTCTGAAGTGCTGCAGTGGTTCGGCGTTTGTATTTGACGATGAAATGCGTGCGTTATATGGCCCACTCCATAGTGTCGACAGAGAAGTTGTGACTATCAACAGATGGGATTTCAGTCATTGTCAATCAGAAGTTAAGTTTATACTTAATGCTACTACTGGCAATAACTTCAAGCCGTATGATTTCATTGGTCAGAAATCATACAATGCTTCCGGCAAAGATTCAAAGCTGTTCCCTGAAGCAGTCAATCTAGAGAAGTTGATCTCGGGAAGAAATGAAGAACGATACAAAAAGTGGATAAACGAACAGCAAGTTAACTACAGAGGAATTCAAACGAATGAAAATGGAATTAGGAGTATTCTAAACTATGAAAACAAAAGCCACAGTAATTCCCTGACCCAAGAAGAAGCAAGTACCGGGTGTGAAGGATCTGCTTCTGGTAATACCAAAGGCTCCATTACAGATGAAACCCATGACTTGAAGAGAAGAGCACCAACGATAAACAAAGACAAACGTCCTAAACTAATTCGAAAACACTCATGTCGAGGTAAGCAGTGGGGAGTGTCAAACAACGATCCACTACGATCTAGCTTTAGCTCCTTTGAGACTTCGTTTGCTCCACACCTGAGATTCTCCATCGTCGACAAGAAACTGATCAAAAGATCATATAATTCCTTATCTGAAGATCGAAAGAAGTGGTTCAAAATGCTGTTGACCTCTGTATGGTTGTCGCAAAGCTTTCAGGGTTGTACTAACGCATGAGCAGGATCAAAAAAATTAATAATATAAAGCAGGCAATTGTCTGATAAATGCATATATGAGTGAACAGTGTCTGACTAATTCAAATAATGACTGAACTGTCTGACTAATTCTCCTTCCATCTATGAGCACATTTAACACACTTGTAAAACGTCGTCATAGGCTCATCAGCAGATCTGATCTGCAATTGGAAGAAATAGGCCTTATCACTACCACAAGAATCAATAGGACATTGAGCTTGGGTCTGGTCAACATTCTCCCAAGCAGCTTCTCCTCCAAGAACATCATCTACTTCCTTTCTGGTAAGCTTCTTCCGGTCATACATTTGGAACCCATTGATCTTGAATTCATATGGACATGTGGGACAGTAGAACCGATTGCAACCGTCATCAGCCTCCGATACAAGCAACATATTGTTGCAATAAGGACAGAACGTTAACATCGGAGCAAAGATCAATGATTACTACTATAGCTGGGCCAGTCTACTTCGGTTAATTGTGACGTTAAACCCAGCGATGAGGTTTATACCATGGGGTTTATGTGCCGGATCCTGAATCCGATATATAGCACGATTTGCGTTATATGCCGTACGCGAATTTTGGGGTTTCTCCAGATCTATACAGAAGTTTTATACTGAAAAAGAGAAGCCTATATTGGAGAGGGTATTTACAGTTGTTTGTTGATGATGTTGTATCCCGATGAGGGGAGTGTTCCAAGTACACCTCGGAAAGCCATTCCCGATACGTTTGCATCTCCGCAACTGAAATCACCTGCAAAAAGAGGACTAATTGGTATCAGTCCCCTCAGAAGAACGTTACTGCCGACAAAGACTCCCAATGGCCGAGCCGGGTCGTTATCACCAGCACGACGGAGTTTGGCTGATCAATCTGCTCAGAAGAAAGCGGTTCTTTCCGGCTCATTCTACGACAGATTGAAGGCTGCACTGAATGAGAACGAAGACTATTTGGATCGGCAGGTAAAAGAACAGGAAATGAAATTTGCTGATATTGTTGCTGGTAGAAATAGGGGAAGTGGTACGTGGCCCGAAGTGAACTATGAGGAGGATGTGTCTTTGGATACGCCTAGGACTCGGAGACGAAGACGGAAAGTTGTTGTAGAACGTACTCAATTGAGTTCCAGCGAAGATGATGTAGGAGGCGATGCTTTTGAGGATAGTGACGATGAGTATATGCCCAAGAGGGCACGGAAACAGGGCAATAAGGTTATGAATAATGATGAAGATGAAGATGATTTTGAGGAGGACGACTTGGAAGTAGAAGATGACGATAACAATTTAGTTGACGAAGTCTCTTCATTAAAAGAAGAGATTCTACATAAGAAGCGTGGAAGAAAACCAAAGAAGAAGGCAGTTACCGAAATTGGGTCTCCATTCCGTAGTAAGGGCGGACCTCAAGATGATTCACCTAAGAAAATGGGTCGCCCTCCCAAATCTGAAATTATTGCCCTGAAGATTGAAAGTATATTCTATGACCCCAAGACACAACGACCCAGCAACACTATTCATTCAGTTGATATCAATTCTCTTCTTGGTAGTCTTTACGAGACAGGAATCCCAACTATCAGTGGTATCAAACGAGACGTAAGCGATGAGTTTGACACTCGACAGAAAAGCTTTGTGCCTATGCCTTTACCAAAAGTGGATTCAGAGGGCAATATCATAGATCAAGAGTACCTTGATAAGTATTTCTCCAATAGACCAGTGAATTCTCAACTGGCAGAGAAGATAGGTGATGAAAAGGCCTTTTATATGGATGGCTCCGAGGGGTACTTTGAACAACACAGTATCAGAGTCCGGCCCAGTTCCAATTCAATATCTCAGCTTGCTCCAGACATTGATTACGATGAGTTTTCTGCATTAGTGGCGGAGAGTAATAAGATAGCAAAGAACGAGAAGCTAGCACTTGGGTTTGCTAGGAAATCTTTATACAACCAATGGTGTTTTGAGTTAGAACAAGGGTTCAATATCAATTTTTATGGGGTGGGATCGAAAATGAACACCATTATGGATTTTGTTACTGGCCATCTTTTAGATAAGGTTGAACAGATTTATGATGGTTCAGAAGCTCCAAGAGTTCTTGTGGTGAACGGATTTAATCCCACTTTAAAATTGAAGAAGGTGGTTCAAGATATTCTTTCATGCTTTGTACCCAAGGATTCCAGTGAAAAATACCCTAAACATATTTCCGATACTGTGAGTTACTTGATTGGGTGTGTCACCAAGCAAAGAAAGACCACCAATCCCACCACAACCAATAACCAGCCGAAACTAATATTGGTGATCCACAATGTGGATGGTGAACGACTTCGAGACGACAAATCCCAGGACTTACTATCACAAGTATGTGCAATACCCGAAATATGGACCATTACATCTACAGACAATATCAATGTGTCTGTGTTATGGGATCTTTATAAGACCAAGAATTTTAATTTCATTTGGCATGACTTGACGACATTTGAACCTTACATCAACGAGATGTCGTTTAAAGATGTGTTGAGCATGGGTAGATCTAAGAAGTTTGTGGGTAACAAGGGTGCCAAATTTGTGTTGAGTTCTTTGACTGATAACCAGAGAGATGTGTATCGTATTATGCTTCGACATCAAATTGAAAAGATCTTGGTGGGGACCAATAAGCAAGCACGGAACGGTTTAAGAGGAAGTATCAAGTTTGGAATTCCTTTCAAAGTGTTGTACGATTCGTGTGTTGAAGACTTTGTTGTATCGAATGAAGTCAATCTTCGGTCCATGGTTGGTGAATTTGTTGAACATAAAATGGCTAAACTTACTAAAGATGAAACAGGAACAGAGATTGTATTTATACCATTTAATTTCGATGAGATGGAAAGAGTTTTACAAGCTGAGTTCAACGAATCAATAGGTAAAGAAGATTTATAGATAAAGGACTAAAATAGTGCAGTAGCACTTCAAAGCTTATATAAGTATTGTATCACGTGTGATGGATCACGTGCCTCTGAGCTACCATAAAATGCGGCTCAGCTTTTACTTAAGTTCCAGCCAAGGGGCAACATGTACCCTCTATTTATGCCATCTCCAACTACCAAATCCCCAATTGACGTCAACTATGAGTAAGGTGCCTATGTTGACCGAAGGATCGATGTTGGCGGTGGGGCGCCACAAGATTCAGATTGCCAATTATCTTTCTGAGGGAGGGTTCTCGAAGATCTATAAGGTAAAAGTTGATCCTCCAATTGATAATCAAATAGCCGAAGCATGTCTCAAACAAGTAGTTGTACCCGACAAGAATGCCCTTGAAGTTTTACGGAAGGAAGTGGAGGTGATGAAGACGTTGAAGGGGTGTCGGAACATTGTCAACTTGTTTGACTCTAATGCTGAGAGACAAGAATATGGAGGGGGGTATCAAGTGTTGATGCTTATGGAGTTGTGTCCCAATGGGTCGTTATTGGACTATATGAATGCCAACATTGAGACAAAGCTACAGGAGAAGGAGATCCTAAAGATAATGATGGACATCTCTGTGGCAGTGTATGAATTGCACAAGAAGGACTTAGTTCATCGGGATATTAAAGTGGAAAACGTGCTTATAGACCACCAGAAACGGTTTAAACTATGTGACTTCGGATCAACCCTGTCATACAAAATGCCTCCGAAGAACCTGGAAGAGTTCCGGACTTTAAGTCATGATATCTTATACCATACAACGCAGCAGTACCGAGCTCCGGAAATGATTGACTTGTATCGACAGCTTCCCATAGACGATAAGGCTGACATCTGGGCTTTAGGGTGTTTTCTTTATAAGCTTTGTTATTATATCACTCCCTTTGAAGCTACGGGTGATTTGTCGGTGTTGCATGCTTCGTTCCAGTTCTACAACACTCCAGTGTTCTCCAGTGACTTGAAGAATTTGATCATCATTATGCTCCAGGAGAACCCTGTTTACCGACCAAACATTGTCCAGGTGATCATCTTGTTGGCAGGAATGCTTGGAGTAGAGTTCCCTTCGTTGTATGTCCAAGACTTTTATAATAACGGACCATACAACTTCCACAGTCTACATGAATACCAAGTGTTGAAACAGAAGGAATTGGTTCACCAACAGCAGTTGTACATCCAACAGAATGCCAGGAAAACCAATAAAAGAATCATAGACCCCACCCAGTTTCAGCAATTCCAACTGCAACAACCTCAACAAGTTCCCGACCACTTGAATGCTCACAGCACGTTACCTCATCAAGATGCAATGGTACCCAACTCAAGTATTCCGGAGAAGCTCCAGAAACAATTACATCAACAAGTTCAAATACAATCGACTCCTGTTCCTCTGAAATTGTCGAACCAAATAGCAACTCTGCTGCTGAACCCAACTACGACCACGACTGAAGTTGATTCGAAGGCACTGAATAATGATAATAAACCTAATACCACCACTACTTCTCCTATTGTCGTAACTAATGGTGATGTTGACTCAGACTTGGATGACCTTACAAACATAGACAATGTGGAAGAACGGTTCCCACTGCTTGATTATTTCAAAGTAGATGCTGGTGCTGGTGGTGGTGCTGGGGGGGATCAACCAGCTGATATTTTTACCAATGGTGCTGTTTCCTCTGATAAGGGTATCTCCTCTGAGGTTAGTACAGATACCCCGGTTAAGACCGATAAGAGTGCTGTAGTAGGCAATGTTGAGTCCGGGAATCCAGTTATTGTACAACCTTCTGCAAAACTCACTGCCCAAAATTTGGCAAAAAATCGTCCTGATTTCACAAGTAGTAATTCGGTTAACAAGAACACTTCTTTGATTGTGGACGATATTTTTAACACTGGGTCTCCACTGTTAAAGCCTCAGCCACAGAAAACCAATCAAAGTGTCAAATCAGATAGTTCTAAATTGCTGAGATGGAGTACTTCTGGTGAAGAACTGAATGTCAACGATGAGAATACTACCATTAGAAATAATGAAACATTAAAGATTACTACGGAGTTCCTGGACCCTAATTGGAAAGTTATTGGCATTAAGTCAACATCATCTACAACCAATGAAGGTGCAGCAAAGAAGTTGTCACCCGAGAAAGATATATTACTGCCTAAAGATGCAAATCCATGGGGTTTGTATCGTTCTACTGGAGGTAGTAGTACTAATACTGCTGCTGCTGCTCAACGGCCTCTACCAGTTCCCGCCAAGCATGAAGGTCTACTTCCTGAGCATTTTAATGTGCTCAGTCTCAAAGACGGAAAGGAACAAATAATGTTGGAGCAAAGTCTTATTGACTTGGATGCTGATGTTAATCCTCCCTCCCTCCCCCAGCAACCAAATAAGCACGTTAAAGAGGTCCAGAATTCGCTTTTAGATCTCGGAGTTGACTTCCCTTCCAGGAACTCTTCTGCCACCAGTGTAACTGGTGGTGTCGATTACGGTAAGAATAGCGGACGTAGCGGTCATAAACGGATATCTTCAGTTACAGCACCAGCTAACTTTTCCTTACAAGAGCAAGTCATTGACTTTGAATCTGATAATGAAGAGAGCTCAGAAATGAACAGATTGTCCATACGGAACTCATTGAAGAAACAAGGTAGAAAGTCATCGGAGCTTGTACGAGAAGGAGGGAAGAGAAAGGAAAGTAGCGAGCGGAAACGGAAAGAAAGCACCGAGAAGAAAAGACTTTCGTTTTTTGGTTGATTAGAATTCTATAGAATTGAATAAAAAGAGTATACAAATTAAGTATAAAGTGATAGGATAAAACATCACGTGATGATGTTGTGTATTGCATCACGTGACAAATCATATTTTACCGACCTCTGGATATACATCCACACTATCAATGCATTCAAAGGATAGTCTTTCCAATATGAATCTTGTAAGCGTATCAGCTGTCTCTGGTTTTTCTTACGACTTTGATTTGTTGCATTAGTGTCGTTAAGCCATTCACTTCTCACTGTATCACACAGAGATGGCATCGCTCTCACTAAAAAAAATATATACCAAACGGCAACTGTTTCTTCTTGTTGCAGCCAATTACTATGAACACCATGAGCCTCGAGAAAACACTAGCTCGGCTTCTCCTTCTGGTTCCTTACTCGTCTGGTGACGAGGACCATGCCTCAGTGAAGGACGCTGTTCGATTGATTCTTGAAGGTCGTTCCAGGGAATTGGTGGCGGATCAACATATCCAATCGGTTTTGTTTGGCACTCCAGAGATAAAAGCCATTGCTTCCAGCGGGGCTCTGTTTGTTGATGTGTTACGGAGATACACGAATCATTTGGTGCGTGTTATGCAACCAGAATTATTCCATATGGTTCAAGTTGCCTTGCTTCAGTTGTTTATACAAGGTAACTTTACAGGTCCCTCATTGCAAGAGTCAACAGGAAGTGACCTTGGCGGAGGGATTTTCGGAGGAACTGTTGGTCAGGAGATGATCCATAGCGAGTCTCTTAAGCTTCTTTCTATTGAAGGTCAACAACCTTATGATCTCATGGTTGACCCCTTGTTACTTGTGGTTTCTCTTCTCATGTCCGAGAGCTTTCTCGGCTTATCTCCGGAATACTCTTTGGTCGGAAAAGATATGAATATTCTGGTGGAGCAAACCATTGCCCGTGTTTCCTCTTTGGACACTAGTAGCACTGCATTGAGGGCCTCGGTTACTTGGTTTTGGGTTAGAGCGTTGCAAGTTCATTTGGTGGTTGTTACTGAACCTCCAAGTGTATTGACATCGGTATCATCTCAATTGTTAACTCCGGCATTGGTAAATGCTATTGCTACCAACGAGCCGGAATTGCAACGGAATTTACAGTTGATTTATTTTTTGGAGAAAGCCAGAATTCATATCCATGGGCTTACAGAACATCTTGCTACATCATTCCTTATTGAGGCCAAACGAATCTCTGAGTTGCAGTTGGTTCTTTCAGGTGCCAAAGCAAAACGGACCAAGTTTCAAAAGTTTCACACGTCAGCATTGATTATTTTGGCCAAATCAAAGGAATCTTCATTGTACCAAACTGGTGCTGGAAATGGTGATGAAAATCCAGAGAATTTTGAACTCAACTCCGATCTTTTATTGGAAAGACCTCAATTCGAGTCACTTGATGATTTGGAGATCTCTGATGAAAGAAATCCCAAAAGAGTAAAGTTTAGTGACGTTAGTTCGTTTCGTACTGACGAAGTTGAAGAACCTTTATTGCCAATTGCTATTAAGACAGACGATATTCCTTCTGGTTTAAGACAATTGGATCCTAATGATCAACCTCCTCTTAATGATTTGGATAACGTCCAATTATTGTTACGGTTAACGACTATAAAACAAACCACTCCAGCATCTGACCCACTCATCGCAGAAGAACTCATGGCTTTAGTGTCTAGAGTGCTTTCCGTCTCGGGTTCTAAAGTCAATTGGACTATATTTTCCAGAGCCTTATGGGAAAGATCAGTTTTGGAAACTGGTAAGGCTAAGACTATTGAAAGGGGGATTTTACAAATGACCTCTTTAGTGGAAGAAATTGGTATTAAAATTAAATCTAGAATTATCCCTCAAGCTGTTGAATCACCAAGCTCCCATTCTCCTGAAGCTTCAAGACTTCGGTTCATTCATCAGTTGACTTTGTTCCCTCAATGGGCCATGGACGCCAAATTGGCTGACAAGTATATGTCTTTAGGAGTGTTGAGATCAGCTATTGAAATCTATGAAAGATTAAACATGAGTTGTGAAGCTGCCTTGTGTTATGCAGCTGTTGGCCAGGAAAGCGAAGCCGAAAATGTCATCTTAAAACGTATTGAAACCCACCCACAAGATGCTAGAGCCATCTCCATATTGGGTGATATTAGACAAGATCCTGCTATGTGGACGAAAGCCTGGGAAATTGGTAGATACCCCAAGGCTAAGAGTGCCCTCTCAAGATACTACTACAACCCACCAAAGGATAGTCAGTTGGTGAAGAGTATTCCAGATGCCATTAAGCATATGAACGACTGTTTAAAGATCAACCCATTAAATTATGAGAATTGGTTCTTCTATGGTTGTTTGGGATTGGAGTCTGGTCAATTTGAATTGTCCGCTGAAGCCTTCACTCGTTGTGTGGGGCTTGATGATGATAATGCTCATGCGCTAAGCAATCTTGCGACTTCGTTCATTCAACTTGGCCAAATGAAACAAGCATATAATGCCTTGAAGAAAGCAGTGTCCATAAGTCAGGATAAACCTTCATGGAAGATTTTGGAGAATTTTCTTATAGTTTCTGTTCGTTTGAACGAATGGAACGACGTCTTAATGGCCTCAAGAGAGTTGATAAATGTCAAGGTGAAGGCTAATAGAAGCGAAAGTTCAGTAGACATTCCTGTCATTGAACAATTGGTTGAAATCTTAGTTACCTCTGAATACCCTACTGGAGAAGAGCAGCAAAGGCTCAGCCATTTCCAAGCTTCTTGTATTGATTTTGTGTGTAATATGTTACCTACAGTGATCAATTCTTCTGGAAGATTATGGAGACTTATTTCCAGAGTTGAATTATGGAGAAAGAAGCCATGGGCTGCTCTTGAATGCTATGAGAAGGCTTATAGAGCTTTGAGTCAAACCACTAGTTTGGAGACTGAAGAGACTACGTGGAATGAAGCTGTGGAAGCCTGTGGAGATCTTGTTGCGGCTTATGAATCACTAGGAGAACTTGAAGGTAAGCATGGAGCAGGGGACATTGTTTGTAAAGATTGGAAGTATAAGGCCAGAACATCTGTGCGGTCATTGATGTCTAAAGGGAAAGATACCTGGGAAGATTCACCTGGTTGGGAAAGATTACAAGAATTGAAGGAAGAAATAGCAAACATGTGATTTTAACTACTAATAATCATAGATAATACTTAAGGTATCATCATATACGGTTGTTGAAGTAACTCTTTTCTTGGGAATATTTATATTTTTATTCAGTCTTCCATGATTGGTCTTACTGAAAATCAATAACTCAGCTTTCATCAAAACTGTGACCACCGGTTCACAAAATGGAAGACAACTGATAGCGAGTTTCCATAGTTTCAATAAGGTTTTGAAGGCCATTCTGGTGGACTCGGAGTTATCAAGTCTAAGACCATAAATAATGCAGTACAACACCAAAGCATGGATGCCATTAGTGAAACCATTCCCAAAGCATTCAGAAAGGTATACCAAGGGAAGAGCATTATCAAAAGCTGCTGCCACTATAAGCAATCCATCTTCACCATAATTGACCAATGGAACAATACTATCATCAACAGGGCAAGCATTATTAAGATAAAAGGTGACTAGGTTCATAAAGGAATACATCGCCATAGGAACAAGCTTCAAGCCGTTCGTATTGGTGGTGGCTATAAGCAAGGCATTACCCAAAAGATGGGTATTTTCTGATTTCAAAACTACTGATAAGGGCACTGGTTCGACTTTGGAAACAACTGTCTTATCGTTCTTATTGAGATCGGATATCATTCCTGCTGCATAAGCCTTGCTGCTTTGGCTTATAGCCTGTAGTCTTTTTCCCAACGTTAAGGAAATATGACGATAAGTTACTAAGAAATACGTTGTCACAACAGAAGAGGTGGTAAAGGAGTACCACAACAACGAAGTGTCAGTATACCAATAGCCATAAGCTAAGCAACCAACAATTGTGCAAGCATGAGAAAGAAGCCAGCAATATTGAAGCAATTGTGAAGTAGGAGGAACATGAGAGTATACTATTAGCGCTAGAAACTTTGAGGACTGTTCTACTTGGGAGTATTTATCGTTAAACATGATTCTCCATTTAGGGTTTGTTAAAACTCTCAATTCAGGAATCACTGCAAGTAACCAAGCCATCCACATTTGAATGAAGCTGGGTATGTTTGTCATTGTGGTTGTATGCATTAGAAAACGTCATAGAAGTAGATAATTTTTTGCATCCACAAATGGAAACACAATGTCGCAATATTTGAATTGGACCACGCAAAACAAAAGGCAATATTTATAGATAAGAACTACATACTACATATTTGCATACTTATATATATGCATGTATATATGTACTCGTATACATACATGCATTTTATCATGTATGTTTGACCTATGCATGCAGAGAACATGTATCTTTAAATGTAAATAAGTACACCATGCAGTAAGTGGCTGAAGCTGACACAAAATAGGTGAAATTCAAATGAAAACCAAAATAGAAAAACGAGATCACAACCTACCACTCAAAATAGAACCAAAAACTGCTTACAGTAAAGGTATGGGAATGGATGACAAATATATAGGGTTGGCGTTAGCGATGTCGCTGTCGCTAGCCATTGGGATCTCGTTTATCATCACCAAAAAGGGACTCATGGACACGGCATCTCGGGGAGGACAAGTGGAGGGACACGAATACTTGAAGAACCCAACATGGTGGGCAGGAATAGCTACCATGGCAATAGGAGAGATTGCCAACTTTGCGGCGTATACATTTGCACCTGCGATCTTGGTGACACCCTTAGGAGCCCTTTCTGTTATTATCGGGGCCGTATTAGCTGCCGTGTTTTTAAAGGAAGAATTGGGTACGTTAGGTAAGATGGGATGTGCAATTTGTCTTATGGGGTCAGTAATAATTGTGTTACATGCTCCCCCAGATAAGGAGATTGAAACCATTGATGAAATCTTGGGGTATGCCACCCAACCAGGTTTCCTTTTCTACTGTTTTGTTGTGGGGGCCTATTCACTCTTTATGATCTACAAGATATGTCCTCGGTATGGGTCTACCAATCCTATGATCTACATTTCTATTTGTTCGAGTGTTGGACTGATTTCTGTCATGGCCATCAAGGCGTTTGGCATTGCTTTAAAGTTGACGTTGAGAGGTAACAATCAGTTTACTCACGTGTCTACTTATTTGTTTATGATTGTGGTTGCTGGATGTATTGTTACGCAGATGAACTACTTCAACAAGGCCCTAGACCAGTTTGATACCTCCATAGTCAACCCGTTGTACTATGTGATGTTCACCACGTGCACGTTGAGTGCGTCGTTCATTTTGTTCAAGGGGTTCAACACCACGTCGGCCGTCAACATCATCTCCTTGCTCATGGGGTTCCTCATCATTTTCAGCGGAGTTTACTTGTTGAACATTTCGCGCAAGGACAACGAGGGAAGAGAACGCGAATTGTTTGGGGTCCATTCAGGTAAAGATATGGCTCCCCTTGATAATGGTGTTGGGGGCTTTTCCATGAGAAGATCAATGCAGTTATCCAGAGGGGAAGAGGAGGAAAGAGTTGGGTTAAGAAGGTTCGATAGTTTTGAGATCGACAGTGATGAAGAAAGAAGACAGTAATAGATATATATATAAGTTACAGTAGAGTAATACCATTCAAGTAAATGCCATCCATGTAATGAATTTCTCTATATAAGTCTGTAGTTGTATTAAATATCATCAATATCCAAATCATCTTCTTCTTCTTCATCAGAATCATCGTTATCACCAAACTCAAAGTTAACGTCGTCATCTTCATCAGCACCAAACGTGTCGGTTTCGTTAATCTTTGCATTCTCAGGTAATTCTCCAGCACTCTTTAAAGCTCTGGCTTCATCAGAGTTATATTTATGAACAACATCACATTGCTCATCTTGGAAATCTCTCAAGGAAACCAAAATAATATCACCTTGACCCATCCACACCTTCTTTCTCAACTTCCCTCTGATGTGTCCCATTCTTTTCTTATCATCAAAGCATGCAACTTCCAATCTACCATTACCTAACATCTTGGTGATTTGAGCATACTCTTGGCCTTCCTCTTTAAAGATCAACTCTCTCTTTTGACCCCCATTGATGTTCTTTCCTCTTCTTCTGTTCTTTCCTCCCTTTCCTTTACCAGTCTTACCCATTTTTGGCTGTTTGGTTTCGTTAAAGTATCAGATGGCAATCGCTATGTGCTTGTTGCTCCTTGTTAAAATTTTTCACCCATCACCAAAGTCGTGCGTGGGCTGGGAACCTTGGACTCAAAAGAGTAACCTTGCACAAGAGACTCAAACAACGACTCAAAGACCGCCGCCCCATTTGGCACCATTATAACATAGTAACGATATAAAAAACTAATATGGTTGTCACAGTATCTGTAGACTACTATATTCAGCTTTATTCAAAGCATATTTTACAGAAGCAAGTATATTAACGTCACGTGACAGTCCACGTGACCTTTGGGGACAATTTCACCTTTGCTGGAATGGCCCCAAGTTCTTGTCATTTCGTAGCCCATTTCTTACATGGCTCCCTTGAGTTTGATTCTATCGATGTATTCCATATATGCTACTTACCGTTTCAGATCACTATGACTTCCAATAATACGCTTTCTGGTACACGCACTCCTATGTTTGAATCTTTGGTCCAGGAGTAATTCACAACCATACACTCTAAAACATCTAGTTCTGAAAGGGCTTGAGCCCTTGTAGTTCTCAACTTCTATCCTTGTAAGGTGGCTTCACTAACTCCGGTAAAGGCCTGCATTTGTCCAACTTCAGGGTTAAGACCACTTGAATAAACACATCTAACCTTCAACTCATCGTTCCATCAAATAGTTATATTGTATTGAAGTGTGATATTATTCCATTGGATCTCACCACTGTCATGAAATTTCTTGACCTTGATATTCAGTTCAAGAACTCACGAACCTTCTTTGTGGCCTCTATTTAAGTACAAGTGTCTGTCGTCAACGCATAAATTAACATTGCCATGAGATTTGGTTCAGAGATATTGTATCCTTAGCACAGCCATCTTAGATATAAGCTTAATCGAATGAAGTTCTGTCAGCTGAATAAGTACGTATATCCTGCATTTAAATAACCCCTTAATACTTTCTTATTTAAGTAATTTTTGTCAATGTATGTTTCACAATTTGACATATCCTGTATACACTATTGTACTGTGTAAATTGAAAAATCAAATAGCAAATAAACCCACGTCTACATCTTCTTGTCATCAAATATATTACTATAAATAACTATGGACTCGTATCAAGCATCTGCGCAGTTCTCACAAATCCTTGCGTCGTTAACTCCGTCGCTCCAAAGTCTCATGACCGCAGCAAGATTCGCTTTAAAGAACGCAGCCAATGAAGACTACCTCTTCCCAGTGATACTCCATCAACTTCAAGATCCGGCAGTTGCTTTCAGTACAAAGGGGAACATATTTCAACTATTGGACGTGTTAATACACGAATCGTTCGTCATATCCCAACAGCCAAGATCCCATTATAATTATCCATACATTCAAACCATTAAACAACAACTTCCAACGATTATCTACGAAGTTCTTCAGTCCAAAGTCAATCTATATAATGCATATCTTAGTTTGCGTAACATAAGCAAGCATTTCCCGCAAACAAATGTCCAAGAACTCATGTTGAAGTATGAAACCCAGAATGAGTTGCTCACTGCTGAAGATCTAACTAATATCGAAAACGATGTACCCTTCTCAGAACAACCTCCAACTCCATCACCTCAAGATACAGAAGATCCTTTGATAAGTGCGTGGAAGATACTTGTGTGGAAAAAGAGACAGAGCAGATATGAAAGAATCAGAATACAAAAACATAGTGACGTTATCACCGGTGAGATCCAAGAAGAAGAAATGTTCAATTTGGATGATAAGCAGCTGCTTTCAAGACAACAGATCACCATGAGAATGGAAAGTGATAGAGAATCTCACAAGAGATCAAAGGAAACCTTATGGATAGTCAATAGACCTCATGAGCCAAACTATGTCACCGAAGAAGAATTTGCCCACAATTATTGGAATAAAGTGCAAAAAATGAGTTCTGAAGAATATTCAAGTCTCTTGGATGTCTTGGGAGATTTGAACAAACTGGTGAGGTCCAGTTTCAAAGATAATATAGCATAGCATAGTCCAAGGGTATATATATAAATAACAAAGTAAAAATGGTTTAGGACAGAGGAGTGGATGCTAGTACTTTCAACATGGCATTGGTGCCAGAAATATTGTACCTTGCTATTGACTTGGAATGTGACTTCGTCCTCATCACCACTGCAGTCATGGACCCAGGAATTCGATTGAGGTATTCATATATGGTCTCGTCGATATTGGTATCTCCTCCACAATAAAATACTTTATGAGAATTCTTGTAGTGTTTCAAGATAAATTCAACAGCTTTCACGTTTAATAAATGTTCTTGAATAATCACTGTATTCCTCACAAGTAATGCATGTATATTATCACCATCATCATTAGATTCCAGATGAAGTTCTTGGATATGGGCTATACAATCACCTAGAGCATCATTCCGACGCTCTTTATTTTCAACAGCTCCAGTAACGAAATTAATAGTGCAATCTTGAACCTTCATAAATGATCCGGGTAATCTCACCACTTTAGATTCGATCAAACGTTCGACAACTGGGAACCAATTCTGTAAATGTGCTTCATTGGTGATAGGAGTCCACAGTTTACTGCCTATTATCTTGACATATCCTCCATTCTCAGCAATTAGCCCAACTTTCAGACATCTACCATATAAGGTTTCCAAATCCTTCTTCTTAAGAAGGCTGAAAATATAAACATGATTCTTGGGGTTCTCTAGTACCTTGGCTAAAAAAGTATCTAAATGCTTGGGTTCTAAAGTCTTCCCAGATACAGTAGCATATGAAGAAGTCTCGGTTTCCGGTACAATCATCACTGAAGCAGGTGTTTCAAAATTGAAAAAGAATACTCGTTCTTCACGCTTGTTTGAAACGTTGTAAAACTTAAGAAATGACTCTTTATTCAATGGTTGCAAGTCAGTGGCTGATTTCAACAGATACAAATTCCATGCTTTATTTATTGTCTTCAAACAATCTGCAACCCAGACTTTCGAATCATGTTTATCAATGACTGCAAAGCAATTCAGCCACCGTTCAGCCTTTTCATCTGTACCCATCTTCAACAGATACAAAAAGAGCTCAGAAAATTTTTTAATATCCCAAGGGTTCACCATCAATGCTCCACGTCTTCCACATGAGAGTAAGGAAGATGAACCGGTGAATTCAGAAAGAATAAGAGGAGATTTCTTTTCTTCTGCACAAGTGATAAACTCATGACATGTTAAATTTAAACCTTCTCTCATTGATGATACAATAAAGCAATCAGCTTCAGCTTGCAATGCCAAATACTGATCAAACTCAATTTCCTTCTGTAAAATCACCATTGGCTGGATTGTTGAAAGATTCTTTGATTTAGCATTAATTCTCCCTGCAATTTGCATACATTCACTTTCATAATCTGGATCTGTAGGTTCCCCTAAACAAATTTGAATGAAAACTGTGTCTTCTAAATATTGCGGATTATCAGTGAGGAATCTTTCATAAGCTAAAAACTTTTGCTTTATGCCTCTTAGTTTGTCAACTTTATCTCTAGTTACAATTAATTTCTGACCACCCCATCTTTCCTTTATAGCTCTTCTCCATTCTAAAACTGATGGTGAATGGGCTTCTTCTTGTAATTGTGGAACATCAATTCCAACTGGCGTTGTATTAACCAACGTCAAATGACCTTCATAAAAGACACCTGCATCATTAATATCTGCCAACAAAAGTCTGCTAACAGTTTGAAAGAAATGTCTGACGTATTCTTCTGTTTGGAATGTAATCGAATTTGCTCCTAACATACCCTTTAACATTTCGTTTCGTTGAGCAAAAATACGGAAAACTTCTGAAGAAGGAAACGAAACATGAAAGAATAAACCGATTTTGGCATGAGGAAGCTTTTTCCTAATCATAGCTGGAACTAACATTAAATGATAGTCATGGATCCAAATAATATTCAGTGGATCCTCTGGTGCTAATGAACTATTATCTCTTTCGTAAACCTCTACTATTCTATCAGCCACCAATTGATTCATGGCTTTGTAAAACTTCCAGGAATGATCTTCGAATGCCTTTGACTTTGGATCATCCGGAATTTGGTAGTGAAGGGTCGGTGACAAAATTTGTTTACAGAAAGAATGATAATGACCATCAAATGTTGCATCATCTGGGAAAACTGGTTCACTTCTGTATTCCTCATGAAGTTTTTGTTCAATTTGCTTTTTAATTTTATCTGGAACTTCATCAGTAGGCATAGCTAAGGTACCTACCCAAGCATAATCTCCTAAAATTCCTCCATCTTGAGCTATCTTAGCTGCCTTATATAAAGATCCATTACCTTTAGCATGAGATACGATTTCCCAAGGACAAGTTTCAAAAATATTCTCTTCATTTAATAAGTTGTCTTCAATATTAGGGTTTGAAAACCCACCAAAGGGAGCCAATCTTCCTTGACAATCAAAATCATCTTCATTTAAACCTTCAAGCAAAGCCCTATGATTATTATTAGTAACGAATTCAAGTTGTTCACGACTTGGCTGACGAGTTGTTTTTTGTTGTTGTTTCATACCAGTTGAGTTTAATAATGCCAAATTGGATACAGAACCATTTAATGATCTTGATAAGCGTCTTTGATTAGATGAACCTAAAGATGCCAAACTAGTTGAAGATCTGTTGATTTTGACTGAGGTACCACCTATTTTATCCGAAGGGAATGGATATTTCTTATGATCCACTACATTTGCCTGGATCTTAAGATTGCTAACTCTTGAACGAGGTTGTACCAATTGAGGAGCATGGCCACCACCACCAGTAATAGAGGAAGATGAAGATGAAACTCCTGAATTAGTAGCAGCAGTAGTAGCAGAAGTAGCAGAAGTTGTTCCATAACCTGGTGCAGTTAATACAGCACCAGCTGAATGAGATGATAAGGCTGAGGGTCCCATTGAACCAGATGACAGATCTGAAAGTCTACTGTAAAAGAAATCCTCTACTGATGGAGACTCTGTACCCAAATTGCTGCTACTGTTGATATTTGATCCATCACCACCACTAGCAATGACTGGGGTTGATAACCTGGAACTAGGGATAATGGAGGTAGTTGATGATTTCGGTTTACCAGAGCCACCACTACCATGTCCAACACCAACAGGGACAGGAGTCAGGACCCTGGAGATCGGTTCACCTATACGTTTTATAGACTGGATGTCGTCGGCATTAGTCTTACTATCCAATTCGAAATGAACAGTATAAGGAAGGAACCTGTTAATGTTAGTATAAGAGCAACTATGTATATACATATGACATGTATAAATGTGACATGTAATATATATCATGTCATATCCAACAGTGTATAATATTACATGCCATGAATGCTTCCATTGTTAAGCTTCTATTTCATACATACAATGATGCAATAATCACAGTCATGCTTGCAATTGATAGATAGAAGAAGAGTTGGCAGCCGTAGAAGATTGTTTAATTAACTTTATGGTTGCGCTTTCAGGGTCTGTTGCGCACGTGACCACCCCAACATGTGATGGCATGGCATCGGAGTCCCATATATTATTGTTTATTGTATATAATCAGTTGATGTACGGTGGTTACTGGTAGGGGTGGTAGTGTATAATTTAAAGGGGTAGCTTAGTGGTACTGTAACGTTAGCGTGCAAGTGCTGTGCAAGTGCTGGATAAGTACTATTGTGTAATTAGTGGGTCTTACTTGATTGTATTAGTGAACTATTATTGTAAGACATTGTTGATTAAAGATTCCAAATGGGGACACAAAGTGTATAGTCTAGAGCTTTAGTTTGGATAACCTTGAATTGCATTCCGTACATTAGACAGGAGGGTCGTGTCCAATCGCATTATATACAAAAGGGTAGCTCTACAGGTTAGCTGTACAGTAGGATAGTGTAGCTTGGTACGTGTGTTCTGTCTATGGCCTCTCTTCTGTGTCTATACATCTTCCATATCCACATCAGAATCAGAATCCAGCTGTAATCCACCTTCTGGAGCCATCATATTGGGATGGCCGTCTGTCTGTGAATGCTCAAACATGGCATTTTCAAGCTCAGCTTCAAGAAAGTCATCTTCATCAGAATCTTGTGGATTCAAAATGCTAACAGTTTTGAATCCAATTTGATTTTCCAAATTGTTTGATTTTATTTCATTTGAATCATTGAATTCCTCGTTCTGGTCCAATTCTTGATCTATTTCCGCCTTTAATGGTTGTTGTTCATAATCGTGTTTATCTCCATCTTCATGTTCATCTTTGTGTAGTATATGATCGTGTCTACCTTGAAGTTCATGTTGTTCATGTTCATGTTGTTCATGTTCATCTTGCTCATGTTCATCTTGCTCATGTTCATCTTGCTCATGTTGTTCTTCATCTCTGGTGTCACCGTCGTGTCCAAATCCAAACGTTGGAAAGGCTTGATTATCAAATACATTCTCCGTTTCAGAATCTGATGAAGTATCGTTATCTCCATGAAATGTAAATCCAAATTGTACCTTCTCTCGTTCAAGCTCTCTTTCTCTTTCCTTCTTGGCTCTCCCTGCTAGGATCTCTTCTATAGTTTGCTTCTTTTTAAGTTCAGCTTTTCGAATTGAATTAATAGCTGTTATGAACCCCTGTTGCAAGTAAACCCGGAACTCAGTCTTGATCTTGTCGTCTGCTGGCTGCTCAGCATACGGAGAAAAATACTTTTCAGCTTTTATGAAAACATTACTCTTTCTTTTGTTTAAACTTTCTTCAATTCTTGCTTCTCTTTCTCGCCTGAGATTTAATCTCTTTTTTGCATATTCCACCACGTCAAAAGCATTATCCACTTTGGCAGTGGTCTGAGTCTCTGTAACCACCGTAACAGATTCAGGTACAGTGGCTCCCGGTACAGTGGCCCCATTAAGAGCTTCAACTATTTTAGGTGTCTCAACCTCTTTGACTGGCTCAACCTCTTTGATAGGCTCAACCTCTTTGACTGGCTCAGCCTCTTTGATAGACCCATCCTTCTTAATCTCCTTAACTAACTCTACTTCATGAATAGGGGACTCCACATCAGTATTCATTTTAGTTTCTGAATCACTCATGATATTATCACGCTCTTCATCTTCACTGGATTTATCTATATCTGAATCTTCAACAATTTCTGCTAATTCTGCCTCAAACTTCTCCTTCCATCGTATTTCTTCATCGTCCATAAGCACATAAAGTGAGTTCTCTTGCATTCTAGATTCGGCCACTAACTTAAGTCTCATTTCCTTCATGTCTGTAAGCATCTTCATATATTGAGGAGTGCTATGGTATGTGAAATCTGGTGGTAATTCGGGGAAATAATCAGGAATATAATGAGGTCTGGATGTCTGTTGAGGTACCAATTCAGTTATTTCATATTGTTCATTACTACTAAAAGCATGAGAAGGATCTGACTCGTCAAATTCAATATGGTCTTGTTCTAAACTTTTAGAAATGTCTGAGCAATGTTGATTGATCGTGTCAATTATCTCCGAGGATATTCGTCGTTGTAAATCCGTATGAGCATAGTAAACTTCAGATGCCTTAATTCCGTGTTCAGCTAACGTAACTTCTACATCACTAAAAGACGGCTGGGTTCTTCTTTGAAGAGCAGTAAATTTGGCTAACGTCGTTATCAACTCATGGAAATAAAGAATTCCTTGGTTACTAAGCTCGTCAAGAAACTCTTGTGAATAATGATACCCTTTGCCTTGTAGTATGGCGCCAACAACTTGTGAAAATTGGTAGTCCAATACGGAAAAATCTATTTCCGTCATATTTCCTTATGTCTTCTCGTATATTTACGACCGCTAAAGGTCGGTGTTCGTATAGTTAATTATATCAACTTTCCTTTCATGTTTTCTACGGTTTGCTTTCAGTTTTGGTATGTGCTTTTTTTCTATACACATTAGCTTGTATGTAGGAAACATGTTACACAAAACCCCGATTGGGCTCACCAACATAAAGTCATTAATATACATTCATTGATTATTATAAAAATATATGTTTAGAATATTCGTTTACGGGTTATTCAACAAATATTCAATGGCACCTTGGACACTACCACCGGTTCTTCTTAAGGCTGCGACATTCTGGTCGAAATCGTAGAATCCCATGTCGTTCAATTGACCTAATTGGGTCTCGAATCTTTCTTCTGGAGGTCTGGTATCCGCAGGAGCTGCTGGGGAAGCTGATGGGAAATCGAAGCCACCAGCTGGCGGGAATAGTGATCCAAGACTAGCAAAAGGATTAGCTTGAGCAGAACCCGCATTAGCTTGAGCACCAGAACTAGTAGTATCTTCACTAGCAGTAGTATTACCAGGGGCAGGAAACGCAGAGGCACCACCTGCACCACCTGCACCACCACCCAAAGCTCTTTGCAAAGACATCATGGATCTCATAGCTTCAGGGTTAGTCAATAATTGTCTTGCCATAGGACTCTGGAAGTATTCTCTTACTTGAGGACCCATGGCTCTTAGCTGAGGGTTCAGGTTTATCATATAATCTAACATCTGTGGGTTATCCAACATGGCATTCAAAGATTGTTGGAATTGAGGATTAGACATCATGTTTGTTATTTGATCAGGATCAGCATCGTTAAACATAGAAGCATCAAATTGGGGCAAATGGGCTCCGAATCCAGCATAACGGGCACCAGTTAAATCGGCCATAGGATTGAAGGCACCAACACCAGCAGCAATATTTGAAGGTACATTATTGTTGGTTTCTGATGTATTGGTGGTAGCAGCCCCTGTTGTGTTGCTTGCAGTTGCAGTACCTGGAGCACTAGCACTAGCAGCACTTGCATTTCTCTTAACCAAATGAATCGTGTGACCTGATTGAACCTTATAAGAAGCAATAGTCTCGGTATCCTTTAATACTTTCCCCGAGTAGATTAGCCTTTGACAATCGGACGTAACTGAAGCTGGTTCGGAAATAAGTTCCTTTAACTCCAACACCGTGATGGTGGGATCGATTTCAAAATCGTACTTGGCAGACCCAGAACCCTTGATGTGAATAGAAATCTTATCGGTAGACATTTTTGATGGTAATGGATATGGTAGATAAGAATGTTGTCACATGGCAGGTGATCGTTATATTAAGTGGCCAAAATTATCTATAAGATTTGGATCACGAATTTTGGTTACACAAACCTGATTTTGTAAGGACATATGGGTGAGCTTTTCTGGAACCTTCCATACACCAAGCGACATTTATTGACATATACATTAGTGAGTATTAATCTCTACTCGGCTTCAGATGCCATATTTATATGATCGGAAAAACTAATTAGATTCAACTTTTACGAGGTCTGGTTCATGATAATATAATTTAAACATTCTCCATTAAATGATAAAAAACTCATAGTAATAATAGTAATTCAGGCACGAAGAAGCGAAGCGAATGAAGCGACATTGGAAAAAAGTGCCAGGTAAAATAGAATAATAACCCAAATAAATAATAAAACAACAAATAAAAAAAGAAGCATCTCGTAAATAAAAACCCATTAACCCAAATATAATTATGTATAAGCTCTTCCTCTTCGAATGATAAAAGGACTCACGTACACTTTATAAAGGTACGTTTTAAAGTCGTCATTAGTTGGCTGGCTCGCTAGCATTAACCCCGAAATTACTTCTTTACTTCAACTCTCCAACCACATTCTAAGCAACCATAGCCTTCGATTCCATCTTCAAACATGGTTTTACCCTTGCTTTGCATTAAACTCCATTCACCCTTGGCAGGGATTTTACGGCAATCGTCATTAAGACACCGGGCCAGAGTCTTCTTGTACCTTAACCCACAACTGTTACACAATTGTCCCTCCTTAAGTGACCAACTGGGTCTCCAACATGGACTCTGCTCGGAGCCACACAGGATACAAACTCTTGGATGATGGTGGTGCTTAGGAGGGGACCTCATCAATGCTTCCTTTGCTTTCTTGAGCGTGGAGGAAGATGGAGGTGGGGATACAGGGACAAAACGTGTGGAAGAATTATTAGAACCAGACATGGATATGCTGGTAGCTGTAGTAGTGGATCTAGGAGTGATGGTAGGCAAAGATGGAAGTGTTTGGTGGGGAAGGTGTTGCATTGAAGGAGGTGGTGCTAAACCTTGTGTAGTAGCAGTAGGAGCTACTACCATAGGAGCCATTGGTTGTTGGATAGCAGTCGAAGACGCTTCCCTTATAGATTCATCAATTGGAATTGAAGTAGTGGCAGCTCTCAGTATAAATGATGGTAGACGTGCAAGAGATTGGTTGTTGAACAGTGACATGGAGCCAGGAGCACATATTATAGAGCTGTAACTCGCGTTACGATCATTATTGTTGGGAGATGGCATCTGTGGAGATAGTTGACTGAATGGTGGAATAGTGGAAGTAATTGGAGGAGCGACTGGCATAATATTTGAAGACACAGAAGGCAAAGTTGGAGAACTCAGAGAGTCTGGAACAGTAGCAGTTGTTGTTGCTTGTTGTTGCTGCTGGGGGTGTTGTGCTTCTTGTGTTTGTGTTGATTGTTCTCTTATAGTTTGTGGTTGAGATAACTGCACAAGAGATTGAGCAAGCTCCAAGTATTCCGGATACTTGGCCACATCAGTGAGATAAGTTTTGTTAAGATAAGTATAATTCGACTCAAAGGGGAAATTGATCTTGCGTTCTATGTTGGCATGTAACGATGGTAATGTTGGCTTGAGGATTTTGGAGCTAATTTTCGAATCAAAGCTTGGTTTACTGCTTTTGTTCAAATAATTGTATTGATTAAGGTTAAAATGTTTAGACCCTTTATTAATGGAATCCAACAACTCGTATCTCCAGTTCTCGTCGTTAGGTTTGTATGTGTCAAAGTAATCTAACGAAACCGTTGGAGTGATATGCTTTTTAGCAGAAGCTGTGGAATCACTTGATTGTTGTTGGTGTTCCAATTCCACAGCAGCTGATACTGGAGCAGTAGAAATAGAAGCAGCAGCAATCGGTACCTCAGTTTTGGAAGTTGATGTTGTTGTACTAGAAGGAATAATGGAGTTGACATCTCCGAGCACTGCTGAAAGTGAAGGTAGTTTCACTGTCTTCTTAAGGTTATCATTAGGCTGGGATGTTGTTGATTCAATGTGCATTGATTGTGCTGATGTTGTTCCCGAATGCAGCAGCAACATGTGAGTTGCAGCAGGCAGCAGACCTTCCTCAAAGAATTTCTTATGGGGAGATAAAGACCGAGATCTAAGAGATCCGGGAGAGTGCAATCTAAGTATATTATTTTTTACTCTTCCTCTTGCAGGTGGAGATAATGGGGCAGGAAGTAAAGGAGCAGTTCTGGATCTTTTGATGGTTGGAGAATCATCAAGATTACTTCCTAAGGTGTCATTGTCCGATTCTAAAAATGACCGTTTGTTACTTGAAATGAAAGATACATCTGCCGTTGTATTAGCAGAGGAAATATCACCCGTTGACATGAACGACGGAGATGCATTAAGGGAAGAATCTATACGGGACAAATCACTAGGCGATGATTGTTGATGTTGCTGATGGCGATTTGATTCACCAAGAATCATTTTGGAGTCTGAAGCAGCACGATTGGGTGAATGGATATGAGATTTGTATTGATTTAGTAATTCATTAAACGAACGAGATCTTAAGTGACCTCGCTCGAAGGAATCTAGTTGGTTATTGATCATTTTCGACAGCAATAAACTCATAGTGGGTTTAATTTGAAACCAGTATACGAATTGAGTTGAGTATCTGATAATTATGGTTGATGATCTGGTTCGATTGTCTGATGTTGTTTATCTGATGTTGTTTGTCTGATGTTAGTCTTGACTTGGTAAATAAGGGGGATTAAGTCGGGGCTGGGAACTTGTTGATTTCGAGTTCAAAATCAAAAAAAAAAAAAATAAAACTAAATTGTGTATCGAATAATAACAAGCAGACGGGGTGTGGTGAAAAATAAACTTGTACCAAAACCTAATTGATCGACACAAAATAGTTGAATCAATGGGGATTAGGGAGAGGGAGAAGTAAACGTACTCTCGTAATGCTGATGTAGGTAATTAATATTCTGGATTGGGAATGGATTTGCAGGATTAAGGCTGGCTTAGTACGTCTTGGTGTGCACCAAGGGCTAATGCAAAGGAAATAATATCGGCACAGACAATGTAAAAGTGATATGCACCTGCCAAAATGAGCCAAAAATAGTTATCCCACCTCTTTGTTTAGGGCGGGTTTGTGTTTGTGTCTGCGGATGTGGTCCGGATATAGCCAATAGCGTCACCAGAGTTTAGGGATGAGTGCGGTTTTTGTTGTTGCCAGTCGCGACTTTCCCTAATTGGATAGATGAAATGTCAGATCGTTTGTTGAATGATAACGTTCGTGTATGAACCGCAAGTTCAGTTTCAGGTTGGGAGCTAACTGGATTTGGGGGGTATTACCTTAGATTCCAATATAAGTATAGTTTTAACGATGTGATACGTTATAATATGACAGGTTATAATATAATATAATATGATTGGTCAAAATATGATATGTTATAATGTGATAGGTAATGTGATAGGTTGTAATATGATGATTTAAGATGTAGTCTGTATTAACCTATAACTCTCCTCAGTTAACCTCTGAATCATTTAATTATTAAGTATCAAATCTACTGATTTGATCGAGAAGTTCCCTTATATTTAAATGATTTCAACTAACAAGCCATCAAATTATACAAGTTCCTATTGATCTCATTACTCTTGATTGGCTTCCTCTACATAGAAGAATTTATTATGACACCATGCATGTTTGTTATCATAGTTCCCAGCCATCTGTGTTTGATTGTTTATTTGTTTGATCTGTTTCTTTGTTCCCTTCGGGGAATCCCAGGTAACCAGCCTTCATCAATTGTCATCAGCCTTCTTCTATACCTAATCCAGCCTTACGTAATGGGAATATGCTACAGCTTGTTATTGTCCACAAAATCAAGTGGGCTGGCTAACATTCTTTACGAACCTGTATATACGCTACCCAAAGATATAAATGGGATCATTTGATTCCCAATTCTGATGCAATGAGCATTCATCTGGGATACTAAAACATTTACCATTTCAATTATACTTTATTCCTAATTGGGATAGTTAATGTAGATTTGAGTCTTGGTCTTACACTAAGTATATGTACAATACAACAGTACAATAATGTACTGTACACTTCAATACTGTTCAATTATTCTTCATAGATAACGTCAGCAGCTCATCATTATGACTCAACAGGTAATTCTATACTCATCAACACAAGTACGTAATCCTTCACTTATTTGGATAACCATCCTCAATTTCCTATTCAATTTCTTGGATTACTTCTTTACTACACAAGGATGCCAACACTGTTCTCAATTATTTTTAGTTTTACCTAAAAATACAACACATTTTCTTATAAATTATCTACCTCTTAAAATGAATCAATCCAGTCCTCTGTTTGAGGCTGCTACCACTGCTAACATTACAGGTATCTCTTCTAATATAACATGTCCATTTAATAATTCAACGGATTTATTCACCTTGGAGAAAGGCGTACTATTTTGAAGCAATCACGTGATATTAAATAGAGTAAATTCGTTTCATCTTGAGGAGCGACAAAGTCGGCACGCTCTTGACTGCATCACGTGACAAGAGTTTCAGTATCGCCATCACCAAAATCAGTTAACACCCAGTGGGGTTACCATCATCGTTCGTAGCTGCAAACTGACTAAACAAATGTCGGCACCAGTTCAAGACCCATCACAGCCAATAGAACCGTTTTTAAAGAAGGTGCTAGGGTCTCTAGATTCATGCTACAGATCAGCAACTACTGGGCAAGCTCAATTTACCAATGTTGAAGCGTATGCACTTCAGTTTGGCAAACAATTAAAACCTGCTAGTTCTGTGATAATAAACGGTAAGCCTGTTCTCCCATTGGCAGACACCATTAAGTTGGAGTTCCAAAAGAAATGGCTAGCGACTCCCTTGACCCAGCATCAATTGAACAGTTATGATTGTCATCTTATCCCCGGAAGTGGAGTGTTTGTAATTCAATTAAGTGGGAAGGTTAGGTTTGACGAAAGTGGTAGAACAAGACTAGGAGAAACCGCAGATATGGTATCAGAACAGACCTCTCGACCTGTTAGACCATTGTGGGGGTCATGGTTTGGGTTTGACCTCAATATGGTAGTTGATGAATTTGTACTTAGTAATGATGAGAATGAAGTCATAAATAGTTACAACTATCGAATAACATACAAGCCTCAAGATTCAGTCATTGATATATAGAATAATATATGCATATATATACTATTTTCCTTTCTTTTCTAACTCAATTCTCGCATATTCATCTAGTAATAGACCCAAATATTCATTGGAATAAAAGCCAACGGCTTCCTTTGTGGGATACCCTAAAGCATTCAATGCCCAATAGATATTAGGGCTTATAAAATCGTAGAAGATAACATCGCATAAATCTTCACCCTTGAAATCGTTATAGAACTGACGTGACTCAACCACATTAGGTACAAAGTGGTTCCCCAGGGGGATATGGAGAGTATCATCACCGTTAGATCCGAAATCATCGTGAGTAACGTAACCATAAGTTAAATTTTTTTGTTGGTCATTCTTATCATCACAATTGACTTGACGTTGTTGATACACTCTCAGTTGTCTGAATGCTTCAAACTGATGATGTAGTGGTAACAAATTGAAGTTGATAAACCTTCCTTTGTTCAACATGTAGGAGATCTTAACAGCAATATGTTTGGGTAATGTAAGCTTGACCCATTTATTCCTAAAGGGTGACACAATATAATGAGTGTCTAAGGTATAAGCACCTTTAAATAAGTCGTAACGTAAAGACCCAGAATTTATAATGATTGTTCTTTCCAGAATGGTGGAATTGTACGTTAAAAGAGGCAACACCTTCTCCGTTAACAACTTTAAGAGATTCTGAGGATGTGACAGAGGGACTCGATCTATATAATAGTCTTGAGGAACATAGCCAATTACCTTGCCCAAGTCTAGTTGGTCATTGATCCGATGAATTAGGGCCTTGACTTCAGTTCCCCTTGGTGTCATGAAATCATCAACATTCTCATACCCCGAATGGAAGAGGAATGACAGGGGATTGAAGTCTATGTAACTTCTATGGAAAATCTCAGTAATTGGAGCTCTTGCAATTGTTGTCATATTAATGCTTAGCCAACCAACAGTCTCACAGAATCTACCACTTTGAATTGCCGTCAGAAGACCATCCAAGACCCTAAAATCTCTAATATGAGAATGGCCCCCAAAGTACTGGATCTTCGTGTCGGGATAGTACTTCCGTATTGTCTTATGAATGAAATAAAACTCTTCCCAAGTTGGAGTGATTGGTGTATGACCATTGATGATAATCAAATCCACCAGACCCAAATGACGATTCAAAGCATCCAAAAACCATTCCAGCTCTGAAACATCACGCATAGGAATTACTTTGGAACCATTGCAATTTCTGGTGAAATTAAATAAGAATCCAAAGGCTAAGATTCGATAATTATTAACCTCTGTCTCAAAATACTTGTACCTTTGACCGACAGGTTCAAACTTGCCATCGTCGACTTCAAACTCAACATTGGAAGAAATGTAGTTCTCAGCAAAGTGCTTAGCTACAACGTCCCTCTCTTGAACAAAGTTCTCCCACAAGTACATCTCATGGTTCCCAATGCTGACGATATCGTATGCTTGTTTCATGAAAATAGGCAACAGCAACGCTCCATTTGGTGATGTCAGATCGCTCAACCCATTACCATCATGCTTGTCACCCGAGTCGACCAACAACAAGTCTTGGTGATTCTTATGAGCCTTCTCCTTCAATCGTTCAGCAAACGATATGAAATGTGCCCAATTGCCACTGTATGATTTCTGATGCTCATGGCCCCCATACCATGCGTGGGTGTCTGTAGTATGCAAAAAGTTGATATCGTTCCATACTAGTGGTCTTCTTAGTGGTGAGCCTGGTGCTATGGTAGGCGTATTAGGTCTAGACCCAGATGTGACTTCATTTGTTGCGCCTTCGAACCAAGAAGACACATACAAATATACCACCGCCAAGTATTGATAAATATACACGTACATGTTTATACTCTGGCCCGGCTCCTTGAGCTCTTGTTTTATAATACGAGCCTGTCATCGACAACTTGCCTTATCTTAAGATACGGTCACGGTCCCCTTATCAAGAAGTCGTGCACCAACTAAAAGACTCCACTTAGTATAACCACTACAGTCAACAAAAATTAATATGAAAAATATATTGATTAAAATACAAATGAAGTCAAGCAGAAAGTTAAACTACTAAAGAACTTACAAACCTTGTTGAGCTCTTCTTCTGTCTCTTTCTTCAGCAATAGACAACTTGATACCCTTACCCTTTGGTAAGGAAACCCAAGGCTTACCAGCTTCTTCACCAATGACGAAAACGTTGTTCAATCTGGTGACGAAGGTGTTGTCCAAAGAATCCTTGATGTGGACCAAGTCGAAACCACCGTGGTGAGTTTCCTTGTGTACAACAACACCAACTCTACCCAAGTTTCTACCACCGGTAACCATAACCAACTTACCAGTGTCGAACTTCAAAAAGTCATCGATCTTTCCGGTAGCCAAGTTAACCTTAACAGTGTCGTTAACCTTGACAGCTGGGTCTGGGTATCTGATGGTTCTACCGTCGTGTGTAACAACGTATGGAACACCCTTCTTACCCAATTGGACCTTCTTGACCTTGGCCAACTTGTAAGCACCTTCTTCAGAGGTGATTCTGTGGACAGCGAATCTACCCTTGACATCGTAGATCAATCTGAAGTTTTCGTTGGTGGCATCCAAAGTGATGACATCCATGAAACCAGTTGGATAGGTGGTGTCAGTTCTAACCTTACCATCAACCTTGACGTGTTCGTTCATCAAGATAGCCTTGACTTCTCTACCGTTCAAGGCATACTTAAGTCTGTTTCTCAAGAAGACAATCAATGGTAAAGATTCTCTCAACTTGTGAGGACCTTGGGATGGTCTTGGAGCGTAGACACCGGACAACTTGTCCAACATCCAGTGGGATGGAGCTGCTAATCTCTTCAAGTGCTTCTTTGGTCCTCTAGCCATCTTTGATATCTAGTTACTTGGTGTGGTAGGTCAGAAACAAGCAAAAGGTAGAAATAAAAGAAAGTCTCAAATTTTTCACCAGATGTCGCAAGCTCAGTGGTACCAATTGCAAAGATACTGCACATAAAAGTGAATCTCACTAGACAAACAAATAGGGCAATTAACCCTATACACGTGACCAAACACTACCAGTATGTTACCTTGACCAAGTGCCTAATGAACTGATTGTTACTACGTGTATTAATATATATATTTATGAATGTCCCCTTAATCACCATTTAAACCAAGTATTTTTCTTATGCTTATTAAGAGTAGACTTCAAATCTTTTTCCTCTAATATCAATGCTCTCAACCTTTCTTCAAGAGTTGCATTCTTCTCCATTTCTTGGGCATTAATTGCCAATAAATCAGTGATATCATCCTCAATCCGAGCATTTTTAGAAACAAGTGACACAGACCCGCTTCTAGTACGTTCATCATCGGTGACAGAATCTCTTGAAGGCAGAGAACTGTTAACATCTGTTGAGCTTGTTTCGTAATCGGAAATATTTTGTTTCAATTTGGCAATTGCATCTTCTAAATCTTGAATGTCATTACTGCATTCTTGAAGATTAACTTTGATATAAACCATATTTTGAACATTGTTCGCATGTTCTTTGGTGATATCTGAATATTTCATTTCTAGTTCCTTAATTTCGTTTCTTAATTGCCCGTTTTCAGCTTGTAGTTGATTTATTTTTTGAACTTTTTGTTTCTCTATCTTCAATAGCTTTTCAAATTCAAATTCAAACTTCTTCAATTCAAAGGGACTAATGTTAATCGTATTTGAATCCTTCACTAGCTCATTCAAGTTGTAATAATTTGATCCTGAGATTGAATCAATAGAATTATTTCTTCTTACTGGAATTTTAGATGAATTTGTACCACCAAGTACTCCACCAAAGAATGAAGGCCGCCTTCCCTCTTGAGAAGGTGAAACTTCCAGACTTCTTTCTTCGATGTATTCTTCATTAACATAAATATTGAACAATTTCTCTGTCAAGAAATCAACCAATTCATCAAAGGATAATCGTAACAAACTATTTTCGTTCTTTATCATCAAGTTCACGGCAAATTTCAAGATGCATTCAAGACCTTCGGTGATCACCATATCATATATTCTTAAAACCATCGACAATGGGAATTTGTAGGCAAACAATGTAAGGAACCATTGTGTTGCGTACATGGATGATTTAATACCTTGTTTGCTTAAGTGATTGTATAATAACGGCGAGTACAGTTCCAACAAGCGATCAAATTCATACAACAATAAATGTAATCCCTTCATATCTTTCACAAACAATTCTCTGAAACCATAGTCTTTCATTAATGCTACCAAAAGACAAAAAGCTTCCGGTCCAGACATATTCATGATTAATGGGACTCCAATGAAAATCATCCCTTGGGTGTAACCCACTTCGGAGTCAAATATGGAGTAGCATTTAATAAGTTCAAACAATTCATCTGCCTGTTTTGATTTCTCGATATTAGTGAAGAAACTTGTTCTGGCCAAATCTCGCTTAATTGACTTCTCATGGACACTGTGTTCCTTTTTCAATTGGACATAGAAATCTTCCATCTCCTTATTCTTAGATCTTGCAACCAATTGCCAAATTATACCTCTAAACTCCTTTGGTATCCCGTTACTAATAGCATTGCTCAATTCGTCAGACTCATCTTCGATCACCAGGCCATAGTTACTAACAGTTCTTGTCCAGAAATCCCAGTCAATCTCGCTTGTGGGTGCTTCTGTATATGAGCCTTCAGTGGGTCCATTAGCAAACCCGGAGATGGAGTTCTTAACATCATTGAATGATCGCTTGATGTTCTCCGTTCCATGTTCAATCAGATCTTTAGCATTTGTATCCTTAGCTTCAAACGTTTGCCGCAATTGATTGAATTTCGATTGTAATAAGAAATTGTTGGAGGACCGGTCATATGATTTGTTAATAAACTTCAACTGGGTGATATTCTGTTGGTTAGTAGAACTTTCAATTTCCAGGGAAACATCAAGCACTTCACCATCCACTAGAACGTTTATCCACCTTTTAATATGGGTCTTATCCGGCAACGTAGGCTTATTCTCTTCCTCCAATTCAATTTCCTTTGGATGCTCCTCGACTTCTTCGGATACATCGGACTTCTCCTCGGAAGCAGGTACGTCCAACGAACTCAGATTCAAAATAGTGGTATGTGTCGATATATCAACATCCGTATCATTGGTGGCAGAATTGTCATTGTCCTCTTGAGTAATCTCTTCTACTTGGATAGGATCAACATTGACATCATCGTCTTCATAGTACAGTTCGCTATCTGTGATCCCAGTCCCAGCAGCACTTTCAAACGAAGTGTCTCCAGCATCTCCAGGACTACTACCCGCATCTGTTAAAGGACTTGGGGCGGGGGGTCGTTGTCCGTTCTCTCTGTCTTGCTTATCAGGACTGTAATTCATTGTATTTGATAATGAAGGGTACTCTAAAGGAAGTTGACCCGGAGACAAAGAGTGTCGTATTTAAGGTACAGACTAGTAATACAAGTCAAATATTTTGTACTTAAGTATTAATGCTTAAAATGCCTGCTAATCGAGGCCCACAGAATATACTTCTAGTTAGTATCTCTACTTTATAGATCTGAGGCTGAATACTTATGGGACGGAATGAATCCTCAAAGGTTATGTCAGACCAAATAAAGTGTGTCGTTTGCTGACGTAAACATTAAAAATCTATAAACCTGTATGTAAGTTATGCGTCTTGGAGTATCCTAACAATAGAGATCCTAGGAATATGTTGTAGTTAACTTAATGACGACATTCGGACTCTAATTGGAGTTGGAAGAACATCTATACCTATAGAAGTTGTATCTAATAATACTATGGGCTCAGTTGCACGTCTAAGCATTACTGAAATCGAATCAATGCTAAACCCAATTTCTTTGTACGGTATAGATGGAGTCTAACCGATTTGACGTATAGAACACAAATAGTTTGGGCTAGACATACGATAAAAGTGAATTGCCTGTATATGAAATACATATCGGAAGTTGCAAGTATTCCTTTTGTACTGTAATTTAGCATATGACGTTATATAAGTCCAAGTTGCATAGGTAGTCGTAGTAAAGGTCATAGTTCAAAACCGTAATCTATTAAGGATAATACCATAACCCTTCACTATGCTATCGACCAAATGGTGCACAGGGATGTTCAACGAACGAAGTATTTCTCCACAAGGCAACATCCTGCAAGAAGTTGACATTAGTCGCATTCTTCAATGCCTGCATGCAACATTCTTAAGTCTCACGTCATTAGCAACTACTACTTATCTTGTAAAGCATTTGAAGCAAACCCCCATCATTCTTAATGTCGCTGCTACGTCGATACTGATAACTTATAGTAGACGCCGACGCACGGCACTTAGCAAACATGTAGTTAATTTTTTTGTTGTTCTACTGGTTTTTATTTTATTTTCAATGCCTTAACAACTATCAATGGCACGCATACAAAAAATAAAATCCTCATTGAGATCTAATATTAATTAATAATTACTTGGTTCCAATGTGGTTGTACCGTTGATCAACCGACCGCACTGGTCTCCACATCCAACTGTGTACCTGTACGGTCGTAAATTTTCATGCATTAAAGTTACACTTGTAACAGCCGTGGTAACGGCATTTCATCACAAATTAAACACACAAATATCATTACTTCCTCATTGCTGTGCATACATTGTCGCCTATCCAAATACGGGGGATTGCACAAATGATTGCACATAAACTGGGGCAACGGCTTTTTGCAGATTGTTTGCTTCCAAAGGCTTGCTATTTCATTGGAAAAGTACCCCTAAAATTACCTTTGCTACACAATCACAACCGGTTTTCTTCTACATCCCTGCAAGCAAACTAGTGTGATCGTTTGATTGTGGTTTGCACTTTATCTTAAAAACCGTTGAAACAAGATGTGTGTATAAAAATTGCCGTACTTAGCTATAAATAGAAGATGTAAAATGATTCTGATTCTAAACCTGATATCTCAGTCATAGCACAAGCTGCCAAGTTAGTCGAGGAACATGAAAAAGGTTTTGCCGTTAGTAGTCATTGGAAATACCCACTCAGAATATGCACATCATCAAAAGTAAACTTAAGGTTTTGTACACATGCTTCCAATTGTTCTCTATTCTCACAAACTTCCCCTGTAAATCCAACCGTTATGTTCAAAGAATACGATCGGCTCAACTTGCACGAATGGAAAGTTGGAACTACCTCTGGAGGGATGACAATATTACCATAGAGTTCTCTGGAAATGTTGTAGTCTTGGGGAGATTTAACTAGCGAATTATCTAATTCAAATGGACAAGAGGGCTCGTCTTGTGTCAAGGGACATTCTAAGTTATCTGGAGCACGATAATATAAGGGAACGGAGTGAGTGATCGTAGACCAGCACGACAGATTCTCATTGGAAATTAAAAATTTAGTATAAACAACAAGTTCAACTAGTAGACCCTGTAAATAGACCTTACAACAGCGTGGTTCATCTGTATGACCCAAGGAAAGATCAAGTGGGAGAATTCGTGAGGGAATGAGTGATTTCTCATCCAAAACTGCCTTTACACATGTGATTGCATCAACCAATGGACAATCTGAAAGATTAGAAAAATAATCATCCATAGACCCAGTATCCATTGAGCTTGTGTAATTGGATGAACACCATATCAGATCAACATCCCCATTTAGTAAGCTCAAACAATCCGAGTCTTCCAGAAAGTCAAATATGTTTGGACTTGATTCCAAGTTACTTAAGGGGGCCCCATTAGAATAGTACTGCCCTGTACATATAAGAGCACTCAATTGTCTGAAATTACCGTTCTCTTTTGTATCCACTGGCATAAATTCTATTCTTTTATAAGCTCTGAACCGATTTAAAATCAGTCCATCGATTGATACTCGAATATAGTAATTCACTGATGTTACTTCTGGCATTTCAAACAGTGGAATCAATTCGTTAACCGCATTACAGTGCTTACATCTTTTTACCATTGGGATCCGAAACGAAAATGGATAGTAATATACCCCTTCTTCAAGGTCAATTTCATGATCTTGAATATGTCCCACCTTGGAATTAAAGTTAGGAAGTAATTGAGCAGTAACTATCAGCTTTTCTTCAACAGCAACGTGTTTACTTTTAACAGTATTGTATTCACAAAGATATGATATTTTGGTTCTTGTTACTAACTTTACTTTTAAATGCTGTAAAGAAATTCTTTGTAGTATGTTTAAACCAACTACTCCCTTTATTGTATCACAATTCTTATACGTAATGTTATCTTTATCAGCATCCAATTGAATGTCCACTTGTAACATTTGATGTATATCTCTGGCTATCATTCTATTTGTTACTGTTTGTTTATTTCGTGAAATCGTGTTTATAGGGTTCAGAACGTGGTCTCTGAGCTCTAAGGTGTGTGCTGTAGAAGAATTGATCGATGCCAATATAAGTCACTAAAGAACCCTTTGGCCTTTTGACTATTTATTAAGATTAAGTTCCGCGAATGACCAAAACAGCGGTACAGACTGATTATATATACAGCCGTCTCTTGATAATGGCACCTATGTCCTCCCTTTGTATCCATAGAACAAAGTATAGTAAACATATTTTATATACAGAATAGTATACATGTGTAGCGCTAATCTTTTTGGGATGATATTTTACGCTCTGCAGACAAATGGTTTTTAACAGGGATGGTTGCTCTTAAAGTATATCAATTCAAAAAGATAAAGTGTGCAGCTAGTTGTGCACCTTTTTTTCAGTTAAGGTTATGGTCGAGCCATTCACCTTTTGCACTAACACTTTTAGCAATGACCTTTCAATCCACTAAGAAATAATAGGCAAAGCAGCTTGGTCAAAATACACTACTAATTTGCAACCGTAAATATTGTTCTCTCGTAAAATTATTATTAAAGACAAAAGTAGTGCATAGTTCAACAATAGTCACGATTAACATAGCCTTTTACCCTGCTGAATCATCGTTTGGCCGTTTATTAACCTAACTTTAATATGAAGGACTTTTGTCTTATAACGAATACCCCAACAATGCACCGCATGCATGCATTGCGTTGGATCCAAATATTTATGACCATGCCTACACATAAAATGTTCTTTTTGCTGTTACCCATTTCTATCTAATGAACAATCTGCATGGCGGAAGGACCTAAGGACAAAAAGAATAATGATTAATTTATCATCCACAATCATTTATATGTTGAACTATAGGGAATGTGGCACATTTATCATTTATACTGACATTGCTATGAATGACTTCGTATCTATTTGATGTGTTTCAGTTCTTATCACTAAGAATGCTTGAGTGTTTTAAGACTTCAACAACGGAAAATTAAATTGTTGCTTATTAAATATGTTAAAGTTGTACAACTCCATCATTTACTCTACTGCTAAACTGTTTTGGCTCATTTGAGTTTTGGCGGCGATGTAAACCTTTGTTAATGAGTTAAAAGATACTATGGTACAGTTGTGCACCCAATGGGATGGTTGAATGAATCTTATATTTCTAAGTCACCAGATATGGACGGAGAATAGTTTATTGTGGTCTTTTCCATTTATGGAGTAATCTATGCTATCGCTTAAATTACAAAGAGGGAAACTTTCATATTCAGTACTAACATCTTACAACGCTTCTTGTGGTGGTTAAGAATAATTCTTGTGCACAATAAGGTGAAAACACTGCATTTAAACAATTCTGTGGCATTTTGGCACTTATTATATCATCGACACAATAGCATGTACAATGACATAGACCCGTGTAGGTTGCAGACAATTGAGTTCATGTATTAACCGTCTACGGTAACTTGCTAATAAATACGGATTTAAACAGGGTACAAGGAGTTGTATGAAGGCAATTGAGGAGGTGGAGAGGGATCTTTTCGAGTTGGTGCAATGTCAGCTGCATAAACTCAATCTAAGGGATCAACAAACAACCCACTTGCCTTGATTTCAACAGGAAACATCAATTCACGTAACTGTTCTTCCTAACGAACACCACTGCCTAGATAAAATTAAAAACCAAGTTTGACACATAGCGTAAGGTGTCGAGTACCCAAAGATTCCATTTGAAGTGGTGGTAACTTACAATCTTCCAAGCAATCTACGAACGAGGAAGCTAGTCAAGTTGTATTTACGAATCATTCTATAAGATCTAGTTTCAAATTCAATCAAGGAGTTTAATCATTTGCTCTGAACAATACCAACGATTCAACCAAATGCTCATAAGATTCCTCGCTGTTATTAAACCATCGGTTAGAGTATGACTTTAAAGTAACCTCTACTGATTCTACAGTAACATTACCTCTTCCGTATCCAGGACGACGATCTTCAGATAGGTAATGTCTAGGTTCTATAAAATAGAAGGGAATCAGTAAGGGCTGATTGTACAAAAGTACTTGAAATCAAGAATGCTATGGTGTTCAACTTTTGCACTAGTTTGCTGGACAACAATTTCTTCTTCAATACATAGCGTTGATCGCTAAGTTTTATGGATAAATATGTTTTATCCACAAATAATCCATTTCCGTCTCGGGTTTGGCCTCGACCCCGAATACCAGGATATATGGTATTGGATCGGGCGTAAAACATATTCTTCTCTGAAATAATAATGTGATAAAGTACTATACCACGTAATGCAAAGCTCTTTTATAAGACAAACTAGGCTTAAGTCGTCTGTAATAGGACGCAGAATTGATGATTCCCTTAGAACAATGTGGAGATCGTCAATTACGAAAAATAATAGGTGCCACTTCACTTCTACTACAAAGTGTGTGAAGACTGAGACCATGATTCCATGATTAGACAAAAGACACATTATATTACCTTACAAACAAAATAAATAATAGATAAAGCCGTAATACAAAAAAGTTTATAAAATATCTAATCACAACAAGCGAACCCCCCAAAAAACACAATTTGACGCAGCTTTTAGAAGCGAATTAAAAAAACATTCCTAATGAATCTTGAAGTTTCATAGAAGTACTGTAAAGAAAACTAAAGCATAAATAACCAAAAATACCAAAATAAGTAAACCAATATCCAAAAGACAAATCTAATAATAAACACCCTCTGTCGTAATAGTGACCAAAACCTTCATATTTATTGTTCTTGAAGTGACAATCCACTTTGAACAAAGACATCTTTGAACTCTAAGGTAATTTGAGGAACCTGGGTTTCAATTTCATTATTACCAGCAAATAATGACATTGGATTGGCACTAAAACCAGCCTCAATTCGAAGATTGTAGTGTCTTCTGCTTCTACATGAATTGAAACTAGGAATTACACCAATGCCAATACTAGCAGCCTCAATAATTTGTGGAGGAACTTGTAAGCCTAGTGGTGTTTTAAGTTCAGCATTGTCAAAATTAAATGTTACCGGACTAAGTGGACTCAAATTAAACTTATAGTTTTGAGGTGGAATACGAAACACCTCTATAATTTGTTTCGTACTTAACAATTCTGTTGTACTGATACAACTTTCAATTACAACGTCTGTAGTAGCTATAAGTTGTATGTTTAATTGTTGAAGAAACACAGAATTTGTGTCTTCACATTTGCATGGATCTTGTAATGCCCCAATGAATAATTCTAATGGTAATGGACGTTGACAAATGACTTTCGATCTATCCAAGGAGGCCTTCATGAACATTTGAACGTCTAAAGGTTTCACACAAACGCTGCTAGTACTTGAAATTGATGAAAACGCGTCCCGCAGAGGGAGCAGTATTGGAGTTGGCAAAAAATCCGCATCAAGTACGGAGTCAAGAAGATCAAAGTTGTTTAAATCAATCTGTGAAAGACATCTTCTCTTTAGGATGCCTCCAACTTCTTCACCAATGTGAGACGATGGAGGTTCAAGTAAAGGCAAATATCTAAAGGGTTCGTCAAAAATAATTGAAGGCTCACCAACTGATTGCCTTTTAATTTCTACTCTAACATAGTAGTTGAAGTCAATTATTCCTTCAAGTTGGTTGAATGTTGGCACAATGCATTGAGATTCTTGACAATACTTGCAATGTATAGTTTCAGGAATTTTTAAGCTAAATGAATACATAAAAGATCCTTCGTTGAACTTAAGGTATTCATTTTTTGTTTCGTTAAGTGGGAATATTCTCCTGGTACACAACGTGGTTTGATCCCTACAAGTATGACGTTCTAAAGCAACGTTCTGGTACAGATAAATGACATTTGATTTTGTTACCAATGAAACATCAATAGTTGATACTGTAATTGGCAGATTTAATTTTAAGCAGAAGGTACCTTTGATTATTTGGGAGCCTGTAAAGACAGAGTTTATAGCATTGTCAAGCGCAATATTTATACAGCATTGAACACTCATTAGTTGCTGACAATTGAACACTGCACAAGTTTAATGGAGTCAACTTGAATAATATAAATTGGAAATCCACTATGGATATCAAATTGAGAATAGAGAGAAAAAATGTATCAACTTTAGAAGAAGTTATTGACGTTTACCTACTAATTTATACCTTTTAGTGACTAAGGGGCTTGTTCCGTTGGAACACGAATAACTCGTATATGTGCGTAATCGCAGTCATGATATGCAGTGAAAGAATTATTGCTACTCAATATGAAACGGCATTTATTGTTTTTCTTATTGTGTATTTGACTCAAAGTCATTCCTGTTAGTTACCCCTAATCGCAGCATAGAAAACGTATCAACTGATAGACTTGATCTGTGCGTTCCTGTCATTTAAAAGTCCGAAATACCTAATTGCGGTTTTGTGTTGTTATAACAGAAAACCACTTGATAATCAAAATCGGTAATTCCACCTACTGTTACTATATTATACTCAATTGAAAGCTGATATTATCACACCATCGATCTGGTTTATACCTTGGATCAATTTACCATGATATTCAATCAATTGTCGAGAAAGACAGGGAAACACGTACTTATAGCAAGTTCGAATTAGGAAAATACCGACCGATATCGATTAAAACGAAGTATTACACAAAACCCCACAAATCTCGCTTAGTCATTACATTTACGGATTGCTCTACGGGAGGTATAAGGATTATCATAGCAAAATCATAGTGAACTCAATTGATTTTTGAAAAACCCTTTGGCAATTGATTAGGTTATAATGATGTTATTGAAAGGCTGAAAGGTTGATTTTGGATTTTTAGAACGTTCCATGTCATGACATTGTTCGTAGAATGTGAGCACTTTAACTACATATTTAGAATGCGGATCTGTATCTCAAAGAAGATGTTTGGCAGAATTGTTTCACGAGTCACATGTGTCGGCTATTCACGGCTATTAACGGCTAGTATATCGCAGACTTGCTTATCAGACTTTTAGTACTGATAAGCCGTTCCGACGGACCAAAATGCCACAGCAAACGTAACTGAAGAGTTAGTAGTAAACCGTTAAAGGTAGTTAACGGCGGGTTTACAGATAACCGTTAAAGGAACTTAACGGCTGGTCGATCTCAAGCAATGAAACTTTTGAAAAGCATGAAAAAAAAATGATGTCATCAACTCGCATCAAAATGTAGTCATCAGTTATGCCTGGGTGTCACTTTTTGACTTGCTTCGCTAGATACGTCCTCTGAGAGTCGCTGACTAACGGTGTTTGACAAAGATTCATATTTACTCCACTGATATATACGGGAGTTATCTGAGTCACCAACTCGCACAAAAATAGGTGTAGATGCTAGATTAAGTACAGTGACGACATCAACCCGACCTGAGGAACATCAAAGCTCATGGAATTTGAAGCTTTATGATGATGTCTACAATAATAGTTAGGTAATAATTTATACTTTATCATCAAAAATAATATCCCATACATAAAAGTAAATCACCCACCAATAAATAAAAACCTTGTTTAAAAGGGTATACCCCATTTTGCATTCCACTCAATTTGAACTGACCCAATGGTATTCATCCGAAAATGAATCTACAATTGACACAGGTATGGTTTCCATTGGTAACCCGTTGAAAGGATTCGTCCCATCATCTAAACGAACAATTTCTTCATTTGATAATGGATCAAGGGAAATAATATCATTGGTTATATCAGTTGAAATTGTAGATGAATTATCAAATGTAGAAAGTACATCCGAGGGGAATGAAACATGATCTAATTGATTAAACATCCCAATAGACCCTGCTGTCAATGCATGAGAGGGTTCCGAAACATTTGCTACAGCAGCTTCCATGGTATCACGTTCCCTTGCTGTTTCTACTGGAGGATTGGGCGTTGAACATACAGAATCCTTTCTTGATTGAGCAACCACGGCATCCCCCAAATGTTCTAAATCTTCAAAAATTGTACCACCCATTACATTCTTTTCTTGACACAATTTTTGCAACTTTTCAGGTTCACAATTAGGGAAATAAACTCGTAACACCCAACGTGACTTGATAAATTTAATGGGTAAAGCACCTAATTCAAAAATCTTCTCAAGATCCTGCTTGAGAGTTTGAATTCTTTGGATCAAAATATCCAAATCATCCAACAATTCATCAATTGTTTCTTCAGATAAAACTGTTTCATGATTAAAAGATGATCCTAAAGATGCAAAAATGGAAAACTCAATATATGAACCATTAATTAATTGATCAGCTTCAATTTTCTCTTCTACAGTTGCAGAAGAATCTGTTCGAGCCATTTGCAATGTGATTTGATGATAACTTGGTGATAAGGATACAGACATTACCGATTTGGGAAATTTCAAGGATAGAATAGGATTGGATTTACCTGTGGAGTCCACCTTTACAAATCTTGAAGGTTTTGAAAATTTCTCTTTAGGTCCCATTGTTGGTTGATCACAATAATCACTACCAAATAAAAGGGATCTCAATTGCGTAGAGGTTCTTGTAGCATAATTAGCACCCTTGTAACCACCACCTAAGCCCAATGGGGGTTTACCTTGACTAAAGTACAGGAACATGTATCCACCATATTTGAACTTGGAGGTGTTAAATATCTGATCTCTAATAGAGATGAATGCTGGCTTGTATTTCCACCAGAACCGATTTGAATGGAAACGACGTGCAAAAAAGTTTTTATACTTGAAAAAATTCAGTCCACTCTTTCTATGATATCTCCATTCAAAATGGTTATAGTATTGGTACAGGTGCTGGTTGAAGTTATAACGATGATAGCTATGGTAGGATCTAGCATTGGAAAACATATTCGAAAAGCATTTTGTTCTTGATTTTCTCAAATTAACAAGCATGTGACTGAATAAGCACCCAGAAGCAAACAAAACACTGGCACCCGTGGCCAACCCACAAGAAGGTGAAGATTTAGTAGTTATGGCCACTTTGGAAATGGCTTTAGTAGTAAACATTTCTTTAGCAGCATTGATAAGACAGAACTTGGACAACATTGATAGCTGCAGTAAACCTGCAAGACCTAAGAAATGACCAAGGAAAAGAGGTACTGATTTCACATGAGGGCCATCGGAAACCAAACTTGAACGGTGCTGAAGGAACCAATGAGGATTCAGATAGACACCTTTATTACTGTTACTGACTTCTGCTAATGAAAACGACAGATATGAATCATGAAGATTCCTTAAACCACTAGCAACACCATTACCTTTTCCAGACCTAACAGGAATAGGAATAGGTTGACGAACAAACTGACCTTGGTTGGCCAAATTTTGAGCTAAATTACTCAAATCTTCAGCCAACTGTTCAAGGCGTTTAGGCCAGTTTCTTTCTTTAAGAGATTTTTCCCACAAATTCTTAAAATTCATATTAGAGAAAGGAATAGTTAAATCGAAATATACCAACCAATAAGAATTAAGAATCAATCGAAGGTTGGTTTGAACTTCATTGAAAGGCTCAGTCTTTTTCGGATGTCCAGATTTGATCGTCTTGGTCCACCCCTGAACTTGAACGTTGGTCAAAACAACTTAAACTTGTTGTTTTGTCCTAAAGGAATAAATCAAAGGTTAAGTACTATCAACATTCTTGTTTGACAGCAATAAAAATTTAAAGGGATGACCGTAGGGGTGTGAGGTCGTGTACGAAACATAGATACCCCAACAAAGTATTTCGCGCACTGGGAGAGGCACAGTGTCCATGTACGGGGTTACACAAAAATGGAATCGACGGAGATTATTTGATTGGCCAATACAAGGTATAGTAGTTATACTAGGCACTTACAGTAATAATATCGTACAAAGGTATCGTTAATTGAATACTAAATCACAAGAATCCCAGAGAAAATAATAACAGCCAAATCTAGCAAATTAAAGTGTAATAAAGAAAAAGAAAATAATAAGAATAAGAATAATAAAAATAAAAATAATAATAATAATAATCCAAACAGAAATAAAACATAATCATCACGTATCAACCCATTGCTTAATCCCAGTACTCTTCATTGAGAACATATGCATCAAATGGATCAAATTCAGCCTTGATCTCTTCCGAGGTAGGAACAATGCCCGAGCCAAGTAGGCTCGACGTACCCATACTGTTGATGGTAGGCATAGGATTAATGCGTTGTTTTTTCACGATAGGTTGAGTTAATTCATCGTCGGTAGTGACGTCATCGTAGGCGAACTCATGGAGTGATAAGACAGAGGGTGTAGAGTTTATAGATTTTCGAGAAACAGTTCCATTAAGCATAGAAGCACATGTGGAAACCGAAGTGTTGGAAGAGGTCAATTGAGATAGTTCTGACATTGATGATGATGAACCCACCATAACACTTGGGGAAACTTGAATATTATTCAAAGTAAAATCCATAATGACATCCTGTTTCAACTTATCAAACTCTGTATCACTCATGTGTACAGTTGAGTTAGTTAATGAACGGTTCATATGACTTACATCTTCATGGTTAGCAGTGACAGATGAATAGATGGAGAATTGGGGCAGGTTGGGTGCAGTACTGCTATTGCTATTGGAAGTTTGATGCGCTTCAGGTACAACTGTTGGCTTCTTAACAGTTCTTGTTTTCATCATTTGTAACAGCATTTCTTGTAGGCTCTGAATTGATTTAAAAGTTTGTTCATTCTTAATGGTATCACCACTTGTTTGACTATTGGAGGATGAATATTTGCTCTCACTTTCTTCTTTCTTAATTATGGCCGTCTTAGTACCTAAGTTGGTAGCTGTTGAAGAAATAGATTTTGAAGTATCGGGGTTACCATCATCAGAACCCGGAGATTTAGAACTGGGCGAAGCCACTACCGAATTTCCAACACCATGGCTTGATGAGATTTCACTCTTTTCACCATCCACCGTCACTGGTAAATTGATTAATGCGGTTCTATGAGGCTCAAGAGCTTTGACATAATGATCACGATGCAACAAATCGTCAACGTCATAATCCCCATTAACTAACCAATATACTAAAGCCTCTAACAGTTTCACTCTGTTTTCAACAGAAGTTAAATGTGCTCTAGTCAAAGGTGATCTCACGACTCTTGGAGAATAGTTACACTTGCGATCATGGTTAATACATTTGGAGCATCTAGGGTATTCCTTGCTGCACTTTAGCTTGCGTTTGCGACATGAATCACATGCTTGTTCTATGCTTTTGGCAAAGGAATTGATTGAAGAATGAGATTCTTCTTCTCCGATATTCACTTCTTCCATATGATCTGCTGTAGTAGGCGGTATGGATTTTAAATCCGAAGTAGCAGACATTTGGGGGTATTTATCCAGTCCACACATGTTATTCTAATGTATGATATCACTTTCAAATAACACTCTTACACGCTGTTGTAGTCTATGGATACGTTCAAGGTGATGTAATGGCCCTGAAGTATATCCGAAACGAAAATCGTGTGCCCAACCACTAGTATGGTTTATTATGTAATGATGAATAAATAGGGGAACAGTAAATGGTTCCGGATCGAAACACTAGGGTGGATAAAGAAGTCACGGGTAAGTGATTCAGGAGCCCTGCTAATTATTGCAGATGAAATGTATGAATCTTTAGGGAGAGTAACAATTGCAAGTCTAGAATAAATAAAACACTAGACTTTATCTAATGTTAATTGACCCGAGTGGTGGTACGACCAAAAAACGTGTGGGTGGGAGCTTGCGTGTGGGCTGCGAACTAAGTCTATAACACACTAGCGCTGTACAACGACACAAGGAAGCGGATGTAATTGGATAATCCGAGGAAGTAGTAGTATACTATTAGTATTATAATAACAGGTTATAGCTATAATAATAATAATAGGACTATTTCCAATAGGAGTTGTACTTATCTATTAAATGCCAAATACAACCTGCGATCCCGGGAATATAATCTTTTGTTCCTTCCTTTTTTTATGCACTAACAATATTTATTGCGATGATAAGAAACCAACCGGCGCAATGAAATTAACGATGGATGGGAAGAAGAAACAGATTCAATTGAGTCAGTCAAAATAATGATGATGGGTTTTATTAACAAATCAAATGATAATTTTAGGATACCCATTGGATTTTATTAACAGGAAAGGCTTGTTCTTGTGTCGTTCTTTGTTGCTCCTGCTCCGCTTCCATTATTTGACTTTTTGGGGATCGGTATTCGAAAGACGGTTGTTTGTTCAAGATTTTGGGCTTTTCTTTTGCGTTTCATGAGAGGGGGCATTTGGGGGTGTATGTGCAGTGGTGGTGGTGAAGAAGTAGTGTCATTGGTGTTTGAGTATGTAGGAATGCTTTGATTAGGTTAAGAAAATTACTACTGCAATGTCATACTTTAAGACTGCTTTATGCTACATAGGGTGTCTATTGTACGCCATATATGAACTCTGGGTACTGAGTGCGCTCCAGGTTCCAGTAACTATGACCACTGGTACAAGTACAACTTGATATAAATAAATAGGTAAATAAACAAATAAGTAAGTAACAACAAATACTAGAGTCTTTGTGAACTTTGCTGCATACAACCGTTAGGCACATCTGACAGCACTTAATGATTCCAATTGGGCTTTATTTGGATTCGCTACTACAATAACGTCAGTGTGGTGGTCCACAACATTAGCCATTTTACCACTACATACATCAAACGAGTTCCACCGTAGTCAAGCATCAGTATAGAATGGCGGTATGTTAAGTTTGATACAGCTAGGGGGTAAAAGATACCAAAGCTTCCCTCCCTCCCGGAAGTATACCTCCTTTTGTTGGATCAGGTTTTGCTCTGATGTCTTTGTGCGGGTTTTTAAAAATTTCAATTTTTGCGATGGAGAGGGGTTGATGGAGAGGGGAAATGAAGGTAATCCCATCCACCACCAATTTGTGCCTACAATGAGCTCAGACATCTACTTCTTTCTAACTTTGACCATTCAAATCTATAGGATGTTCCGTACATTGACACACTAATAGTGAAATGAACAGAAACATTACAATCTGCTTAAATGCTCTCTCTTTAGTTAACATTGGAAATATCCAACCTATCATCATGTAGATACCCCTCTCGAGAAAAATTTTACTCAGTATCTTTATTTACCGGAACAAGCTACACAAAAACCAAAGAGACACTATATGCACAAAAGCGGGAAAACTGTCGAAATTTATTGCATATATGCTCCAGCCGTGCATTTATTTCGGAAAAACCTCAACCTAGTTGAAAATGAAGGTATCTAAGGCCAATTATTTCCACGGCAACCTTTTACAAGAATTACGATTTTCGTGGTCACTACGGTGATAGGGGTCACCGATTTTCAACTCCGAAATGCTCATCTTATGTCTAGCATTAGGTTTACCACTTAGTCCAATCAGCTTCGGATACTTGAAATCAGTCCAAGTTGGTCTTTCTGATTTTTGAAAAGGAAGAAATAACTAGCCTTGTCGTTTCTATGAGAAATTGTTTATATTGACTATATGGTATTAACTATCGCTTAAGTGGTACGCAAGGAACGAAATTATAGCTTGCCTCATGGACTAACTATATTAACGAACAAATTAAACGAGCGAATATTCGTGACAATGAAACCCCTAAAACACAGACAGCTTTCTTATAAAAGCCCGAGTTTTGTACGCTGGAAGGTTGTCAATAATTCCGTCAGTTATTCCGATCGCGAGCGGGGAACTTGTGTCGGAGAGTGCAAAATTATGTTATGTTGGCCCATTACTAATTCTTTGGTTAGAGGGGTAATATAAGGCAGACACAAAATAGGAAACGGTTCCTCCTTACGTCATCATGAGGCGATAACCAAAGTTTTACACGTCTTCATGATAGGCAAATTTGGTTCGAAGTGGATTCACCGGGGCTCGTTTGGTGTACAGGTCATCGTCCGGGGGTCGTTCGCTAATAGTATTGTTCATCAACATAGATTGAATACTTAGCACACAGCTTTCTAGAGTACATGCGGGGGTCCAATCGTCCCCTAATATGTTCAAACAAATATGTCCGTTCAGATAGATGTGGGGATGCACCGGGATATTGTTAACAAACTTCACAATCGGTGGGCCAAAAGGATATTCGTCCGTTACTTCAATTGAAAGTTGATAGACTTCATTCTCATATACATCATGATTTTGAAAAGAGATATAGAAAATGTATTTCATGATCTCTGGAGTAGAAGACAGGGTTTCTCTATCTTGGCTTTCGGTTTCTTCTTTAGTGGCAATGGGTGGTTTGGTATCAATTCCCGGGTGAGTTAAACTCATTAGGTCCCGATGTTCCCGGAGTAACCTGGCCCGGAATGCATGCATAATACCGCTATAACTTCTAAGAATTGGGTTTTTATTTCTGATCAAACCTGCGGGCTCAAGTAATCATTTTCAGGGATGTTAACTTCATGCTAAAAATCGCTTACTGCTGCGAACTTATTTATATGCAAACCCAATCAACTCTCGTTGTAGAATCAGTGCGCAAGTTAAAATATGCATCTATATATGTTCTATGTGCATGATGCATTACGCTATATACTTCTATGCATGTTGATCCTTCAACCATTCATAAGGGCATTGCGTTGATAAAATTAGTGGCAGTTGCAGATGACGTGGAAGCTCCTCTTCCTTTAACGGAACCTCTTTTATTGCTCTGGGATCTCTGAGATTTTTGAGATCTTTGCGATGTTTGTGTTCGACCAAATTCACTTCTACTTCCTCTACTAGCTCGAGTACCTCTAGTGGTTTTGCCGCCTCTAGTACGCTTCCAAGTCAGAGATGCTTTATTCCTTTGGTAACTTGTGATTTGTCTCTCATAAGCGGATTCTGTTGACGTGGTGGAAAAATCCAGCTGGAAGAATGGTGAAACGTTTTCACTTGCTGCCTGACCATTTATCGTAGTTAAGGGTTGTTGGGTCTGAGTTGAGATCCCATTGATACTTCCTAAGGATATGTTTGGTGAGATTTCCCCACCCAGAGCCTTACGACGTTCCTTTGATAACGCAATCAAAGTCTTTTTAAACCAGATAAACTTCTCTTCAAGGACTTCCTTTGCAACTCCTTCATTCGTAGAGGTCAAAAGCTTTATAAAATCTCTCTTGGTGGTTGGTAACAGTGTAGCCACAAGAATTAAATCTCCACGATCCATATACTTTGATGGAGGAATGTTTCTTTCAAATGCCTTCGACCGACATATTTGAGATAACTCATCAAATGCCTTTGTCACGTATTCACTACTAACTCCTGTATTTATGTCAATTCTAGAAGCATCAGTGTGATCTGGGACCGACCTTGAAGTACCTTGATGAGCCTGACGGGCCGTGATAAATGATTCAGAATATCGAAAATTCAGTAAATTGTTTCCTGATTTAGTAGTGGGCATTGAATGAGCCCGTGTAGCTCGATTGAGACTAAGACCTTGTTTAGAAGACAACGAGGAAGACTTTGATGATGGTGGTGCATTGTTACTATTCAATGTAATGTGTCTGTCGCCTTCTAGAACTTCATTTGCTCTCTTTCCTATTTTGACATATGTCAGTGCAAACCCATTTTTCTTAAATATCTGATATTCTTCCAAGCAGTTCTCGCTTAATAAGTAAAAGAATATTCTTTCGATATCCAGCTTATCTAAAGACTTCCCTTTCCCGTGGAATGGATTCAAGTTGTGGCCCATGCTAACAATCTTACTATTCTGTGATCCTCTGAAAATGTCTTGACATTGAATCACCGTCACTTTCTCATGTTGAACCAGTCGAACCAACCCAAGTACTTGTTTTGCGAATACCGTGACATCTTTAATAACAACATCGCCATCGCGAGCTGACGAGTTATTGATACAATTGTCACATTTCTTTCTGCACTGTTCAGGGTCAAACTGCTCATTGAAATACTGCAAAACAACTTTCCGACGACAATCATGGTTGTTTTCACAATATTGAACAACCTGTCGAAGCTTTTCTAAATGATGTTCCTTGCTATCCTCACTCAATTCTTCGTCTCTTTGGATCAACAATTGAAGCGTTCGAGCATCCTTATAGCTATAGAACATAATACAGTCAGATTCGTCACCATCACGACCTGCTCTCCCAGTTTCCTGATAATACCCTTCTAATGATCGAGGTATGAATAAGTGGATTACAAATCTGACGTTGGGTTTATCAATACCCATACCAAAAGCAATGGTAGCACAAATAACTTGGATAGTTCCATTTTGCCATTCTTCTTGAACTTGAAACCGGTCTTGAGCCAGCATTCCAGCATGATAAAAAGCCAGTCTGACTCCTCCTTGATTCATTTTTTCCGAGGTCTGTTCACAGCTTTGTTTGGAATGGCAATAAATAATTCCT